AAGTAGAGACTACCTATCTCAGGGCCTAAATACCGGTACTTTAAGTATACATAATTAGGTATTCAATATTGAATTCGGGGGTGTGAAGCTCTGCAAAAGATAAAGAAAATCTGTATTTGTATGCAGGGACTAGGTAGGGCTGCTGCATTATACAGTATTGCATTGCTACCTTAGCCTCAGGTTCACCGCTGATGCTTGGCAACCTAAGGCAAGAAAGACCAGCCGGTTCTTCAAAGCCCGAGGAAAGGAAGGGAGGGCAAAGCAAAGCGCTCCTCGAGTCCTCTGCCCCCAATTCCCCGGCAATTATCCACCATGCAGCTCTGGGCCAGGAGCAGGCCATTTGATAACCCGATACGTAGTTTGGCAGCACTCTTTGTTGTCTGGAAATGTTTAATTCTGGTCATTGCATGCTGCAGCCCGGGACCTGGATATGATACCTCCACTAGCCTTCTCTTACCCACCCATGAATCAGGTGAAGGCAGAAACCTACCGACTATTGTTCAGCACCTTGTTGGTAGACTGACAAGATGGGATGCTTTCTACTATGTCAAAGCTGCGAGCCGTGGCTATCTGTTTGAACAGGAGTGGGCTTTCGGATGGGGCTTTACTCGAATCATTGCCCTGGGTACTACGGGTGAGACGGTCTACAAACCCATATCAATCCAGCTCCTAACATGCCTCACAGGCTTAGAAAAAATCGGCATCGCTCACTACGACGGAGTGGAAGCAGTTGTGGCTATTTGCATTGCCCATTTTGCCCATTTTCTTTCAGTACTTCTGCTCTTCAATCTCACGTTGGCTGTATTCCCAGGATCAACCACAAGATTTGCTTTCACTACCTCTGCATTGTACATCATATCACCAGCTGGAATATTTCTCTCGGCTCCTTATGCTGAGAGCTCCTGCGCTCTTTTTGCGTTTGCGGGTTGCCTAGCATTCGCAAAGAGCTTCACCTCTGAACAGCCGTCTACAACAGCAAAGCATGACCTTCTTCTTCTTGGATCCGGTGTTCTATTTGGCATGTCTGTGACGCTCCGCAGCAATGGACTACTAAACGGTCTCCTTTTACTTGAAGAGGCCTTCAGGGTCTTACTGAGCCTCAAGAATGATTTTCAAATAGCTAGGGTTCGTCGCTTGATTGCTTCTGGGCTCGGTGGACTTAGTGTTGCATCTGGATTCTTGCTCCCACAGTACATCTCCTACAGCGACTTTTGTAGGGAAGAGGGGGTTGCAATCCTCAGGCCATGGTGTACAAAGCCGTTGCCCAGCATTTACACATTTGTGCAAGAACACTACTGGTAAGTTTCTTCTTTTTGGTGGCTACCCCCAAGTTCATGCTTTATCTCACACCTCCAGGAATGTCGGCCTGTTCCGGTACTGGACACTTTCAAACCTGCCTCTCTTCATGTTGGCTGCGCCGATGCTTGTGATGATGACCGTTTCAGGAGTCTGGGGGTTAAGCTCGAATAGACAAGTACAGCATGCTACCAACAAGCTGCCAAAGAGGGCCGAGGGTTTTCCAATTCTACGAAATCTGGCCACCTCGCAGCTGTTGTTTACTCTGATCACTTTCACCACCGCGCATGTACAGATTATCACGCGAACATCATCAGCGTTCCCGGTTTGGCTTTGGTACTCTATAATGTCGTCTGAAAAAGGAAATTCTTTAGTTAGGAACATGGCCAAGTTTATGGTTATGTATGTGGTTATTCAGGGAGGACTATTTGCTTCCTTTCTCCCTCCAGCGTAGTAAACAAATCAAACTCAGTTTAGCGCCCCTTTGACATAATGTAAAGCTCAAGGGTGAATGCCTAATAATCCTAAATTCGCTGTTCAATCAATACGTTCGTTCGAAGATTTAAGATGCGCTATCTCATCTTGCTCTTCCTTGCCATGTCTTGCCTTGTCTTGTCCACCTGCAGTATCTCGACACGCTAGTGGCGGCGCTAAAAGACACCCTCCTTGGAATTTTGTTGACTTCACTTCCCAGACTCTTCGAAACATTACAACAAACGACAGAAATAAACACCCATCGATTTGCAGATGCGGTACTATCATACAAGAGACTCGTTATGATATAAATGCCATATCAAAGGCACTGGGCTCTAGAATAATCACCTACCGACCTGTGAAACACCAGAGGTGCATATTCACTTGCGACAGCGGATGGCTGATCTATGTACAAGAGGTTAATCAATACAGCCAGCAAATAAGCCAGCTCTAAATGTGGCAAAACAATGGATTTGGGACTGGGCCTGACTCTCCCTTCCGACTATCTTTCAATCAAAATGACATGCTATTTGGAGGCGATGCTGGGACTCCTATTGCCGGTCAACAAGGGTTTCCGCAATTTCAACGCAACTTGATGGATGCAGATGCATATCAACCAGAGGTTGGCCTCTACAATCAGGACGTCTTCACGCAACATCAACACATGAGCCCCCAGCATCAGGTATGTTTCGTGGAACTTGTCCATATGCTAGCCGGTGCAACCAATACAGGAACAGTACTAATCTCTATCTAAATCTAGTATTCACCGACAGCACCACATCAATACAACACGCTCCCACAAAACAATCCGACTCCAACTCGCCCTCCTGCGATGTTAAAAGCCAGAGCCGCTGAATTAAAGGCACAGCTATTGAAGGGAAAGGAAGCTCGCGCTGGTTCTGCAACTCCTCCAGTTCCAACTGCTGCCGCCGTGGCAAGACAAAATGCGTCAGCGGATGCTTCGAGCTCACTACATGGATCTCCAAAAACCCCTTCTACTGCTACTGAAACACATGATCAGGACGTCAATGATCTTATAGCCCAATACTCTGTTTCGAAACCAACTGCAAGTGCACAAACCAAAGATCAAAACAGCGAGCCCACGACGATGACCACGAACACTGCGCAGGGGTCGATAATTCCTAGTTCCTCAGCGAAGTCGCAAGAATCTTCGTTAGAAAGCCCTATAAAAGTCCCAAACCCACCTCCAAATGGAATCAGTGCCGTTCATGCAATGGTCAAAGCAAATCAGAGCAGGCATGCAAGCAATGGATCAATATCAGAAGGCGAAATACTTGAGGACACACCAAAAAAGCCATCGCCACCAACGGAGCCAAGACAAAGACAGCCAACCTCCAAGCCAGCTACTATAGGCGACGAGCTAACCAGAACAATGGATAATCAACTATCCAAGAATTCAAACGGCAGTGGTGCGCGAGATGATTCTCCACCGCGTCGTGCCCCGCCATTGAATCCAAGAAGCTATTCGCAACGCGGTTATGATGAACGGCGTGATGAATCTCAGCCACGACCAGACAGGCGAGGGAACTACCAGCCAGATCACAAACCTGAACGGAAGTCAGCTTCTGAATTTGAGAAAGATCCATATCAGCGTCGGAGTTCTCGTGATGAAAATTATCACAGACCTGATTCAAATAATGTGCAAAAGCGAGAGGAGACCAAGGCGGCATACCCCCAGAAGTTGTCGACCCTTGACGACGTGCTTACTCACGACGAAGATCTCAAAGAATGGCTGGAAATTACCGGCTATCATAATGCACCATACAGAGACAAGATATTAAGTCGCCGCCGGGCGCTTGCGAGACTAGATGCTGAAAGAAAAAGGCTCCTGGCTGATATCGAAGCCGATGAAAGATCGGGTCTTCCACCTACTCCCGGACCACAAACCTCTGTTTCATCAATGCTTCCTCCGCCCATACCTAACAAAGTAGGACCCCAGAACGAGACTACAACATTACCAACGGAGAAAATGGATGAATCGAAGAGTGATCGATTGAATCCCATCAAACGTGCCCATAGCGATGTCGATGATGGACGTGACGGAGGCTTCTCAGGGAAAATAGCTCGCATTGGCGATCGAGGACCACGTATCAAAGACGAAGATGATTATGACCATCATCGTCCCAGATCAAGTGGCTCTAGCGCCCAGCGTTGGCAATCAACCGATCATCGTGATGAAAGAAGCCCCCCCATCATCGGTATGATGACGATCGCGACTCACGAGATCGAGGTGACAGTCGAGATCGGAACATTTCACCTGGCCGCAGGGCATTTGAGAGCAGGCCGCCAGCTCGATCTACAAGTTTTGGAACAGACGACTCGCGTTATCGAGATCGAGATGAGCACCAAGAGCGAGACAAGCGACCATTTGTGAGTGTCGGTGGATACAGAGGTAGGGCCTTTGATCCCAACTATCGAGGTCGTGGTCGTGGACGCGGCCGAGGCGATTACCAAAGTCGTGAACTCCAGAGCCATCAACAGCACGACTCCAAGAGCGAGTCGTCTTTCGGCTCTAGAATTGCGAATGGTAAACCTTACAAGGAGCAGAGGGGGTTTGATAGAGGCGGCAAAGGTGGTCAGTGAATTTGCTCTTCTTGTCAACCTCCGTTGCACTTTAGAGTTATGACTGTATTATAATTTGGACACAACGGGCCGAGCATGAAGCAATGCTCTTTGCTCCAGCGCTTCATGGGTTTACCCTCCTTTAGTAATTATTCATCCATATTACCTGCCATGCTCCTTGTCTGTTGCTCTCCGTGACAAGTGTCTGTCCCAGTTGAAGGTTCGTGATTACCTGCTTACGTCGCCTAGACACTCGATATTTCATTGTCAAGTCATACAATGAAGAGAACGTCTTGAGATGTATTGCTGATGTGAGTCAAATCCTTCTGAGCATTGAAATTACTTGCTAAATGGAAGAAGTCCGTTTGGACCACGCAAGCACAAAATGGTAGCGTGTTCAAGGAAGCGTTTGAGAGCTGCAAGAATGTCATCCTTGTATTTTCAATCAACAAAAGCAAAGCTTTCCAAGGATATGTGAGTCTATGCGATCGTTTGTATTTCAAATTAGTTGTCTGCTAAAATAAATGTAGGCACGAATGGAATCCCTTCCCGGATCAGTACAAAGGCCTGCGTGGCAAGAATCAATTAACTGGGAGAGTGCAGGAGCGTTCAAAGTCAAATGGATGGTAGTCTGCTCGACCAAATTCCACCGCATTGGACACCTGAAGAATGCCTTGAACGAGGACCAAGCTGTGCTTATTGGCAAAGATGGGCAGGAAATTGAGGAGAACTGTGGGCTAGGCCTGATAGAACTCATCCATGAAGAGGCACGGGAAGCCTTGATTGCTTGGAGACACTCGGACGAGAAAGGTCCTTGGGAAGACTATCGATGAGATTTTGAAGCGGAAATCATACGTTTGCTCTGGCATGGAGCTAAAAGTTGCTAGCGGAAAAGGATACCTGTCCTAATTGCCTGATTCTATCGTTGCCTTATATCATTACTCCAAAGATCACAGATTTATTACACGGATCTCTCTTCTGTCACTACTGACGTCATCAAAGTTTGAAATAATTCAACCCCCTTTTCAATTATGAGGCCATCATGTGATAACGCGATAATGCCTTATCGTAAAGTGGAGCATATCATACCACTCCAACAGCCAAGCCCCAGCCAGCAATAATGATATTCTATCTCACCCAGTTCATCGTTATTTATCGTTTACTTCCCTACTGCCTTGACAATCCAGCTATCCACTCCTTCAATCTGAACCGCAGTGACCCTCCGTAGTATCCTTTCCAACGTCAATCATCAATCATCCCAAGATGCTTTCCCTCCCCCTCCTTAGCGTAGCAACATGTCTCTTACTACTCTCCTTCAAACTCTTCCAAGCCATAACCTCACCCCTAGCCAAGATACCAGGCCCGCGCTACACCCTTCTCACACCCATCTATCTCATGCTCCAAGAATTCACCTCCAAACGACGCGTCTACATCGACCGCCTGCACCAGAAACATGGTCCTGTTGTGCGATTGGGCCCTAATGAGGTTTCGTTCACTTCGTTGGAGGCGTTGAGGGAGATTTACACGAGTGGGGGGAGTGGGTATGATAGAACGGAGTTTTATACATTGTTTATGCAGTTTGGGGTCAGGTGAGCAAGAGTGAAGTTTCCTGGGTGGGAAGGGGTATTAGTATTGACGAGTCTAGAACCATGTTTTCCACATTGGGAAAAGGCATTGTACAATTCTTCTCATGGAAGGTTGGAGGAGATTTATTGACTTGAAGACTAGCATGCCCAGAAGAAGCGGTATATTGCTGGCCAATATGCGAATACCAATATCATGCGGCCAAGCGTCGTCGGTGGGATCCAGGAACGTGCTAATGCTTTTTGTTGCTCGTAGATCACGTGACCTTGTCACGTGTTCACTCACTCAGGACTCTTACTCTCTGTGTAACTGTGTGAATTACCATATGTGGTTAGTCATAGCTATAACCCACACCTGTACACATATATTAGGAAGCTTAACTCCCTTATGAAAACTTCATAGACAATGAACATTATTGAGCACCTTCCTAGAGATCAACTCTTTTGTGATGAAATGTGCTGATGCTGAGTCTGGAAAAGAAAGCTTGGATGTTTATGTACGATTTCAAAGGTTATTTCGAGGTCCATCTAACACAATTATAGCTTTATCTACACTGTTACGCTCTAGATTGTGCATCGCATCACCTATTTCACCCATATGGAACACACTCCATCGAGGGAGAAGAAGACCTAGAAATGATGCGCGAGCTATCCTACTACCCCACCATCCAAAGTCAGTCTTCCCTCTCACCTTGCATAACCTCACAATTAACAAAACTTGAATAAAAAAAAACAGCTCTCTCAGGCAACTTCGCACAATACTACTGGCCCACGCTCTCAGACCTCTTCAGCAAACCACGCCCCTCGCCTCTGGCCAACAACTACGTGCTATCAACAGCGCAAAAGCCCGACCCTGCACCGCAGACCCTGCTGTACAAACTCCAGAAAAGCAAAGACTATTTCGCGCAGATGGAGATAGCAGCAGAATGCATGGATCACCTAGCCGCAGGGATAGACACGACGGGCGACGCGCTCTGTTTCCTGCTGCACGCACTCTCGCTCCCATCTGGCGCCCCCATCCAAGAAAAACTCTCCCAGGAACTCTCACTTCCCCAGAATGAATATGCGCCGCTGGACGAGTTGCCGTATCTAGATGCGGTTATTAAGGAGGGCTTGAGGTGCTTCCCGGTGATCCCCATGTCGCAGCCTAGATATGTGCCGAGTGGTGGCAGGGACATCGATGGGTATTTCGTACCGGGCGGTACGATTGTCAGTTGTCAAGCTTGGAGCGTGCACAGTCTGAACGAGCATGTATATCCGCGCGGAATGGAGTTTTTGCCAGAGAGATGGCTGGAGCCAGCTGCCAGCTTGGATATGAACAAGTTGTTCTTCGCCTTTGGCGCTGGAGGAAGGGGTTGCATTGGGAGACAGTAAGTCAGCTTTCAGATGTGTATTTATATTTGTGTTTTGGTGCCAATTGTTGACATTTTTACTTGCTTTAGTTTAGCGATGGCTGAAATGAGATGTTTACTAAAAGGCATATATTCACGATTCAAGACAAGTATTGCGCCTGATATGAAGGGAAGGATGACGCTTTCGGACCAGGTCGTCTCGAGTCGGCCTTTAGATCAGACCTGCAAGCTTATTTTCGAGGCCAGGGCCAAGAATGAGGCTCAGAAGTAAGGGATGAGATGATTGGTTTACGAGTAGCATGCGGCTGAAAGAGTAGCATACAAGATACCATACAGTAGAGAGGAGTGAGGCTGTCCGTGAATGGCTGCTCATATCAAAACGGGGCTCGGGAAGTTCCCTGTGATGAAGAAGGCTGACTCATTTACATCCCATCCCATCCCATCCTATTCATCCATCCCATTCCATTTCATTATTGCATCTCAGCTCAAACGCCACACACTGTATATCATCCCAAAGTGCAGCAAAGCCAAAACGGAGAGGTTCACGCCAATGCAGACCGAGTATGCTGCGCCACATGTTCATCAGAATCAACCAATAGTAGGCCAGAATTCACGCCCCCGCTGCAACTTGTACTGTACCACCGGACGGCAACAGGCTCGTACCGACGTTAGTCACGTCACAGACCCAGGAGTCAGGACGTATGGGTGGTGTGGGGCGGAGGGCGGGGTTATCAGTCCAGTCCAGTCCAGTCCAGTCCCAGTACTGTACCTTCGTATTTCTCAGCTTAGGGTCTATTATCTGGTCGCATCTTCGCAGCGCAGCCTCTTCTTTCTTCATTTCAAGATACCCAGGCATACAGTACAACGATACCAAGTACCCCGTTCGCGATAATAACCAACAAAACAAGGATTTGCGTGGAATCCCAGACACAAGATCCCGAGCTTGAACCTCGACAGGTGCGGCGATGAGTCTTTAGGAAAGGATCTCTCGGATTTTCACAGCCCACTTTTACAAAAGACGTGTACACGCGATGAGTTTTGGCGCTTCTCCATCTGATATTATAATTGTCGTTGCATTCTGCAAAAATCTATACCGAAAATGCAGAGATGCTGGCGGGGTGAGTTGCTGTTGCCTCGCTGTATTTTGCTTGGTGATCAACGCGCTGATGATGCTCCAAACAGGAATACGATGAGATCTCCCGCGAAGTCAGAGGACTGCATACAGTGCTGCGACACCTAAAATACGAAGTTGAGGCGCCGGAGTCGCCGCTAAATCGCGATCACTCGGTATGGGGTCGTCAGCTTCAGCCGATCATAGGGAATTGCGATTTGACTCTACGCCAACTTGATGAACTGCTGCAGAAATATGGCAGGCTTGGGAATGATGGTGGTGGGAAATCGCCTTCGTCGCCGAGGGTTTTATGGGATAAAGTCCGTTTTGGCAGTAATGAGATGGACCAACTAGGAGCCATTAGAGTGAAGTTGATTTCGCATAAGACGAGCATGACGCTTTTCCTAGATACTATCCAATTACACGAGTCCGGAAAGATGTCGACAACCCTAGATAATCATGGAGGCCAATTGGACATCATACTCGATAAGGTCGATTCGATTGCTTCCAGGATGCCCCAGAAATCTGGGGGAAGTGTGATGACAAGCTATGATGACGACGATAAAGAGGTCTGGAAACAATTTCGAAGAGAGCTGGTTTCGGAAGGGTTCTCTAGCTCTGTTTTGCAGCAGCATAAGGTATGTATGTCGTTGAATAAGCAGTTCAGATACATATTGATTCCCCCCTCAGGATGTTCTACGAGCCTATATTCGAGAGATTGACCAAAAAGGCCTTTTGGATGACATTCCACGAATTGGTAATCCAAATGACCCCTCGCAAGGTGTTAATCCACATTTGTGGCTCGAAAATGCACATACAGGGTCATCTGTTGATACTCCCCCATCATTTGACTCCTTGGATACCCCCACAGATGACGGCAGAGCGAAGGAGATAGCAATTCGAGAAGATAACCTGAAATTTCCCCAATCCATGAAACTAGAGCGATTGCAGCCCGAGGTCCAGAGAGATTTGGGTTCGCTACAACGACCGTACGTATGTTGAGTCATCTCAGGGATTAAGTGCTGACAACTTGCAGTGTTGTCCCAGCGCAGCGGATACCGATTCCAACAGCAATACCTGTAATCAATAGAAACGCTCAGCCGGAGCCGTTTCCGGTTCCAGTACTTACAACTTCTGATAACAAGGAAATACAGTATTATAATACTAGTGGATCATCAGATGACGATTCGAAGACTGATAACTTATCCAGGCGCTCCAAATCTCCTTCTAAAGGCGCCCTCATTAGAACTAGTGATTTGCTTGCCTTGAGTCGAGCATTGCAAGTACAGCCGTCTGGATCGCCCCAGAGTTTTAGAAGTCAAAGTTCGTTTGGTGAAGATGACGCGAGACGCTCAATTGCGTATAGGCCGAAGGAACAATCGAGTCTCAGCTCTTCGCCTCTTCAGATAGGAGCGATTCCTATCCCATCAGCGAATCCAAGAAGTTCCACTGAACGCTTTGGTACTAGCCCGAGACCAGATTCATCGCGCCTGGCTCCAGATGCGTATGGTAATGAAATTCCTTCCGACGCGAAATGGACAAAAATGGCTCGGCGCCTAGTGTCTCCGGAGGTACTCGCCCAGGATCGGAGAAGGTATGAAGCACGTCCTGACTTCGTTGCTGTACTGGGAGTTCTCAGCCGAGACGAAATCGAAGAATACGCAGTTCGCTCCCAAGTCCTACGAGCAGCTCGATCTCGACGCAGTCATCCCACACCGGCACCTTCCCAAACCCCTCGTTCTGCTCAACGAGCCCCTGAGCGTCGTGGGCGCGATACGCCTTCGACAGACGAGGACCAGTCTTCGGATTCTGACCACGATAAGAGCAAGCAGCGAAGGAAAGCTAGTCGCTCGTATACCTCGTCTAATGTTAGTAGCACAACACCTCGATCAGGGTATCCTGATCCCTTTAGATCCCAGCCACCACCATCACCTATGTCACCACCATCCTTCATGTCACAGCCAGGATGGATGCCTGAACCTCCTCACGAGAAGGATGGTCAAGGAGGATCCTGGAACCCTACATCAGCTCAAGCAGGACAAGATTATACGTATAGACCTTCCAAGGAAAAGGAGAGGGAGAAGGAAAGAGAGTCTTCACGGAGAAATCATCGCAGTTCGTCGAGACAGTCACACTCGTCGCACTCGTCACATTCGAAAAACAAGAATCAAAAGGAAAAAAGCCACTGGAAAGAAAGTGTGACCGCAGCAGGAATTGGCGGCGCAGCTGCAAGTTTGTTAAGTGTATTAGCTGAGACTGCCAAGGGCCTCTGAATTGTCTATGAATAGTGTATGATTGATGAATCAATGGGATTGGGATTGGGATTGGGATACAATTTGATACCCTGGGACACAGAACAGATTGGGATGGGTTATGGGCAAACATAGCGAGGTGCGTTTATTGGAAGAAACTTTCGGTGTACTATATAGTATGGTGTCGATAGAGAAGCTACGATGAGATGGTATACAATCGGGAATGGGCTAGCTTGTGAGGCCACGTGAGATGGCGTGTGTCACACACCGCACCTTTTGAAATTTGTACAATTAGAGTTGAACGAAACTTAACTTCAACTTCTTTTCATCTCAAACGGACGGCGAGTAGCTACCTACCTATTTTACGGCGGTCAATCAATAGCATTGTAAGACCTCAGTCCTCCACTAACACATAGGTAGGTAGACGGCTCTATGATGCAGGCCGCACGTGCACCTTCACCCACCCCGCAACGCAGTGTTCCGCAAACACCGCACATCAAACCAGATGGTTCTAGATCGTTTTCTGAGCCAGCGAACCCAAATGAGATAGTTCCCTTCTCCAGCACTCTGGCTAAGGAGGAGGACTCCGTACGCGTCTTCCTTTGGATCGTACCATTCTCCAATCAAGACTCAAGAGCCAGGATTCTTTTGTTCTACCGAGTGATGATATGCACGCTTCTGTACGGGGATCATCAAACAAATAGCAATAGTTGCGCATCCACTAACCCCGGACCTCGCGGGGATCTGGTGGTTGGGGTGTGAGGGAGGCCGTGCAAGGAGGCGGTGGCATTTGGACATGTTCACGTTCTAATGTGCCTGGATGCTCTGCTCAGGTTGGCAGAGCAGAGAACACCCCGCAGACCACTGGTGGAAAATCCACTCCTCCGAACGACGGAATCCTGAGATATGGCCTTGGATTCCTTTGTGTATCGGAGTACTGTCATTTGCTGTCTATTCGTTGGATGCCAAAGTATCTCTCCAGGGTCTCATGCTCTTCAATGTAAAGTCTAGCAGCGTGAGGAGATCCGCTTTTCTCCAAAGTCAAAGAATCGTCATTCAAGGATCACGGGCTCGATAAGACCTGGACCAGTCTTGACTTTGAAGAGAAGTACCTAGGTATGCAGTAGGTTTGCTGTTCAATGTCAACTTACTCTCTTAGTAAAATTGGCCAAATTCACTTCACCATTTCTACGGATCACTATCATTTTCTGCTGAAGTGATGATTATCACGAATGCAAGCAAGCAAACTTCGACTGAGCCACACTACTATCAATTACATACAAAATGTAATCGTACACTAACTAGAGGTTGCATATACTATACCAAACACCTTCTGCGGCTCCCCCGGGTAGTCACACGTTGGAGAGCTGTAAGCCTTTAGCTTAATCCTCTCATCAGAAACTCGGGCTTCTTTCCCAATATCTCAGCTTCTAGGCTTATTCTTTTGTTAGTGCGCACAAGGCGTTTCGAACGACGCTACAAAGCCACGTCCACCTCCAAGTACGCCCCTTTCCGGTCTAATCTCCTTCACCACTCCCCCAATTCGTCTTGACGAATCGGTACATCCGGCTACTTTTGCGCAGACCTCGAGCCATGATCGTGCCGCAACTAGATCACTCTATGCTGACGGTTGTGGCGCAGTAAGTTTTACGAACCCTTGATCTTTGGTAACTCGTTCTCTCAACTCGACTTCAAATGTCGAGACACAGTGCAAAGGCGAGGCTATTAATCCGGAAAATGGGTATTTATTAAGCCTTCAAAACCTTGGGGGGTTTACTTAAAATCAGACTCCATGGCCCGGCGAATAACACTATTTCGTGTTCGTGGGGGTTGGGGTGGAAAGAGGGGAAGCCAACCACAACGCGTATTGGCGGGGGAGTGGGGCGTAGAAGCTACTACATACAGTATGCTCGAGGACGACCGTATATTTGCTGTTTTAACTCTTTCCATACGACCGAACTGCATGTTTTATTGCACCTGCTGACAGGATGCCTTAAGATACCTGTATGCAGCGCCGAGATACTGGAGAGACTTCGTACATGGATGAATGCCTACCTTGCTCCGGAGTAGCATGCAGTCATACAATACCTGGTGATCATAGGCGAATCATCGCCCCACATGGATTTTAGGCACTGCCCTGTCAAAGTTATAGTACTCTACGATGGATCCCGTTGTGGGACCAACTATGAGCGGAGTGAGTTCCTTTCCCCACCTGACGCTAAACCCCGCAATAAGCTAAAAAAGGCGCTTACGTGGGGGCTTTTCGAATGTCGATCATGGATATACCCATCCATGAACTCACTAGTTGTTGGCTAAATTTGCGGAACCGTAAGAATGCATAAGCCACAGCCCTCCTTGTACAGAACGGATTATTATCGGATAGTTCGGTATTCCAACTTGAAATTAGTACAGTATTTCACCTCTACTTTGTCCTTTGTGAGTCTTTCTGCTGTTTTTGCGTATGGACTTGGATGGTATATCTCCAAGCAGTCCTCCATTCCTATCGAATGTAGATGGGCCATGGCATAGTATAAGGAGTACCAGCTGTAAAAATCTCATTCGAGATTACAGATAAGGGCAGATGTCGGCCTATTTCCCTCATTGCCTCCGCATTCTATCGTTACATCGATTGAGTACTAGATTCGCCTAATGCAGTTAGTCCTCACTCGTCTCCTTCCAAAATCCAGACTTTGTACTGGTGAGGGGTGGTACTGTAGCTACTCCTGCCTTGGAAGGATTGAGTTTGAAACGCGCATTCTTTACGCAACCCTGCAGGTTGGCAGTCCTTGGGAGTCCAATAGACCTCGAAAACATCCTGGTGAAGCCACCCAACAGGATTGAAGAAGAGAACGACAGCGCTTTAGCCAAATTAGCTTGATTCCTTGTCGTGCGGGGTTCAAAGATCCACTCATCCTGAGGAGTTCAAAAGAAAGAGGAGGCGCCTGGAAGCTGGCTGAAATCACCTTCTATCCACACTGGTTTAGATTCAGTGAACAGAGAAAGTTTGAACGGAAAAATCATATATATCTTACAGACAAGGACCACAACAAGATGACTGTCCCCGATGAGGTCGATATCATAGTATGTGGTGGTGGCAGCTGTGGTTGTGTCGTTGCCGGCCGGTAAGCTATTTGCGTCTCTCCCTTTTGATGTCTTCTGACCCTCCTAGGCTGGCCAATCTCGACCATAAACTCCAGGTCCTGTTGATTGAGGGTGGGGAAAGCAACTTGAATAACCCATGGGTCTTTAGACCAGGAATTTGTGAGCAAAATTCATGTGCGGACGTATAGAAGGGAAGCTGACAACCCCAAGACCCTCGAAATATGAAATTAGACAGCAAAACTGCTTCTTTTTACCATTCACGCCCATCAGAATGGCTAGGCGGTCGCCGTGCTAGTAAGTATAGCTTCCTTAATCTATTTGGACTCGTCACACAATTTCGAAAACTTGGTTCCGTTAGACTGCTTAACGGACGAAGCCTGTTTTGCATTTACGAGAATATTCAGCTAATGGTCACTAACAACTTTGCAAGTCGTTCCTTGTGCCCATATCTTGGGTGGAGGCTCATCCATCAACTTTATGATGTACACTCGGGCATCGGCATCAGATTATGATGATTTCCACGCGAAAGGATGGACTACCGAGGAGCTCATTCCTCTCATGAAGAAGCACGAAACGTATCAACGTTCATGCAATAACAAGTAAGATTCAGTTGGGCGTTTGCTATCCGTGATCAAGCTGACCATCTTGAAGGGATATTCATGGATTTGAGGGACCAATCAAAGTCTCATTCGGAAATTATACGTATCCTATTATGCAGGACTTCCTCAGAGCAAGCGAATCACAAGGTATCCCAACTACCGATGATCTTCAAGACCTTGTAACTGGCCAGTAAGTTTCTGGTCTTTAATTCAGCTGCTAAAGAGTTGGCCGGATTAACAAACTGTGTAGCGGTGCTGAGCAATGGTTGAAATGGATCAATCGAGATGTGAGAGCATAGTGGCATCCTTCGGATTTATCATCAGCTAACACTTACTTAGACTGGCCGTCGAAGTGATTCAGCCCATGCTTACATCCATTCTACGAGGGCCGTCTACCAGAACTTGCACTTGCAGTGTAACACCAAGGTCGACAAAGTAATAATAGAGGACGGAGTTGCCGTCGGCGTGAGGACTGTGCCAACCAAGCCGTTGCATCCATCCGTAAGTAGAGAAAATATCATCCCAGTAACATTATTGATACTAGTCTCCCCAAGCAGCAACAGTCGCGCACTTTCAGAGCTCGCAAGCAAATCATTGTTTCTGGAGGTACACTCTCATCGCCATTGATTCTTCAGCGAAGCGGTATCGGTGACCCAAAGAAGTTGCAGAAGGTTGGTGTCAAGCCTATTGTCGACCTTCCAGGCGTTGGTTTGAACTTTCAAGACCATTACTTGACCTTCTCCGGTAAGTCTTATCCACGTCGATAACCTTTGAACCATCGCAGTTAACACCGTATAGTGTTCCGCGCCAAGCCCGATACCGACAGTTTCGATGACTTCGCTCGAGGTGACCCTGCAGTCCAGAAGGCTGTGTTCGACGAGTGGAATATCAAGGGAACAGGTCCACTTTCTACCAACGGAATTGAGGCTGGAGTCAAGGTTCGCCCAACTGAAGAGGAGCTTAAGGAGATGGAATCGTGGCCTACACCACACTTCAGAAGCGGCTGGGACAGCTATTTCAAGAACAAGCCAGACAAGCCAGTCATGCATTATTCAGTCATCGCGGGGTAAGTGTTTTGCCTAGTTGACTTTTTAACAGTAACTAAGTTCTGCAGATGGTTCGGTGATCACATGTTGATGCCAGCTGGAAAATTCTTCACCATGTTCCACTTCCTCGAATATCCCTTCTCCCGTGGTGAGACCCACATCGTCTCTGCAGACCCATATGAGGCGCCAGATTTCGATGCCGGTTTCATGAACGACGAGCGTGATATGGCTCCTATGGTATGGGGTTACATCAAGTCCAGTATGCATCTCTTACCTCTGTGTCTCCTCACCTGCTAATTCCATGATAGGAGAGACCGCTAGACGCATGGATGCATATGCCGGTGAAGTACAGAATATGGTCAGCTGCATTTAATTTCCCCTTGACTTGACGTTTTACTGACAGATTCAAGCATCCGTTCTACTCGTACGATTCCCCAGCTCGTGCGAAGGATATGGACCTAGCTACTACCAATGCCTATGCCCTCCCAGGCAACCTTACTGCCAATATCCAACACGGAAGCTGGAGTCAGCAAATCGAGCCCGGCAAACCACCCAGGGTCAACCTTCTCAACAGCAACAGCAAGAGTACCTATGACGATCTTAAGTACAGCAAGCAGGATATCGAGCAAGTCGAAGAATGGGTCAAGCGCCATGTTGAGACCACTTGGCACAGTCTTGGGGTAGGTTTTCTTTTCTCAGTTCAGACCCATGGAATTCTGCTAACTAGTCTTGTCAGACATGTTCAATGGCTCCAAAGGAAGGTAACGAAATTGTCAAGCACGGCGTTCTTGATGAACGTCTCAATGTTCACGGAGTGAAGAACTTGAAGGTCGCTGATCTGTCAATCTGCCCCGACAATGTCGGCTGCAACACTTGTAAGTATCGCATTGTCCATTTATACTTGTGAATTTCCTAACTTTCTCATAGACTCAACTGCCTTGTTGATCGGCGAAAAGGCCGCCGTGCTTACTGCAGAGGATCTTGGTTACAGCGGGAAAGATCTCGACATGAAGGTAAGTTATACCCGTCTTCTTCCGGAGTTCTCGACTAACAATATAGGTACCAAACTATCACGCTCCTGGTGAACTATCTCAAATTGCATCATCCAGGCTTTAGGTGTACATGACTGGAGAAAGGTGGGACAGGGCGCAGGGGAGCAGATGACGAGATGCTGTACACTTTTTGTTCTTTTGGATGTACCCATTTGACATTGGAATGCGCTTTGTATTTAGCATACACACTCCTTCAATGATGCTTCTTCTCTGGATCCTTGAATAATGATGGAAATCGTGACCCGGGCGTTCCGGCACTTCTGGTTCCAGAACCCCTGAACCCCTGAAATGCTACCCACGTGATATCCCGAGATTGACCAAATTGGGCTCCAAGCGAGCTTCGACCGTGCCCAACAACGTCGCTGCCAGCTCACAACATCTTTATCTCTTTCCCATGATGGACAAGAAAACACCGAATGATATGCGACTGGGAATCACATTGGGCGCCTCAAAATCAGATCCCTTTCCTCCCCGCCGCGTCATCCCCCCACTATCGAAACATAAACATGCACGTCGCTCAAAGTTGCCGCCTCCTTGATATTCGCCACCTTGAGACTCAGCCCTGACATTTTTGATATTTTTCGTCCAATACTACAAACTCCCAAATTCCCAGAATGCATCTTCAATCTTTTCTTGTTGCACAAAGCTGTGCGGTGTTGAAGTCGACTCATATTTGCGTTGTTGGGTGTCGAACACCAGGCGACGACGTGTATACGTAGTCGTAGTCCTCGTCCAAGGCATGGCTGACCGAGTAGATCTTTCATTTCATATATTCTGTACCCTCTGGTCTATTTTCAAGATGTTCCTGTTCCAATTCCAAGAAACCCAATCCAATTACTTTCACAATGGCTGCCGAAGAAACTACTCCTATCGTTACCTCACTCGCCGCGCAGCTCTCGGATGCGATTGCGGCATTTCTACATGCTTCCTTCGACGATGTAGCAAAGAACCTCGTTACTCGACTACAAGCTCCCGAGGCCAAGGCGGCTCCAAAGCTGGAGGTCAAAGAGATCGAGCCAAGTCCTCCTCCGCCACCGCCACCGCCAGAACCAGAACCTGAACCAGAATCAGAGCCTGAACCGCTGTTTAATGTGCCTTATGCGCGAAATCCAGACTTCGTGGGTCGATCTTCCCACCTCAGTCAGTTGTTTGGGATGTGGAAGCCGGGTCATAAGGGGCGCATTTCAGTTGCTGGTTTGGGCGGGATTGGGTAAGCTTCTTCTTTCCACATTGGTCTTTGGTGTGTGAAACATGCTAACACATTTTAGTAAAACTGAATTAGTCGTTGAATTCGTATATCGGATTAAGGATGTCTCCCCAACAACACCAGTCTACTGGTTCAGACCAAACGACCTTCTTTCCAGCCCTAGCAGTCCTTCAAAATCTTCATCTGTGGTTAGCATACAGCTGGACGAATGGTTGGACCAATCTCGTGGCATCAACTGCTTGCTGGTGGTGGACCCTGGAGATAAATTCGAAGACCTATTGCAAACAAGTGTGGAGAATGGACGAGTGATCGATAAACTTCGACTTTTTCCAGGCACAGTGATTGTGCTGTCGAGAAGTTTGCAGCATGGAAGTTTGCTGGCTGGCCCTCACGATGTATGCCAACTTGACGACCTAGAAGTCGAGGCCTCCGTCGACCTTTTGAGCGGGAGGCTGGGAATACAAGCCCAAGCTTCGCCTATCGAGCTTCAAGAGGTGGTTGACCTGATGACCAACTTACCAAGGGCTATCCTTCAAGTTGCAGCTCTCATCAATGGAACTGGAATGACCATTTCTCAATTTCTTCATCTTTACCGGCAAGGCGATGCGATGAAATTGCGCTTATTTGGCAGACTGGACCCTGTTTCACAACCAGATCATACCTTCTCAATTGTTGGAAAAGGTGTCATCGATATTAAAGCCTTCAGAAATGAATTCTCCACTGCAAGCCGAATCTTGTATAAGATGTACTTCCTTGGTGGTACCTCAGTACCACACGATGTCTTCTCATCGTCTGATCAATTAGAGATGATCATCATGATGAATCTCCTGAGGGGTCACTTTGTACTAGTTGAGAACCCCGTCAATACGTATACCCTTCATCCTCTGGTATTCCTAGCGATGCACCGAATTATCGAAACTGAGCGACCTGAGACAGATGAAGAGGATGTTAAACAGGAACATATATGGTTTGAGGAAGTTGTTATGGCTTTCTCAAAGTTCTATCCGGATGCGAGCAATGAAAAGCGAGATTGGTGGAGAAGCTGTTTTTCTCTCCTGCTAGGCGGCTATGACTTGAATGGCGACTCTCTACGAATATCTGTCTCCAAAATCCATCAGAAAGAATCGGCATATTTCCATCGCAAAGGAAGATACACAGACGCTTTGAAGATGGCGTTGCTTGCCAAAAATGCTCTCCCAGATCCTGTCCCTCAAGAACATCTTAGCGTTCTTCAGGATCAAATCATGCTGCTTGAACTTCTCGGGAAGTATCGAGAAGTTCAGACTTCGCTTCAAAACTACCCTCCAGACGAGCAACAATCGACAATTCTTTGGAAGAAGAGAATGCAGGCGAGATTAGAACAAGCGGAAGGTGCAAATCGGTACGACTCTGCTGTCGATATTTTCCGCCAAGTCAAAGTCTCGAGGGAGACTGCTGCGAATAACTCTATGCAGGACATGTTTCAGTCCATAGACGATTTTGGATGTGTTCTAATGCTCAAGGGGAAATATCACGATGCAGCCATCGAGTGTCGGAAGGCTCTTTCTGAAAGAACTACTCTTCTAGGTACTTCTCACGTCGATACACTTACCAGTCTTCATCATTTCGCTTCGGTTTTGAAATGCGATGGAAAATATGAAGAGGCGCTTCGATATATTCAGGAAGCAATTCGTGGCAGAGAAGTTGTTCTTGGTACAGATCATCCCGAAACTTTGCAGAGCAGAATTATCAAAGCTCGAATCCTGCTTTACGTGGCTGTGGCGATGTCAGACTACGACCAGGCAGAGACTTTGCTTGTCGACTCCGCAAATCGCCTCAGTGGCATCTTGTCAGATTCACATCCCCTTCTTCTTGCATGTAGGAGCGATCGAGCCCAAATTATGCTGGCGCGCGGAAAGTATGAGGCTTCGGAACAGATGAATAGAGCTACTTTGTCTGCCAGGGAGAAAGGTCCATGGGCGGAATCTTCTAGCCATCCAGATACATTGGCAAGCATGCATTTGCTTGCCGAAGTCTTACGATGCAAGGAAGGCTGCCGCGCTGCTGATGCATTGAGCGAGCGAGCTCTAGTTGAAAGAACGGATGTCTTGACGAATGGGACTCTCACTGGCAGCGACTTCCACCCAGATCAGCTCACTAGTCTTCATCATCGAGCAATTGTTCTTTCTGGCCTTGGCCAGCACCAAGCTGCGTTGCAAAAGATCGACTTTGCCCTCAGTGGGAGAAGGACGGTTTTGGGAAGTGACCACCCGGATGTCTTTCTAAGCATGACGTGGAAAGGAGAAATAATGCGATCGCAACTTACAACATACCAGACTCAACGAGCTCAGACTCTTGATGTCATAGAGGCTCTCCACAAACAAGCGCTCGAGGGGTTGGCTTGGATTCTGGGCCCGGAACATCAAAACACTTTGCTATGTATGACCAACCTCGCACTTGCAAAACACGAGCGTGGCACATCAGGCCATACCGAAGCAGAGTCATTGTATCGTCAAGTCTACCGCGCGTATCAGCGGAACCTGGGCGAATTACACCCTGAGACGCTGAAGAGCAAGTCACGTCTGGCGGAGGCGTCGCGGGCTCTGAGTCCAAGTGCACACCAGGAGTCGAAGAAGATGTGGAGAGAAGCATGTGCAGGATTTGCGAAGATCTTTGGTACTGATGCTTATCTTACCGTGGCTGCTTATAAAGGGTATGAGAAGTTTTTGAAGACGTATCCGGAGCCGTGAGGCTCGGGCGATCGGGTGGGGTGAGGAAGGGATGGGATGGAATCGAAGACGACCGGCTACTTAAAGTACATGAATTATGATGAATGAGGAGGTTTCTTATGTTAAGTGTGTATAAATAGATAATGATTACGAATGATGACCAGATCTTTTAAAAGATAAGAGTAAAAATGCGATATCCGCCTCAGTGGAAAATCTACTGCCTTCCAAGAATCCACCACATAAATTATGCCTAATGCCAAGTATCTAAACATCGTAACACAGCGTGCGATCTAAAGTAGATCATTGTTGTGGTCCAAAGTAGATCAAACAACGAATTCTCCAGCTTGTGCCGCGTAGATGCATGGATGAATGAATGATACCCCCCAAAAAGTAGTTCGGGCTAATGTGTAGCCCTGGCCCGGTTGCCAGCGAACACGCATGCATGAGCACTGACTGACTTCACTTGGACCCAGCAGACAGCCACATCACATCAGGATGTATGTACAGTATGCACTGTATAGGTCGGCAGCGGCCAATCAAGCATCTCAAGGCTGCGTGCGGCATCTTTGCCGGGATCCATAATTTGCCTCACTCATCACTCTCCCTCCCTTCCTAAGCCTACTTGTATACGTACGAATATCGTTCCTCCAAAGTAATATAAGAAGCGGCCCATAAATCTCTGAAATGCCCGCAGACACTCTCCGCAATGTCAATGCACCACCTCGACACGTCTTTTTCATCATAAGGGTAGACGAGGTATAAGCATAAGCATATGCGTACATATATATATGCGTCTCCCCATGTCACCAGCACCACTTCGCGATTTAGCAAGTACAAGGCTCCCAAACCCAAAACCCACAGCAAGACCAACAGCACCGCCAAATGTAGACACCGCCACGACTCTTGAAAATGGATCAGGGACTGGAACTGGAAGTGTAAATGGAAATGTGAGGGGTGAGAATGATGCGGAATCATCATTGCGATTGCAAGCCACGACTGTACTGCAAATGGGGATAGAGGCACCGGCTCTACGTGTCCAAGCAAAAGCAGAAGCAGCAGTGCCAGCACGAGACGTAACGCTCTCCATAACACGCGCAACAACGACATACACAACGATCATCCAACTCGGGGATTCCTTCCCCACCCCCACCACCACCCTCTTCTACCCCACATCCACATCAACATCTCCCCCCAAAAGCAAGGTCCAACACCCAGGAATCCCCACCAGCGACATCGTCGGCATAATCGTGGGCGTCATATGCGGCTTCGGACTGATTATCGTGGCGTTCTATGTGTATTTGCTGCGGACGCAACAGTATCGCAAGGGGAAGAAGCGGAAGAGGAGTCGTAGGGGTAGTATGAGTACGGCGACTACGAGGAGTAGGAGTACGGGAGGGCCGCCGCCGCCGCCGCCGCCTGCTGAGGAAGCTCCGCCGGGTGATGGGGATGGGGGGCCGTTTCCACCTGCTAATTGAATCGTTAGTGAGAATTAAGGATGCGGAAGGGCGGAGTGGAGGGTAAAGTATGTGCAATTTGGAAGTTTGGCGTGAATGAGGATAGGCGAGAGAGTTGTTTCGTAGATTTAGCTTGAAAGTGTTTATATTTATAGGAAAGTTGAGAGACTTATCTTGAAGTGTGAGTTGAGGATGTATGCAATTTCCATATATTGACTGAATAAAAGGTACAATTTTCTACTTTTACTTTGCTGATTATGACAAAAGAGAAGGTTGGGAAAAAAGTCTCTGAAATGCAAAAAAGAAAAATCCCTGGCATTTAATAAGGTGATAATTCCTGGGACATTGGTTAATATGGTACAGACAGCTCTTGCATTTTCAACTAGCGAGGTTGGATTGCTGTGACTGAAGCTCTTATATTGATGAAGTCGTCTATCGGCTCCTCCATGAATATAGGAACCCGAGAAGTAGTCTATCTAAGTTTCTTGTTGCACGCCACAGACGATACACCCCTCCTTTTTTTTGGACTCTTCAGAAGTTCAGATACTGGACTCAGAGAACAGGCTTCCACATACATGAGACTGTCTGATTTCATAAGCTCTATTCCTTTGCGTAACGCTTAAAACTCCGAAAGTGTTGATTCTCAGTTCCATTAACGTCATCTGTCCCCTGAAATCAAGCGAAATCTTCACCACGCGCTGCCTGGTTAACCTTCTTGTTGGTTCTGACCCATCTCAAATCTGTCATTTGCTTAGTATACGTGTTCCTACTCAGACAGAACCTCAGATTCTATCGTGGATGCAGCCCGTAGGAAACGGTCCAAGAGCTCTGTTCCCAGCTCCAAGATCCAATATAGAATACAAGATTAATGTGAAATTTGAACGTACCATTCCAGGGCTTATCCAGATTATGTCTATTTCTACTCTGGATGCTATTGCCTGGCAGATCGTATCTCTTTCCACTCTGGACGTAAGGCACGATCCCACTCTGCCAGCTCTCTGTTCCAGGCTCCAGTAAGCTCTCAACCAGGGTGCCAGGAATCACCACGCCACACTCAAAGTTGTTCATCTTGACAACTTTCGTCTTGCAGGTCGCATCGCTGATTGCTCTTTCGTCGTTCTCGAGCACACCCCATGCAGACTGGGAGAAATTGGCAGAACCCACATAGACGTAATAGGGATGAGCATTTTCGTCTCGAGGATTGTATGCTAGGATGAGTTTCTGGTGAAATAGCCGCCCAGTATCTTTCGATTGATAGTGGTGGAAAATACTCTTGATTCCAATTGGCACATCATCCCATGGGCGAGTATGGCAACCAATGTTGCTTGCAGCATCCTGCGCAGACTCGTTCGCCTCAATGACATCTTTGATACTCGGATAGAACAATTTCAAGTCTGGGACGGCACAGTCCTCACCAGCGACTTCAATCAATTCTTTTCCTAGAGCACAATCATTGAAGTTATTAAGCCACTTAGCAGATAAGTTACCGATGCTTGCTGCGCATACTTCGAGCCTCAACTTCCCACTCTTCTTTTCCGGCATTTTCAGGTCGAGATCTCTGATAACGCGTCTAAGGCGAAGTAGGCCATGATTTTCTGCTTTGCGACCAGAACAGACAGCGGGAACAGAAGTGACGAGATGCACCTTGACTGCGGAATAGTCATACATGCCTCGGACGGATTCAAGAAAGACGTCGGGGGTACTGAGGGCTTGCAGATGTGCTAAAAGACCTTCCTCGAAGGGAGATGGCTCAGAAACGGCTCGCGATGAAAGTTTTGGCAGATCGTGAATATACCAGTGGTTGTCACCTAGAACCGTATCGATATTCATCATATTGCAAGAGGTGATGATGATTCTTAGGAAACCAGGATATACGAGAACAAGTATCTTGGAGTGCGAAGAGCCGACAGACCACGCGTAGAATGCATGATAGTTATTCCCGTACTTCTGGCTATAGAGTTCTCGGAGATTAGGGGTGATGCTTTGCAACTGTCTTTTTGATATCGAACTATTGATGAAGGATATGCCGACCTCGGAGCATGCTTCTTGGACCATAGGATCTATAAGCACCCAAGAGTCAGTTATCATCAGTGAGGATTATTTCGGGGGTAGTTGGAGTAGTTGGAGTAGACGAAGTTTATGTGTACTTATTGCGTAAACCTAAAGAGCGAAGACGATATGTGGGGAGCGGAAATATAGAGCATAAGAGCCAATGTTCTTACCCTGGTTTACGTCTCGTCCAATGTAAATCTACCAAGTCAATGTCAGTCATCGCATTAACCCTGGTGGTATACATGGCACACTTACAGGTACAGCATTAGAAGAATGCGAAAGAGGAAGATGGTCATACAGCTCATCACCGCCGATGTAGAAGGAGAATATACAGGCTGAGATGAGGTGCTTCGCGTGAATCAGGTCTGTCAGATTGACGCAATTCTTGGTGTTTCCCCTACCTGGCGTGCGAGTGATGCGAAGTGCGCCATCTGGATAGGTAATGGTGAGCTTTGATGGAGCAGCTGAAGAGGGGGGTGAAGCTATCGGGTGCCTATCAGCTTTGGTAAGGGAAAATGTCGTCCAAGGAAGAACTCACGTGGTGGTTTTGCGAGAGAAGCTGGGCTCGAAGAGCTGTAGTTGGCCCAGGACGCGTTTATAGGCGTCCATCCGGAGTATGAGCGCTTCACACTATGTTCTAGCTCCTCTTCCGCCTTGCGCTTCATTTTCGCCGTCCTCTCTCGGAGCTGATCTTCAAAGGACGTATGAGACGTTGTACCATTCTCCTTCTTGGAGAGTTGAATGGCTTCCTGGAGTTCACTATCCTCTTCAGATTGATCTGCTTTTCCCGAGCGGGAGGCCGCCAGCGCTCGTCTTGAATCAAAGTCAGTCGATTGCTTGAAGGTAGGTTGCATGTGTATCTTACACCAGGTCTTTATCCATAGCTACTGCGTTGCTTGGTGGGGAGATGTTGGCGAAGGGGAGTGCATGCAGTTAGAAGGAGTTGGACAAAGAGTTGCCTTGAGTGGCATTGACATGACGGTATTTCGTCAAGTTCGCGGTGAATTAAGCGTCAACTCTACAGTCCAGCTTTCTGTGAATTGTCGAATGTTCATGTATCTGTACCACGAGATACATGATGTAGTTGCATTGACTGTTTCTTCGATTTTGAGATTCCATCTGATCTATTCTGTTATACTCAAACGTTGACCCTTTGTTCTTTTACATGTATTGAAATAGGTGATATTATTCCAGTCGATGCAGCAGGTGCTCATCGGATCCAAGAAAGGGCCAGTATCGAGGAAGCTCATGGAGGAACCCGCCCTGGGCAAAGGAGTAGCCTGCTGAGCCTCCTGCTCGGCCTGTTTCTTCTCTTCACGCTTTTCCGCTCCAACCGCTCAGAGGCATCTAAGTTATCCAAGGAGTTAAGACCCGCGATGATCATGTTCTTCTCCCGCTCAACGAGAGCACGTTTTTGCTTGTTTAAACATAAGATTTTCGCCATCTCCTCCTCCACCTGAGCATCGAGATGCTCTTTCTGTCTCGCGATAGACGACCCGTACGAAAGAGAGGCAATCGATTCCTCTCACGATAATCGCACGTGAGGGTTCTGTCGAGGTATCACGGGTTGCTATACTTGGAAGTACAGCTCGCTACTAAGTATAAGACAATGAGCGTATATTGAGAAATATAATTTGAGTTGAGCACGAACCTCTTATCTAATAGGTGACGACTTAGTCTTATATAGAGCCTTCGTCCTCAATGGACCGCGAGGACCGCGTGGGAAGCTCGTCGTTCAAGTCGGTCCAGATCACGTGATCCAACATCCCGAGTATCCGTGCACGAGGTGGGTACTTTTTAGAATGCGTCGCGAAGCTTTTGTCCCTAACAATTATTGGCTACTCGAGTAAGGACATATGATTGGCTGACTCGTTTGTTATTCTAGATCCATGGCGGCGCTTGCTCTACTGTATCTGAAACATGAAGTCAAAAATAAGAAAAACATTCCGCATCCATCAATCAACCACTTTTATCATCCCTTGAACTGCTCTGCGGAGCATACTACACTGTGTGCTGGCTTGATTTCAAGAGTTACTAGTCCAGTACGAAGTAGTGCTTCCAAGCCTCCTCTCCTTCTCCCTTCTGGAAGGATGGGATGGCACGCATGCCTTCTCATGGGGGAGAGAAATCATCACATACTTGCTCAAGGAGGTATGATTCGTTTCGAAACAAACACGGAAGTTGATGAAATCCTGCAGAGGTTGCAGAACCTAATTTTCGTCCCCGCAATTTCCCTCAAGTAATTTACATCGACCGAAGCGGAAGACCTTATTACTCGCGGAGGGTTGAAAGTTGAAACACACATTTCCAGCCCTTGTGCGCGTATGTGAATTTACATACAACGCCGCTGATTTTATGAGTGGGGCGACACTCGCATATTTGCTACTTATTAAGCTCTATCCTGCTGTCTTTACCGTCTTTGTTACAGACTCCTCTTCGTTTCGTTTGATTTTTTATCCTCACATACTGTCCTTTTCGACCAGGGCTAGGCCCACTTACTACAGTACATTCGACTGCACCCACGTCCTGATCCACTATCAGACTATCTTTCAGCAATAATGAAGTACCTCACCACCAACTACTTTCTTGCCGCGGCAACCCTTTGCCGTATTTCTTCTGCAACAGCGCTTGGCCGCGGTTTCGTCCATTATGGTCATGGTTATCATCATTACCATCCAAGTCCCTCAGCCTCGGACTCAGACAGCGCAATCAGCACGTGTTCTTCCTCCACTACCTTGCAAGCTTCCACGTCCTCTTCGGTCTCTGATTCTGCTCCGACGTCTACTGAGCTGGCAGTTAGCTCCGTTGCAACGGTAGCCGACTCTGCTCCGACGTCTACTGAACTGGCAGTTAGCTCCGTTGCAACGGTAGCCGACGTAGCTACCGCTACAAGCAGTAGCGCCTCGACTTCGTCGACGAATAGTCTTACCCCCAATGGCGTCAAAGCTGGTCTTTCAGGCTATGTTGGGGTTCAGAATAAGGCAGGATTCAGCCTCCTCGCTGATCATATTAGCTGGTACTCTGATTATTCACCATCTACTCCTGACAGTGGCACTGTCCAAGGCATTCCAATGGTGAGTACAACTTACGCTTCCGTATTATAACTTACTTCTGACGCAACTTCAAGCTCTGGGGTATATCATCATCGTGCACCGCAGGTAGCTCGCGGTTATCTGCCTTCCAAACTTCTGTAGGAACGACCAAACCCAAATTCATGTTCGGATTTTATGAGCCGGACTATGGCTGCCCCTCTAGCAGTAACATCGCCCCCGCAGATGCAACGATTGCATGGAACACATACATCGCCCCCCTTGCAGCTGACACAATCCTCGGCTCACCAAGCATGGCCAAACAAAAAGACGAAAAATGGCTGACGCCTTTCAGCGTGAACAGCGATACTGGCGCTTCCCTACTCGATGCGCCTTGGAACGTTACGAGCATCCACATCAACAAGCTCAACCTCACAGGCGTCCAGGCTGACGTTGAATACTATGTTGCCAAGTATAAGAAGCCGGTCTGGGTATCGGAATTCGCCTGTGTCAACGATACCAATGGATTCACTCCGTGCACGGACCAGACTGTCATCAATGATTTCCTCACGTCGGTGGTGCCATGGCTCCAGGCAAACGAGAGTGTAGTCGCGTACGGACCTAGTAATGGTGAGGGGCTGGGGACTGTCTGGCCTCTGCTCAACAATGTGACTGGTGACTTGACGGCGACGGGTACTACTTATTTGAACATCTTACAAGGTCTATAAAGAGTGTAACGGCCAGTAATAACGCCAAAGGAACATCTTGAGTTGTATGATTTTGCACCTTCTATTCTTTTCTTCAATCGTCCTTGATGGAATTTTCAAATATAGATTTTTACCAAATATCATAGTAGCCACGGCGAATTTTTCCATCTGCTTTCCCACTGGGCTTTTGGCTTCCAGCCACAAGCACATATACCCCTCAGCGTAAGCGAGCCACTCCACTATTTAACCTTAAAACGGCTGGGTCAGTGCGCTAGAAATACATACCCTCCCCCTGCTGTAAATCCTTCGAATCCTTCCTTGTCCCCTTATATTTCCTTTTATTTTCTCAACCGTCTCCACAATATCATCCCAAGTTTTAGTTGCAACAGTTAGCGTTCATTGATACGCAACTCGCGAACTGTTCCTCACATATAAAATCGGCTCCTAAAATCTACACCTAATGAAACGATCCACTTTTACCCCAGGGAAATGCTATGGGGGCATGCAATTACTAGGTAGGTAATTGCCCCTTTCTTCGCTTAACCACAACGAAAGTTGCACTGACACGAGATATCAATTTTTTCGCTCATCATCGATAATTAGATCATTTCATATCAATTATTAAGTCTCTATCCCCTGTTCTACGCACTAGACATGGTGACATTCATTCATTCATTCCATTTACATCCTATACAAATCGAAGACTATTTAGGACGGCGCTAGCCTAATGCTAGGGCGGTCGGTGGTTATGTTTACAAATTACTGGATCATCCTTTATGTCTCTACTCTCCTGTGTAACAATCCGGCCGTAGATACTACCTGTTGTGGACTTCGAACTCTGATATTCATTGGCTTGTTCCTATTGTCGGCGTAGTATTGAACTAGGCTGGAAGCTATTAAGTCAAAAATTCCCAATTTGCTTATATTGCCAACATCTACCCGAATTATGCCGCGTCGCTCTTTGCTGCAAATGAAGCGATACACAGTTGCCTTGCAGGTGGGGCTATCTTGTTCACTCGCTCGTTGTTCAAATTGCTCGATGTCAATGGAGGGGTGAGCTTGTTGGCAGGTGTGATATGTGTTTGCTCGGTTCTTTTGTTTGGTCTATATCGCTATGGTCCAGTGTTGATGAGCAAAGAATAGATTTGTTGTTAATTGAGGACGCAATGATGGTAGGTTTCTGTTCGGGGTAATTTACTAGGCTCTTTGTTTTTCATAGATCTCATGAGTCATTGATGAGTACGCGTTAGACCTCCAGCCGTGCTTCCCCACGGGGTTTCGTATTGAGAGGTATTTCATGAGACATTCAAGGCCATTTCACTATCAACCAGCGAGGGAATTGCTGTCAAATCAAAAAACTACTCAGTCACCATTGAGAACATGGGAAATTACGAGAATCAAAAAGATGAATCTCATCTTCAGAGCGATTTAGTAGAGTTCAACGATATATATATATTCCCGAAACATAGTCTAGGTAACCCTCACCTCGAGTTCAACTACTGTCCTCACGCCACCTACATCTTTCCTGCTCCTTTTCCCCCTCACTACCCTCGCGAGCTATGTCCTTGAAGAGTTTCGTAACGTTGCTAAAGGATACGATGAGACTCCTCTGCGGTCATCGCGGTCGCAGCCGCATCTTTAGCCTTACATCTGTCGCATTTTACGCGCCCAATGATCTGCGTGGTCGTTAGATTATCGCATTTCCCGGGGTCTGAACCAGCTTTTTGAACCCATTCGCAGGAGCTGGAACTATAGAGATCTCTATGACGGCATGTGTAGTGTAAGGTTACTTCTGTGCATATTTCGGAAGATCGCAGAGGTGGTTCTGTTTGGAGTGTCTAGTCTTGATAATTTTTTTCGAGTTGAGTGTATTGTAATGAGGAAGGGAGAAGCTAACATGCGCCCGTAGCAGAAGCTTTATACTTCTAGAGTGTTCTTCTTGTTCCTTATAATCATCCGTCTCTCGGAATCATTCATCTTCCTGTGATTGCAACTTTTCACTTCCGAGTATGAAATTCAAGATCTCACCAATCATCAAAACCAGTTAAAAATCGACTCGGTTTATGTATCGCTTGCCACAAACGAGGGAATAACATGTCAGTCCATCCTTAAAAAACAACCTTTGACTGGAGAAACGGGGGGAAGCCTTTTTTAGCGGGGCAGGTAAATAAATACCCCTGAGCGTAAGCGAGCTTCATTCTTATCTACAAGCCTTAGTTAAAATTGATGCTTAACAAGCTCGGCGGGTAGAAAAAGCGGGATTAAATATGAATTTGCGACGACGAATACTGGTAATGTAAATTTACCAAAAATGCAAACTATATTTAACGATACCTTACCAAAAATGGACACAGAAAATGCAAATTATTGACCTACCGCCTGTAAGTAGTTTTTGAGAAGGTTATGGACCCTACCCGACCCCTCAATTAGCGCGTGAGCAATCTTTCACCGCCCCGCGCCGTCAACGCCCGATACCGGTCGCCGTCATTATTTTGCCAGTCATAAAATTTCCCCTTCCTGTATGTATTTGCAAAGGGAATATAACCTCACAATCACATAGTCTATAGATGAATATGTCACAATTACCAGATCCCACCATCGACCTCGACTGGTCTGGATACGATGGCTCCATTCAATGGCATTTCAGCGAGAACGCAAAGAAGTATCCCGATCGAACATGCGTGGTGGAGACCAAGTCCTCAGAAGGCCCCGAGAGGAGTTTCACCTACAAACAAATATACGAAGCCTCAAATGTCTTAGCACACTATCTCAGCGACGCAGGAATCACCAATGGCGATGTTGTTATGATTTGGGCGCATCGCTCCGTCGACTTGGTCATTAGTATAATGGGCACACTGGTACGGAACCTGCTTCTTTCCAGTTTTCCGAGTAATCCAGATACTGAACATTCTCTCTGATATCTAGGCTTCCGGTGCTACTTTCAGTGTTCTAGATCCAGCATATCCTCCAGCCAGACAGACGATTTACCTCGAGGTCGCCCAACCCCGCGCATTAGTCAATATTGCGCGAGCAACGGATGAGTCAGGGCAATTGGCCACAACAGTCCGGACTTACATCGACGAAGAGCTTCACTTGAAGGCAGAAGTTCCATCGCTACGTCTTGGCGATGATGGAATACTGTCGGGGAGCGCAACGGGTAACCCGGATGTATTTGCTCAGGTTAGGGCCAAGGCTTCCTCACCACCAGTGACGGAGGTTGGACCAGATAGCAATCCGACCCTATCTTTTACCTCTGGTAGCGAAGGAAGGCCTAAAGGAGTACTGGGTCGCCACTACAGTCTCACCAAATACTTTGGCTGGATGGCAGAGCGATTCCAGCTCAGTTCCACAAGTCGGTTCACTCTTCTATCAGGCATTGCGCATGACCCCGTGCAAAGAGATATCTTCACGCCTCTTTTTCTTGGCGCACAATTGCTCGTACCTTCCAAGGAAGACATCCAGCATGAGAAGCTTGCAGAATGGATGGCTGAGCACAAGCCAACGGTCACACATCTGACGCCAGCGATGGGCCAAATTCTCGTCGGTGGAGCTGTAGCGGAATTTCCTTCTCTGGACAGGGCATTCTTCGTTGGCGATATTCTTACAACCCGAGACTGTCGAAGCTTGCGGCGCCTCGCTTCTAACGTCAACATCGTTAATATGTATGGAACTACGGAGACACAACGCGCGGTGAGCTACTACGAAATCCCAAGCCGGGCAAAGGATTCGACAGCTCTGGAAGACCTGAAGGATACTATACCAGCTGGAAAGGGAATGAAGAACGTACAGCTTCTGGTTGTGAATCGAGAAGACAGGACCAAGATGTGCAAAGTCGGAGAAATCGGGGAAATTTATGTTCGTGCCGCTGGTCTCGCGGAAGGGTACAAGGGAGATCAGGCCATGAATGATCAGAAATTACTCATGAATTGGTTTGTGGACAACCAAAAGTGGGTAGAAGCGGACGAGAAAAATGACAAGGGCGAGGCATGGAGAAAATACTATAAAGGGCCTAGAGACAGACTCTATCGTACCGGCGACCTTGGTAGATACTTGGAGTCTGGTGATGTCGAATGCACAGGCCGCGCCGATGATCAAGTCAAAATCCGCGGTTTTCGAATCGAACTCAACGAGATCGACAGCAACTTAGGCCAGCATGCTTTGATTAGAGACTGCAAGACGCTCGTCCGCAGAGACAAAGATGAGGAACCCAAGCTAGTTAGCTATATTGTCCCAGAGATGAAGCAATGGCCCGAGTGGCTCAAAGTTCGAGATCTCGAGGAAGTGGAAGATGAAGGTATTGACATTGGTCCTACGAAGTTCTATCCTAAGAGATTCAGGCGCATACAAACGGAAGTACGAGACCATCTAAAAACACGTTTGCCTGTGTACGCAGTACCAACCCTCTTCATTGTTCTCGACAAGCTTCCGCTCAATCCAAATGGAAAGGTTGACAAGCCAAACCTCCCCTTCCCAGATATCATAGAGCAGACAGAAGAAGCTTCGGAAGAAGATGTCAAGAGGTGGGAGTCGCTGACACCAACTGAGCGGACTGTTGCAACCAAATGGGCGGACCTTCTTCGTGGCCTCAACCCCAAAACAGTCACGCCCGAGAACGATTTTTTTGATCTCGGTGGACATAGTATCCTAGCCCAACAGATGCTACTTCACATTCGACGAGAAACCGGAGCAAGTGTTTCCATAAATACACTTTACGAATACCCTAGTCTTGCTGGTTTCAGCGCACAAGTTGATAAGCAGCTGAGCCCAACAGACGTAGCTAGTGGGGATAATGTGCCAGTAGAGGAGAAAGACCCGGCGTATGCCCTTTCATTGGACGAACTTGTCGAGAATTTACCGTCGACATACCAAACAGCAGATCCAGCCGCAATTAGAGAAAAGGCAAGGCCGACAATCTTCCTCACGGGTGCAACTGGATTTCTGGGCGCCTATATCATCAAAGATGTATTAGAACGAACTAGTCGCGAAGTTCACTTGATTGCCCATGTACGAGGTGTCAAGGATTCAAAGGCAGCACTTGATCGCCTACGACAATCCCTCCAGGGCTATGGTTTATGGCACGATGAATGGACCGAAAGACTGAGCTGCATAGTCGGTGATCTGTCAAAGCCACAGCTCGGTATTGAGCAGGATGTATGGGAGAAGCTAGCCCAGGAAGTTGACGTAGTGATACACAACGGGGCCACTGTCCATTGGGTTAAGAGATATCAAGAGATGATGGCCTCAAATGTCAACTCTACGATCGACGCTATGAGATTGTGCAATGAAGGCAAACCCAAACTCTTCACCTACGTTAGTTCGACAAGTGTACTCGACACTGATCACTATGTCAAAATTTCGGATCACAATATCAGCACTGGCAGAAGCGCGCTCTCGGAAGAGGATGACATGCAGGGCAGCCGTCGTGGCCTTGGAACTGGTTATGGGCAAACTAAATGGGTATCCGAGCTGCTTGTCCGCGAGGCAGGAAAGAGAGGGCTTCGCGGCTCAATAATTCGACCCGGATACATCTTGGGAGATTCGCAGACTGGCGTCTGTAATACCGATGACTTTTTGATTCGCATGCTAAAGGGATGTATTCAATTATCTTCCAGGCCGCGCATCATCAATACCGTTAACTCTGTTCCGGTAAATCATGTTGCTCGTGTGGTGGTGGCTGCTGCTCTTAATGCTCTCGAAGGGGGAGTTCACGTAGTCCACGTCACAGGCCATCCGCGGTTACGCATGAACGAATACCTTTCGTGTCTCGAATACTATGGGTTCAAGGCCCCAGAGATCGATTATGATGACTGGAAGGACGAGCTGGAAACGTATGTGTCAGCCGGTGGCCAAGAGAAGGATGAAGAACAACATGCTCTAATGCCGCTCTACCATTTCTGCGTTAACGATTTGCCAGCTACGACGCGAGCACCAGAACTCGACGACCGGAATGCGGTCAAGATTTTGAAAGAGGACGCCGAGAACTGGACTGAGGTTGATGAGAGTGCTGGCTACGGTATTAGCAGGGAGATCATGGGCAAGATCTTGAGTTATTTGACCGAAATCAAGTTCGTAAGCAAACCGTCCGCAAAGGGAAGGGCGCTGCCCGAACTCAACTTGAGTTCCGAACAACTGCAGGCGAACGGCGCTGTGGGGGGCCGTGGAGGTGCACCCAAGTAGAATGATGAGTTCTGTCTGGAGACATACAATCGTTTTGCATTTTCCCTTTTGCATTTGACGCAGGAAAATATGATGTAACGATATTCGTTGGAGTAGTTCAAGGTCAAAAAAGCAAATCATGAAGATATTACGAACAAAGTACACCCCCTCTTTTTCCCGCTCGCTTGACAAAGGGACGAACAGGTCATCAAAGTACTATCATAGAAGGCCCTATATTCTTGGACTGTAGGATTTGCCTGAATATAACTTGCTTTGAAAGTAAGAGTAGCAACCATTTTGCCGTGAAATTTGACAGGCGTTTGGCCCTTCGAAACCAATATGTTAAAGGATCAAATGAATCTTAGTATGCTATAAAAGAAGGAGAATGGTCCATTTTGAGTTGTGAAGTACAAATACTGGTACTTAGTACTGTACCTGGATTCTCCACTTTACGCGACCCCACGCCAAGGCTTCCTCTTCGACGCGTCTCAGCCTTCTTAAATCAACACCAACTTGCTTCTGACCACATCCACCAGCAAAACAACCAAACAACATGCCTCGAAGAAACCGCAGGGCCCGTGAGGATAGGGATGCCGAAGATCTTATTGACGATGAAGAACAACCTCCTACCATTGAGCCTTACACCGTCCTTGGCATCGAGAAGTCGGCAACCGCAGATGAGATCAAATCGGCGTATCGCAAGGCTGCGCTGAAGCACCACCCTGGTATGTTCACACCTGAACACCTCTTATCTCTTTGCCCCGCGCTTATCTCACTCTTCGTTTGAAAGCGAGGAGCATGCCGAAATACTTTTGGAGGACCGTCAGCTAATTACTCGACAGACAAGGCTCCCGAGCACCGCAAAGACGAAGCGCACACCAAGTTCCAAGAAGTTGCCTTTGCATATGCCGTCCTCTCAGACCCCGTCCGCCGTAAGCGCTACGATGCTACAGGCTCGACGTCCGAATCCGTCGATATGGATGATGGCTTCAGCTGGGCCGAGTTCTACTCTGAGCAGTTCCGCGATGTCATTACCGCTGACTCGATCGAGGTGTTCTCTCGGGGATACAAGGGTTCGGATGAGGAGAAGGACGATCTATTGAATGCTTATACTAGGTTCAAGGGAAAGTGGAGTGGTATCTATGAGACTGTCATACTCAGTGACCCCTTGAAGGACGAGGAGAGGTTTAGGGGTATTATTGATGAGGCTATCAAGGAGGGGGAAGTAAAGGTTTATTCGTTGTACACAAATGAGACCGAGAAGCAGAAGGCGACGAGGATGCGGGCTGCCAATAGAGATGGGAAGGCTGCTATGGCGCATGCCAAGAAAATCGGCGTCTACGACAAGCTATTCGGGAAGGGAGAGGATGGCGAGAGTGATGGGGAGAGCGCTTTGGCTGCTATGATTCAGAAGAGACAAGTTGATCGAGGCTCGTTCTTGGACAATCTGGAAGCGAGGTATGCTGCCGAGAGTAGGAAACCACAGGGAAAGAAGGGCAAGAAGAGAGTCAGTGATGAGGATGAGGAAGAGAAAGATAGTGGAATGCCTTCGGAGGAAGCATTCCAAGCGGCGGCAGCTAAATTAAAGGGTGGAAAGAAAGATGCTTCTGACAGCCGGAAGCCAAAGCGCACCAAGCGTTGAAAAATGGTTATTTCTGGACCTTTTACTGCTTGGATTCAATTTGTATTTGTGTAGCATTACTAGGAGTTGATGGAGCCCGGGATGGGAATGGATAATGCCTTATGAACATAACGTCTTGACAGGAATAAGATACAAAGACCCTTGAAATTCTCTGACCATCCTCTGTTCTATCCATCCCCTGAGGGCAAATATAAAACCGACCAGCAATACCTCGAGATATCCGAAATACCGGGGTATAGCACGTGATCAAATACATAGCTCGTGATGACGTTCTATCTCGCGATTCCAAACGCGTCTCGCGTCCCCTCACCAACATCAACAAATAGCAACCTACCTGGGGTAGCAACATCGCCAATTCAACCCCTCCTGGGTTTCTCACATACATAACCCCAATTGACCATGCCATGACATCCGGAACCTGCAATCCGCCAATCTACCCAGATTACTGCCACGAGCTGTCGCCGACAATCAAACGATGGTGCCCGTTACGCGCAACTGATATATATGCGCTGGATTGGTGGGAGATGTTTAATAACGGTAGTGACACCTTTTTCTATCTTGCACAATCTGCGTAGATCTTGTTATTGTTGTTTGTTCTAGGCTTATTATCGTTGGGTTGGTTTTTAGGTCGACCTGTTTATCATCATGGTAATCATCCTGTGAAATGGGTGCGTGTTACTGGGGTTATTGTTGCGGTGGATGAGTTCTATGGGCGTAAGGTCGTTACGCTGGATGATAGTAGCGGGATGTGCATCGAGTGTACTTGTCCTGCTCCTGTGCCTCAGGCGGCAACAGTGTCTTCGGACACTGCAGCGCGTCCTACAGTCGTCGTCACGAGGAATCAAGCAGCTGCTGTTGCACAACAGACCGAAGGACCTACGGTCGCCAACCCCAAGATACCATGGGATGATGTGGATGTAGGGGTGGTGGTTAAGATCAAAGGGGCCGTTAAAGATTTCAGGGAGGATGAGAGGCAGGTGGAGATTATCAAGGTCGAGGTGCTGAGGAGTACGGACCAGGAGGTTAGCTGTTGGGATGAGGTGCTTGCGTTTCGTAGGGAGGTGCTCGGGGTGCCGTGGGTGGTTAGTGTGGAGATGGAGGAGAAGTATAAGAGGAGGGCTATGAGGGAGAAGAAGCATGAGAAGAAGGGCAAGACTGAGGACGGGAAACGCCAGAAAAGCAGCACAGAAAAGTTGCGTGGAAAGCCTGATATGAGGCAGCCAAGGAGTGCGGCTGCTCAAGACGTTCGGGCTGGTAGAAGGCGGGAAACTAGAACGGAGGAGCAAGGCGGAAAGCTTGAGAACAAGCACAAGAGGACGGTTGAAGGTGCGATTCACGAAGTCAGTGATGGACTTAGGAGGGAGAAAGCTAAGCGCAGGAAAGAAGATGGCCTTGATCCTGCGAACAAAGCAAACTACCCCTCTTTGGCCGTCAGGAGAAGAGTTGCTGGGAAATACGATGCTTTGGGTATTTAGAGTGGTGCGGGTATGTATATATTACCAAATTACGGGCTTTCGGCGTGAGGGTTTGGGCTGGCTTAGCTTAGCTTGGGAATTGATACCACTTTCGTCTTTTACGTGCAGATATTTCAAAGCTGTTGAAGAGGGAGGGACAACTCGAATACCGAAGTGTCGTCTCATCTCGTCCCGTCTGGGTTTTATCCTATCCCTCTGCATGGCCATGCATGCACCTTCCGTACCGTTATCCTGGAGATCCACACCACAGCCCACCACCACATCCACCCGCTTAGGTAAAGTGCAGGCGGGAAGGGGATTTGCCAAGAGGGGCTGTGGCGGGGCGTGAGTACGTCAGCGATACTGTACGAAGGGTATTGTACTGTAGCTGCCAAGCTGTTGAAAGCCTTAGCCTTAGCCTTAGCCATAGCTCCCTTTGAGCTGATTTCCTCAATTGTCCATGAGCCATGCAAAGTCGGAGAGGTTTATAGGTTCATGTGGCCTACATGGGTGAAGAGAGATCATACTGTAGATGAGGAAGTGAGATGAATGAACAACAGCCGAATAATACCCACCTCAGCTTGGCCTTGCCTTGCCTTGCTCTGCTCTGCTCTGCTGTCCAAATCAAGGAACAAGCTCTCGGCAACTGGAGATCGTGCAAAACATTGCCGCATGCTACAGCTACCGTATTGGAATTCAAGTCACCAAGGAACGAAGGAAGGAACTCATCCTCATCTTCCAAATAACTTTCCTGATCTTTAATAAATCATCAACGGATTCATCTACACCGCAGGCTAGATTGCATGCATCACTTATCGTGACCTCTCCTCTCCTCTCCCCTCTACGGAACTACCCTACGGAGCCTACCTACTGTCCAGCAATTGGTGCGGGACAAACCAGGCGTTTTCTATCGTGGCGCAGCAGCTTTGATCTGAACTTCCACCACAAGATCTACTCGTACTGTACTGTACCATACAGTACCGTCCATACCTCCCTCATCAGAAGACCGCCAAGATGGTATGTAAGTGAACCAATTCCCTTTCTGTTGCCCCTCCGAAGCCCGATCCACGATTTATTCGAGCCTTGTGTTTGGGTGCCGGCACCTACAAGTAATACTACGACATCCTCCATCCGTCATCCCGGTACTAGATTTTACAACACTCTACTACTCCAGCCCAACACAGTGCAACCCAGCTTTTCAACTTCTCGAGCTTCATTAATCCCTCACATCCTCTCCAATCTGTGCAGGCCATCGCATGTGCTTGACGCCGGCGATTTCACATTTACAGCAAGCTTCGACAAACTCGCATTTCTCCGTTTCCTACTCTTGAATTCCAGCACAGCCAGCACAATCAGCCAAGAGCCGAGAGCCAAGAGCCAAGGAAAACCTATTTGATTGTTAGGCTGACTTTGGGACTCTGTCTTTGATGATATAGCTGGACCTAGCTTTCGAAAAAACCTGCACCGCGCAGCATCTGGAATAAAAACTTCCACGATTTCAGGACCCCGAGACGAAATGCCACCCCCTACGAATGGCGAGAGCAGCGAGCATACGGGTTTATTGAGCGGGACTCAGAATGGAGGAGATAGGCGCAAGAGTTCGGTGCGCGACCTCTTTTTCAACCCGAAATATACACCCGGGATGGAGAGCGAGCATCAGTATTTGAGGGTTCCGGCTACTGCGATCAATATTAGTAAGATCACATTGTATAGCAACTATGTCAATATCCTCTTGGTATTCGTGCCGTTGGGGATAATTGCTGGCGCAATGGGTTGGAATCCCACGACAGTTTTCGTTCTCAATTTTTTTGCCATTGTTCCTCTGGCGGCTGTACTATCCTTTGCGACTGAGGAGATATCCGTGAAGCTCGGCCAGACCATGGGTGGACTTCTTAATGCTACTTTCGGCAATGCTGTTGAACTTATTGTACGTTGGAGCTCTCACCCGGCATCGTAATCTGCTAATGCATCTTACCCAGGTCAGCATCGTAGCATTAAAGAAGGGAGAAATCCGTATTGTCCAATCTAGTATGCTGGGAAGTATTCTCTCGAATATTCTCCTAGTACTTGGATGCTGCTTTGTGGCCGGTGGCATCCACAACACCACAGCGGGTACATCAGAGGGTATTGAACAGGACTTCAATTCTACCGTCGCGTCTACCATGTCTTCCCTCATGGCCGTAGCTTCCGCTTCTCTAATCATCCCCGCAACAGTAAGTCGGGTTCTCTATCTATCCGAACAGGTGACTAATTGCTGTTAAGCTTTACGCGGCTCTCTCAGGATCCCAAGATGACTCCGCTAAGAACATCTTATTTCTTTCTCATGGAACTGCCATTATCCTCCTGATTTTGTATATCCTCTACCTCGTCTTCCAGTTGCGAACGCACGCACGCCTGTTTGATGCCGAGAATCCAGTAGATGGAGAAGAACCAGAAGAAGCCCAAATGGGTCCTTGGGCAGCCGCCGCTGTTTTGATTGTTACTACGATCCTAGTAGCCGTCTGTGCCGAATACCTCGTCGACTCGATCGATTCCATAGTTCAGACTGCCCACATCTCCAAGACCTTTATCGGTCTTATTCTGCTGCCCATAGTAGGAAACGCTGCAGAACATGTCACCGCTGTCGTTGTAGCCTTGAAGGACAAGATGGACCTGGCGATGGGAGTTGCGATTGGCAGTAGTATGCAAATCGCATTACTGGTTACCCCGTTCTTAGTCATCCTTGGTTGGATTATGGACATCCCCATGACACTTCATTTCGAGACTTTCGAAACCGTCGTCTTCTTCTTGAGTGTCTTGGTCGTTACCTATGTCATCCAGGACGGAAAGAGCAATTATCTCGAGGGAGCTATGGTGAGTTGGCCGACCGCAGTCGGGGACAGGGTATATGCTAACTATCACATCAATAGTTACTGGGTCTTTACCTCATCATTGCACTCGCCTTCCTAGTCTACCCGGACGACGCTACCGATGACGGAGATGCGATTCTCGACCCTCACATGGTGGTCCGCTCAGTAAAGGCTCTGGTGGGATATTGAGGTGGTGGAATAGAATTCCAGCTTTTCTTTTTTTCACAGGAATGGCGAATTGCCTTTTATGGATGGAAAGCAAGACATGAAATACGTAGATTGATCTACAAGTTGGTGGAGGGAGAAGGGGAGAGAAAATGTAAAGCAAGTTCTTAGGCGAGCAATTGTATGATAGGAATAGGCTCTTTGGTGTATGGTAGCAACCTTTCTAAATACTCTGAAAGAAAAACAGCTTCTGCTTATTTGCAGTCTTTAGTTTTAATTGCTGCCCATTTCTTCTCGGGGGGGAGGGGGCAGGTACTGGGTGAAAAGAAACTATATAGGTACTTAAGTTTACAGAGCACTATGCCGCTTTTCGAAGTTCAGGGCGGTAGGAATATCCTGCTAGGTAGTCATAGGTATATAAGAGTATACAACCAACACAAATAATAGCAACGACATGCAGAGCGCAATCAAAGTTCACCAAGAACTTAGAAATTGGCTGGTTTTAGTGGGGCTTCCTCTGGATGCACGATTAGGGTAGTTGAGCGAGGATCTCGGAAGCCCTCTGGGATGGATTTGGGGTGTCTTAGACATGGAATGATGCTTAGACATGTCATTTGATTAAATAAACAAAACGTCGACCCCAAGAGGAAATCCCAGAGTCTGGTCGTCTTCTCCATTTTGGTGGGGGTGTTTGGTTCGCTAAAGTCCGATCCTGACAAGCCAAGCTTCCAGGAAAGTCTCAAGTCCAAGCTCCAGCAGAAATCCAGGTCTGTGGTCCGACCCAACAACAACCACCACCAAACAACAATGGCCTCAATTGCACGAAGTCTACGCCCCTGCGCCTCACGGCTTATAGTTCGGCCCAGCCAGCCATATCGCGCCCTTCCCTTCGCCGCGCGCGCCTTCTCGGCCTCCAGAGCAGGTAGGTGGGCTTCGTTCCATCCATGCTCCGATATCATGCGGTCCCGTTACTGATAATGGATTTTTTTTTAAACAAATAGCTCAGGTTAAGAGGTACTCCAAGGACCACGAATGGGTTGAGATGTCGGCGGACAACAAGACGGCCATGATTGGGATCTCTGAGTACGCAGCCAGCGCTCTCGGCGACGTCGTCTATGTCGAGCTTCCTACGGTGCCGATGGAGGTGGCGGCGGGCGATTCCATCGGAGCCGTCGAGTCGGTCAAGTCGGCGTCGGATATCATCTCGCCGATTACGTGCAAGGTCACGGCGGTGAATTCGCTGTTGGAGGAGAAGCCGGGAAGTATCAATCAGGGGCCAGAGGACGATTCCGCGGCGGGTGGATGGGTTGCGAAAGTCGTGGTTCCCGAGGCGGGGGTTAAGGATTTTGAGGAGCTGATGGATGCGGAGAAGTACAAGGAGTTTACGGAGGAATAGTGTGATGTGAGGATGGGGTACGGGGCTGATTGTGATTCTGGGCATAGAAGTCAACCTTCATATCAGGTCATGATGGAGTTTATTGGTAGTAGAACACTACTTTGTGGACATGAGCAAAAGATTCAACTTTTTTCCACAAAATAAAGCAAACCCAGCCAGTCTATTTCGATTCGTCAAATACATTCTATTCATAAACCCGTGCATACCCTTAGGCGCCACCTCCTTCTTTAATAACCGGCCGGTTTAGGTTAATATCTTCCAAGATCTTCGCTGCTCCCTTCTCCACCAAGTCTTGAGACAGCTTCCAACCAAACTCATCTGCGTCTTTCTCGTTCAACACCTCATCTAATAGTTGGGATTCTACAACTTGCGTTCCGTCAAGACTGACTACAATTGCTTTCATCAGTAGCTTTCCCTTCTCGATCCACGTTGTCTCGACCCCAATCGGTACACTGCACCCTCCTTCCAACGTCCGCATCAAACTCCGCTCTGCAAGCCCTGACAAGGTCGAGTCCTGGTGAACCAAGCTGGATAATATCTCAATGGTCTTGTAATCCCCCTCCCGAACCTCAATGGCGAGTGTTCCTTGGCCAACAGCATATAACATGCCTCCGCCCGGCGTCTTCGAGTCTAGATACTGGGTGATCCGAGCCCCGAGATCCATTCGTAGAAGCCCAGCAGCCGCCAATATCAGACACGAGTACTCTCCATCCTCCGCATCAAGCTTGCCCAACCGCGTCCCAACATTGCCTCTGACATCCTTGAACTTCAACGCAGGGTATTTCGCCTTGACCTGCGCACTTCGCCTCACACTGCTCGTGCCGACCACCGCGCCGTCCGGCAAGTCCGCCAGCGTCTTAAACGCCAGTCCCTGCTTCATGACAACCGCATCCCTAGGATCCTCTCTCTCCGTAATACACCCAATAATACATTTGGGCGGCAACTGCGTCGGCATATCCTTCAAGCAATGCACGATAATGTCCAGCGTCCCGTCCAGCAACTGCGCCTCCAGCTCATGTGTCCACAGACTCTTCGCGCCGAATTCATGCAGCGCCGTCACTTGATTCTTATCACCCATGGTGGCCATGGCATGGATCTCGTATTCGATTTCCGGGTGCGCCTTCTTCAGCGCCGCGAGGACCAGTTCCGCCTGCACGACTGCTAGGGCAGATCTGCGTGTGCCAATGTGCATTTTTGTGCTGGTGATGCCTGCTGCGTCGGACTTTCTCTTCAGTGCTGATGCGGGCGCCGCTTCTTTGGAGGACCCTTCTTTAAAGGGGACGGTGGGATCGAGGATTGGTCGCGAGGACGTTGACTGGAGTTGCTCGTGGGTAGCCATTATGAGGAGCGTTCAGGAATTGACTGTTTCGAGCCTCTTGAATCTAAATGTTGTGGTTCGGGGGTTTGGGGATTGAGGGGTTTGTTGTCTTCTGGAGGTTTAGATAGTGGGGTTCTCTTTGAAGCGAGCTTCTTTCGAGCTCTCCGAGGCAAGTTTGCCGACAACTTTCCTCCTTCAGTTCATACTATATTTGTTATTTATAAAACTTTTAAGCTCGTGAGAGTAAATGTGAGAGATGATCGGACACTTTCCTCCATGCCAGAAGGCCAACTTAATATGCACTAGCTATATCCGGATTCGCATATACGAGTAGATACCTTCTCATGCTGCTCAAGGCTTACTGTATGCTAGCTATTTTGGATATATGAGAAATGCAATCCTGTATTTGCTTCTTGAAGGCTGAACAGTCAGGACAGGTCACTACATACACATATGAGTTTTCTGTCAATACCTGTGTAGAGAGATTCAAATCATCCTATTGATTTAGCCCTTTCTAATAGCCACTTTTATCAAAAGTCGGAGACAAAACCTCACTGAACTCGGGAAGAGAAGTCATAATTTCAAGGCTTTAATATCATTTCGTTGATACAAGCTCGTTCTCTCGCACTTGTTGGGCTTCTGGTCGGGTGTATTGGCTGACATACTCGTTGAAAAGAAATGATGCCAACGCAGAGAAGAAGGAATATATTGGAACAAGTACGGCGGTAATGTATTGAAGGAACACCTAGTATATACGAGTATAAACGAATAAAAACTTACTGTATTGTCATACGCAGATTCAAGAAGCAAGGCTTCTAAACATCCCTGTATCGAACTTGAAGACTTGACTGAAGGCTTCCGTCGGCGATAGGTGTATTCTCACAATGCCAACCCAAGAGTACAACACACCCATTTGATTTGTAATAATTGGGCATTGAAGAAAAGTTATTTATTAGTGGTGCTGGAAAGTCAACAGAAAGTGTTGGCAAGGCATATTTCATGCAGGGGAGATCATGAAGTGGGGAACGAATCAGTTCGTGTCCCTCGACGCGACCAAGACCAAGATTGGCGCGCTCCGTCAATAATCCGCCAGGGGTGCCACCAGGTACATCAAAAGCCTCGCCCTCGGAATAACCTCAAGTTCTCCCTAAACCGGCATCTTTTGCGTCTTGCATTGCATAGTCCAGACAGTATTAAGACCCTCCAGAATTTGCCTTCTCATCGGTTCTCCCAAACCTTTTCCCTATGAACTTGTCCACGCCTTCGTGTTGATTTCGCTTCCTAGCCGCTCAGCACAGAACCCTGAATACCACTTTCACAGCCCTGAACATTCCTTGTTCCAACAAGGAAACCCGACAATCTGGATTCATCAACCCTGTCCGCGGGCTCGCCAGCTCAATTCCACGACGCCGTAGATACAATGGACGCTGAGGGGGCATACGATCGAGGGGAGGTTCGGGAGGATGACACAATGGGCGGTACAGACGAACCACAACAACACACTCCCACGCACGGCGAACGACGACACGCGCAATCACAGTCTGCTGACGGATTCCCATCTTCACATCAAGTCTACTCGGCATCTCCAACCCCAGATCTCGATGCCCATGCCCGCTACCCTACCCCTCCAACAGCCTTCGCTCCCTCCATCTCTCGACCGAACTCAGGCTTAAGCGCACCAGGCGGCTATGCCAACATGCAGTCCTCATACCAAGATATAAATGCGAGGGGAACAGCAAGCGGGGACCAAGGACGGAATAAGAATAGTGTTGTCATTAAAGTAGGCATGGTGGGCGACGCACAAATAGGCAAGACGTCCCTGATGGTGAAATACGTCGAGGGCAGCTGGGACGAGGACTACATCCAAACACTCGGCGTGAACTTCATGGAGAAGACTATCTCGATACGCAACACCGAAATCACATTCTCGATCTGGGATTTAGGGGGACAGCGGGAGTTCGTCAACATGTTACCCCTGGTCTGTAATGATGCAGTAGCTATCTTGTTCATGTTCGACTTAACCCGCAAGAGCACTCTGAATAGTATCAAAGAGTGGTACCGGCAAGGCAGAGGATTCAACAAGACGGCAATTCCATTCCTAGTTGGCACAAAATATGATCACTTTGTCAACTTTCCAAGAGAAGACCAAGAAGAGATCTCGAATCAGGTACTTAATGTCCTTACTGTTTTATATAAACGTTCACCTACTAACACCCCTCCCTTAAAAGGCCCGCAGATTTGCAAAAGCAATGAGAGCAAGTCTCATCTTCAGTAGCACAAGCCACAGTATCAACGTGCAGAAAGTAAGCAACCCCCACCTCTCCCTCCCAACCCCAAATACTAACTTGATTTCCCATCCCAGATCTTCAAAATCGTCCTCTCCAAAGCCTTCGACCTAAAATGCACCATTCCCGAAATCGAAAACGTCGGCGAACCACTCCTCCTCTACCAATCCGTCTAATGAGCCGCCCTTCACACGACATGATACATAATGAAAATTCGTTCGCTGGACTACGAACTGGTAATGAATGAGATTCACGTATGACACTTTATGGCAACTGCAATACGCTACACCACACTGCAATACACACACTATTTACGAAACCGGCAGCTTGCTTGCTTGCTTGCTTGCTTGGATTGACTTGGCCTGGCTTGGCTTGGCCTGACTTAATTTCCTTTCCCTAGATAAAGGGTGGAGAGAGGTGGGGATGAGCTATGGCTTGGAAAGGAAGGAAAGATATTTATTCCCTTGACTCTGTATTGTATCCTGCAGCATATTGTCGGTCGGCAAAGGAGGACGTGAAGGTGTTCTTCCCGAGCTTGATTTTAGAAGAATACTAAATAAATGCAATAAACAAGTGAGTGGACCAGATGTGAGCCATGACGCTAAGAATGAAGGACTTTGTGTGTGGGTTAGGAGTCTCGTTTTGAAGAGAGGCGCTTCCTGTCTACTTATATAATGCGTACAGAGTGCAAACAACCTGTCTTCTTATCTAGACATCCCCCCTGACAAGGCAATATTCAAGGCACTCTTGCCCTTCCAGCACTCTGGCTCTACAACCTCGATGCCTTAGTCAAAACGCAAAAGGAGAACTACAGCTCCTCCCCATCCTTGCTTTCCCAATATCCAACTTCTGTCCAAACCACTCGCCAGAATCAGGTATCTCATCACAGCCATCCACCAGCCTACCTCTCCCTCTCCGTGACCATGTCTTTACCTTAGCATTTCTCTCAGTCTGAGCAGCTAGAATTCTAGCCAACAGAACCTGAGCATCCGAGGGCGTTGCACAACTGCTCCTATTGTCAACAGTAGCATTGCCCTCTTTCATTTTCCGCTCTCCTGCCACCTCGGCAGTACTGGCTTTCCTCTTCAGATGACGGTGGCGGTGGTTGTTCTCAGAAGAAGTTACATTTTCATCGCTTCCAAGCGTAGCATTGCCTTCCGTGGAATGCCGAATGTCGGTGAGATAGCTTTTATCGTAAAAGTAGCTGTCGATTGTTCGCTCTGGGTCTGGCTCTGAATCTTTGCTTTTGCCCTTGGTGAAGACATTTACGTCCGAGCTTTGCCTGTCATGGAGGCTCTGGGTAAGGTAGCTCACATCATAATCGTATCCTCCCTCGTTACTATCATATGCTTCTGGGACTGGGTTTGGAGTAGATATAGATCTTGTTATCTGCTCCCCATTGATATCACAATCCGTCAAAGAATGCTGAAAGCTATGACTGTTGAAACGGGAGTCCACTGAAAAGGTTCGAGGACAGTTCCCGAAGGTGTATTGTCGAGCATTCCGTTCTTCGTTCTCATAATAATCGGGAAGATTTCGATCGATTGAGCAGTCTTTACGACTGTGGACGCAGCGAAGTTTTCGCTGTGGGCGTAGCACTTGCCAGCCATTGGGGCCATCCTCAGAGTCCGTCAAGATGTGCTCTTTGATGGCCGGAGGCGATGTAGCCGGAATTTTGGAACTCTCTTGTAAAGTAGGTTGATCGACAGCGACCGAAGATGTGGACTCTTCCCTTTTGCATTCAAAGAAGTTATATTGAGCATTTTGTCTATTACTTTCAGTTGAGGTTGCGGCTACTGGATTCCACCTCATCAATGAGTGCTCATCTTCACCAACAGCAGAGTTGATAACGACTGTGTCGCATTCCGAATGTTGCTCCACGGTTTCAGCAAGAGTATTGGTCATCGTATCGCATTCCGTCAGCGAATGACTCTCAACAACATTATCAGATTTTGCCCTTTTGTCACACTTTTCAAGTACGTGCTGGGAAATTTGTTCCGCAATGCCCTTCTCGCCGGCATTCGATTCAGAACGGCAATCAGAAAGGACCCGAGATGCGGTGCCAACGAGAAACTCCAAGCCTCTATTAAGCACTCCATGGTAAGGCTCGAAATGTTCAACAGTTTCTCGAGGAGCAGCTACCGGGGAGTCTCGTGGACTGATATTCGAACTGGATTCAGTACTGACGAAGTCGTAAATTTGATCAGCGCCTAATTGTTTGTTTCTCTTCGTCAGTTTCTTAGGGATTCGCGTTTCGCTAACCAGCGGGGAAAGCAAAACAACATTAGAACGAAGATTAGTAGGATCTGAACGGGAGCGTCCCGGATGTCCAACCGCAAAATGTGTGGAAGTTCGACGAGGCCTATACGACATTGCAGGCCTGTATAACATTGGCTGCACCAACTTAGGTTGTTTCATCTCGAGCTCAACATGATATTTGTGCCGACGGAAAGGTCGACTTGTCCTGAGATTATCCTGTCCTTCTCGCGCCCGAATCTCTTTATCAATCTGGGAAAGACTGAGACAGACACAGCATATTGAAACTCCAACGTCCCCCCAGGGCCCGCCAGAGATGGCATACAGCCCACGAACTTGTTGTCGCAGGACGCAAGGCTGATCCCCTAAGATCAACTCATCAGTCAAAGTCAGTGCAAGTAAAAGACGTTTGACTCACAACAGCAAACACCGAATGTGCAGAAGCACGAAAGAAAACAGCTTAAACAATTTTCATTGCATCCATCTTCGCAATTGAACTTAGAATCCTCCCAGGCATGTGCGTCGCCAGGTTGACGTTCTTCAACCACACTGCGGTTTCTGGGCGATCCTTGTTCGCTTTCGATTTTTGCTTTGAGTTTCTCAATACGCCATTTTGTTTTTCCATACAGGACGCATGGGAGGCAGAATGCCAGGGCCCCATTGCGCGTATCAGCCAACGGCTGCCAGCAAAATTGAGACATCCAGCCGTCATATTCGGCGTATTCGGCACACCGAGGTGTTTCCATACCAGGCGGTACTCCTGGTAGGACGAGGCATTGATCAGCACACTGAGAACCGTAGTCGTGGTTCCTGCCGCCTACCCCACGTTGGTGGTTGGCTTGGCTTGGTGACCATGTAGCAGAGTCCCTTCGACTGGCGGGGAAACCTGGAAGGGATGGCATTTCCTGTCATGTATGGTGGGGCTTGCGGGATGTAGTCGTTTTTATGTTTCAAAAGATGTAAAGCTTGCTGGTGGTCCTAGGCAGTGGGTACGAATGCTGGACATCGAGGCCTCTGGGAGAATCAGCTACCTACCTTGATACCTGGGAGGTTCTTAGGACTCACGAGGGGCCGGATAGAGATGCTTATAACTGTTGAAGTGAAAATCAATACGCAAACCATGAAAGATGAAGTGGAAAATCAGAGTAAGTACAGCAAAAACATGAATCTTTCCTTCTCGATCGCTAAACCTTAATTTGCGCCAAACCACCAATAGAGGAAAGAGCGATGGATTCGTCAACTACTTGATTTATTATGAATCAGACAAATAGTATGTACAAGATTGGTGAGCTATGTCGAAATCATGCTAGGACATGCGTTCGACCAGCTATCTCACCAGAATCAAATCTACTTGCTTTAAGGCTACATATAGTTAGCTCAAAAGCCCAGATGACTCTCCCATAAATATTTCTATTGTTCTAGGAAGTATATGAAAGACAAGACTCTCAATGGTTTAGGGCTATACCTGTGGTCGGTTTGGGTCGACTGCGCCCTTCGTCTTTGCGGTCTCTGGGACACCCTCCCCTTTGCTACTCTTATCAGAGTCGTTTGTGATATCGGTGGAGTGTTTTGTATCAGTATTGCTGAGTCCTTCTTGCTTGCCACTCTGGGTGTTTTGGCTACCGGCAGACCCGGAAGTAGCGCCCTACAATTGTTAACAACAAACTACTTGATACAATACTTTCGCTCTACTGACCTCGTCCTGGGGATCTCTTTCTCCCTGCTTGATACTCTTGTTACTCTGGAGTTTCGCTTTCGAGCCTCCTTTAGCGTCGGGGATACTCTTGCGGGTGTTGTCATCTGAAGTGTCCTCGGCCTCACCCTCTCCTTCATCATCTGAAGTATCGGGAGTATCCGCACCCTTATCCTCGCTATCACTCTCTGATTCTTCAGACTTCTCGCTCTCCTTATCGTCGGCCTTGTCTTCGCCTTCATCTGACTTTTCCTCGGACTTTTCCTCACTATCCTCTTCTTCGTGCTTCGTGCCGTGGGCATCGCCGTGATCATCATGGCCATGGGATGTATCCGGTCCATTTTTAAGAAGATACCAGAGGGTTGGAACCGTTACTGCGATGGACGTAGCAGCCCTAATGACGTAGTGTTGGTAATTGGTACAACTGACCGGTAGGTGGAATAAAGAATTTGGGGAGGTAAATTACCAAACAACATCTCCGCTAGACTTAGCAGGTCCATGTCCTCCACTTGCGTATGTTCTGCGGGCAATTTGACGGGACAATTGAGATCGTACGACTGTAGGTCTTGCAGCTCGGAAGAGGCCCGGCACAGCTTTTGAAACTCTTAAGGATGCCATTGCTGTGTAGTGACTGAACAGTTAAGTCCAGAGAAAGAACTGATGGTGGAGTCAGTACTGTGGATGCGAATGTGAGGGTTTGCAAAGACTTACTGTCTTTTTTGAAGGGGAAGGAAGGAGAAAGGTGCAAGTAAACGGCGGTGGCTGGAAGGATCCATGTTCAATATTTACCAAGCTGAGAGAGCTCCGGCAGGATCCACAATTTACTTAGTCAGCCACAACACCCCACCGCACCGTACCGCAACCCCACCGAGCACGGCAAGCTTGCGATTGCCTGCCTATAATAATCCAATTCGTGTTTTGCTATCTTGCAATAGTTACTCGAGTAAGTGGTAAAGTATTTCCACAACCTCAGTCTCCCAGCTGTGGCGGATACCTTTTGCACACGCAGGCAAAGCTTAGCAATATCAAGTCAAGGTCCACCCAATAAAGTCAGCTTTTGTTGGTCAGTGTTGATCTCCAGACTCTCCTCTTCAATTATTGCCTTTTCCTGCTGTTTCCCCAAGTTACAAAGCACAAGGCACAAGTTCCTTCTAGGCAGTGACTGACCGCCCAACAGACTGCCTTTTCATGACACATTATCCTAGAACCTCGATGGTCATCCTCCCGTCCTAAACAAAACAGAAACCCTCCAACTCCTACACCACACCCCGCCCCGCCCCGACAACAACCTCGAAATGTCGACCCAAATTGCCCCCAATCCTACATCCAATACGGTTGCTGCCTTGCTACCCAAGCTCCACGACAATGACCCAGACTTTCGCTTCATGTCACTAAACGATCTTTTCAATGTCCTTAATAATGGGAAGCCCGATTTCCTGTACAATGATTACAATACAGCTGCAAGAACTGTTGATGGCGTGCTCAAGACTTTGGACGACCAGAACGGTGAAGTTCAGAACTTGGCTATCAAATGGTATGTTCATCCTTGGCCCTTTTCTCTTGAAAACTGCTGACATACCGAAAGCCTGGGTCCCCTTGTCTTGAAGCTCCCCAGTAGTATTCTTGCACCCCTTATCGAGAAGCTTTCAAACCTCAATACGGAAAATTCGGTAGATAATTCGATACCCGCGATGGCATTACGGACAGTTGTAATTACTCTCCCGCGACCTGTGAGTGGCGTTGCTGCGAGTAAAGAGGTGAGTGAAGCGTATGCTGCGATCAGCAGAGTCCTGATACCTCGACTTGTTGGCCGCATCGTAAATTCAAAAACTGTCAAGCCTGTCAAGCTGCCCGCGCCGCCTCCTGGTATGCTGGATCTTACAGCAAGCAAGGAGCTTGACCCGGAAGCTGTTGATGTTCTTATCGAGGTAGTGCGATGCTTTGGCCCTATGCTCCAAGAGCCGGAAGTTGAAGCTCTGCAAGAGTTACTTATTGGCATTCTGGAAACTGAACGAGCTAGTTCTGTTGTCAAGAAGCGTGCGGTCGTTGCGGTATCGATTCTCGCACTTTACCTTACAGATGTTGCCTTGAGCGGTTTCGTCACTCATCTTATGGAAAGTCTGAAAAATCCGCACCTCACGGCTGTCCAGAGACGTCTGTATATAACGATCCTTGGATCCATAGCCCGCTCAATCCCGGCTAGATTTGGCAAAGACTTGAAGAGTCTTGCTCCATTCGTACTTGCTGCCCTCAGTCAGCAGGAACTTGAGGATCAAATGGAGAACGCAGCCGAAGATGGTGAGCCAGATCCTGAAATTGACGACGTGCGTGAATCGGCTCTTGTTGCGCTGGAAGGATTTCTAGCTTCTTGCGGCAACGAGATGAGGGCCTTTACCGAGGAAACTATCGCGGCAGCACTCCGATTCCTCAGATACGACCCCAACTATAATGATGATGATGACGAAGAAATGGGCGGGACTCAACCTGAGGATGATGATATGGATGATTTTGGAGATGATGACGATTATGAAGCTGAAGCTGGATTTGACGACGATGACGATGATGCCAGCTGGAAAGTTCGTCGGTGTGCTGCAAAGACTCTCTATACTCTTATTTCGACCAGAGGAAGTGGTGATCTTCTCGATGATGGGACTTTATACACCCAAGTTGCACCTGTACTTGTCCAGAGATTCAACGAGCGTGAGGAAAACGTTCGTCTGGAGGTCATAGCCACCATGTCTTCACTTATTCGAAAGACTGGTGAAGGCGTTTTGGCCGGTTTCTCTGGAGAGGAAGCGGACTACATTAGTCATGCACCACAAGGCCGGAAGCGAAGACGAGAGAGCAGTAGTACGGCTACCTTTGATACAAAGTCATTGCTTTCAATGTCAGCTGGTCTTACTTCACCTACCGTCGAGCCCGTTCCTGTCTCTGGCCCAAGGGCTGATCTAGCACGACTGAGCCCTGCAATCATTAAGTCAACCACAAAACTTTTGAAGAGTAGCTCGATTCCTACTAAGCAAGCTTTGATCAATTTGCTAGATGATATTGTCTCTGTTCAGAACGGCGGTTTGGGTGAATATTTTAGTCAAATAGTCGATCCAATAATCGACGCGATCAAGACTACGACGGGCTCTACTGGATCTTCCGGTGCTATTACAAGCGGTGGAGCTGCATCTGCAACTCCAAATACGTTGCGAGTTGCTGCACTTCGATTGATTGGGGATATTTCTAAGACCCATTCTTCGAGTGTCTTACAGCCATATCTACCCAAGATTGTTCCTGGGGTGGTTTCCGCTGTCAATGACAAGTATTACAAGATCTCCAGCGAAGCGATCGGAACAGTAGAACAGCTTGTCAAGGCTCTGACTCCTCCTAGATCAAGATTGGTCAACCAAAATCACCAGTCCGATATCCAGCAACTTTATAAAGCCATTATTAGTCGCGTCACTGCCACTGATGCTGACCTTGAAGTTAGACAGCGTGCGATTCATGCCCTGGGAATATTGCTGGCTCGTACTGCAAGCCCAGAAGGAGAATCGCTTCTTCCGCTTGGGGATCGTGAAGCTGCATTACAAATTCTAAGTGATAGACTCAAGAATGAGACAACCAGACTTGCGGCCGTGCGAGCAATTGATACTATTGCCGCTCTGACAACATCTAAGGATCAATTGAAACCGGCATGGATTAGAGAAGTTTCCTTAGAGCTGGCTGCTCAACTTCGCAAGGCCGACAGAGCATTGAGAGGCGCAAGCTTAGCGGCCTTGAAGAATCTTGTTGTTGCGCCTGCATCTCGAACCGCATTGGACCCACCAACTATTCAGGGGCTTGTCAGTGCACTTCTCCCTCTCCTCACTACCGACGACCTCCACTTACTCGGGCCCGCTCTTGTCGTCTTGGCAACTCTAGCTACGGATAACGCTAAGCTTGTCGTTACCACCCAGCTAACTACCGCTCTCTGTGGTCTCTTGACTGCACCTTTGGGTGGTGCTGTGCTTGATGCGGTCCTCCTTCTCGTTTCCAAGATTGGCGAAAAGGGCGTTGGGAAACAGCTAATGCAGGGTCTTCTTGCCAATGTCAGTATCAATGGTGACCCTGCAGTGGTCGGAAAGGTGATTGGAACGTTGCTGGTATATGGAGGCTCTTCTGTTGGCGTCAGCATCGACAATTTCTTGACAGAAATCACCAATCCCAGCTCTGATGATGCTCGGCGAAGCTTGGCTCTTGCCGTCCTCGGCGAGGCTGGACTCCGTCTTGGTGGAAAATCGCCTCTGCAGCCTTCAACTTTCATGATGCAGTTTGGATCAACATCTGATAAGGTTCCCATTGCAGCTGCGATTGCATTGGGCAGGGCTGGTGCTGGTAATGTTCCCGTCTATCTCCCAGAGATTTTTTCGGTCATGGACAAGGGAGGCAATGGTCAATACTTGCTGCTACACTCCATTAAAGAGATTCTGCAGCAGGCTAGCAATCACCAGGCAGATATCAGCAAGTATACTGGACAAATTTGGGATAGATTGCTCGTTGCTTCACAAGTTGAGGACAACAAGGCAGTTGGCGCTGAGTGCATTGGCAGAATCGCAATTATTGAGCCCAAGGCGTATATGCCAAAACTACAGGTGCGTCTATTGATTATATTCCAACCCATATTTAGGACTCCCAACTAACCACTTTCTAGACATTACTTCGTTCACAGACACCAACGGTCCGTGCAATGACTATCCAGGCGATTCGTTATACTCTTGCCGACAGCGACGAGACATTCGACACTGTTCTCAAGACAACACTGATCGACATGCTTATCACCATGCTTCGTGATCCAGAGCTAGAGAACAGCCGTCTCGCTCTGACTACGTTGAACTCGGCCGCCCACAACAAGCCAGACCTCATTATCCCCAACCTAGGAACCCTCTTGCCACTTGTGATGAAGGAGTCTATCATCAAGCCCGAATTGATTCACGAAATCATGATGGGACCGTTTAAGCACAAGGTCGATGACGGTATTGAAGTTCGCAAGGTAATTGTTCCATTTTCCCCTTTTCAAGGAGAGCATACTAATTGCATCAAACAGAGCGCATATGAGACACTTTACTCACTCATGGAAATTGCTTTCTCTCGCATCAATATCCTCGACTTCTACGATCGAGTTATTGCCGGCCTGCAAGATGATCATGACATCCGCGCCCTTTGTAATCTCATGCTTACCAAGCTCGTGCTTCTCGACCCCGATGAGACAGCCCGTCGTCTCGACGCCATTGCCAGCTGTTTCCGCGCCATCCTGTCAATCAAGCTCAAGGACAATGCCGTCAAGCAGGAGATTGAGAAGCAGGAAGAGGCTAGCAGGAGCGTGTTGCGCGTTACACTACTGCTGCATAGTGCTATTCCGGGTGCTAGTTCGGGAATGGGTATTCAGGGTAGCCAGCACCAGGTTTGGCGATCTTACTGGGAATGGGTGGAGAAGGATTTCGAGAGCCAGTTGAGGGCGTTGAAGGATGAGGGTAGGGAGTGATTGGGGGCAATGAACGATATTCGTAACCTCCGAGCTAACATATTTGGTTTATGATGATGATGAATGAAAATGGCAGGCGTAGGAGAAAATGTATCTGACTGACCGGGAGGTAAACACATTATGCATAACCTGCGAACTTGCATGTGGCCTGAAGATAGACATATGAAATAAACATACATTGATAATGAAAATTATTCTCCCCGTATTTGATTTAGTCTTACTTGCAACTTATAACCGGGTTCCATATATTCCCAAGAGCTTTCATTACACATCCATTACTGTAATTATAGCAGTTTCATATACCACTTTAGTGCGCTCGCTTTTCGCAACTCTTGGACCAAATACTCTAGTCAGTAAATCCTAACAATTTTGTTTTCCGCAGTCTTAAAGTTGAGCCTGCTGCACTCAAGTAAGTGATAACATATACAGGCCCTTTAGTTCAAGAATCCCTATCTATCCATCACATCCAACATACCCGGTTGAGGCTTAGCAAGTCTCAAGACTTTTTCTTACACACCACACCACATTACATCACATTGCAGTTTCTCAGAATACCTGTCATTTTAGAGTTAAAGGAAAGAGTGGGGAGGAGGTGGAGACTACCCCGACTAGGAAACATCTATAGATCAAGATTTCATTGCACATCGCATATTTAGAGTTTCAATGCCCTCTCTTCGAAGCTTTTTGCGTCATGTGAAAGATAATCTAGGCGGGAGGAAAACTTAGGTACCTACTACTATTTCCTTAGGTACTTATCCCATCTAGGGGAATCCATAAATCCTATAGGTAACCTACGAGTTTTAATATAAACAATACTCAAAGGAAAAGTAAAGGTTGGTAGATGTATGCAAGCAAGCGACAAAGTCGAAGTTTTTCCCATTTCCACGCTGGCATACATAGATACAAAAGGCAATATTTACGTAAGTGCGTCCTCCACTCCACGCCACGCTCCAGCAAAGAATGCTCCAAACCATCTAGCTACTATAGCATCTCCTTGGAACCCAAGCTTACTTAAGATAGTCGGACATAAAAGCAAAATGCAAAAGCCCGCCGCTCCATCCCTTTCATTTTATCGTTATCATCAATCACTTCAGTGCTCCTTTGGGTAACTTCAATTTCGACCTTATCTCAGGACTGGCTGCAATCGCGCCCTCGAGATTCATCTCCGGCGGATCGCCCTCGACAAGACTGGGTTCCTCTTCCACAACACGCTCCATGCTAATACCCTTAGACTCCTCCTCGTCTGATAGTTTCGGGTCATGACCTTTGCCGCTATTGCTACCGCTGACACCAACACCTGGGACACCTTCTTCTTGCACCTTCCTCTTCGCTTCGGCAACGATCTTTTCGACTTCGGAGATCTTGCCGGGAATACATGATGGGTCGCCTTCGACACCAATGGCGGAGCCGGGTTCCTTGGTTGTGGCTTGCAGGGCTTGCTTGTTGAGGCGCACGATCATGCAGGAGAGATTATCAGTGCTGAAGCGGGCGAGGGCATGTTCCACAAGCTTTTTGGCGGCGGTGCTGGGGTCAGATATGTCACGGACTAGGTCGACTGCTTCTTGGTCGGAGCAGACATCCCACAACTGTTTGTATTTGTTAGTAAATCATGTTCAAGGGAAGAAGTGAGAGGACCTACACCATCGCAAGCGAGAATGATAAATTCATCGAGATCGGGTTGGATAACAGTTTCGGTAGTATATGGATGACCTGTTACTAGGTCTTTCATATATGCATCTCCCAGGGCCCGAGTAACAGCCAAGACACCATTGACACGGTTGTTGAGAATAAGTCCACCCGCGTTCGAGATACGCTTTCCTTCATTCTCATCACTACCTTTGTGATCGTAAGATAGTCTCAGCGCCTTGCCACTTCTGCAAAGTACAATACGTGCATCTCCTACATTTGCCGTATACAGAACTCGTTGACGTGATGCTTGTACTTTGAGCTTGGCATGTGTAGCCTCAATAGGTGCAGTTGAGGCTGCGGCGCTTGAAGCAGCATTTGGTTGCTGTGACGGTGTCTTGCTCATATCGACCCCACTGTCGCCGGACTTCTCCTCGCTCTTAGTAACATCTTCCTGAGCCTTGACTGCAGCTGCCGTTGCTGGTGCAATTGCAGTCGATCCTGTCGCTGATTGGGCGTTTGGTATCCTGTCTTCCCATCGAAGTACTGCTGTGACGGCTGTGCAACCACTATTCTTTAGAGGTAGTTTTTCTAATTGAGCATCAACAGTTGTGAAGGTCTGATCAAGTAATTCTGGGATCGGGGTGTTTGGATTTTTTCGAATCGTTTCTTCTAAGATGATGTGAAGCTTTTTCCCACACCAATCTGCTGCAAAGGTCCCAGCGTGGCCGTCAAAAATAGCAAAATAGCCATTATCGGTTTCCATCATCTCATTTACGAGCCCGGGGGAGCTGGATGTAGTAGTTGTAGTAGGTGCAAGACTGGCGGATGATTCGTTAGTGAGCTCATCTGTCGACTTTTGTGACTTCTGGCTTGTCGTAGCGGCATTATCTGATGCCAAAACGGGGGCAGGGGTATGCAGAAAGTTGTATAAGAAGGCATGTGTATCTTCCATAGTCCGCCGGCATTTCCTGTTCTTGTCCTCCCAAACTCCAACGGAGAACGTTGACCTAGGACCAGGAACTGACTCTCCTGCGGAATTATTGTGCTGCCCTTGAGGAACGCTTAACGCTGGATCTTGCTTTCCAAGCTTCTGCAAAGGTGTCTGCGAAGTGGATTCTGCACCGCGCATGAAACCGGCAGAGTTTGGATTTGGGCTGAAATGTAATGAGCTCTTCGCGCTAGCAAGTAGAGAGCTGGCCTTTCCGCTGACACCGCTACTCCTCCGCTTCTTCTCTACCGTACCTCCATTATCTCCAGCTGCTCTTCCTTGGGGGCTTCCATTACCACTACGCTTCTCTCCACCACCTTCTTCGACACTCTGTAACGCGCTCGGCGGATCGCTTGTACTGGGAGAAGAGGATAGTGCAGAGGTATCTGGTGCTTGAGACTCCGAACTTTCCTTCGGTGGGGACCCAGAGCTGCCGAACATTCTGTTCAGCAGACCTCCTCCCTGGGAGGAAAAGCTCCTCCGCTTGCTTCCTGCCACTTTGCTGATTTGGGCGTGTAAAGTCTCGTGCAGAGACAAGAGGAGTGTGATGGTATTAATGGTAGGCGGTGGGAAGGAGTTGCGACTGTTCCCAGAAAGACGAGGGAGGGTAGACAGGGCGGATTTACCACGAAGGCAGTCGGATCGCGTGGATATTACAGTTTGGGAGAAGGTGTATGCGAAGAAGTGCTGAGAAGGAGTCTTGTGCGATTATTGTAATATCGTAAGCCTGAGACACAGTTGACCTGGCAAGTTCGCGTTAAATTGATGACGATGTTGGGATGTGGGGTAGGTATGGGTGCAGCGTGCTCGTGCGCTTGCTTGCGTTGCCTGAATTCACAACGCGACAATAATCAGTCAGCGGGAGGATATACCGGAACGTGGGTTGAGGTTGAACAACGATTGTTCCTGGATGACTGTAACAATTGTTGTGCGACGGCAATCAAAGGATACTGTAGTTTTTCGTACGTGTCGAAATCCGTTATGTGTTTAGAGGCGTAGGCGTTTTATACTTGCTTGCCGTTAAGCCGCGTCCTTTCCAGATACGGCACCTTCGGTCGGCCGGTGTAGATAGGTGCGGAATCTGAACAATGGCTCTTTCCGTATAAAACAAAGAGCGCACAGATGGTGGCACCTGGATGCGACTAGAGGAGTTAAGGACTAAAGGACTAGAGTAGAGATGCAGAGGCAGAGCAGAGGCAGAGGCAGAGGTAGAGGCAGAGGCAGAGGCAGATGCAAAGGTAGATGCGAATGCAGATGCAGATGCAGGCTGGAGAGGTTGTACGATGTGATGTGATGTAATGTGGTTGGGGAAAAGCAACGGTGAGGTCAACTTCGCGAAGCTTCTTGCTTGCTTGCTTGCTTGCTTGCTTGCTTCCTTCCTTCTTTCCTTCTGGTGGGTCGGTCTTGGCTTGGCTTGGCTTGGGCACTCCGGGCTGATGCTTTCTTTTCTTTGTCAGACAGACAGCTGGACAATCGCCAACGAGGGAGGGAAGGGGTAAATCGAACAAAGTTGCTGGTATCTTGAGATTGACCTTTTTTCTTCGCACAATGGGCAATATCATGTAATACTGGTAACAGGTAACAGAAAGTATTCGATTCGGGAACGGAGGGACGAGTCAGAATAATCACTAGACGATCAATGCCTCTAGGCTGTGTGCACTGCCTTCATTTGGTGTTGAGGGCTTGGGCTTGAGGGCTTGAAGCTTTCTGAGTTAGCGGTCTTTCCCCACATTCAGGGGTCACTCGTGGTCACAGACGGGCCCGAATGCGCCGTAATCTCCGAGAGTCTGGGAATGTCCCTTGGAAGTGAGAGACGAGGACAAGGAGACGAGATCAAAAGTAAGGTAAGGTAAGATGTCCAAACTTCTTTAAATCGACTTTTACAAGGAATCTACGGCAAAGATTCTTTCCTGCTGCACGACATACCATGGCAACACATCACCCGCCCGGCCCCCCCATGTAAATTGTTTATTTTGTGACAAGGTATTCCCAATAGGCAGACGACAAGGCTGTTTCGTTCCGTCGCTTCTCGGCCTCGATAGAATAAAGGGAGGGGGACAAGGCTGAATAGATACTCAATGATTCTACAAGCTAAAACTCCTACTCCTGATATCGAAGAAAACGCCAGCTAGGTAGCCATATAAAATCATTTTCACCGTCTGAGACTGTCGAGCCTGGCTTGCAGGTCGTTGTCACCCGGATCCCCCGCACCACCCCCGCCGACAGCTTGTGCAATCTTGCCCTCAGCCACCACATTGCCCTGGAGACCCTGCGGGGTCTCACCCATCTAATACTATTTTCAGTAAAGTTCCACAGGAACAGACGTCTCCAACTTACAGCATTCTTAAGATCCACTCCAATCTCCTCCAACACCTGGTCGACAATTTCGTCGCCCTCAGCCTCATCCTCCAACCCTGTAACATCATCGATAGCATCATCCATCATCTCCTGCCTCTGATCCATAATGTCATTCTCTTTCTCAAACTCCATCGCTATCCGCTGCAGCGCCGGCAGATTCATATTGCGATTCATGCTTCCCAGTACACCTGTCGCGCCCTTCATCGCCTGCATCATCTGCTCATTCGTCCTAACAGTCTGTATTCGCATCAGCGTTGCCCCATTCCAGACCTTCACTTCCAATCAGCAAAACTGTCCAGACATACCTGTATCCTCAATGAAATAGCCTGCAACTGCGTCCTCATCGAATAGAACTTCTCAATATACCTCCTCGTCCGCACCAAGTCCTTCGCCTGGATCTTGCATGCACCCATTTGCCCATTCTTCGCACTCTTCTTGATCTCCTGTATAAGTTTCTTCTCTTGATTCTCTAGCTTCACGCGCTCGCGGTCTAGTTCTCGTTGCGTCTTCTCGAGCGAACGCTGGTGTTTGCGCAGACGCTCGGCGGGCGTCATACGCTTTCCGAAAGCCCATTCGACGATCTGGCAATCAGGTCAGTATTTTGGGTCATACAGGGGAATAGAATGCGTACATTCATGGTTGTTTTATTGTTGTGGCGTGGAAATGGTGGGGTGGTTATGGGTTTCTGGGAGTTCTACTTTAGCTTAATCGACAATACGCACGGAGTATGGGTTCTCGACCGCCTCGTCATTCTGTCTTGGCAATAATTGCTGCCTTATCATGTGACGGGTCGAAAGAAGTAACATAAGAGTTTCTAGGAATATTAACCAATCACTATGTGCTCTGTGAATCGATAGTATGATTACATAGAAAAATAGAAGGTGTGAATATCCTAATGAGCTTACTTGTTGGAAGAAGGCCCGGGAAGATTCAACAACAAAGGAAATCTCTAGAAGAAGAAAAGAGCATCCTTTAGTTTCGGAAACTCACTCTAAATAACCAGTACTATCAGAATTAACAATATGTACCAACAATCATGAATACCTACAACATTCATCTATACCATCACGTGTTAGACCGGGGCAATTCGCCACGCTAAGTAAATTATGCAGCAAGTTCAGCGCGGGAGCGGAAACCCGCATTATCATAACATTTTTGCAACCTCCCTGGACAAACGACTAAACTTCGCGAATGCGTTTGCAAACATCAATATGAGCCAGGAATACTACAAAGGCAAGGGGAAGTCGGGGGAGTCATCAAATTCGAGGATTCCACACCCAGGTCGCCCGCAGTACATGACGGTTGGATCCGGATCAACATCAGAGAGCGCCTCCCGACTCCAAGCTCTCCTCAACGATGAAGATTCAGGATATGGCGGAAGTGTTGCAGATGGCGGTTCAGGATGGAATCCAGCGATGGCTGAAGACAGGCCTACGCCTTCCCATTCTCCCTTACCATTGTCGATGCAAGACAGTGAGACTGCCGACAATGACAGACGGATGCTGGCAAATTCCATACACCAATTACGTTACAACAAACACCGCGCAGAACTTGGAAGATCGATAAACACAGTGGTGGAGATGTTGAAGTCCTTGCAGGAGAAGAATGCCGAATGGCCTGCTACATATCCATCAGTTCAGCGTGCCGAGGCGAACACGCCACAGAGACAAGACCGACCAGGCTTGGTGCACACGCAGTCTAATGCTATCGGAGCTTCTGTTATATCTCCACCTCGACCTGGAGGAATGCGGCGGGCTCAGACGTCGATCGGTGAAGATAGCACGGATGCCGAATCGAGTAGGGCAGGAGAACAAAGGACGACACCGGAACCTCGATTGATCACACCACAAATTGCTCAAGAGTTTTCGATATTGAAATTAGATCTTAAGCTTGGTGCGCTACATCAGACGGAGTTGGTGCATTCTTTGGAGAAGAGCTCAATAGCATCACTTCTGGACGGCAAGATCAGTACAAGCATCAAGCATTTATTGTCACTCCGAGAACGAATAGAGGATACCTCGAGCAAGGTGCTGGTCACTGGAGATTTGAACGCAGGAAAGTCGACATTTTGTAATGCCCTTTTACGGCGGAAAATTTTACCCGAGGACCAACAACCATGTACAAGCATTTTCTGCGAAGTACTGGACTCGAGAGAAAATGGAGGCGTGGAAGAAGTGCATGCGGTTCATAAGGATACAACATACAACAGACACGATGAGAGCACATATGACGTGTATTCCCTGGACGACTTGGAGAAGCTTGTGGCCGACAATGATACATACACTCAGTGCAAGATATATCTGAGAGACGCACGATCAGTCGAGGAGTCTTTGCTCAACAACGGAATCGTCGATATCTCGATAATTGATGCGCCCGGTCTCAATTCTGACACGACAAAAACAACAGCTGTGTTTGCCAGACAAGAAGAGATCGACGTAGTTGTGTTTATCGTCTCGGCAGCGAATCACTTTACCCAGACGGCGAAAGAGTTCATTTGGGCAGCAGCAGCAGAAAAGGCCTACATTTTTATTGTGGTCAATGGCTACGACAATATCAAGGACAAAGATCGGTGTCAGAAGATGATCCTAGATCAAGTTCATAACCTCAGCCCTCGGACGTTCAAGGAGTCCTCAGAGCTAGTTCACTTTGTATCCAGTAACGCTATTCCTACGGGCCCACCTGGACCCCCAGGAGGTAACGGAGGAGGTGGAAGCGGGAGTTCGAGCGGCGGTGGTGGAGGAGATGATCCTGACTTTGATGATTCAGATCCGAAAGGGAAGGGCAAGGGCAAGGAGCAGAAGGAGAAAGTCCGAGATTTCGAGACTCTAGAACAGTCTCTAAGACGGTTCGTCCTGGAAAAACGTGCCCGCTCCAAATTGGCACCCGCCAAAACCTATCTCCTCAACGTACTTAACGACGTCCAAACTCTAGCAACGGTCAACCAGGAGGTCGCTCAATCAGAATTAGACCGTGTAACGAAGGAGCTGCACGATTTAGAACCCGTTCTCGAAGCTTCCAAGAAGGCAAAGGCGGAGGTCAGCGATGACATTGACAGAACGATTGAGGCATCGTGCAAAGATATTTATGATCACACTCGGAGAACTCTCACATCAACGATTGCCCAGGCCGCAGAAGAGGATCTCGGTGTACCATATCCGGGCTTGTTCAACGCCTTCCAATACGCGGATGAAATCAAGGAAGCTATGCTTTCTCAGATCGCAGCATCTGTCACAACTTGCGAAGAACATGCTCGACGCAAGACAGTTGAAGGTGTAAGCTCGATCAAGCAACTCGGCTTATTACATCTTGGCGACGAGTACACAGACTTGAGCTTCAGAAGCGATGTCATGTTCCGTCGGAAACGAGATATTCTCGCCAAGCAGGTCGACATCGAGACTGAACTATGGGATTTCTTCGATTGGTCAACCCTTCTCCAAAGACAAGAGAAGATGGCTGGAACAGGAATGGCATTGACTGTCGTGACCGCTGTCGGTGGACGTATGGTTGGTGGCTTCGGTTGGGTAGATGGGGCACTAGGAGCTGCAAAAGTAGTAGGAAATAACAACCTCCGTCGCCTCATCATCCCCGGCACCGTTGCAGCTAGTACGTCCCCTAACCTCACCCTCTCTCTTTAACTACACTAACACATACTACAGCCCTCGCAGCAGCCTACTACATCCTCTCCCAAATTCCCACCTCCCTCCCGCACCGCCTCTCCACCAAAATCGCCACGCAACTCCAGCAAATCGACTACGTCCACTCAAATTCGGACCGCATATCCTCCTCCGTACGCAAAGTGCTCCGTTTCCCCGCCGACAACCTCCGCGTCGGCCTGCAACGCAGCGTCGAGAAACTCGGCTCGAAACGCGAGGAAACGCGGAAAATCAGAGGCGAGAGCGAGGTCGCGCGCAAGTATTTCGGCAATTTGGTTAATGAAAGTGGACGCGTTAAGCATGGTGTTGAGGGCGTGGATTTAGAGGGCCCGGCGCCGGGCGTGGCAGGTGCCTATGATCCCTGATCTCGTTTGTTTCTTTTTCGCCTCATCGATTGTTTTCTTTAAATACCCCTCTTTGATAAGATGAGATGAGATATTTACACTCGTTTTCTTTTTAATTATGGCGTTTCATGAGCACAATGATGGAAAGGATGGTTTTGGCTTTTAGGATGATTGGAGAAATGGCGTTTTTTGTTTGGGCTTGAGTTATTACTGTCAAAGCAAGCAAAACCCCCACTTCATTCAAGTTGTGCATATATTTTGTGTTGAGTAAAAGGGAGGAAGGTACATACATACGTAGTAGGTTTAATACAGATTAGCTTGAACAATTCATCCGTTCATTTCTTTCGCTCGTGACGTTCGTTTTGCTGGGACATGTATATGTATGTGTAAAGGAGGCATATCCGCGGCTGTGGTTCTAACATGTATGTATGTGTATTATCCTCTAGTTCTAGTTCTAGTTCTGGTTTTGGTTCTGGTTCCGGTACAATTAATGTTAAGGATGAGAATCATAAGAGCAAAGCAAAACCCGTTCCTCCGTCCGTCGCTCCTCCAAATGCAAATGCAGAACCCCAATCCCATGCAATCATACCTTCCAATCAACAAACAAACGTCTTTAGTCGCCCAAAAGGCCCAGCCAACGAATGCTAAAAGTATCGACTAGAATCGAAGGACTTTCCAGCTCTACATACCCTCCCTCCACCACGCCTATTTCCATTCGCTTCTATGTAATCAATCAGCACCACTCCATCTCTTCCGCCCATTCATACCCATCTCTTCTGCAATCAATCATGGCGCGCCTCCAAGTCCTTTATCTCGTCAGCACAGTCAATATAACCACAAATCTCGCTTAATAAAGTAAATGAAGAAAAAAAGGGGCAGGCAAAAAGGAAACAAAACTCACCTGCAGCCAACGCCATATACCACGTCCGACTAGCCCCCCCATCAAGCCAACTGGCATCAAAGGCCTCCCCAGAAAAGAACTCCCAACTCGTCTTCGGATCCACAAGCGCAAGATTAGCGAACAACACACCCTTCCACCCACCGCTCACCGTCTCCGCTCTACCATTACTAAAATACGTGTCCCACTCCTCCTGCACAAACGTCGTGGTCCTCGTAAGCGTGCTGGAGGGCAGGAGGGGAAGCATATGTATGCCTTGTACGTATTGGGGCTCCGCGCCAAAATACGTCGTATGGTCGATTTTGTTCTCGAACATGATGCCGGAGACTTTATTGCCGATGAAGTTTGGCGGCTCGATGGTGTTATTGCGTGTGTATAGGAAGTAGTTTTGGAGCGAGCGCGCGGTGACGGCTAGCTGGATGTTGCCGCGTGCTTCCATGTTGGGGTCACCGATGGTGCAGCCCCACATCTTGATAGCGTACGCGGACATGCTGTCTTCGGAGGATGATTCTTCGTCTTTGCCGTCGAAGGTTTCGTAGAGGCCGTGGGCCCAGGAGTGACCGTGGTACCAGTCGAAGTTTCGGGAGACGGGGAAGAGGGGGTCGCTGGCTGTTGGGTTGGCGATGTCGCGTACGAGGGCGTTTACGTAGGGGGTGTTTGCTGGGAGCCAGGCTGGGTCGAGATAGCCGATGATGGCGGCGGCGTAGATGAAGTATCCGTAACTTAGGGGAGGTGGATTAGCCCGGTCTGGGGTTGGGAAAATATAGGTATGAACTTACTGGAAATGGTGGTCATTGTAGTAGGTGTTACCGAAATCCGCACCTGAATCTCCATCATATGAAGCAGTCGAAACGAGACCTCCCCAAACAGTGTCATAAACAAGAGGAAATTGTTGCTTGTTGGATGCGAAAAGATCGAATGCATCTTTGAGGTTGACTAGTCCCGCCTGTGTTGTCGCTGTATCGCCAAGGATATCGTCGAGTGTGTACAGAATTTGCGCAAACTTTGCTAATGCCTAGTAGAGGTTAGGATCCCATTTATGAAACAACGACTGACCATTCCAGAAGGTCTCTTATATAAAATATTTTTACTTTGCCACTGTAGTACATAGAATTTAAGTTGCTCTGATCACTCATGTTCTGAGACACCTCACTCATAGCGACTGTATGAAGTGCAGCCTTGGCTTCAGCAGACATCGTTTCCGAGTTCGCGTTCTTTGAGCTCCAAGGTCCAAAGCCCATAGACGTTGGGATACTTTCAACCATGGTCCACGAATCACCAATGACAGCTGTAGCCTTGCCCTTGGTGGTGGTATCAAGTTGAACGTTAATCTTTACACCAGACGCAGTGTCCGGCGAGAAGGACTGCAGATGATGTGAAAGAGCAAACATTAGCAGTGTCGTATCTGCCCTCCCACCCTTTTCGAAAGACAAAGTATACGAACCAGACCCGCCACTGGCACTCCCAGACAGAGTTGAAGTTATTGGGTAGGCTCCAGCCGCTGCATCATAAAGAGCTTCCGCATCTGTGGAGGGAGACCGTGCGATTTGGATGACGCCGTTGAAGCTAGAGGTCGCCTGGATGAGGCCATTGTTCACGACAGTGAAATCAAATGCGGAGTCTTGTCCGGTCAAGTCGGGCCCGGAAACGTAAATCAACCAAGTGTTGCCATCCTCAAGTTTTATAGTAAATTTTATGACACCAGTCTGTGAAAGAGCAGGCTGTTAGCTTTTCTTTCCTTTTAAATTAACTCAAGAGCCTGAAGCTAAGGCGCTTGTGGGGCTCTACGCAAAGGGGAAAGAAGTTATAACTGAATAAATTATCACTCGGCTCACCTTGGGGGCTATAGCTGCCTTCGTAATCGAGCGAAACAAGACGCCACTTTGTAAAACAGGTGTGCCTCCATTGAAGATCCCAGTAACAAATCCCATTCCCTGTACAAGAGGAAACATAATGGTGGGTGCAGCACCTGCAGTTGCCAGAAGGTTCACGTTTGCCGAGAAAGCTGTAAGAGCAGTGTTTGTGATGACAGTCGATGTTCCGAGCTCAACGGCAGAAAGTACAATGGGCTGGATTCCAATAGGATTGATGAAGTACTTGACCGGGTTATCGGATGCATCAGGTCCATACACTTTCTGGCTGTCCAGAAGTTGTTGGATTATCATACCCCAGCTTTGAGTAGCTCCTGCACCTTTAGACCACGCAACGCTATAAGGGTGGGTCCACGTTCCTGCGGTTTGACTTCCTAAGAAAAAATTCGCATAAAATTTGTTGGTGCCAATAGGTGGAGTTTGGGCTGGTATGCCGAGTTTTGGTACTGGGTGATCTGATCTCTGTCCTAATATTGAAGGAGGGGCGTCTGTAGCCACGGGAACAAATATATTCGCCGACTGTGGTCCAGCTGTAAAAAAAATACAGAGTCAGTGTCAGCTATACTAGGAGATATTTCAAGGGTCGTAGAACAAACTATCCATTTAACTCTCTAGGTGGCTGGACCACTCACACGAGAAAATGGGAAGACGAACCAACACGATCAACAGACAGTATATTACTCACCTTGGTCTCCACTGGTTATGCTAGTAGCAACGCCTATTTCAACAGTTGTCTCAGATGTAGAAATTGAAGTGCTGATGATCGGTCTAGATGTATATGCTCCAGTTGTATTCAGATGTATATTGACAGTTCCCGAAGCTTCAGGAGTCTGAGTAGCAGGAGGCGGTAAAATCTGAGAAGTACCAGAAGATAGCGAAGTAGTAATGGCGGGAACGCTGGCCGTAACTACAGAATATACTAGTGCCATATCAGAAGTATCTGGTAAGCGCAGCTGTAGGAGGATGGAGTCAGCGTATCCAAAAGATATAATGAATTCGGAAGAAAGCTTAGAGATAGGCATTCTGGTTTAACTTGCCTCGTGTATGAGGTCAGCCCCCGAGTTTGTTCTTTGCGTTATCATAGTTGGCGCAGGAGTTGAGATAACTGCGCTGGGGCAAAGGGCCAGTACCTGATGGGGATAGGGCGCTGCATTTACTGCGAATGACTGCAATATGGTTAGCCATAAGAACCTCTTCATTATTTGAAGTTGGATTATAGATGAAAAGATACAAGAAATAGTTGGAGGATAGGGTTTGGGAGTTCTAAGGGGAAGGGGCTCTGATATAGATAGAACTGCCTAATAGAATGAAGACTTATGAGGTATAGAACCCGTGGCTAGTATGTGGATTTGATTCTGTACGTATCGGTATCGAGTCTTGTGACAGTGTTAGAATTTAACAGATCCGGTGAGATTATCAGGGATTTGATAACCAAGGAAATGATGTTTGAATACGCCGAAGATTCTGGGTTTCAGTGCAAAAAAGGCGTGTGAACCATGGGTGAAAGGTTACACGACTATAGATTCAGGTACTACTTGTATAAATATATTTTAAATACAAAGGCTTTGTGGGACCAAAACATATTGCTTGAACGGGAATGTCTAAAAGTCACGCTCTGGCTAAATACACCTAGCTTGTACAAAGAATGTTGAGGTGTACGCTGGTGGAATGTGTTGCTCTCGGAACTCCAGAGCCTTGCCCCGGGAATTTCGCTAGTGGGGTTTATTTGCGCCATCAGTAGTGTGATAATCTGACTCCTTGGATTCAAATTCCCCAGTCTCCAGACGTTAACACATAGTCCACGTAGAAAATTGAATGGCCTTGATACCCTTAGCACTAAAACTGAACAAAACACTTCTAGCAGCCTCCTCTCTATGACTTCACTAGATAACCTGCTCTGGAAACAATGGGACAGGAGACCTAGTACCGCAACCAAGGCCCGCAGAAAAGGTGAGCATTTTGTGAAAGATAAGTTGCCTCGCTGATGTGGGAAAATGATGAAGGAAACGTTCCCAAAGGAAGCACTGGCTTTCTGAATCCTTGTGGGCACCAGCCAGCTCAACGCGAATGGTTGTACGACCGAGCCAAGACCGAGCAGCAGGCCCAACGTCCCTGGAGTAACAAGGCTGCGACGCTTGATTTAGTTAGTACTCGAGTAACCCGGATCGGTCAAAACTGCGCTGCGCGCTGTCGGCAGAAGGATGCTGGCTGGTTGACTGTGGCTGTCGCTTGTCGAGTGTGATGTTTGACCTCGTTATGATCGACATACATAGCATGACGCTGCAGACAATCGAGTCGTGAAGACTTATTGACTAATTTCTGGCAGATGAAGCCTTCCTCGGACTCGGAGGTTTGTCGTCGTATTTGGTAGGGCAGGCGCTATCGGATGTAGCCGAGGACCCCTAGTTTAATTGAGCCCCGCGTGGTATCCTCGACTTGCTTTGGCATCACCTGAACACAAAATACTTTGTGTACCTCTGTACCTTGTAGGACCTGTCTGTGGGGTTGCGCCGGGTTTGCGGGGTCACGAAGCCGGGGGGTAATTGGTAGTTTACTCACTAGTAGTACCATGTGATATTGTAGTTTCAAATGCACTTCGAATCCAGTAATGTGAGCCTGTTACGATTTTGACACTTTCTAAGGAACATGTAGCCAGATACATATTGTCATATTTCTATAGTCATCTACTGAAATCCTACAATAATGGTTTGGACATCGGGGCAATAATGCCTTGCTTGAGCAATATTCTGGGCTTCGTAGCTTCTTGATAAGTCTCTTTAGTTGTCCATTCGGGTCCAACAGGAACGCGTAGAGACCTCTCGTATTGCTGTCGAGTTTCGAAAGGATGAGGTAGGGTCGATGCGAGGTATTTGCTATTCTATTATTCATGTTAGTTTCCTTTCCCATGATGCTTCTGGAGCATTCTTACCTTCTTGGCACGCCTCTCGCTGATGATCACGCGGTCAAGCTTCGCATCTTTTCTATTCTGCTCCTTGACTCCTTCGACTTTCGTCAAGAAACGTCCTTTATTTCGGGCCTTCTCCCTCTTGCTCACACCGTCACCAGTCCAGGCTCCCCATCCAGGCAAGGTGTTGTCAATGATCTTATCATCGTCGTCTTCAATAGTTTGCTTCTTTTCTGCCTCGAATTCGCCAACAACATCTGCACCAGCAAACGCTCTTTTAATCAACTCTTGATCACGAATCGCAAACGGAAGCTTGACAGCGTTTTCATCATCGCTCTCATCCGAGTCTGAGCCTATTTCAAGTGCCGCGGGTTTGGACTTTTTGGCTGGTTTTGGCTTAGAAGCGATGACGGAAGCCTTGGATAGATCCAATTCTTCGACATCCACAGCATTGTTCTTCTTGTGACGACGTCTTTTGGCCTCCGCTTCACTGACCACTGTAGATTTCAAAGGGACTTTGGACCAAGCTCCCCCTTCCGAACTCACCTCTGGTTGATTTCTAGAGACCGCCAATTCCGATTTCTTTGATGAGCCCTTCGTCGACTTGCGGGTTGATCCCGAGGTGTTTCTGGGGTCGTTGTCTAGTCCATGGATTTCTATATCCATGTTGTCCTCGTCTGCATCTGAGCCTTCGCGTTCCTCGAACTCGTTGAGTTTTGGCGTTTTCGAAGTTTCTCGAGGTTTGTTGCTGTTTGGCCCAAATATTCTGCGCCCAATATCTCCCTGCTCCTCGTCTTCGCTTCCAGACTCTTCTCCAACCAGGTCTCGCCGGATATCTTCGACCATTGCATCATTCTGTTTCTTGCGTGCTTCTTCCGCTTTGCGCATGAACTTCATGTTTGATAATCTTGCGCCTGGGGCAGACTCGTCCACCAATTCCGATGCGCTGGCTTTCTTCAACTGTCGAAGAAGTCGATTTTGTTCGGCAGCATCATCATCCTCACTGATATCCTCCTCGGAATCAGTGAGAGAAGCATCAGAGTTGTCCTCAAACTCCTTCCTCACCGCCCTTCCCTCCACTCTTTTTCTGAGTTCTTCGTCCCTTCGTGCCATATCCGTGATCCCATCTCGTGCATCCTCATCCCAAGCAGCTCGTCCGATTTGCTTCGTAGCTTTCGCCCATTTGCTACCTCTATGCTTTGCACCCATACGTTCAGTAGCACGTCTACGATCCTGCTCCTCTAGCTCATCTTCAGAAGGTACGAACCCTCCCTCAGCTAGCGCCTCTTGGTTTAGACGCTCCTCCTTCTCGCGTTGCTTCCGATGAACCTTGCGGTAAGATCTACTCTTGATCTTCTTGATCCGCTTTGATTTCGCCTCTTCGCGGTACATGAGCTCTCGAGCCATTCGTAGCTGGTCTCTCCTTGCCTTGACCTCCTCTACAGACATTTTCTTGGTCTCTAATTCCTCAAACTCGCGAAGGTGATCTTCATCGTCTTTCCCGTTTGCCGTGGCGAGACCACTTTCTTCCAGGATACTCTGAATGGTTGCTTCCAACTCATTAAAAGGTTTGGTCTGGTTTGTAGGGACGAGTTTATCGTTCTTTTTTACAGCCGTCATTTCGTGGTCGGGGAGTGGAAACATGAGGTGGTCTGCTCGGCGGTTGTGCTTGACGGTATCGGTCCATCTGTCTAAAGTTTCCTTGCTCTTCTCATAAGCTGCACTGCGATCCAAACGATCCTGCTGGCGCTTCGCTAGAGGGACTGCTAGCTTTGCTGTGACCCCTTTCCGTTTGACGGCCCCTTTAGAATCCGATTCGATGAATTTGAGTGACTTCTTGATGTGCGGATCATTTATGCTAGGTAACCCCAGATCTTCCAACGTAAGTTTGGTCTTTGATGTGAGCCCAAAGTCAGAGGGTGTGTTGTACTCGCTGGCCCCGTCACTGCGTTGCTTAGATGGACGAGTGGTTTCGTCGGCCTGTGGAAGATTTGCAATCATTCGCTGAAGAGCTGCGATTTTGGCAGGATCTGAGGTCTCATCATCATCGTCCGCCGAGGAAGCTGAAGATTCTTCATCGCTCTCAGAGCTGCCTTCATCGTCTGATTCCGAGAGATCTTTGTCCAGTGCCTTGCCATTGAGTCTTTTCTCTTCCTCTTCCTCCTCTTCAGCCATATCTAGCATTGTAGCAAGATCAACTGCACCTTCTCCGAGATCCCCCTCCTCTAACTCTGAATCCGACTCTGACATCTCGTCATCTTCGTTCAAGTTAACATCCTTGGTGCGAGATTTCGATTTCTTTTTGGACTTTTTATCTGTGCTTCCGGAAAACGCATATCCTTCAAATCGCTCCTCGTCACTTTCTCCAAAAGCTTCGTCACTGTCCAAGTCGCTATCATCATCGCTGTCGACTTGTCCAAGCTTCCACTCATTTCCCTCACTGTCGCTTCCGTGATCTATATCCAATTCTTCAAAACGCCCTTTCGCAGGGCCTTTACGTTGCTTCTTCGACTCTCCTTCTTCATCTTCTTCATCCTCGTCGTCGTCGTCTCTACGGCGCTTTCCGGGCCTATTTCCACCTTCTTGTGCACCAAGTCTATGCTGGCGAATCTTGAAATTTTCTGGATTTTCGTGGGAGGCAATCGAAAAAGCATTCATGGATCTCTTCTTTGTATTAGACCGAGGCTTTGGTTTTTTTGACGGCGGAGCGCCATGGGATTGTCTGCCAGGCATTTTTGCAGGCGTGGAACTTTATTTCGTGGTGGTGTTCAATTCCTATAATTTTTACAAAGAAATTTTGAAATCTCGAAATCTATCGGCGAACGCGGCCGCTAGTGTCATCTTCTCAACTCACTCGTCCCTTTGCTTGAAGACCTCTCGCAATATCTCAACACTACCCAAACAACAAGATGAAGGCCACACCAGCGCTCGGCAGGAAAATTGCGCGGCTTGCGCTCACTACGAAGATGACGAACAAGGGATTCTACAAGGGAACCGGGTCCGGGTCGACGGGTTCGCATACTAGATATGGAGGATATTTGATCGATTGGGATAAAGTCAGGACATATGTCGTGCCGGAGAATCTAAAGGACTTCAAAGTATGAGAGATACTGGAAATGCTCGAGGAGTAATGCTGATATTCATAGCTCACTCCGTTTGTCACGAAGAAGATAAAGCCTTTCAAGGGGCGCTTTGAAGGAGATCCGAAGGGGGCGTTTAGTGGAGAGGCCTATTTGAACAAGTGGAAGGTGGAGAATGGCGAAGATTAAAGAGATGAATGAAGTAAAACGTATGCTCACTCTCCTATTCCTACTGGGAGTCTATAGCTGACGCTTTTTAGGTGGATTACGGGTGTATATTACGGACATGGCGTTGAAAAGATGTACATCATAGTTGTATGAAAGAGCGGCGATATATACCTCAGAATGGAATTTCAGAAACTCCACGACATATAACCCCATTGTGGGCGAAAGCCCCCATAGCTACCGTTCCAGAATTCCAAACGGCAAGTCCAGGAATATGACGAATTGGAAATACTAGAGATAAATTGGTTACAATGCTTCTCTCCCTGTTTTCGATCTATCTTTCCGCCTTTGCTGGCCCTCATTTTTTTTCTTACGGTCTTTTGTTGTTGCATTCCACGCATATCATGTTATTCTCTCATTCACTTTTGATTGCTTGGGTTATCGCATGTGGGAAATATAGAAACAACTTTCATCCTGCTTTGAACTTTCTGTTTCTAGCAGAACAGATGAGAATGGTTGGGACCACATGGAGGTTGATGCATTCACCCGCGGGATTTATGCAGTCTTGATATCCTCGTGGGATTGAGCTTGCTTGTAGCAATCCTTGACTCAATCTCCGGCCATTGAGATTTGTGGGTGACTGCTGTCTTCCCTGTTCTCCTAGATGCAGACAACCGTTCGATACGGGTGACTGTAAAATCGCCGATGATTGTTTGTCAGATATGGAATCAATAGCCGGTCCCAACGCATTTGCTTTCAGCATCGGATTCAGGGTCATGAGCACTTGGTGATAATAAAGGTCGTGGCTTGGTCTAATTCTTACACCGACTTTTTCTATCTGGCATTTCCTAGGGCTTCTTCCCCCACCAGTGAAGTATGACTTTCGCATCTAGACGGGTACCAGAAATAGTGACCGATTGGAACTATCGTGCAAGTGGGAGTCGTCTGAATACCAGAGAAGTGCATGCCACCTCCCCTACCATCGAATCTGTTTCAAGGCAGAAGTTCGCCCAGTCTCAAGCAGCGATTGATAGGATGAGGAGGAGGGAGATGGAACTGATGGATCAGATGGAGGCAGCGCTGAGTGCGCGACTGAGAAGTTTACGGCTGCTTGAGGAGGGGATGGCGAGTGGGGAAAAGGGGGGGTGTGGAGTTTATAATGGCAAGGAGTGTAAGGCCGGGTAAGCAGAGGGGGAAACATCGATCGGAGAGGAAGCAGAGGTGAGCTTGGTGGACTTTTTGCGTTACTTTTTATAGTCTTACTGTAACCCTTATACTTCGAGGCGGATAACTGCTACAAGTTTAATATATCTTTCTATCTCTCTTCTTTGCTCCAATGTTTCCTTGAAGATTGGTATGATTTTCTCACATAAAGGCAGATAATTGTCGAGGATACAATTCTATCAAATAATCATAAATTCCGTTATTTCGTTACGCTATGTATCAAATTAAAGCTGGCAACAACATTCCGAGCCTCCTCCCAAGAATGTAAACAAACTACGCTCGCTTAGTCGCAAGATGCTTCAAATACAAGCTCAAGCGCAGTGTACAAATTTGCCATATCTCCTTCCCTTGATTCTCATATATGTCGATCATCGTGTTTGCTCACCATGGCTGGAAATCGATATTCCATGTCAGAGTAAATATCCTAGGTAGTTTCGTCGATTGTAGCCTCGCCTTTCGTTTTCATCATAGGAGCATCTGTGTTTTTGTCTTCTGCCTTCGCAGATGCATCCAGTCCGATAGCCTCGATGACTATGGGGGCGCTGATCTCCTCCACCTTGTCTGCAGGTTTTGGTGTCGTTTCCTCGACCACGGGAACCTGGACCTCCTCCACCTTGTCTTCAAATTTTGGTGTCGTGTCCTCGACCTTGGCAACATTGACCTCCTTCACCTTATCGGTAGCTTTTGAAGCCATTTCATCGACCATATCAGCGACCGTTTGCGCTTTTTCAACGACCTGCAATGGCTTCTCCCTTAAAACCTCAGCAATTTTGGTGGGCACCGCGGTCGCCATCTCGACTACACTTTGAGTAGCCTCCTGGCCAACTTTAATCGCTTGCCTGCCACTATCTGAAATAATCTCAGGGACGTTTGAAGTCCTCAACATCGGCGGCTCGTGAACATAGCTAGGTCTTAGGGCCAACAATAGCACAAGAACGCTCAGCACTACGATTACGACGTTCCTACTATCTCGAATTGCCACCTTGAAAGCTGCGAGAAGGAGTTCAGAAAGCGAGTCCTCGTCGATGCTCGCCCTGGACCTGCTCCGTCTGGAAGGCTGGGGACGCTCTTGTTCTTGCTCTTGCTCTGGCTCTGGCTCTTCCACGATTGGAACACTCTGCTCGAATATCTCCCTCCTCCTTTCCTCTTCTAGAATGTCGTTCAATTCTGCTTCGTCCATCCTTCTTTGTTCGGCTTCGTCGATATGTTCTTCGGGTACGCTCTGTACATGTGCAGGCTCAGGCTCTGGCTCAGGCTCAAGTTCTGGCTCGGGTTCAAGCTCAAGTTCTGGCTCGGGTTCAAGCTCAATTTCTTGCTCAGGCTCAACCTCTTGCCCGGGCTCAACCTCGGGCTCACGCGGATGCTCATAGTCATGTTCGTTCTCGTTCGTCACCTCTTCGTCGACGAAACCATCCCCGTGCTCTTCCTCATCCACTGGTGTTGCATGCTTCGACATCATTATCATATTTTCAAGCTCACCGTGTTGTTGTAACTCGATATATGGCTCGATTTCGATGTCCACCCTCTCCATCTCCCTCCAAACCGCTGCCCAGGCACCTGCCCGCATCAAACCATTACTTGCATATGTCTTGATCGTGAATCTCTTTCCTTGCACATCACCACCATCTTCAAGTCTCACTTCTCTCCTGCAGATGTCACACCATTTCCTGCGCGTTTCCGGATCACGACTCCAGTAATCACCGCCCTCTTCATCTGATGACGGTGTTTCGATATCCTGGGGTCCCATATAATGTCCACATTTCAATATTAGAGCTCGGGGCCGGACTGGCAATTCCAAGGCTTCTAGGAGGCGCTCTTCGAGAACTTCATAGGAATCTTGTGGATGCGGGAGGAGAACACCTCGTTCGAGCACTGCATCCCCGAGCTTCTGCTGAAGTAGTCTCCAACTTTCCTTGATCTTTTGCAGATTTTCCGGTAGATCAGGTGAGGACATTAAATGAGAGTATGGCCATTGCAATGGGAGAACTGTCACATGCAGTAATATGAGTGGGTATTCCTTTTTTGTTTTGAAGCGGGTAGGTGTTCTATTTTTAGATGCGTGAGAGCTAGGCGTTCCAATTCGAGATACGGTAGGGAGGCGGCGTTTAGTGGAACGGGGAGAGGAGAATATTGATGCTGTTGGGGACGACATTTGCATTGCACGAACTGAGGAGGGAGTTCGGAACGGAGGTCGAGAGAGGACCTTGCTGGGCGTGGTGTCTGCGTCCGGTATTGGATGCATGAATGAGGTTGTGCTAGGAATTCGGGATACAATGTCGTCCTCTTGGCTGGAAGCCGCCTCCTCTCCAACGGCTGGAGAAGTGAGTGTTTTTTGCTGATATATATCGTCTGAGCTGTGGAGGTCATCACTGGAGTTCAAGCTGCTTCGCGGACTGTGTCCAGAATTCTGGCTGAAAACATCGTCCTCGATATCCCCATCATGATGCGAGCTCGAGTCTTCATGATCGTTGTCCGAATGATGTTCGTCATCTGAATCGTATTTTGCAATCACATCTTGAGCCTCGCCCTGTTCTGAGTGATGATCGGTCTCTGACTCGTACATTACTTCGGTACCCTCGGTGGCATTGTGTAGCTCGGTGCTCTCTTCGTTTTCGCTTTCGTAATGTGCTTGTTTATCGCCTTTGGCATCACCATGCTCGGATTGGTGCTCATTCTCCGTGTCGTACGAAGCTTCAGTGCCGCTGTGCAGTTCCGAGTGTTCTCCAGTTCCCGATTCAAACGACATTTCGGTACCATCAACACCAGAAGACTCCGTTCCATCGTAGGTCAACTCAGTTCCTTCTCCTTCATAGCTTTCATCCGCTTGCATGCTCAACTCCGAGTCCCGATTTCCGCTATATGAATCATGCTCCATGCTTGCAACAACAGCACGAGCTGCAGCCTGGATCTTCTCTTCTAAACCATCGATTTGGCGTGAGTCTCGATCTTCTTGCTCCTTGTCTTGGGTGGCTTCATTCGCAATATCGACGTCTTTTTCAGGAGATACTGCCGACCAAGAATCATGGTGGACGACTGTTTCGTTCGAGGTAACTCGCTCGGCCGGCATTTGTAGGTCTGTAGAGTCTGTCAAACAGGAGGGATCAACATGGATTTTGAAGTCTTGGTCTGATGTTGTTTTCCCCATTTCGAGAACAGGGGCGGGGTTTCTGGATAACTGAATGTGATTACGCGGCGGGTTAACGCAGTAACCCGTTTGCTGGGATAGGTAAGACAAAAGTGTGTGTATTCTGGGATTATCCGAATCTATCTCCCTGCGATGTGATGTTTACTTCTTAGTGACGTGGTTGCTACAGTTACAGAGATGCAATTTACTAGTGTCAAAACCCGATTTCTTGCCGACAACCCCCCTGAGCCCACCCTGTGACGCAAAAACCAAGAACCAACCTTCTAGACATACGCTTATTTGAATTAAACTTTTAGTATAGGTAGTGGTTAGAAATATTGTTATAAATAGTTAGATCCTAAAAGAATTTCTATTTCAATCAAGTTTTAGTTACATAGCTAACAGTTTTATATGCTTTCCTGCCACGAAATGCCAAGATTTAGATATACTCTGTTTCCATCTAAAACCCGCCCCTTCCTAGAATCCTTAACAAGTAGCTCTTATAACTATATAAAATGATGACATAGTAATGCAGATTGGGATTTGATAGCTTTTTGATTATTTTATCTTAAGTCCGCCCTTTCAAAAAAAGCTCAATAACAAGAGCGTAAAACTATCTAAAAGTGTATATAAAGTAGAACCTAAGTATCAAGTATCATAATCTCAAGTCGTGGTTGCGAGGCAAATCGCAATTTATTAACTGCGATAGGGGCTCCGTGGCAAAATCACGGCTTTTGACACTACCTCTACAGAGTAGGTAACGCAAGGTAGTTAGTAGCATCGCTGTGAGGCGATAGAGATCCAACTCAGCTCCAAGCATCGAGTGTCTTCCTTAAAAGACATCCTTCACTAGATGCATGTCCTTGCTGAACTTAGACTCAATTACTACCTAGGTCAGCGAGCCTACGAAGAAATCCGAGGCTTGAGATGACATGCTCACTTCCCTGCATTGGTTGCCACAACTATTTCCTAAATCCATTACCAATAACAAGGCATGCACTCGCCGTACTCCATACTAATATCACCCAAATCCCAAATCGATCATGCCATCCCATTCCATAACCCATGTTCCCTCACTTTCTCCCTCTTCTCCCTCTCTTCCCCAACAAACTCAAAGCCAAACCTTCCATTCCCTCCCCCTCTCCACCCCATCCCCATCCCCATCCCCACACCCCACAAACCCCCAACTCAAACCACCTTTCCTACAGCTCGTAACATGTTCATGTTCCCCGTGATATCTCTTCGGCAAAAGATGTCTGACATTCACGACGCTAAAGAGCATAATTGTGATGGACAGCGCGGCAAAGATGCAGATCATGCGGCGCTTTTGTTCGAAATGGAGATGTGTCATTATTGGGCTTTTTGATAAATTGATTATGTTGGGTAAATTCAAGGGGATTCAGTTATTGATTAGATGCGGAAGGATTGGACGTTGCAAGTTATAGGGATCAGCCCACGGTCACAATGTACCGTACGGAGTCCATGTGCGGGTAAGTGACGCTAAACAAGGGTGGTGTGGGGAAGTGGGGAAGGCTGGGGTTTATTTATTTTTACGAGCAAGGCAACGGAGATCCAATACAACTAAGTAAGTCTAATAGTTACTATAGTCTGATGGAAATTTGAATCTCGGCATGATATCAAAATGTCAAGAATACTCAGCGAGAACCTGAACCACGAGATCTTTCGTGTTATAGAAGTTTCGGCATTTAGTGTATCTAAAGCAGTAGACTCGGACTCCTGTCTAGCTTTTACGCAACCTGCCTACTTGTAGGTCAATGTTTCCCTTAGACAAAGCTAAATGCCCATCATACCGTATACTTTTCATTCCTCAAGACGCCCACAACGGAGCAGTAACCTCAACCGCTCTTTCCACCACAGCACGAACTCTGTCCCCAAAAACCCTGTTCGTACATTCGACTTCTAAGTCCTCTAGCCAGACCTTTGCAACCATTTTGTCTACCTTGATCTCAACTCCCGGAACAGGGATACCGATTTTGTGTAGCCTCTCGAGTTCTTCCCTTTGGAGGGCATCTTCATCCTCCGAACCTTCTGATGCGTCATCTTCTCCTCCATCTTTCAAAGTTGATGGAGATGCAGGCGCGATTGCTTTTGTTTGAGAGACCCGAGGAAGCTTGATTGGTTGGAGGTTCTCGGGGCCAAATTGGGCTTCTAGGAACATGGAAAGGCGCTCGAATCTTTCAAATGGCGTAAGGTTCGCATGGGCGTTTTTGGTTGGTAGTGTATGGGAGTGGGAGTGCTTGCTTGAGGATTCTGTGAAACATGTCAGTCAACTTAACCGATACCAGGACGGTGAACAAACGTTTCACTGCAGCAGGACTGCTCTCTACAGAAAACAAAACTGCCATAATAGCATCCGCAATCCCATCATTGAGCATGTTGCCTTCCCATTCCAGCTCAACGTCCCCATTGCTGCTATGACGAACGGTCACACAGTCCATAACCAAATAAGCAGTTAATTGTCTCGAGATCTCTTCATCTGCATCCTCCGATGATCCATTCATATGGGTATCACCGTTCTGTGCTTTAGATTTGCTGTCTGGCAACTCTTCAATGCTTCCAAACGTGCCCTCCAAAGCCCACTTGATCAACTCTATACCAGCAGCACTCAGTGTCATACGCTGCTTGCACGTAATTGTTGTAGTGGTCAGGCCAGCATATTCTCTCAAGTCTTCCGGAGCCATCAACGACATTTTGAAGTCATTTTGCACCAATACTCCGGTTATAAGTTGTGACTGGCTGTCTTCAATGTTTGAGGGTGGAGGGAGAGAGGCTAATTTCCCAACAACTTTGGCTATTTTGTCGGCTTTGAATGGGATCCGAAGCTCCTCGCAGTTTCGAGGACTGAAAACCTTGACTTTATTCGTCTTATCAGCGTTGAGTGAGAGTAATTTCGACTTCAAACGCATCATATTATGTTGCTCCCCATGGACTAGGATCTATAGTTGTTTCGTTAGCATATTGAAATCAAGTGCGTTGAGAATACTGACCACAACAGGAGCAGCAACATCCTCGATGAATTCTCTATTTTCTGTACCATCCACATGGGCTGCGAATGAATACTCTTGGACGCTGCACCGTCTGGGTATCATGACTTTGTCGCTGTCTCCAGCCCCAGGTCCTCGTCTGGCAGCACCATTACCTCGAGACATGATTGCTTGGATTTGATCTGGCTCCTGCACAATATGTTTTGCCATAGTCCCTTCGACACTGTAACCCGTAATGATAACCCCGTTTTGCGGGTTCGGGGCCCATCGTTCCAGTAACTCTCTGCTGACACCATTTTGCAGCATACCTGGAGTAGCAAGCATGACACAACTCCCAACGTCGTCAAATCGATCGAGATTTTTCAAAGACCGAATGTATTCAAAGTCCCATGGCCCCATAGATTTGCCAACTGTGTCCGCCGATGCTTCTGCTTCTGCCATACGCTCTTTGAAGATACGTTTGATGTTATCGTTCATAGCGCTGATATAAGTCTGATAAACCAGCATACATTTGCGAGCTAAGTTACTGGCGTAGTAGATAGGAATCTTTTGAAATTCAGCATGCCTACTCCAGTATTCGTCCAGAATCAAGAGAAGCTCTTGAGCACGTCCTAGAGCAAAGACCGGCATCAAAACCCGGCCTCCTCGGTTCAATATCCCGGTTATGGACTTCATTAGTGCTTGCTCTCGTTCTAGACGGGGAACATGTGTAGCTATGCCATAAGTTGACTCTGTAATCAGAACATCTATTTTCACTCCCTTGGGAACTTCTGCGGAGACCAGATGGCGATCATCCTCCCGAGAATAATCGCCGGTGAAGAAGAGCTTCAGTCCAGCGATTTCGATAAGAAACATAGCAGCACCCAGGACATGTCCAGCTGGATAAGGTGTAATTCGAATCGATGATATGGTGTGGGTAGTATGGTAATCGATGGCTTCGATTTGGGGAAATGTAGACAGATGGTCCGCTTCAGTATATAAGGGTTGGGAAGTGGCAGATGCTCCTCCGACTCGGATACTGTCTTGGATGAGCCACTTGTAAATGGCTTTTGTGGGATGTGTCATGAAGACTCGGCCTTTGAAATTGGTCTTTGCCAGGACATATGGGAGTGAAGCCGCATGGTCGACGTGGAAACTTTACAAAGTCAGTGAGCAGTCTTTGGAGTGAGCGCATAGTACCATGGATGGGGACAGAAACGCTAGGTGATATAGGTACAGTACGGTGGGCTCGAATGCAGGTCATCTTCACAGAATCAAGACATGCATCTGCTCGGATAAAGGTTTTGTATTGATTCTCGTATACATGATAAACTTGAAGAGAAACACTCTCCCGGGAGGAGATCTCGATAAGTGCGAAGTGCCAAGCTGAAATTGTTTCCCGATTCCTGCCCATGAAATATAACAGAATAGGAGAGTCGCTTACTGGCTAATCAAGAGCACATCGACAGTGCTTAAGTCGAAATCGTCGTAGAAGGGGAGAGATGCCAGGCCTTCATATCCTGCGTGCATTCCGGCATCGAGCTGTGCAGCACAGATTAGATTAGTTGATAGTCGAGCAAGGGCGCAGAGATAGAACTCACCATGACGGTTTTGCCCTTGTACTGGATGATGTGACAGGATCGGCCCACTTCATTGCCTCCTCCGAGGTTCAAGAACATCAATTCATCAGCAGGATCAACCGGCTCCTCGACGACAGGCGCCATAGCCGCTGCCTTACGTTTGGATGCCATCGCGAAGTTGAGTCTGTCCAAATCCAGAACACCTGTCGAGCGCGCCTCTTGCAGGCAGAGCTTGGTTAGTAGAGTCTCATATCCATGAGCAGCGATTTAGAAGATCTGCTTGGCTGGCCTCAAATGAAGAGAAGAGACGAAGCCTCTACGTAAACAATGGATGTGTAGCTGCTAAGCTGCTGTAATTGGATTATCGTCGATTAAACTCGACGCGGAATGTTCTACAGGCGCAGCACCACGTGACATGAGACTAGTCGCGGTTTCGCAGAGGAATGCGAACGAACGTTCATTCAAGACACAAGAATCGGCTACGGCGCATCAGAACAGCAACAAGACGATACATCCGGATCTCGAGAATAGCGCATTCATCTGAGCGCCTATTTAGTCTTGCACTGGCGTATGGGTCGAAATTTCTGGACGGCGTGGGGCTTTGCGCCTGCTTCATGAAAGAGCAGCTGGTGAAGGAGGAAGTCGCGAGGGACCTCTGAATTGCCTCAAGAATGGCGCAACCACCGCCCCCGCAGCAACAGCAACAGCAACAGCAATATGCGATGCCGTCTCCGCAGTATTCACCGCCGCATTCGGCAGCGGCGATGTCCCCAGCGAACTCTCAGTTCCCTTTCCCCCCAGCTAAGAAACAACGATTATCTCCAAATCCACCATCCCAACCCAGCTCGCCCTACGTCCAGTCCCCCTATGCTATGAGCCCTGGAACAGCTGCACCGCAATCTGCGAGTGCCTCTCCTCACTTTGCAAACGTTCAACTTCCACCGAATGTCTACAATACGCCATACTCGAACGGCCATACAACACCCAACATCAACCTCCCCCAGGCCCAGCCCCAACCGAATCACCAGAACCACCAGCAGCCAAATCCACTCAATCTACCCAACCAGATTAATACGCAGAATAACTTTAACGACTACAATATGGCTCCACGGGGGCCTGGCTCTATGGGCCCGCCCTCAAAGCCCGCCGATAGATCAAGAGAAGACGGCGTTGATATGATGGATGTATTAGGAGGCACAGGAGTCGACATACGAGAAGAAGAGCAATACATGTACCAGTCCTTCAATTCTCAGCAATCCGGCTCGCAGTCAGGCACTATCTCGTCAAGCCATAGTTTCACTCAGTTTCCTCCTGGAGACGAGAGGTCGTTCTATGGGGCGGGTCCTGCAAATGCAGCTCCTGAGCAGGTGAATGGAAAGTCACAAGAGGAGTACGAAAAGAAAGCGGCAGATAAAGCCTGGCATGATGCAGCTCGGAACATATCCGTTTCGAGACAGCGTGAACTCGGTGACCCGTTTTTGGACACGGCACGTACACAATTGAAGGAGCAACGAATCGCTCAGGACCATGGACTTTTACTGCACTTAGGGCCTAATGGGCTGATGGGTCAGATGGTCCTGCCTAATCAGTTCTCGCAGTCTAATGTAAACGTGCAAACGGCTGTAGGACCCAATGGAGCTATGACTGCCACTAGTGGTAACTTTCTCTCCCCGGAATCCCTGCTCGTGGACCAGCTCTGTCTCCTCTCAATTGCGACTAAGCATCGCTTGAGAGGGTTTATCGAGGAGGCTGCAAAATTAGCCAAGGGACGACAGACTGGATCTCATGGGATCGTTCCTGGCGAATGGGCTGACGCCGCGGCTTCGGCTTCTATGTCTACTGCTGTACCTGAAGGGGGCCCGCGCAGTGGATGGGAGAGTGCAGTTAGCCCTCAGTCTAACCCACGAAAGCGTAAGACTCTTATTGTTTGCTTGTACGTTGGTACTAATTGAACTAAGGCTCGCATTCCGCTGCAAACAAGTTGCCAACTCCTGTTTCGGACGGCTCAAAGACACCATCTGAAACCCCCAAATTTACTAATGAGGTTGTCAGTGCCCTCCGAGCATCAGCACTGAAAGAGCGTGCAGACGAAGAAGAACGGCTCCGGAAGCGAGCGGCTCGAGCTGCTCGCGCTTCAGGGGATGTCACTCGGTCAGGCTCTGTAATTCCTGGAACGCCTGGTTCTATTGCTCCCGAAGTTCCAGAGAAGGGATCTTCGAAAAAAGAGACCAAAAAGAAGGCAGATAGCAAAGCAAGCGAAGAAGCTAATCACAAAGCTGCGAACGCAACTACTTCGCAGTTCTTGAGTGGGAGTCGAGGTTTGTTTGGAAAGAAGAAGCAATATAGTTGGATGAGCAATGCGGCAAGTGGTACCAGTACTCCTTCTCGTCTCATGACTTCTGGGCTCCCTGGCACGCCTCCTGCTGCCCCTGCTCCCGAGAAGCTAACTGCAGAGGGCGTCAGACGTCTGGGAATGTGGCGAGAAGACAAGGAAAAAGGCACTGGTATCCAGCTCCGTGACTGGATCTGCGTTCTCGAGGATGATGGTCATGAGAAGAGGGCGTTGCAGAAGGCGTATACTCTTTTAGATGGCTCGGAGCCGAAGTGAGCTGGCATATCCGGGGGAAAGCTTGGCATCTTGGCATCTATTTGGCCACAGAGCCTTTGTATTGTTTGTAAGATTCATACTTAATTTGCGCGGCGTTGCATGAAAATGGCGTTTGGCTTCCTTGGATGGAGGAATGCTACCTCATCTACGGAGGTATTATACGGTTTAATGCATTCGGAAGTATGGACAGATACATCAATTGCATCAATCAAAGATTGTAACATTAAATACCATTTCTGTCCTGTGTTCAGGGTCCCAAGGCTCTTGGCGAGAATACTTCTGTATGATATATTAAAGAGCACTCATACGTTGAGGTCTGGATGCGCCTCTTCACGACACGCTCCCTTTCATGATACCTCACATTGCACACTTATTTCCAAGCCGAATATACCTGGTTGCTTCGTCCGGAAGGCTAGAACCTCCTGATTGGTTGCCTCTATGGTTTTGTGAAATCGCAAAGGTAGGTAATAATTCCCTAGATAGTATAGTATTCGTCGGAGGAATAACGGTAAAGTTCTCGGGGTCGCAAACACTTAACGACTAGCTTCCACTTTACAAAGACAAATATACTAATAAATCTGGTATCTGGCATCATGGATTGGAACGGCTGAAAAGTCTCGACATGGATGCTTAGAGAAACATCATCGATAGTGCAAATTGCTCTAGAAGTACAGTCGTGCGCAGCAATGAAAATGTGAACACAGACCAATGATAACGCATTCTAGCAGCCAACCCAGCAATGCAGATGCAGCAATCCCATGACTGTTGCCTTCACAAGCTTGAAGACTCAAGGAGAGGTTTGTGAAGTTTGAAACGTCGTTAACAAGTCCAGAGCTTCATGGATATGCCCAGGAGGCCCAGGCCCAGGCCCAGGCCCCTCACGGGAAACACCCACTTCGGGAGCACATGTACAACGGAACGGTATGATGTATCAATGATCAACTCTACACTCACCACCAAAGTACGAAGTATCATATCCTATTACCTATGCAACATCACTCTTTTGACGTGCCATGTCATGCTAATGGACTCTGGGCATAGGAGAAAGCATCCGTCCATCCATCTATCAATCCATCAGCAGTGTTATCGGTATGGGCGTGGGCGTGTTCGGGAAGAGTAGGAGCCGGTGCTCGGGAATCGTGGTTGGTGTGTGTAGTTCCTTCCCATCCTCTGCTTTTCGTGCCATGAACTACCGGCAAGTACAGTAGCAATATAGTCATAGACCTTAAATATACTTACTCCGCATTCCCCCATCTTTTGACGTTCAACATATCTTATCATGTTTGTTTGTTCCATCAATCAGTCATTTAGAGGTGCTTCCATTTATTTATTTTCAATCCCTCGGCTCCAGTCACACCCGACAACCACAAAGGCCCCCTTTCTTCTTTGTCGGTCCGGTACGTCACCACCACATACATACCCGCCACTATGAATTGTCCTTCTCGCACTGAAGAACCCGAGGGCGATGGCTTTAATCAGAATCCTAGCTCGCTGGCTGCGGACCTTACCACCAGACAAGATCTAAATGGCATTGCTAATACGAGGATTTTACGGAGGACTTCAAGCAGCGAGATGCAACAAATGGAGGAGCATGAACCATGTAGACAGGCAGAACGTGATAAAAATAATCATTCGTCCAAGGAGGGGGGTGAGGGGGCGTTGGCGAGCCGTGATGGAAGCGGCTGTGGGAGGGGTGGCCTTGGAGGTGGTAAAGGCACCGTCCGACAGAGATCCAAGGATTTCTCAGTTGACCTCTTTACGAGGGCTCGAAAGTTCGCAACGACTTTCGGGAAGTTTATTGGCCCAGGATTTATGGTAATTCCACTATATTCGATACACATTGTTCCTCGCTGACCTTTTTCAAGATCGCCGTGGCATACATTGACCCTGGCAATTACTCAACAGATGTTGCTGCCGGTTCCACATACAGGTTCAAACTCCTGTTTGTTGTTCTGATGTCAAATATTTTTGCCATTTTCTTACAGAGCCTGTGCATCAAACTGGGTAGCGTGAGTGGACTTAATCTCGCGGAGGCTTGTAAAGAGTTTCTCCCAAGATGGCTGAACATTTTTCTATATGTCATGGCCGAAGCAGCGGTGAGCCAACCTCCCTCACCAAGTCTATGGGTAATACTGATGTCCTGTTAGATTATTGCAACTGATATCGCTGAAGTTATCGGAACAGCCATTGCAATCAATCTTTTGATTCCCCAGATACCATTAGTTGCAGGATGCGCGTTGTCGATCGTCGATGTGCTCCTCATTTTACTTTTCTATACGCCGAATGGGTCTATGAAAGGACTCCGTGCTTTTGAAATATTTGTTATGTTCCTTGTATTGGGTGTTGTAATATGCTTCTGCATTCAACTGAGCCTGATTAAAGATACCTCTGTGGGTGAGGTTTTCAGGGGATACATTCCCTCATCTGCCATTGTACAGTCTCAAGGGTGCGTACACATCCCCGAAACTTTGTTATGCAGATACTGATTAACCCCAGCCTCTACCAAGCATGTGGTATCCTTGGCGCCACAGTCATGCCTCATAGTCTTTACCTAGGAAGCGGAATCGTCCAGCCTCGACTTCTGGAATACGATGTCAAGAATGGCTTTGCAACTCCGCCGAACCGTGCTGAAAGCTCCAAAAAACAGCCATATTTCCCATCAGTAGCTGCCATCAACTTTTGCCTCAAATACTCGATCGCTGAATTGGCAATCGCCCTCTTCACATTCGCCCTTTTCGTCAACAGTGCCATTCTGATCACGGCCGGGGCTTCTCTCCAAGGGTCCGAGGCTGCCGATGCCGATCTGTTTGGTATATATCACCTACTCTCGTCAAGCATTGCTCCCGCTGCAGGAACCATTTTCGCCCTCGCCCTTCTTCTGTCTGGCATAAGTGCTGGCATCGTCTGCACTATTGCAGGTCAAATGGTTTCAGAAGGTGCAATTAACTGGACGATTGCACCGTGGCTCCGACGTCTCCTCACGAGAAGCATCAGTATCACGCCCAGCATTATCATCGCTGGTGCCGTAGGTAGAGACGGTCTCTCTGCTGCATTGAACGGGTCCCAGGTTGCTCTCAGTGTTGTTCTCCCATTTGTCTCTGCTCCTTTGATTTATTTCACCTGCCGAAATAAGTATATGACTGTTCGAGCCCATCGTCCTGGAACGAGTACAGCGGTGGACGGGGATGAGGAAGAAGTTCTAGACGGGAGGTTTGGTGGTGTGATGGAGGCACCTGGTCAAGAGCCTGTCAAGATGAGAAACAATTGGATTATTGCTACCTTGGGCGTTCTCATTTGGCTGATCATAACTATCATGAATGTTGCCAACCTGGTGTTGCTGGGAAAAGGAGAGACATAGTACAGCTAGAACCAGGATATCTGCTGCTATAAATGCTACAAACAGATAGATGTTCCCCGTGTAAACAGAGTGTTGCGAGTTTAGTGTCGTATCTCTGGATGATACTGGAGATATATCCTGCTTCAACAGAATATGATGATGGGGGAAATGACGATGACTTCTTGCTTGAATGAACCCAGACATTAGACGAAATTAATGAATATATGAAGTGTGCTTGAAATGCTTGTGGCTCCGAAATCTTGGTGGTGATAGGCTTCCGCCGAAGACATGAATAAATACAGTCTGGCTGCTCTAAACGTGTGCCTGGAATCTATGAATTCCACTGAAGTTCAAAGCAAATCATGTCTCTGTAACAAAACTCCAGTGTTCTTCGAAAGAAGAAGAAATTCAGAATATATCACGTGTATATAATCACATGACCAGAAGTCCGAAGCTAGTCTTTCGCTAAGCTTCGCACAATCGACATGGACTTTTCGCGGACGACCTCGAACTTTTTTCCTCATCCACTACTCTCGACAACTTCCTCCTTACGCCGACAAATCCAACCGCAATCATGACCGGTGGTGTTTCTGTTCGCGATGTTGATGTGAGTATATACAAATCCGGAGGAACAACCTGAGAGACGAGGGGAAGAAGAATTCGAACGAAAATACCTTCAACCTTTACTTCGATAATATACTGCGACCCCTCGATCTCGATGGAATATGTTGAATGAGCAGGTGCGAGGGGGTCGCAAAGACCTCTGCTGACGGAATAATGCTGATTCGACTTGGGATTTCAGGCGCAAAAGTTCATCGAGTCATATGCCGCCTTCTTGAAGAGACAGGGAAAACTTCCCATTCCAGGTATGGAGTTGCTCCTTTTTCTTTTTCACTTCACTTTCTCGTCCTTCTACACTTGTGCCGTAGAAGAGAGCATTCGCAACTGCCATCACAATTACTAACACTTCCACAGGTTGGGTTGACACCGTCAAGACCGGCCCAGCCAAGGAGCTCCCCCCTCAATCAATCGACTGGTTCTACGTCCGCGCCGCCTCGATCGCCCGCCACGTCTACCTGCGCAAAACCGTCGGTGTCGGCCGTCTCCGCAAAGTCCACGGCAGCACACGCAACCGCGGATCCCGCCCATCCCACCACGTCGATGCCTCTGGCTCCGTCGACCGCAAGGTCATGCAAGCGCTTGAGAAGATCGGTGTCCTGGAGCAGGATGAGGACAAGGGAGGACGACGCATTACGCAGAGTGGACAGAGAGATTTGGACCGTATCGCGCAGACCACTGTCGAGGCTGATGAGGACGAGGACGACGAGTAGATCATTTTGCTGAGCGCTGTACTCTGGGAAAATGGGGCGTTGGCTTTACTAGGGATATCCACAAGAATTGAGATTTTCTAAAAGCCACACTCTGTTGCTAACTGCTGTAATTCCTGTGACCCTGATCGATGTCCATGTTCCCACTGTCTGTCTGTCTTGTGGAGCCTAGGGTTGCCTAGCATCCATTACTCAACCCCGAGCCTCTCCAGGATATCCAGGATAATACTCGTCGGATTGTGCGAGCTGATGTAAGCGATTGATGCTGTATAACCTATCGACCTATGAAGAAATAACCAGCACTCTACAGAGTCGAAAGGTGAACGTGGGGAAGACTTACTTGGCAAAGCCAAGATTACCTGAGGACCAATACTGCAGCATTAAAAGTGTTTTCTTCACTTGAGTTTGCATGATTATTTAGATAAATGGTAAATTAACCTCGAACTATCATCACATCTCCAGAAATCACACAATTCGCTCTGTCTTCCTTCCTTCCTTCCACCCTGACATAAATAAACAACCACGATGGTTTCGTCTGTCTTAACGCCGTCCATGCATATGCTCTACTCAACCAGGATGATCCGGGAGTTCTAATATCCCGTCTTCCCCGCCCTTCCCTTCCCTCCCTACCACTGTTATACAAATGAACAAAATTCTGTGCTGTGCTGTGCTGTGTCCGCAAACCAACTTCCGTGACTTGCTTGGATAATGTGTTGGCCCTGCTATGAGTGAGGTGCAGGTCCGAAATCAATGATTTGTTAATCCACCCAGTATGTTTTTCCCGAGTAGTCCTTTCTTCTTCTTTGTTGAAGATGCTACGTCATTATCAGCAACTTCCTCTGCCTCTGCTCCTGCCCCATGCGATGCACCCTTCTTGAGCCGATTGAAGAAGCCTCCACTCTTGCCCTCCTGTGCATGCGGTTCGCTGTCATTCTTCATGCTCCTTCTGTCACTGGCAATACTGGCCCCACTATCATTGGCTCTTGCTGGCGTCATCGTGAGGGTCGATAGCATGCGCCCAGGAGCCGGGACAGAAACGACGCTAGAAGAGCCACTGGGTGTACGAACCAGCGGATTACCACTCGACGCAAAAGAGCGTCTTGGGCTCTTTGAGCGCTCAGAGCGTTTAGTGTCTATAGAGTTCGTACGTCTGCTGCTACTAGCATCGCTATTGTCGCGGGAATTATCCGTACTCGAAGGTGCCAGAACCACGCTGCTAGTAGCAAGTTCTCGCAGTCTACTCTGCTGAGCGGTATTGGGACGATGCTTGCTGAACTTATTCCCAATGATAGCGCCGGTGTGGGAGATGAGGGCTCTGATGACATCTTTCTTCAAAGCGAGGGCGAGATCTAGGTTGGACCATGTCTTGTTGCGGTATTCAATCAGGGGAAGACGGAAGACAAAATCATTTACATCTTCGATGTTGCGTTCTCCCTTGCCCTTGTAACTGAGGCACAACACCACACTCGGTATTTTGACATACGCGAATGTCATGTAGTTAGATGCTCGAGACATCATTTCGGTCAAATCGTCAGACGGCTTGTCCTTTTGAGACTTGGCACCATTTCGATGGATACCGAAACGTTTGGGTTTCGTATCAGAGTTAGTCGAATTAGTATCGAAAGTTGACATGCCAGTTGGCGACCGACCGAGAGTAGGACGTGATGTGATACTCGAGTGCATGCTTTCGATCGACGGCTTCTTCATGACTGACTTTAGCGAAGAACGTGAACTTTGCGGAACCTTGTTGCTTGATTGGAAGAGTCGGAAATGATGTCCGTCGCTCGTAGCTTTGGATTTATTAGAATAAGATGTAATTGGCCGGGCCTCTGAGTTCATGGTGGGATGCAAGCGTAATTCTAGAGACCCTGCCCTCGCGCTAGATGGCGACTCTTGTTTCTCTCCTTCCATTACCAATGATCTGTTAGTGTTTGTTGCGGTGGTGTTGTCTTCTTCATCTTCAACAGGTGGCATATGCTTCACCATGAATGGCGATTTATTATTTGCCTTTCCTGGTTTGTCGTCGTTGGAATCAGGGAACATATATTCGAAAAGCCGCTTTCCAACTTCACGTTCCAGCTGGATTTTCATCGGGAAAAGATTGACTTCGAAATGATCCATAACAGGAATTCCAGCGATTGCCTCCAGCATATACCAGTAGACTCTCAACATCTGCTGATTGCCTCCTTCGTTGAAGGTCCCACGCTCAACATCTGAGTATGGAGCAAACATCTCAGGGTAAATAGCATCCGGGAGGAGATTCAGGCCAACAATCTTCCCAATTTGCATCAAATTGATATGAGATCCGTCGGAATTGTCTGTTCGGTCGTATTCGGCCTTTTGAAGCTGGAACTCCATCAGTGGCTCGTTGTTGTCTCGGATTAAATGCCAGACAATTTGATCGGAGGATATGTTCCATCTAAGTAGACCAGTAGTCTGTGCCCCGTCGTATTTGCGCTGAGATGTCGTGATGGCTTTCATTAGGAAAAATAACTCATCCTCACAAGCCGTTAAATCTGTGTCGAGTAGTAGCCTATCTTCCCATCCCTTTGTGTCTAGGTATTTCGAATGTATTTGAAACTGTGTCTTGATTTCATCGAGCTGTCTGATGCGCTCCTGGAGACATATGACCATCTCCGGGGCACCTCGTAAGTCGCTGAAGTCTGATGCAAGCATAATCTTTTCCAGACGCTCAGTTCTGGTTTTCTCTAGCGGTTCACTATACATCAGAAGATCTAGAACAATGATGTACATTGCATAGTACTGAGAAGAGTTGCAAATAGCTCGAACTTGAGGAAATTCCACCGAGAGGTGGTCCATCCGGCTTTCAATATTGTTTGGACCCGCCGTGTGGCCTTCGCCACTGATCCCATCATTATATTTGAGACGCAAAGTATTGTACTTGTCGTATCGTAAGCTGGCTGACGTCTTTTGTACAACTCGCTGGAAGCCAAACGGATCAACCTGAAAGTCGAACATGACTTCCATAGGCACCCACGGCGGCCAGGCTGACCCAGCAGGGGTTCCGTAATGGCTGCCCGAATACAGGGATAACAGTTGAGAAGAAAACCACTTCTGGTGAGTGACGAAGAACTGTGTACTGTCCATTGCGACTGAGAACCGGCGCTGCACAAGGCCACTGACATCATCGTAGATACGATCCTTATCCATAACTTCAACGACCTTGAGTTCCATTCCTTTCGCAGTAACTAAGACGACCGATTTAGGATTCTTCTCGCTCTGAAGTTGGATTTGTGGCGCGATAAGCCGAAGATGGTAGCTGTTCTGCGGGGTAAATTCGCGGCCAATGTCAGAGTCATTTTCGGTTGAAACCCTTGGATTTGGATCTTGCTTCTGGTCGTTCGCATTAACAAAAGCTTTGCCATCTGCAAGGATCTCATTGATGCGATCCTCGACGTCTTGATTGCCAGTATCTTCATCGTGTGTAGAGGCTGGTGAATCAGTTGTAGAAGGGGTGCTTGCTCGACGTTTGGCATCCGGCCTCGCTGTCTTCGCCTTATTCTGCTCTTCAACAATGTCTAGAATGAATTTTACGGCTCGCCGGGAAAGGTAGTATACAAATCCGCGCCTTTGGCTGACTTGGTGGATATAACGGAGTATGATGTTCCGCAAGAGATTGTTCCACTTCATCTGCATATTGTGAATGACGAATCGATTGTTGAAGTCACTGATGAACTCTCCGGCCGGATTAGAATCCATGCCCTCAGTCTCCGAATCGTACTGTTTGGGGTCTGGAGTTTCGTCGTCTCTAAGGGCCTCCGCATCGCCATCTGGTACGGCCCGGTTGGTTTCTGTATATACACGCGTCGTCATTTGACGCAACATTGATTCCAGAAATAGCTTCTTTTCTCGTAGAAAGGCGGTATGCTTATTTAATTGATCGAAATCTTCCTTCAATGCGGAGTCGCTATCATTTCTCAAATACTTGAGCTCTGCATCCTCGAGGGATGCATTATGCGACTGCATTTGTTTTTCGAGTTGACCTAGGCGGCTTTGAATCAATTGGCATTGTACACGCCGAGGATCGTCGTCTTTGCTCATAATACAGAAATGCGTTGCTTCCTTCCCGAATGGACTTGTGCCGTCTGAGTCTCCGGCAATAGTGTCTCCATGGTCGGTTTGTCGGAAGTATGTAAATCGTGGTGCATATGCGAGAGGCATGATCTTAGTGTCTGGATTTGCTTCAGAAGGCAAAATCCAGTCCAGTTCAACGAAATCATCCATATCAATCCAACTCAGATCGTTATCAGGTATTTCGAAATGGGAAAGATCTGTAGAACCTTCTTCTTGTTGCGCAACAAGGAAAGGAGCCGAAGCTTTTTGTAAATCTTCAGGTGTTGTACCAGCAATGCTAGCTGATACAGCACGAATGTCCGCTGACAACAAGTCCAACTGAGCTTGATGCATTTTCATTGCGGTCGTCTTGCTAGGTGTCTTTTTGCCCTTGTCTTGGGTGTGAAACTCTTCCCGGCGTTGATGAATATCAAGCATGAAACTGTCTAGCCTCATCTTCAGGCCAGTAGCCGAAACGACATCTTCGGAATAGTCCTCGGCATCTTTGTGCTTGTAAATATGACTGAGGAAAAGCGGTGCAAGCAACAAGTTGTATTTGATGGTAGCAAGATGCCTACCAAACTTCTTGCTGGATTTTTCGATACCAGGCCACAAAGTGCCCTGGCGGATAGGAAGTGACATGGTGCCACCGAACATTGACCACCAGGCAAAAAAGTGAGTGAAGAAGCGAGGTGATAGATGTACAGTGTTATAGCTGTTCGATGGCGCCGTATTGGACACAGACCATTCGCGATTGACGGGAGCTTTGATGGCAACGGACATGTGAATATGATGGCTCCGGAATCCACGGAAAGCGTCATATTCCAGGCCTGGTGGGGCTTTTGCATACTGGGGTTCTCTAAAAATGACCTTATAGTGAGGCTCAAAGTCGAAAGATCGTTTTCCTTCCTCTTCGAGATTCCTTTCGAACATCAAGCCAGCAAGCCATTGAACGTTTCCAGAGAGCTTCATGACGACTTTCTTGAATGATGCTCCACGTTTGAAACTGTCCGAGCTTATCACACTATCGTTATCATGGTCCGACTTTTCTGAAGTGAAAGCTTGATGGCTGTAATCAGGGATGGCGAGAATATAATCTCCGCTATCCACAGTCATGAATTTCCGAGGATCATCGTCACGGCAGATGTTCCACCTCACGTCATTCCTCCAGCACATAAGGAAGCCTGCGCCATTGCCGGTCACCAAATAAGGATCCCGTGTTCCCTTGAGCATGAGATGCACATCACCATCTCCCTTCCATGCAACGCTTACTCGAGAGTGGAAGCTCAATCGAATCTTGTCCCAAAAACCAGTCCGATCTGAGGGGTCAACTTGAGGCTTTGTGAAGGTTTCGATCACCATCATCATATCTTGAATCGCTGGTTGATAAGAGGCACCCCATGTTATCCGGGTCGGGAAGCTAGTGTTGATATCCATGTTGATGTCCGAGTATGTTTTAACTGGTGAGATAGTCCGCCTCACATCAATTGCAAAGCTACCCTCGTTTGGTTTACCCTGTGGGCGGTTCTTTGGAGGTATAATGTCTATCTTGACATGGCGAACAGATTCGGGCCCCCGGAACTCTTCTGCAATAACAAAATCGGTCTCGAGAGACCATGCCGAGAGTCTTGGCTTTTGCCCAGGCTTGATCGCTGGGACATGGAGTAGTGGTAGTGGGTAGTCCCGTAGTGTTACACGGGCCTCTCCCATGCTTATTTTGACATGCATAGGAATCAGAAGCGAATACTTCATATCACGAGGCATGCCTTTTCCGACCCGATGCATAAACTCTGGCAAGTGGGCAATGGGGAAGGATGGCTTGTCAATAGTGATGTGAAGGTCACTAACCATTGTCGCCATCAAAGCGGGTCGCTGGGGGACTTCTAAGATATTTTCTGTGTCCACCATATCATCGGGGAGTTGATCGGAACCCCAAAAGACACCACGAAGGTCTTTCATTCCATTTTGAGCTTGGCTGAAGATTCGGTCAATTCTCTTCTTCCAACTTTGAGAATTGTATCGTTGAAGTTTTTCATGTGCCTCTGTTATGGAAACTTTCGCGCTCCCACTGATTCCACATATACCCTCAGGGTCGTACCGCATGCGACGACCACGGGAGTGCCCTGATTCCTGCGTAGGTTCCCCATGTTCGCTTTTACTGCGTTGTCCTGTTTTGTCGTGGTGGTTGCTTCGCCCCCGGGGGTGAGCGGATCTGTTGCGATATCTGGATGAATTCTTTCCCGTTTCTTCCTCTTCAATCTTCTTCGCCTTTGCTTTGAATGCAGCTTCACGGGCTATACGCTGTAACTGTTCGACGAGGCCCGCACGATATATTGCGCCCAATTTCCATTCGAAGGCTCCATCTTCCAACTCAAACAATAATGCCTGACTCTGAATTGAGACTTTTGGTATATGCTTTGGCCCTTCCGGGCCTTTTTCAAGAATGTATTCATTTGTGCCCGTCGAAAACCGGTGATGGAGTTGCTGGACTGACTTCATCGTGTTGACGAAATTATCGAAGATTTTGTGGAGTACAAGTTGATGGGGAACGGCCAATCTGATTGCTTCAGTAGTTACATTAATCGTGTTTTCGTCGTATGTCTCTCCAGTACCTCGCTTCCGCCTATTCTCAAGCAGATCCACCCTGAGTGTCTTAATACTCACAATCCGTGCCCATACGCGTGGCATTTTTGGTGCTTCCGCATAGAGCCTAGCAAGCTTTGCATATACAAAAGGCGCCGACCATCGATGACGTCCAGCTTCCATGCCATAGATTTGGAACATGACTGGGGGGTCCGATGGCATATTCGCTTTTATCTGCACTAATGACGACTTGATATCTACAGTGACGAACTCCTTGATAGGAAAGGGAAAACTGGATCCATCAGATCCGTGGTGCAAGTCCTCAGGAGAACGGATAGGAGAGAGATGTTCCGCTATCCCAAAAATTCGTGGTGCTGGACGGGCTTGCTTGGCTTCTTCTTCATCAGCTTTAGTACGAAGAAATGCTGTCTTAAGCACCGATGTCGCAATGCCACAAGCATAATGACGATAGAGCGAGTATTGGACAAGAAGCGTTTTCACCGCTGAGTTGACATGAAAGATTGGACCTTGGTTATCGCACGTAGTAGATAGCGCAACCTCGAAGCGCGGGATACCGACAAATGGTTCAATCTCCCATATTTCCGTGGATTCGACAACAAAGGCCTCTAGACCACGGACATGAACCGCTAGTCTTCGGCCGTCTGTCGCATTCTGTTGTTTCTTTCGTGGTGAATTGGGCATCTTCAGCAAGATTTCGGCATCTGGTGTTAAAGACCTGCTAGGCGCTCTTCGGCGCGACGCTCTTTTTTCAACGGTATTGGTTTTCTGGGCCCGGTACTCTGCTGTCCAAGACTCCAGCTGCAACGCGACTCCACGAGTATCACCTGAAATCTCCTTATCGACACCAGCGATTTCAGCGCTAAAATCTGAGCCTTGGAGCTGGAAATGCAGAAGCCAAGGCGGCATAGCTCTGATAAAATTAGGATCCCGAGACGTTCTTGCATGTGTCTTGTTCTCTGGTTCCACGTTCACCCGGAGTTGACGAACAATTTGACGAACACCATCACTTATCTCGGGGCGGATCATATGTGCGGAAAAAGTTTGTAAATTGCCTGTCGCAACGACATAAACTTCGGGGTTCGCACTGATTTGGACCTTCAATTCCAGTGATTCTGTCTGCAGCAAATCGTAATGAGCCCCAGAAGATGTTTGGTAGTAGAGGTGGTGAGATTGCAATCTCAGTGTCGATGCTAAGCCATAGTGTAATTCTCCAACTGCTGAATGGGATGATTCGATATCCAATGAGACAGATGAAACGGATGATATGATCAGATCAAAATCATCGGCCTCTGCTGTCTTCGCAACGGGCGGAAGAGCAATCCGTACGACTGGCTCGTGCATTGAAAGCTTAACATTGGCTTTTGGCAACAGTCTAGAAATGAGGGTATGGCTTTCCGGTACTGCTCTGCTCTTCCTTTTCGGTTTTGATTGCATCACTGCCAATACCAAGGGGAGATGTTTTGGGTCCAGGTCGACAGAAGGGGAAGTAACAACGACATTAGCGAAGAGGATGTTGGCATTTCGCTCATCTGCACTATTGTCTGGTGCAGATTCCACTGTCTTGGAGGGCAGTGTCGTTCTAATCGTTGTTGTTGCCATAGGGATATAGACCAACCTATCCGACCCTCCTTGCCCATCATCGACGCCGAGTTCAATAGATAGAGCTGCAAGAAGGGCTTGATGAGCAATGTCCTTGGAAGAGAAGTACATGCGGTGTGCGGGTGACTTCGGGTCAAGTCGATGAAGATCCACGCCAACCTCCTTCATAGTTGCATTGAGATAAACAGGTGAGCCACGAGGCTGAACGGAGTTGACCTGTCTGGTAAATCCCACAAAGCTTACTGCAAATTGTACCTCCTTAATACCCCGTAGAATAGAACTCGCAAATTCCTTAGAATCTGAGACGGTCTGCACAAGGTCTTCCTCTCGGCTACCCGGCTGGTCGATTTCTCCAATGATTTGCTGGAGAGATATTTCTTCGCGTTCGGGTATTTCTCTGTCGTAGAGGTTCAAACAGCCCTTATACCTGTTTATGCATGTATTGATATCGTCATATGGGATGTGTACACGTCCCAGCTTAAGTGCAAACGCTGCATCTCGGAGGCCGTCAAGTTCCTTGTACAGAAGTCCATGAATATTCAAAGTAGCATGGTCCAGTATTTCTAGTGACTCTTTTCCTTCGGGCGTGAAGAGAACGCTGCGCAAGGTCATCATCCACTCCGCCGGTCTCTGGGATTTTTTTGCCGTTTTGACGTGGGAAAACATCCTCCCGCGATCAACCGTTTTGCGTCGGGTGTCCACTGCCATTGTAAAGTTTCCGACCTGTATTTGGCCCACATCTACAACAGTCACTGATGTATTTGTAGCCACTACATCCACCATGCGAATCCAGTTGATATTGCGGTGCATGCGCTTTATTCGTTCCTTGATCGCAGTGAGCCGCTCCCAACTTTTGCTTCTCTGGGATCCGTTGCTCGCTTTCCCGGACGCCCGCTTCCTCTTGGGCTCAAATTCACAACTAGGCCCATCCACGCCTTCTATTTTTATCTCTGGGAGTTCCTCTGCATCGCCACTCTTTTCCCCCTGTGTAGCTTTGAGATTTACTGTTATTGCCAGCTCGGTGAGGACAATACTCAGCCATGTCGGTTGCGCGAAGGTTGGCCTGTGTAGGTTGAGGCCCATACCTCGTATATCTATCTTTATGCCATCTTTCGGAGTGTATGCAAGTCTCCGCAGGGACAGATAACCAATGCGTTGAATGGATATGCCAGTGAGGATTCGAAGTATTGCGAAAAGAATGAACGACGACAGGTACAGGAGGACGAATACCCCAAATATGAAGGTAGGATTCAACAGCGCCATGGATTCGTGGGCCACCTTGCGCCGTCCAAAACAGATTCTCGTAGTCGTCGACCGAGCAAAGAGGGTGTTAGCAACCCCCAATCCCAATCCCAATCCCAATAGCTGTGCGCGGAAACAATGCTGCCATTCGCGACCCTTTGTCCTGTATTGTACTGCACAAGGAATAAGTCAAAGATGAGCCGCCACAAATTCACGCTATGCCGACTGTTCCGACAGTTGACCACATAGAGTATCGTTCGCACACCTCATGGCGGTCGGGGGCCAGGCTAACAATGTCGTGGATTCATGACACACAAAAGACGCCTGATAGTTGTGGATTGATGTTGGAAAGGAGTTATCGAGTCGGATGCTGGTGGATGGAGGCGAGATGCTGACTTGGAAAGATAACAAGCGTCAACCAGCTTCTCTTGCGCGGTTAGGCTAACCTTCGTACGCTCAGTAGCAGATGCAAGAATTCGTAGGCTGAAATTGATGCTGGTGATGGCGATGAGGCAAAAGAGTTCGCAGTGGGTGGGCTGGATCCGAGCTTCTCTGTTGAGACGATTACGCTTATTGATACAGTATATTTGCGGCTGCAGATTACCGTGCATGCGAACTGGCTGGAATTGTAATGAGTAAGCCGCCAATGCCTTTTTGGCCTTGTTCTACCTCGGTATCGCACGAATTCAATCATTATCAAGTTGATATACCAAGTTGATAATGTCCATTAGGTTTATTACACTATTACTGCTATCCAAGAATTTATTTGTATCGCATTCCATTCCCCAACTTCGTAGACCTCGAAATCCCAATCTACATCCCTACTCCCGGACCCGGACCTACAGTAATGTCACGAACTCTCCCGTGCTCACCCTGTCACCATCCCGGTCTTTGTACTCGCAAATTCTCTCCTGCCCTGCCCTGTGGTACTCCGTACCTGCCGCTTTTTCAAGCTTTTATAATTCAACACATACACTACACCTTCGTCCAAGTGGAATAGATGATTTATAGAAGGAGTACAGGAGTCTCGGATCAGGCATCTGGGATGTATGGTTGCGTCTTTGGTCTCAGTAGCTTCTCATCTGCAGTTTGTCAAACCAATTTCGTTCCTTCAGTAGCTTAGTCACAATTCCGATTTTGAATACCAAACTTTAATTTCATCTGCCACTTGCTCGATCCTCGACAAGCCAGTGCTGGGCATGCATGATTCAGCGAGGAAGAGCTGGAAGAACGTAACAATTGTCTAGAATTATGCCGAAGGATTTGGGAATTGGCCGGTCTCTTTCGATGAAGCATTGGCAGTTCTTTAAATCGTTGGAAGTTTTGTGGAAGAGACTGGTTGTACGGAGTCTTTCTGGGACCCTCAAGTCGCCAAACACATCGGAAATTCCATCCGCGGTCCATGTGATTTTTCGAACCGTATTGCTATATTTCTACTACAAAGAACGATCCATGAGGATATGTTTGCAAAGCAGTCATGCTAGAAGATTGACAGCACCTATAAAATAATCAAAGATGCCTTCAACTAGACCGTGGGCCAAAAACCTCACCTTGCTCAGGTGCCTTTGATATGGAGTCAAGGAACCCGGGGTCAGGTTACGCTAGAGTTGTCCTGCCGTCCTGTCAATCAGTATCCATGTCATTGTTGTATTCTCCAGTATGGAATTTGAATGCCTAGATGGCCGGGGCTACTGATCAAGAACTCATAACTCTCAAGTTATGCCTCAAAACTCAAGTTGTATGTTATCCCTGCAAAACAATGTGTCAAGGCGTGATGAATCCAGGAGACTATTCTTCGATCTTTCATACAGCGGGAATAAGGTTATATCCCGTTACTTATCACTGTGCCTGAAGTAGCTTTTGCAGTCATTAGCAGCAACCGCTACTATACACTGTATAAGCACAGCTGTCGACAACCACGAACAAAAAGGCGTGCGCCTTCGACCCAACGCTTGAGCAGCCTTCTCAATCAATAGTTGTTTTTTCCAGTCAACAACCGTAAGCCGATGCTAAAGCATGACCTGAGCCCACCACCGTTTTGCAATTTAACCTAGAGCTGCTTCGATGCTTCCATACCCCGCAAACTTCCCCCGTGTCACTTTCAAGGTCTCGTGGCTACAGTAATCCGAACTCTGGTTGCCAGTTAGGAATGCGGCATCGCGGATACGGTGACGGGTACGAAGCAGTTCTTTACTCCGTATAGATCTGGGGTAAGGCGGTGGAGCTGGGGGTTGAGATTAGGTTTGTGGAGCATATTGGGTGGAGTTTTGGACAGCATGATGAAAAGGTTGTTGAGACCGGGGGGGGGGGGGGACATAGAAGTATGTAGACATATATAACGCAGCTGCTTCGGGTATAGAGTGATTGGTTGAATCCTGGTTATGGATAGCGAAAGAGATAAAGTTCTCTAGTCAACAACCTGACATCTTTCTCTTACTTCTTCAAGTACGGATTCGAGCCTTTAGTGATGTGATGCTTCTTGGATGGGAAGTCCTTCAAGTCGCCTAATACTGCAGGGGAAACGGGAAAAATGAATAGCTTGCATATTGTAGTATGGGTGGCGTATTATACTATATACTCGTTACGGCTTCTGCAAGATCCCTTCCCTCCTTGATCTGGAGCATGTTTCATTTCAGCCTCTTGAACCCCGGTATATGCATCTGTCACTGATATCCTCATCTACTTGCCTCATTAGCACCAGACAATGGTGTAGAGATCCTCATGCAATGGAATCATAACTTACATTGCCTTGGTGAAAGCTGGATACTAACTTATGAGCATACTATTGCGACTCCGCCCTCTCAAAGCAAGCTAATGACAAGCATAGCAGGAGGCTAGTACTGGTAGCGAAAATGAAGTTTGAACTCAGATAAGACTTGAAGCCTGATCGTTTATTGTGTCAGATGATTCAAAGATGATTGGATGGATGGGTTAAATGTTCTAATTCCTTTTCAACTCAGAAATCGTATCTCTGCTCGATATATAGCTCAATGTTTGCTACGGAACAATACTCGATTGTACAAAGAGTAAGACGCCTCTGCCCCGCAACGGGAGGAGATCAGCACCAGGGGGGTGATGCCAAGCTTTGTTCCAGATCTCACTTATTCCTGTTTTCTCAACTTCAACCACTTTTCTATACTTATTCTGTTTAAAAGTTGGGAGATTGAAGTTTATGACATGACGCTGTTCCCGGATGGGTGTCTTTGAAAACTGGGCGTGGAAGAAATTCTCCATCCCCACATGATCCACCCTTTGGGTACACCGCCTGAAGACTGACTTGGTTACTGTACAGTACGGACGCGTTGCGCGGCATGCCGGCCCAGCCTTGTGGACCCAAGCCACAAGCCAAGATACGTGGTGGTCTGATGTTTTAAGTATCTTACAGAAGGCAGATGGAGTCAGAGCCAATGATATATGTTCTGGCGGATGGCAGTGCCAACTACGGCTCCCGATGACTCCGGGGAGTTGGAGGGGACTAAATACTCCGTACATCATGTTTATTTGATGCACTTCGTAGTAGTTAAGCTTAAGGTCGTTGTAGTCGGATTGGGAATGACTAATGTCTTATCGGCAACTGTTCCGTGATCTAGAATTTGTTACCGCCTGACTAGTTGGGGGCAGAGGAGGGCTTATCACAACCCCAGACAGGATTGCTCCCGGTGATGATATCAGGAGGGTGGCCATACAGTACTGTAGGTAGAAACCAATAATCCAGTTTGGAGAGTAGAGTCGTGCAACGGGAATAATGGAAGCACATGGCGGCTCGGGGCTCAGTTCAGTCTCATCTTTTCCTTCGGCAGTCATCGCGATTCAAAGCAGTCCAGTCATGTTGAAACTTGCTGCATGAGGCTTGGACAAGGGTTCCCTTTCGAGCGATGGCTGTGGAGCACGAGCACGAGCACGAGGAATTAAAAAATTAAAAATTACCCCGTATGCGCCCAACCGTCACAGGCAAGTATACTCGCACGGAAACGGAGTACCTTACTTGCCTTACGGACGGAGGAGTAAAGATGGCATGCCGGGAAGGCGGGGTCTTCGGCAACCGACCGTTGAAGAGGGCTGTGTTAGATGCGTGCGACGACTGTCCCATTACCCCATACCATACCATACCATACCATGCCATGCCATACTATATCATTGATTACAGTACTGCGTCCAAGAGGAAGTATATTATATACATATGTCATCAAGGGCTTAATGCAACGCAATCAATGCCACTACCTCGGGAGAAGCGGCGTTTATGCTTACATGGTACTTTAGCGTCTTGTTAGTGGAAGTCCCAATATGGATAACATAACCTTTATATCTACGAGTACAGTACCGTACTCGTACACTACAGTAACAACACAACACATCACAACACTCCCACTCACTCACTCTCTCTCTCTCTCTCTCCTTCATCAACTCAATTCCTCCCTGGGATGCGGAAAACAGATCTTCCCTCCCACTTCCCTTCTTGCTTTGGATATCGTTATCTCTCCTCTATCATACTTGATGCGCTCGAAGTCTTTTCTCTATTCCCGTACTCTACATCTACACTACATACCACCGACTTAGGTACATATTTGCACGTTGCTGCGTCATCCAAGCCAAGCAGAAGAGCGACAAGGATAAAGGCTGATTGCCGGATTGTAGTGCAGGCATCCCCCCACCCTGGCTGTCTAACCCTTGCGAGCACACTTCACGAATCCCGACTTCCATGGACCAGATGTCCAATTTGCATTTGCCTTAAAATCTCCATGTGCTGGCAAAGAAAGCACACCCTACCACCTTGTTTATACCCGTGACAACAAATCAGAGACCAAACAGACTAATCCAAATTGTGAGTACCACCACAGCCCAAACCAGTATACCGCCCCTCTTGTATCTTGTTTGCATGACGCTTTACATCCTATATCCTGGTGCCAGCGCGACCACGGTATCGCATTGTAATTGTGATGCGCCTGTGCAATGTCTTTGCAAAAATCAAAATAGTCCTTTCTTCTCTTCAAGACCTTCTCCCGCCATTTCAAATGCTACGAGAACTTGCTGGTTAACATATCACCATGTCAGACGTCGTTACTATTCCATATTATTCAAACCGAGGCACCATTCATTACACACCGTCCAATCCTATCTTAGACAACGAACAACTCGCAAGGCTCCCCTCTCCTCCGTGTCGCCCAAGACCGCGAAGGCCGCACTCTGTACATATAACCCGTCTACCCGCAGGCTTCATACCCTTCGACCTTCGCCCTCTACCGTCTCCCGCCGAGGCCAAGAAAGACTCAAGGTTCCGCATAGAACTCAAAAAGCTGGCTTCTCGAGAGAGTGCAAAGCGTGTGCTTGGGGCGGTGTTCCATCCGTCCTTCTTCTCCAACTCCGACCCTACTACTACATCTTCCGCTTCGTCCTCAGCGGCTAGTTCGACGAGATCTGCAAGTCCAGAGACCTTTTCGTCAACAAGATCGGCGTCCTTCTCTGCGACAGCGGCAGAACGACCGTCACTTTTAGAGAGGAGGATTGCGTCGAGAACAAACTTGGGTGTTTCGGACGCCGCGATGACCAGGCCTGTAGACCACGGGCTAGGCGGGTGGAACGCAAACACTTCACCCCTCATGCCTCCGAAGAATGGTTTTGAGAAGGAAAAGCCCATATGCTCAGGCAATGGTGTGTCTTGTTATATCTGGCTAGCGGAACCAGTAATTTATTTGGCTGGGCTTGATCATGACGGAACAACTCGAGATTCTTCTTCAAATACCTCCGCCATACTCCGTGGAAAGTTACAATTAGTCGTGACCAAGAGTGCCAAAATCAAGTCCGTAACCCTCAAATTTACAGGGAAAGCTAGGACGGAGTGGGCTGAAGGTAAGCAATATAGAGGATGGATTTTCTTAGGGAAAACATTTATCTCACAATTTTCTAGGCATACCTCCGGAAAGAACCCAGACGTATGAAGAATCCTCGCTGAGAAATGAACATCTGCCTTTTTTCAATGCTGCTTTCGAAGGATCAGAGACAGGATATGGTACGCTGTGTAACTATTCTTTTCGCGACAAGGGGCCATCCTCCTCGGTCACCAATCTATCGAGCACCACAGATCTTTCATTGCCCAATTCTCATCTAAGCGGGTTCTCATTACCACTCGTCGGGCACCCAACCAGGTCGAACAGAAGCAGTATTAGTACAGTGACACCAAAAGAGCAAAAGAGGCTTTCGTTGCAAAGCAACCATTCTCGAAGTTTCCAGAAAGGTGACTCGCCATTTGGACCGACTCCCCAGCAGAAAGGCTTCAAGACATTTCATCCTGGCGTCTACGAATACAGTTTCGAGTTGCCTATTGATAACAACAGCCCCGAAACGATTGATTTACCGATGGCAAGAGTTAGATGGCAGCTTGAGGCGACTGTCGAGCGCGCCGGCACATTTAAGCCAAACCTCCAAGGATCAAAGGATATTCCAGTCATTCGCTCGCCATCAGAGGACTCATTAGAGCTGGTCGAGCCGATCTCCATAAGTAGGAGATGGGAGGACCAACTACAATACGAAATTATGATATCCGGGAAATCATTTCCAATTGGTTCCAAGATCCCAATTGCATTTAAGCTTACACCATTAGCCAAAGTTCAAGTCCATAAGATCAAAGTCTACGTCAGTGAGAACGTCGAATACTTTACGAATAACAAAAAAGTTACAAGGAAAGAGATGACGAGGAAGTTGTTACTGATAGAAAAGGTTGCCGGAAAGCCATTGTCTAAGGAGTATGCAGGATCAGATATCACTATGATTGAAGGTGGCGAAGCGCCACCAGAGGTGCGAGCTGCAAGGCGAGAAAGGGTGGCGGCTACCAGAGAAAGGATTGCCAGGGCCAGGAACGAGGAACCTGTACCACTTCCAGAACAGACAGAGAACCTACTTGGAGATATTGACCTGGGAGAAGAAGCATATTTCGTGCAGACGGAAATGGAAATGAACGTGCAATTGCCAACATGCGAAATGATGGCAAAGTCTCCGCCAAAAGTGCTGCATCCAGACTGCACATGGAAGTGTGCCAGTGTGCACCATTGGATCAAGGTACTAATTCGAATATTCCTGATGTTTCTTCCACTAATTTGACCTGTAGATTATCATGCGTATATCACGGCTAGACCATGACGACCCTACGGGTAAAAAACGCCGACATTTCGAGATATCCATCGACTCGCCCTTTACGATTCTTAGCTGCAGAGCAACACCAGGCAATCTAGCCCTTCCGGAATATTCCGGTCGAAATGCAAATGCCCAGGAACAACAGCGTACTTGTGGATGTCCAAATGCGGCTCCCAGAAACGGCTCACCAAGATTATCACCCGTCGCACCTGATCCTACGTTAGACAATATGCCGGCCAACTCTACGAACTCTGTACCAGGGCTAGCAAGACCGCCTCAAGCCCACCTGAACAATAATGCAGCGGTTCAACGACCTATACATCTGTTGAGACAGCCGAGTTTCAACCCTCCTCCTTTCGATGCTGAGGAGCCTCCACCTCCAATCCCCACCCCACCGCCTATGTATGATTCAGTGTTTACACCAAGCACTGATGCATTGCAAGATTATTTTACCAGGTACGATATTTCCCCGCCTACATTGGAGCCAAGAACTAATGTGATTTGCAGATATAATCATGAATATGAAGACATCGACGACGAAGATGACCGAGCTTTTAGCCGTGGACGCGTCAATGTCCCTCATCCACGAACGCCTGGTGGGAGGATCGCAAGATCAATGGATATTGAGCGCGAATTTATGCTCAATTCGAGTTTTGACGCGCTGCGGCTTGCGACGATTCGGTCTTCGGAATCTGGCACGGCTATATGAGCTCAGAAAGTCAACCCGCACAAATGAGAAAAACATTAAAGAAACTCGCATTGATGTCTATATGGGAAACGGAGTCATTTTCATGAGACATAGCGCTTTGGATAAAAGGGGAGAAGGTATGTCCCGGACATAGCGGTGTGGCACTTTCGGGAACTTCACGACGAATTTTACCAAAATTTCGCATCAAACATTTCTGCACACCCGGGATGGTGCAGGCAATGGTTATGGTTCATGGGGGCGTTCCAATATAGGTTTTGAGGTGCTTTTTTGGCATATATGATTCAGCTTTGGTGTTGGAAGGGGAGGAGCGAATGATTACAATTGGGGGTGATTTGAAGCTGGTTGTGGAAACTCATATCTTATCTTTGGGAAGTAAATATATACCGAGAGGCTCATAATCCTCTTTTTTAGACGGGATACGAGCCCCTGTTTGAAACATCATTTGCTCTAAGTAGTGCCAGAATTCATTCATGTGTTCACAGTGCCTCCACTTTCTACCTAAGTCTGACGCACTTTAGCTTTTATATTGATGATGTGTGGTATACGAAGGAGGGCTTGAAATAATTAACTTTTCAAAGAAGTCGTCAAAATGCCAAAAGCTTAAGTGATTTTCTGCCGAACGGCAACGTAAACGTAATTGGTTAAAGGCCCTTTGTTCGCTACCGATGTTGATATAGACCCGAGGAGGTCCGGCTTCACTCGCTACCCCAATTGCACTGCGTGTATTATTCTTGTTGCAGTTCGCAGGTCCTCGCTTATAGTAGCCCGAGTTACCGAGCGAGTTCAACGCCGTTGGAATATTCGTTTTTTGCCCGGAAGTGGTGGTGAGGTGAGGCACCGAGATCATTGCGGCTATCAATGTGGATGTTTCCTCCTCTTGATCGGGCGGGCTGATGAGTGGGTTTGGGAAGCAATCGTAGGTTTAAAGTTTTCATGGTGGAAGGAAACAATCTATAATTTCAACTTCCAACCAAGTGCAGGTAGGTAGGTGGATTCAAGGACTCATGGAAGGAGCGTTCGGATCAATAGCTCCATCACTTATCCCGCTTCGACCTCTGAAGCCGTCCTTCTTTTCCTCACTCTTAGTATCTGCCCCATATCCATCTCGCACAATACATGAATACCATCATTACTTGGGTGCTAGCATACTTACAAAACGGACACCCGTATCCCCATCGACCACGTCGAAGCAGACTAAATAGCAATGATGACAGCTACCTCACACACCATGTTGCATCATCCATCCCTAGGTACAATTACACTGCATCGAGCACCGCGCGTGCCCTTCAAGGATTTACCGGTCTTGGATTCCACGACAATGTCCGACCAGCTGCCAAGTAAACCTGAATGGTTCAACAGATGGATGGAGTGGAAGAAAGAGCACCATGCAGCGAACGCTACCTTACAGGAAGAACGCGATGTATGGAACCGTTTGAATACTGTCCGGAGTATAGAATGCTGACTTTGACAATTCAGGACGACTGGGCAAATAAAGCGAAACTGGAAATCGACGAACGTGCCAAATGGGCTAGACTGAGACTCGAATCCAAGCTCGCTGTTGCTAGAACCAGAATCGACGTCGACGCCAAATGGATGCTCAAAAATGTTGAAGACCGTCGCGCTATGATGAGACAGCAGAGGAAGCGAGACAAAGAGCTCGCAAGGGAGAGAGCTCAAGAGGAGGGCTCAGTGTTCGCGGAGTTGGCGAAGACTTTGTTGGCTGACAAGGATCAGACAGGAAAGATATGCTGTCGAAACGAACAACTGATTCCGTCCCCTGCCTCAGTGGACTTCCATTCTCCCTCTGTTGGTCTGAGCATTTTTAGCAACCCTCCATCGTCACGCTCCAACACCACACCGGACAGTCCTGTTCTCTCGGGATATTCTGGGAACAGCTCAGCACCGCAATCCAAGAACCCGCAAGTTCTTCCAGCCGCATCCGAAAGATCTCGTAGCCATAGTCGTTCAGGTGCCCCAAGCCCGGAACCAAGCACAAGCCCGGAATCAAACTACTGGGATGATCTTTACACGTACATGATTAGACCTCAGGACATCGTACTGCGTGACCAAGCACTGAAAGAGTCAAAAGAGGGAAGTTCTTTCGATGATGAGCTTGACTACTTCTATCTGGTCGATTGCCCCAAGTCCTGCTCGGTTTGTATGCCAAATATAACCATGGGTTACTACTTGGCGCATCTCGACGAGAAGCATCCAAGGTCCGACAATACACCGTGGACGCAATCCGATGCCTTGATCGAAGGCTGCCATCTTATTATAGATGCTGACGATGAGTGGTTTTTCAAGGAGCGGTTGAGCTCTGAGGACAGTCTGAAGGAGAAGGAATCCGAAGTCCAGAAAGAGCCAGTGCAAAGTTCCAAGACTGTCGATGGAAAAACTTACATAAACCTGCTTGAAGACGGCCATGGGAGCTTTGAACACCAGAAGACCACCAATGGCCAGAAACGACAACGAGAAGACGTGGAACACGCCGAGGTCGAAACATCGATACGCCTCAAGCGATCGAGGACAACCGGTTCGGGTTGCCACGAAGCATACAGGATCACTCCTTGTGCAGATCCGGTTCAAGGATGCAATTGATGTTCTTACAAGGGGCGCAGCGATTTGGATCAAATACCAGCCATTAAAAAGGTTTTAACTTGTGACAGAGGCGCCTCACCAATAGAAAAAGGACGCATCTTTTTGCAATTCAATCAGAAAACAGTTGCAAGTGTGGTTGAGAATACTGAATGATCGAGACAAGGGTTCCCTACCACGTCAACGTACAATAGTTGACGAAGCTGTTTGTTGCATTCGATGTTAACAAGCATTGAGTATTGAGTGTATTTTGTTTATCGGTTGAGGAATAGGAAATGGTTGCAACACCTGAGCCAACGATGTATATCTTATGCTTGTGGGCGCAGATGGCTTTTCTTTTGTATGCTGAAAGGTTGTCAGGGAGCAAGGAACCGGTTTCTCGTAACGTTTATTCTCTGGCATCCTCGTAGTTTGGAATCAGCACTTGCTCTCCAACACTTGCTTCTCAAGTCCAATAAATGCTTACCTCGTGAAAGACCAAATCAACCCATAAGTTCACTTCAACACGTGTAGCAAGACCAGAACATAATGATCAAATGTATTTCCACATTGAGATATAGACTTAGGTCCTACCAGCCCCCAAAAAAAACGCCGCAATGCATCGTCCGTTAACCTTCAATACAAGCGGGAACGGCCAAATTCCCTTCTTCTGCTCAGTTCTGCGTTCACATCACATACAAATAACCCATCCGCGTCCCAACCCAGGATGTTCTATCCATGGTCTAGGGCGTATGTCGGTTAGGTTCCGTACGCCCTTCCTTCCTTTTCCACTCTCTGGTTTCGTCATCTCATTCGTACATCAAGGACTTGCCCAGCCACCAGCAACGTCTACCCACTCCGCAAGACAGGATCCTTGCTTGCCTTCTACATCCACAATGTCGGTATCGCATCTACATCTACAGCCCACGCCGTTTTCTTTGACGGTGTCCCAGGAGTCCCAGTACTCGTCTTCTTCTTTCCGTTTCTTCTCGTCCAGGGTCGTCATCTCGAGGAACGGGGGTCGAGGTGTTATTTGGCGGGAGGGGGCATTTGCGGGACAATGTTGAATGGTGGTGTGTCTGTAGCCAAAGTCGCGGAAGTAGTGGATGTCTTTGGGGGCGAGGAGAGCGCCTGCGGCGAGGGAGTGGATTGGTGCATCACCCCACTGCGATTTGTTAGCATTCTGTAGAATTAGACTTGAGAACATTTTAACTTACTCGCTCCATCCAGAATCCTCCACTGCGATCCATCATTTGGAAGAAATCTTCGTATTCCTTACTCCTGAACCAACTGAGCCTGGCGATTTCGAAGTTGGACCAGAAATGGCACATATTATATTTCTCGCCCTCCATGTTCTCGGGGTCGATTTCCGGTATGGACGTGCGAGATGGATCGCCGCGGAGGACATCTTCCGGAAGAGGGCTCTGCTTGGTATCTTCTGCTGGCTCCTCCTTTGGTTTCTCTGGCTGAGGCTCAACGAACATTTCCCATAGACCTTGGGAGGTTATGTTGTTGACTCTCTTGTATGCAGATGCGTAGCGAAAGATGTTAGGAACGGTTTCTTTCAATTCCTTAACTGCGATGGTGAAACCGTATGTCTTGTTTGTTTCGATCATTTTGAGGAATGGGTCACTAAATAATATCAGCATTCATGTCGTTAGTTCACTGAGACTAGACGTACTATGTAATGTCGCAGAAATACTTGATTTCTGGCTCTAGACGCCAGTACCATTCATACTTAGCCAATAGCTCATGCTTGTAAAAGTATCTGTAGTCTGTCAGCACTTGACCTTTTTAAAGAACGGTTTTTTGCATACCCCGAGTAGAATCTGCACATGGCGTGGTAACTCTCCATCCCACCGTACATGATAGCAGCGTCTCCCTGTTTCGCAATACCCTCCTTTGCAACCTTTGGATCGATCCAGGGAGGGAAATCCCAGTACTTATGGTCGATCTTTCCAAATTCCACGGTGCCACTTGTGTAGTTCTGGATTGTCTCTCTGAACGTCGAGTTGAATTCTGCATCGTTGAGGAATACGTAGGGATAATGATACCACCTGTTGAAGTGTCGCTCGATGGATTTGACAGACTGTATAACGCCATCCAACTCCTTGTTCCGTGCCAACACCACGAAAGCCGCGTTCGCTCGTGGTTGCGAGGTATCAGGCTCTAAGCAGCCTGTGACGAAGACCTTGTCGTGTTCTTCACTGATTTTTCTATAATTGCCAAAAAATTAGCACACCTGCGCCACATCTCATAGCTGTTGGTTGGAGCTCGACGAACCTGATAGCTGGTGGTGCGCCAGCAGGCATTAATATGCCGACCCCTGATTTAGGATGTCGGACAAAGAGCACCAATATCAACACAACAACAATACATGGGAAAAGAAGAACGACGCCGAGAGGTATAGAAATGCTCGAATTGCCCCTTAATCTAAGCGGCCTCCGAAAGAACGCCAGTCTCGATGTCACTTTCGTCTTGGCTTTGACATCGTCTACCGTCGGCAGCTTCTGCGTCGAAGGCAGTCGCTTCAGGGCTCTATGTACGAGATCCATTGAGGCGATGTTGGTCTTTTTATTTTTTTTCCCGCGGTCGAGGGTTCGTTAAAAGGGGGCCGATCCCAGAATCGTGAGGCTTTGTCGACAGGCGTAGATATTACAATAGGTATTCAGAAACGCAGGATTGAACGGAAGGAATCGTAAGAGCTATGTGCAGACCTCGACGGACGATTCCTGGCTGGTAAACGAGTGGATGGAGGAGATGTCCTCTTGGAAAGAAACCAAACGCACCCTGCGATGACGCGTCGGAGGCAGTTGCGAGTGCTCGTCTTTCGCACTGTCGATGCAATAGACGAGTGCAGGATGGGTTATTGCATACACGTTCGAAGGGGTCGGCGACGAGGTAGGTGGGCGGGTTGATGGGTGGGTGAAGGTTGTCGATGCCGGTTGGCAGATGAAGGGGACAGGACAGACAGGACAGGTCTGGGTCTGGGTAAGGTACTTTTCCGATAGGGAGTTTTAGAGAGATGGCATGGCCATGGGCCGTTGCCGCTGCAGAGAGGAATCTTTCGGCTAAATAGCCCCTTGGTGTCTTGGCAAAAAAATACTAATCAGGTCAAGTCTCGTATTCTGTTGGGTCAGGTCAGGCTTATAATTGCACATGGAGGTGACCAACCTTACCTTGACCGTTTTTGTGTAATATGTACATGTATAGATGTATACGTATTCTTGATTTTGATTGTTCTTTACGATAAAGATGAACTTCTTGTCATGGTTGTGTTGTGCACATTGATCCTTCTCCTATCCGAAGGGGAGGCAAGAACGCCACACACGTGCCGAACAATCAAGAGCTTTTGCTTCAAGTTTCTACCGTATCCTCGAAGAAGAGGGACATGTCTTATGAATTGAGGCTGACTTGATACTGTACATGGTTGCACATGAACTAAATCTCTCTTATTCTTTTGGTTGCACTTTAGAAGTTTTGATCATGGCGCTTGGGACTGGCAATATAAGAGACCTTACCTTAGCTTGGTTATCGTATAATTACTTTGGATATCAAGGTTCCGTGCACGACTAAGTAATCAACAGCATATCAAAAAGCTCTGTCTGGTTTTTCTACAGCTATTGTATCTCTAAGGTAGACTCGATAGGATGCCATACTCGAGTAGTAAGTATTAGTAGCTTGTTCAAGCGGCTATCTGATTGGTGTCCCAGATATCGTTTTCTCGATGTTAGCTTTGAGGTCTCCTTTCACCACTTGATTTCTCACTGAAATAAACGTTCCATCTTCAAGCCTCCAGCCCTTGAGAGGTGGCCTCGATTTCCAGAAAATGTTTCCGTTGGGAATTGATTGGATTGCTATTAACGAATGATCCTCCTAGATGTTGTCCTTCAAGAGCAGCCGTTGAGAATAAGATTTCCAAGTCCTACACTTATTTAAAATAGTCCACGATTAAATCCAAGCCATTATCAAAAACTTCTTAGACTCAAAAGAACCCATCGTTGAAAAGAAGCCCCTCACCCCATTATTGAACAATCTACTACCACAACATTGCGTGGAAGAACCCTACAACTCGTACTACCTATTTCCAGGAAGCCGGCCTGACTTTGCCGCTTGTCTGTCCCCCATTGTCATAATCCCAATTTCCACCGCGGCTATCCGGAATACCACCGCGGCAATTAAGAATGTCATTGAGGTTTTTCACACAATAGTCGAAATTGAATATGAACCCGTTGTTGACTTTGATCCAGTACCACTAGATCACGGCGGAATTAGTTATTTCCTCTCCAAGAGCGTTTTGAGAGCAGAAGAAGAGCAATTTCCCTTTCTAGGAAGTATGTAAGGAGTAGTTGGAGTACATAAGACGAAACATGATAGAAGGGGGTGGGGTAAAATTAAAGAGCCAGTTATCCTTACAACCCATGGTGTCACCACGCCGTACGAGTCCGTGAAGTCAGCCCAAGAGCCAGATGCAGATAGGTACTTGGTGTAAGTACCGCCGTATTCAGCGCCATTGCTGATTCCGTGATTCGAGGCATCGGTACAGAAGTGGGCGAGTACGGAGCGCATCTGGTATTGCGAGGTCCAAAGAAGTGAGCTGTCGCCGTTGTAGCACTCTTGGGCACTGGAGTCGTCGCGAGGAGCAATATTAGGGGTTTTGTTGGCGATTGTGGGTGGGATACGCGCGTAGACGACGTTAGGGTCGGCGGGCGCGCCGTCTATAAGGGCACCGGGGAATGCATCGACAAGCTTGATTTCTTTCCAGGTTGACATGGGACCGTATAGGGCGACAAGCTCGTCTTCGGTTGTGGTCGTGTCGGGGAGAATAGGGGAGGCCAGATAAGTGCTGGCCAGAAAGGCCGTGATCAGGGATAAGGTAAGGCGAACCATGGTGGCAAGTATGGCTTTCTGAAGAAGAAAGCCTGAGGTGGAATTCAGAGCACTTAGGAATGAGAGATGAACTATGGAACCCTGGCTGAATGATTGTTGTGATCAGTTGCGATGCTTTGATATTGAGAGAAAACCACCACCCTATATATACCCAATGCTCCCCATACCCATTATCCTTTCTAAACAGAGCGTGCCCTAATGTTCCCCTCTTTGCTACCTGGTGGTAGAACTAAATGTAATACGACCCCCTCACTTCTTGAAGGAGTGGTCTGGTGGTCTGAAAAAGAAAACTATTTCGTTGCATTCTGTTACTATTTGCGAAACACCAAACAAGCAATTGACCAACCATGCTGACTACTTGTCAACTTTGACGCATATGAAGCAATTCCCGACCATGACATCGATGCAAAACCTTAGAATGACATTATAGCCACCAACTCTCTGACTAGTATGGCGTCGTATTGAAGGACTTGGAATCGTATCTAAATACAGAAGACCCAGAGACTTCTCTTATTCTGAATTTCAGAGCAAGAAATGAAGAATGTCACAATGTGGGGAGGGTAGCTGTGAGCCTGTAGCAGGTTTAGATGCACTTGAACGAACCATTGCACTTGCTTGATGTGACATGTGATAATACACGGCATATAAATCAACAAATAGAAGTTGTATCTGTGTAAACAAAGACTTGAAAACCACAAAGGCCGACGTGTTCAATCTGTCCGCAGGTAACACAAGTCGCGGTCTAATGCAGCTGAAAGGGGGGGAGGGAAGCGGGGAAAGGCACATCTGACGAACAACTCCATGCCCCACTGCCTCAAGTCTGCCCCAAAAGTACCCAGTAAGGAAATCTCACACTTTTCTTCTAGTATTGTTACTAAAGTAGTAAAGAATTCTATTTACTGCAGCTTAGAAGTAAATTATCGCTTAATTTAGTATTACATATCTAAGAATCCACCTACCACCTACCTACCTTAGGTATCGACGACCTCAAATCATTTTTCTACAATTCAACCCCCCTAAAAACAATGTCAAAAATAACGCCCAAAAACCTCTCCTATGACAGTACCCTCCCGCCCTTCCTCGCGCGCCTCCAAGAAAGCAACGCCTCTTCAGGCGGCCGCAACGAATTCCAAGCCGCGCGCCCCAAGAAAGCGCGGACAGCGGAAGACGAGGCTGAGGATGAGCCTGTGTATTTCGATGAGGGGAGCGGAGAGACGTTGACGAAAAGCGAGTGGGAGGAGAGGGAAGCTAGGGAAGAAGGAGAAGGAGAAGGAGAAAAAGAAGGAGCTGTGGAGGGGAAGAAGATGGATGCAGAGGGGGCGAGGGAGAAGACTGCCGCTGCAGTTGCTGTTGCGGCAATTGGGGCAGCGAAGAAGAGGAAAGTGGGAAGGATTGTCGGGGGCGATGAGGATGAAGAGGAAAACACCACAAAGCTTGCTAGTAAAACGAGCACGAAAGACAAGATTTCGAAGGCAGGAGAGGGCAAGAAGGGGGATGCTGCTAAAGGCAAGGGCATGGGCATGGGCAAGACTGCGAAGAAAGGGAAAAAGATCAAGCTTAGTTTTGGGGATGATGATTGAAAGAGCAGTCAGCGCTCTACAAGTCACACAATTCACAGCTCTATGCCGTCAAAATCTCGGGCATAACGACTGGCTGGGGTTCTTGAAACGAAGCAAGTCAACGGTTCCCACCACAAACTTCTAGCACTAGGACCAAGGTCGACAGCAGAACAGCTCTTCGAGGACTTACCTAGGGATGGTACACCTAATTATAATAGGTGATGATACCCCGAGATCGCTACTCTGGCGTATTGGACAAGAGTATCTGCCATTGGAAGGCAAAGGAAGGGGGGATGCATTCAAGATACCCATATTTGATTATCAATACAAGGTCAAAAAGGGCTTACTTTTACTCACTCCTGAGGTGAAACTCGTCCTACTGGCTGAAAGCCTCACTTTACTTTTAAAATTGTATGATTCGTGTGATGTAAAAGTCCTTTGGTGCTTGAGAGAGTATGTTCAGATCACAATCTGAGAACTAGGTGGGAAACTCTCTTGGAAGGCCAGGTCTTCCAAAGCTTTTGCGGCATTCCCAGTGTATCCGACTTTCTCAATACACACGTCACATATCACACATCACCGCATAAACTCAGGATCTATATATTTGAAGACGTTTCCATTTATCTGTCCGGATCAAGCTAACCTCTAGCAGTCCACCTTCCTTCACCGCCGTCCTAAATACATATTGATTCCCCATAAATGCAAAGCACTGCCAACGCCTTACAGTTGACTTGATAAATTGAAGAATCGCGCAATCCTTTCATGCCATGCCACGCCATGGTATGCCCCATCCATGCCCTGTCGCAAAGAGTTTCAAATAACGCCGGCCGCAGAGTAAATTTTTCAATGAAAATGAGAATTAGAAAAGCTCATGCGATACTTAGAAACAACCTATGACCAGCAATTGCGTGAAAGATGGGCGAGAAGCCTCGCCGAATTTCCTCCTTGACCGAGAATAGACGCTGTGGTGAAGTAGAACCACGGTGTGCGAATTCCATAGCGCGAGTTTGGAGAGGGGGTATGGCTGTACAGTGCAATCAGTGCAGTGAAGCAAAGCGGGAAATGGCCAACGCTTCCGTGGTCATCATCCAAGGCATACTTAAATGATAACGCCGACACCTAGTCCATTATCGAGACGTCAGCGCTGGGTCGTCAAAATATAGTCCCAAAGCATCTTGACCAATGTCTCCGGAAGCGTGTAAAGATCGACGTGGAATTCGCCCTCTGTAACACAAACGTCAGATTAGCTTCAAACCCTCCTTACTCTGGTTTTTGGAAATTCTTACGCTCAATATCATTCTTGGTGTAAGTATCATCAGACTTGTTGTCGTGTATCAATTGCACAACATGCAACAGCTGCTCCTCATCCAGCTTAACCAGTCCATCTGCCAATTTCTCCATGTCAACGCTACCTGTCGTTCTCTTCCGCTTCTTCTCCTCCTTCTTGCGCGCACCATTCTCGTCACCAACGGGACCGGTCTCTCTTAGCAGATTGATTAGGGACGCGGATGGGTTCTTGAAGACAACGGGGTGCTTGGATTCGTAGTGGGGTTTGGCGAAGTTGAGATCGTGAAGCAGTGTATTCTTCCCACCTTTTTCGGTCGTGTAGCAATCGATTGACATATCAAACTCACCCCATCCCTCGTTCTCGCAGCGGAAGGGTGCTTCAGTGAAAGCTGTTTACACGGAAGGATTAGCCATTGTCATTGCCCTGGTGTAAGAGCTGGGTCAGGGTAACAAGACGTACTCTGTATGGGATTGGCAAACGAAGGGTGCAAGTTGTAAACGGCCTTGGTGAAGCAGGTCGCAGGCTTCTCATTTCCAGCTTCATCCAGGAGGTAGATCTCAATGCTCCATGTCTTCATGGGAAACCCCTCGACCTCGGACGGCTTGTCGCTATTACACTGTTCAGCATCTCTGCAATAGATAGTTATTCCATCCAAAGTGCACATACATGTTCTTCTGCTCAGTGATGAGCTTCACGGTGCGCTTGATCTGTTGCCCGGGTTAGCTGTGTCGCGACGCGATCGTTGAGCCTTTGCGCGTTGCGTAAAGAAGGCGAGCCGCTGGTTGGTAATCCACTTACATCCGCGACCATTTTGACGGTGTTGGCACTGAGTTGAGAGGATATTGGTGAATTCTGGTGGGAGGAGAGATGGAGAGAGGTTCGACGCGGAACGAGCCTGTGGCGCGCTGGAGAGACGTGGGGTTGGCGAAAATATGGGGCTAAATTGGCGCCTGAGAGGTAAGGCTGCGACTTCTAGAGAAAAGGTGGAGTGACCCAGGTCGTTGTAGTATGGGAGGGTGGAGAAGGAATGTCTGAGAGGTATGCTACTAATAAAATAGTAATAGGTTATTAGAGTTGACGTTAAGGTTGACTTGAGTTGATAAGATGAAGTGGAGAGAAGACGCGAAAAGGGTTCAAAAGGGTTTCAAAAGAGCGAAGGGAGTCACTAGAATTCACTTCAGGGTGAGAAATATGTTCCAAGCTGCACAATCACAACCAAGATTGGGGGTCAAAGAAGGACTGCTATTTAGTCTAACTACATTTTCATTGCACTCTGGCCATGGTTTTATACCCAGCAACGTAAGATAGCCGAGTCTGAGCTGATCTTAGGAGCATCCATCCAATCCACCACCATCATCAAATCTATGATTGTACTCCACGTCATCTGGGGTGTGCAAAGACCAAGACCGCCAGATTTGTCAAGGCCTCTCAAAATCAGGAGAATGCTGTTTACAAGAGGGGATGTCTGCTTTCTTCATGAAAAGCATGGACATCGTATAGGGGGAATGGTATTTGTTCGTGCTAAAGGAGTTCGTGACTGTCGTGACTGAGTTGGGGAATAAGGGCTTATGCTTGTGCTGAATCGAAACCAAAATATGTAAATAGGTCCATTACGACTTGTCGGAGAAGAGGATCTCGTTTTCCTGTTGGGCCTTGAGGAAAGCTTCCTTGAAAAGGTTTGCATCTATGTCACATATCAGTTGCGGCAAACACAGGTAGGAGAGGCAAGGAAAACTCACTCTCGGAGTTGGCAAATCGAATGGCAAGAGTCTGAGCCTCTGGTTCCCCCTCACTAACATCAGCAGCGGCGTTCCAAACCCAACTCCTGTCGGATCCGACGTTGGGAGAGAGCTTCATCTCAGGGACGACTGTTGAGCCATTAGCATTACCCCCAACCTCTCAACATCCAATACGTACCATAGTGGTTGGCGCAGACCTTCAAAGTCTTATCTCTTCGCATAACCAATCTAGTCTTCCCGTTCTCCTTGTGCTTCAACAACCTAACGTCACCAGTTCCACGCTCCTTCCACTCATTGCTGTCCTTGACAAACTTAAACAGCTTGGCGCGCATCTTGAAAACCTGCTCCTCGAGCTCCTCGTTAGTCTTGACATCGACTTTCTCGGTAAGGCGGATAACGGGCTCGAAGTGCACGTCTTCTGACTCTGGTGCTTCCTCCTGTACGTTCCATGTCAGTATTTGCCCTCCCAAGTTTTCCAGGTATTGGTGAATGTAAACGTACCTCAGGGTTCTCCTCAGCAGCCTTCGCCTTCTGAGCCTTTGCGCTCCCAGAGTTGTCACCACGGTCTTCCTCCTCATCAACCTTATCCTTCTTCGCGCCGCCTCCAAACATAGAGAAGACATTATCAGCGACGCCGGAAGCAGCGTTGGTTGCGGCGGATGCAGCAGTGGATGCAGCACTGGTTGCCTGTTCGGTCAAAGTCTGTCGAGTATCACATTAGTATCGTATCAGCACCTCGAAGAGGGGTAGAAGTGGGGTAAAAGTCTTGATATCCCATCTTAACGAACACCCGCAAACGCCTAAAAGGGCAAAAAGGGCAAAAAGGGCAAAACGGGACGTACCGCAGCTGGAGCATCCTTCTTCTCAGCACTCTCGCCCTCAGTAGGGTTAGTAGCAAGCTCTGTCTCCTTCTCGAGCGTGGGCTCTGAACTAGCTGTGACGTCCGCCATTGTTGGATTTATCTATGCAAGTAACACTGTATGTATTCGTGTGTATTCGGGAAAGAGCGCAGGATCGATGGCCGCCGTAAGATAGAGTAGATCGGTATCGTGTGACGTGGTCAAATGCAAAGTGTTGATGGGGATCAAAACAAAAACAGTCTGTGGACGCTTGCGGGTCGTCGCTTAAGCCTGGTTAGGTGCTAGCGCGTGCCTATAGACGACCCCCCTCCCCTATTCGTACTGCTTGAAATGAATATTTCCCACAAAACATGCGCTTCAAATTTTTTAGGTGACCAATATGGAGACTCGTAGTTCATTATTTTTACACTTTGCAGTTTTTAGAGTCATTTCCCTGATTATGGCTTCCCTTTCTTTTCTTGAGGATCAATCCCATCGCTGTTCCATAATGGTTTCAATGGGGGGGGTTTCATAGGAGCGAGTTTCCTCAGAGACTTAGATCGTGTGAGGCTCCGCATTCGAAAATTATATCTTTACTGTAAATTTCTTACAGAGGGTAGAAAAATGTATCTTACTCCACTCGAAGCCATCACTTAACGCCTATTACATGAAAAGGGTATGTTGCAATACCTAAGAGAACTATAATACCCCCTTACACCATCAATCAGTGCATGCCCTGCTGCCCTTAACCTAGTATTTCCCTTGGATATCATTCTCTCGTCGACACATTATCTGCCCTGAGAGTCCACCAGCCCTCGCGGGGTGTAACGCATATCCCATACCCGCTCAATCATCTCAACTCGCAAACTCCAAAACCAAGATAGCGAAATCCCAAACCCAACGATCAAAAACAGATAGCATGTATGCACACCCAACTCAAGTAGGCTTCTTGCCCCCTTTGTTCGCTTTCTTCGCTGCCCTGGCGGCCTTCCTTGCGAGCATTTCAGCGTCCTTCTCCGCCCACTTGTCAGTCCTCTTCTTCTTTTGCTCAGCTCTCGTACTCTTGCACAACTTCGCTGTGTTAGACTCCGCATCTTGGGAATGGAGAGCTTCAAAAGCAGCCTTGGCGTATTCCTTGTACTCTTCCTCCTTGCCTTGCATCTTCAACCACATGAGCTTCGCTTGGACTTGAGCTTTGAAGATGCCATCCTTGAGAGGATCTTGCATGTGGTTGAGGCCATTCAATTGCTTGAGAACCATGGCTTCTACATCAGAAATCTGGATTCCGATTTCCTTCGACAAGATGGCGCTGCGCTTGGCAGCTTCAAGAGACCAACGCTTGGCCATATCAGTCATTCCCTCACCAGCTGCAGAAGCTTGCTCCATAGCCAATCTCCTAGCTTCTTCCATGATCGACCAAGCCGACTGTGACTGAGTTCGTGCTTCTTCAGTCATTTCATCAAATGAAGAACGCAAGTTCCCGAAGATAGCAGGATCCACCAGATGCATCTCCTCTGGAAAGACCGACCACATCTTGTCCATTAGGGCTTGCCACGTTTGAGATGCAAAGGTCCCAAAATCAACCTGAAAAGTCTCATTGACTCTTGGTTTTCGAGTCGTAATAATTGAAATATTGAGAAGACCATAAGCCTCTTTCTGCGGCAGCAGTAACACAATTCCTTCATCAGAGCTGTAGGCGCGTTCAGTATCGACGGTTTCGTTACCTCTGGTGATATTAACAGACATGGCTTCCTTGGTTAGCCAACTGAGCTTGGTAGCAGAAGGAATGCGAATCAAAATTTCCCTATCACCGAGAATCTCCGCAGAGCATGGAGATTTCTTGGATGTATTAGGCTGACTATGGACTTCGTGGGCCGTTTTTCCAAGTTCCATCGACGGAACTAATGAAAGGCTGTTCGGTCCTGAAGCTTGAGCATGCGTGACAGTAATCGTGCGAGTACTCGTAGAAGCTCCCGCCGTTTGCGAGGTAATGCTTTGGACAAGGGATGGATGGGCTACTGGTACCGTGGATGAAATGGGGATTGTCGACATAACCTTGCTGTTTATGGAGATTGCAGGTTTCGAAGAGAAGCGATAACTTGGTATACCAGTGAGAACTGCTGTGAATACACTGATGAGAAGCAGCCCAACTGGTAGAAGCGCTCTCCACTCAGCACCGTTCCGGTTACGGATGAAGCTAACACTATCGCTGATACTATAAGATGTCTTCTCCACGTCAGGAGGATTAGATGACTGGATTTCGACCTTTTTAGGGCCGGCAACCATTGTTTCTGTCTCTGCAGGAGGCTCATGGAGACCGGTGAGATAGGCAAGGTTCCTATTCATCTGCCTAGCATCAATGTTCAAAAAGGACGCGAGATCGATAGGGAGTCGTTGATGAATTATGGTACCCCTACCATTTGAGGCTCGAGACTCTAAACACATATGGATCGAGTGTTGATCCAGTGACATCAGTTGACTGCGGTCAAATAACTGTCTGTGTGATATAGTAATTGATGGCACACTGTGACGACCCATGAATTTTCTAGTAACCGATCTGGTTCGTTTGACATCGACATCGTCACTATCTGAACAGTAGAAGACAGCAATATGTGGTAATTCCCAGGGCGGCTCGACAATGAATCCAGATTCATCGGGGACTGAATGGTGGGAGACGTTATCGTCCAATGTCAACTTCAAAACATCAGGCTTCTGAGGATCATCCTCAAACTTCAATGTCGAAGCATATGTGCAGTCTTCCACATTAATCTGGTAGCCAGACGAGTGCATGAGCTCGATCTCTGGAGTCCGCTCGGAGCCAAAAGCCGATACCGGAACGACATTGTAAAGCTGAGAAGAAGACTGACGCAGCTTTTTGACTCCTTCCACAGAAGCTGTGACAGAACTTGCCAGCTTATGGATAATATCTTGTTTTGCCGAATGGCTCCCTACGTATAGAATTCGAAGAGGGTCTCTGGTAGAAAGTCCTTGCTTGGTCATGGTTTGGCGAATAGTAACGACCAACCGTTGAGGTGGATTAGACAGTTTCAAGGCCTCAACAATCCTAGCAGTGTGCTCCTCCTGGAAGTCTGCGACTGTATGTTTGACGGAAACATTCTCAGCACCAAGGCTGAAAGGTTCTTCAAATTCGATGGATTGCGTAAGGGGTGTGTCATGTTCCTCGAGTAGGACAGCCGAGTTTCGTCCTATCGTAGGGGTATCAAAGGGCTCGGCAGCTTCGTCGAGACCTGGGAAGGTTGGGATCGGAGCTCCCTCCGAGTTATCTTCATCCCCACTATCCTCCCCACTTCGTTCTGTATCTGCGAGGCTGGCGACGTCGTCTTCTGGACGACCGAAGTCGGTCGAGGCAATAGATTCAGTAGCATTATCGTCACGACTCTCGGTATCGGTGTCAATAAACTCGTAGGTCGACTCGCCGAGAATGCTGCCATCTTCACTGCGAGCAGACATTTTGGAGGCGGCGATACTCTCAACCCAGTTGCTTACTCTTTCGTCTGCGGCTGGAGCGGGGAACCGCAGTTGACTTGAGGACGATGTAGTTTCGGGAGTGGGTGTCTTTGGGTTTGGATCGGGAGAAGAGGGTATCTCGCTGGGCGATTCCATAGTGGAGTTAGCTTTGAGATATCATGTCATGGTATGTTATGGAGACGACGACGGCCTGGTGTTGCAACCAAGGGTGCAGTATAGCAGGCAGAACTCAGAAGCGAAAGTGAATGGATGATAGATGCGGAAGGAGAAGTAGGAGCAGAGGTAGCAGTAGAAGAAACGTGGAACTGTACAGTACGAAGGTGGATTCAAGTACGAGTAGATGTTATTTCGTCAAGGTTCCGTAGGTTGCTCTTGCCTAAGTGTCTGGCCCTTGTTGCCTGTTTCTATGGGATGGGACCGTTGTAAGTGGTTCGCAGACCGGGCGTTACCGTCAAGACCGCGGGATAGTGTGTCAGGAGTCAAATGCAGGTCTACTAGCGTTGGAATGAATAAGGACGAGAGGAGGACCACACGGAGTTCATTTACAAACAGATAGAGAAGCCACGATAGTACGAAGGTAGATAGTAGTGAGGGCATTCGTGGAGTGTGGTTCAAGGTAGATGCGTGGAGGGGTAGTGGATTGGCACTAGCGCTCTCGTTCGATAAGGCTATCAATGTCATGTGGAGGCGAGGGACTGGGAGTCATCGAGTGATACCACCACATACTAATACTAATAATACTACCTTCCTACGTATCTACGGCTTCCTAGAGATTCTACAAATATCCATTTGCTGCATGTTGCCAAAGGAAATGTATATTCCTCCTTATTCCACGCCACGTGGAACACCACAGATCAGTCCTCCTTGCATGCTTACCTTATCGTGAGCTCCACAGTGACAGGGTTACAACAATAAGCGCAACGCTGGACAGGGGGCTACGATCTTAGGCGGCGTTAGGCACTAAGAGCAGTCACGAGCACGCAGGCTATCCCCCTATTTCTACCGAGGCATGGGTGCATCTCCTTTCCAAATGTATTGTATGCCAATCTATGTATTCATACACTCCATCTCAATTTATCATCTAATATTGTCTCTATTCAGCTACCCAAACCGCAGCCATCCCCATTCCCGTCCCAATGCACATACTTGTAACTCCAACCTTTTCTCCTCTCCTCTTCAACTCATAAAGCAACGTAGAAACCTGTCTAGCACCGGTACATCCCAACGGATGTCCAAACGCAATCGCACCACCTTTGGGATTGACTTTGTTCATATCTAGCCCCAACTCATTCGCACACCAAACACACTGACTAGCAAATGCCTCGTTGATCTCAAAGATATCAACATCGTCCTTGCTAATACCAGCCTTCTCAAAGACCTTAGGAATAGCTGCCCAAGGTCCAATACCCATGAGCAGAGGTGCGACACCTGCTACTGATGCAGCGACATATTTACCAAGAATCTTTTGGCCGAGACGCTCAGCAGTAGAGCGCTTCATGAGCAGAACTGCTGCCGCACCATCTGATATTTGAGATGCGTTTCCAGCGTGGATAGAGCCGTCTTTGGCGAAGGCAGGCTTGATCTTGGCGAGACTTTCAGCGGTGATGCCATCTCGGACACCGTCATCTTTAGCTACTGTGATTTCCTTTGTTTCTCCGGTCTTGGGATCCTCCCATTTGACCTTAAGAGGAGCGATTTCCTCATCAAAGAGACCGGCTGCTTGTGCCTTGACTGCCTTTTGATATGAGGATGCTGCAAATGCATCTTGAAGTGTGCGGGGAACATTGCGGTCCTTGGCCATCTTTTCTGAGAGCAGGCCCATGGAAACTTTGCAGTTCTTGGATTCGGGGTGGGAGTCGAGGAGTTCGGAGAATTCAGTGACAGCACCGGGTCTATAATAACTCCTGTTAGCTTTTAAACTTATTACAAAAGCCACCACAATATTCCTCGTGGTAAAGACTTACCCATATTGCAAACTCATACTCTCCACACCAGCGCCAACACCAATTTCAATCATGCCAGTCGAAATCGCATTCGCAATATCAACACAAGCCTGCAATCCAGACGAACACTGTCTATTCAAACTCCTGACTGCCGCAGAAACGGGAAACCCAGCCGCAAGTGCAGCAGCACGGAACTCAGTCGCCCCGCCACCAGGAGGCAACACCGAGCCCACCGCAATATCCTCCACCAGTCCCGGATCAATATTCGAGCGCTCGATGAGGGACTTGAGGGCCCCAACAAGCATATCCGCCGCAGGCGTGTCTTTGAAACCTCCCTTTCCACCTTTCGTAAATGCGGTACGCAAGCATGCCGTCACGACGATCTGGTTCCAACTTGTCAGCTATTTTCTGGTGGTTAGTATTTTATAGGGGGAATGCCTACATCGTCTGGGTTCTTCTGAAGGATCTTCGCCCGAGCATCTCCTCCTGAAGGCGCAGAGCCCGCGATGTGTCCGGAGACTTGCGTCAGTCTGTTCTGTGCTATGTTCCATTCCGGTCAGCCTTGTCCTCCCGCCGTAAAACATGCACATACCTTGAGACATATTCAGCAAAAGTATCTAAAAAAGATAATTCTCAAATTCGTACTGTTGTAGAGAGAAGAAGTTAAGAATAGTGAACAAGAGAAAGAGGGATTCAAGTCTGGTTTTGAGAGCCCGAGGACAAGTTAAAACACCGAGAGGAAGGGTGGGGAGAAATGAACCGAGGCACGAATTTCATTGGTCGAGGCGAGGAATGCCGTAATGAAGAGCTTCACATGCAAAATCCGGGGTAAGGCATCACAAGCAGATGAAAAGTAATCGAGAAAATAATTTGTGTGAGATTTACATGTGGTTCCTGAGTACGACTGTTTGAAACGTCATATGTGATTTTCCAACGGCCTGTTCATGCAGCTTTGGAACTTAAAATTTCATGTGATAGCCAATCATTGTTTTTCGACCTTGGCTTTGAATTAAGTCAAGTTTAGAATCTTAGATTTATCATACTTTGTCAAAAGCTTCATCATTAAGTATGTTATCAGGCGACAGGTCTCAATCTTTTGGATTCACCTGGTGACCCAAGATGAAACCTCCAACTAGGTCTACCGTCTACCGCCTATCTTGCTCTTACTTATATTCACCAACAGGATAACAATTCCACTCCTTGATATTTTCACCAATTCAGCAACTCTCAAGAGTACAGTAATCCAATCGCCCACTCCCCAGACGGCATATCCCCACACGCCCTCCTCGCCATAAGAATCCCCAGCTACAACAAATCCCGCGCCACAGACCGCGTGTGCCCGGCTTGCATGCGATGGATGGTACCGTGTTGGTGAGCAAGGAGGAAAGAATGCATCCGCCTGCAGTTAGTTTCCAAAAATTTCTGGATACGCCAGTGTTAGTAAGGCGCGAGATATCAGGGGATGTGGGGGAAGAGCATTGAGCAAGCTGTAAATTCATAAACCTCCGTCCCAGAATTCTGTGACTAGTGGTTTACTGACCATGTTATATTAATAGCTTTCCGGGCATTGTACAGGAAAGAAATCTGCTACATAGCTATCTATGGAAGAGGGTATTGATGAGCTATTCGGCAAAGACGCTGATCATATCTCCGAGTCCGATGTGTCAGATCTGAACGGGCCAGTCATCCATGGCAGGAACCAGTGTACGAAAGACGAACGCGGGGGAAGAGGCGCGGGGGTTCAAATCTTGTCTATGTTAATGCTACGTAGGTACAGTAGCTATAGGGCTGGACCTCCTGACCAGACCAGACCCCCATACTAGCCTTGAGCATACTTCGTACAGGTACCGAATCCAACTCATCCCACATCCTCCCCCACGTTTGCGGGGATTTTGGGGCTGAGTTGTACTCGTACAGTACGGCATATCCTTTAATATGTCAAACTCGTCGGATTTCGGTGCCACGGCAATCCTCTTAGTTTCATCCCCCTCTTGGCCAGGGACGGGATCCTCAAACAGAAAAGAAGGAAAGCAATTTAAAACTGAATCTGAGTAGGATGCATGTGTATGTGTCCTTAGTAGTCATCTGACTAGAGAAGCTACACGTAAGATACTTCGTCTTGAACCCAAACAGGGATCAAGGGTAGAACTCTACCTCGTAAATGCAAAGCCCCAGTTATTGAAAAGTCGACAGTACCTGAATCCAAACATTGTCAAAAAAGCTGCATTAAATTCTACTATAGGTTACATATAAACATAAATCACAACCATCAATCATCGCTATTCCCAAAAACACCTCGCTCAGATGTTACGCACACATGGGTATATCCTACTCATCGGAATCAAGCACCCACCCCTTGCACATTTCCACAGCCTGTGTCCATTTCTTAAACATACGCTCACTCTTCTTCTTATCAATCTTTGACTCGAAGATGGTCCTATCTTCCTTGTTCATTTCCATCAGTTCATCAAATTCTTGCCAGATACCCACAGCGAACCCTGCCGCGATGGCTGCTCCGAGGGCTGTGCTTTCTCGCATGACTGGCCTGTTGACAGGGATGCCAATGATATCTGCTTGCGTTTGCATGCATAGATCAGAGTTGGACATTCCTCCATCTACTGCGAGACCTTCTAGCTTGTGTCCCGAATCCTTCTCCATGGCGTCCAAGATGGCTTTGGTTTGATAACAGGTGGCTTCAAGAGTGGCGCGGGCGATATGGCCACGCTGTGTATGGGCAGTAATTCCAACTGTAGAGCGGTTAGATACGGTTACAAAAGGGTGTAGAATGTAGAGGCAAACTTACATAGTGTTCCCTTGGCATCATCAATCCAATAAGGAGCAAACAAGCCGCTAAACGCAGTGACAAAAACTACACCACCATTGTCCGGGACGGTCTCCGCCAATTCAGTAATTTTACTCGAATGCTTGATGAAACCCATGTTGTTCATCAAGAACTTAACACCAGATCCAGCAACTGCGACACTACCTTCCAGAGCATAGGTTGGTTTCCCATTAGCCCCAAAATCGTATGCAACGGTTGCCAGAAGGCCGTATTGGGAGATGACGGGTTTATGTCCAACATTGTACAACATGAAACATCCGGTTCCGTATGTGTTTTTGGCATGTCCTGGCTTAAATCCGCATTGACCAACCAAAGCTGCTGACTGATCCCCGAGACAACCTGTAATCTTGTGGCCTTTCAAAAGACCGTACGCAAGAGCTCCAAAAGCGTCTATATGTGAGGAAGGAACGATTTTTGGAAGCTTCAATTTGTTCTTGTCGATTCCGAAGAAGCTTAACAGCTTGTCGTCGTACTGACAGGTGTGGAGATTCATAAACATAGTACGAGAAGCGTTCGTAGTGTCTGTAACGTGCACATTGGCTGCTTTTCCACCGTTCAGCTTGTAAATCAACCAGGTATCAATCGTCCCAAAGGCAATTCTGCTCTCATCGTAGGCGTTCTTAATAGCTTCAACATTCCTGTAGAGCCAGTAGAACTTAACGCTAGATGGATAGGTTGACAGTGGCAGCCCACAAATATCTTGTAACTCGTCAGCACCAGGCTTCTGCTTGAGCTCTCGAACAATCGCATTAGTGCGAGTATCTGGCCAGACAACTGCGTTGTAAAGTGGCTCGCCCGTATTTATATCCCAGCAGACTGTCGTTTCTCGCTGCGTTGTGATACCGATGGCCTTGATCTGCACCTTGTTGTAACCTTTGTCTATGAACTGCCTAGTCGCATGCTCGATGCATTGTTCCACAGAGGAGAGTAATTCGGCAGGATCGTGTTCATGCCACCTACATCATTTAGCAGTGAATAATAGGGCAAACAGCAAAGCGAACTTACCCAGAGTCGGGATAGATATTCTCAAACTCAATTTGGTGACTAGCAACGGGTGTTCCATAGGCATCAAAGATTATGAATCGTGAAGAAGTTGTGCCTTGGTCGATGGTGCCAATAAACTGCTCTTCCTGCAGAGCAGCCTCGGTCTCTGAGATACCGTTGGGCAAGTGCTCCTCATGGTGTATGGTTGCAGGAGCATTGACGTGCTCCTCATGGTGTACGGTTGCAGGATCATTGTCGTGCTCAACATGCTTTCCATTTTCCAGGCCAATCAGCTTGAAAGCTTCGGTGAAAACGTCGTTGAAAGCCTCGTGTTGGCTAAGACCTCTCAGAGGAATACCTTTTATTGGCATGGAATCCATGGTACAGTAGGGTGTCAAGGTAGGAAGGGGTTTGCCGGCTTATTGAAATCATGTAAAGGCTCTGGGACTTGCGTACCAGCTCTACTCTGTATGTGCACGCGTTGCAATTGAATGGGGATGGATTTTGAGACTGGGTTGGCAATGTGGATGGGAATGTTTTTAGGGTGGCAAGAAAGGGAGGGTAGGAGGGAGAGGAAGGAGGTTATGGGTTGCGATGCGTCGGGATGGGATGGGATATGTATGTAGGTAGAATGGGGATGGGGATGGGATATGTAGGTAGGTAGGAATGGGATGGGATAGGATGCTTGAGGTGGGAAAGGGGCGGAGCTCAGTTTTGCCTTGGTACAACAGCGAGCGAGGCAGTCTGATATGACATCGGCGCAAAATATTTAAGAGGGGCGTGTAGATCCAGGGAACGCCGGCTGGCCGGACAAAGGCACAAAGGTAGTAGCCAAAGGCCCAAAACCCCACAATGTCGGTGGTACGTGCTCTGTCCATGTGATGGGTATTTATTTTAATTTATTTATGGATTCCGGAAGAATTACTTCGTAATGTCACAGGGGGGAGGGAGGGGTAGGCGATGTTGAACTTCTCGAGCTGGTCTTTGTCTAGTCTTCTCGAAAACTCCCCTACCCCCCTCTGCAGGTGCAGCTTACTGTGCATAAGAACATCTACTTACTGCAATGCATGCATCCGGAGGTACGTATCTGCATGGCACGGTATCATGGCCTTCTCAACAAGGCCCAGGCCCACATCAACTCCATCGTTCTATCTCTTCTAGCCCAAATTTCTTATTTCGCGAGCCTCAAGTCTAGTGAGTTGCTCGGCATACTTGCCTTTTCTACTGTTTCTGCCCCTGACACACACGCACGACCTCCCGCACACGTACCCTCCTGCAGATTAGCAATAAGCAATAGTTGAAGAGATAGGGATAGAGTCAAAGATGGAGGCCGAGAGATACGGTGAAGAAGGTACAGTAGAGATAGAGAGATAGAGAGATAGAAAAAACACAAGATACTGTACCTCCTACCTACTGTAGGTACCTACCCAAAGCATACCGCTGTTTCAAACTTTCCATCGGCTACTAGACCCATCCCACCCTGCCCTCCAAGGTGATTGGGAAGGGGGAACGGGGTACGGTGAACCAAGCCTAGTCCACAATCTTACTGTACAAAAAAAAAAAATCGAATTGTTTTTCACGATCACGAATGCTGATTATTTTCATACGGAGGTATAGCTCCCTGCCTCGACTGCACTCATCTTCCAAGCTAGACAGGCATTGTTTAGTAAGCCCCACACAAATCCTACTAAACCCTGGAGTCTGCGCTGCCCGTGGCCAAATTCTATTCACCTCATGCCTCTCTTCCCTTTTCGGCTGCCTGTCTCACGGCTATCCGCTTCACCTCCCTTCTGCCCTTCTTAGCAAGTCGCTGATGCCTCACTGCCGCCATCACACCCCGGGCTCCTACGTGAGCGAGCTCTGCGCTCTGACAGCTTCCCTCTCCGCTTTAAGTAGCAACCACTCCTCATATTCGAAGTGACGATCTCCCGCCATATACCCAAGTGGTCTCCATTTAGCTCTCTGCCTTCTTGATATTTGGCACCATGTATTCCATACCCTCCTCGAACGGTCAGGCAAGTCATCCATCAACAGTCTCTTTCTCGTGTTACCGAAAATGGGGTCGATGATGTAGCCGTTTGCTGCAGTTATCTTGTTGGGCTCTGACTCAGACTCTGTCTCGATTTCGTTGTCTACGTCGACCATCTCGTCGTCGTCGTTGCCCTCGGCGTCCTGCTCCTGCTCCTCTCCTTCAATGTCATTCTTGTATAGCTTCTCGTCGTTGTCTTGGGCATCCTCAGGGCCGTGCATACACTCCTCATTCTCACTTGGTCTCTCTAAGACTGTTACCCAATACCGCGTTCTATTGTAGATGATTTCGGCCACAACTGGGTCAAGGATGTGCTGAATGGACGCAAATTGCGGTGGCAGTGGGCCCTCACGAGGAGCGTTCTGAATCCCGTTCCACATCTTTGGTTCTGGAAAGTGTCTGGAAAGTTGAAAACTGGGCTTCTTGTAGTTCTGCTGATTTACTGCCAGACGGCTCTTTTTAAGTGCAAGTCTCCATATGTTGGTGAATGAGGAATTCACGAGGATGTCTTTCAGGCTGTGTTTCGTGACTGTAGTGCACGAACTGTTTGAGATGCGTCACGGTGCTTCGCTGACTTTGTGCAGTATTTCAGCAAGTTATGGGTTGTAACGGAGAAGAGAATAATTGTTTTTTAGAAGCGCATTGTGGGCTTATGAAATATCCAGCTCAGTCGAGATCGCAGTGCTCAAGTTCTGGGACCCTATTTTGGGATTTTCCTATTTGGTTCACATTGTGTTGCAATGATGTGTTTTGCTGCACATCGCTTCATGATAGGAATCTCCGTTCGAGATGGTAATTCTGAAATCCCATCATGCCAGGACAGGCTTGACTATTATACTCCATGCATTTTTATAAACATGACTGGTTTATTTATTGCTGTATCTTGGTAGCTTTAGTCAAAAGTAGTAGAAAGTCTGTCCGAATACAAATGGCGCTAGCTGTTGGTACTGGTACAATGAGGCTCAAAAAGTAAGGGTCCAATATTAGCGCCAATATCTACAATGACTTATCTCTCACTCGGTCACGGCTGAAGTAAATAAGATCATTGTATGGCTTTCTTTCTTGACCTGGGGTGATGTAGCAAAGCTTTGTTCGTGCCGCCGTGGTTTACTAGAAGCTGATAGGGCAACCGTGGGAGAATAATGACAAGCGCAACTTTATAGAAATATGAGTTCAGTACTGGCTCACTGGGAACTTAGCATATTAGATATAGCCATCATTTCTCATGACTTTCAGTTCACATAATCTTGCATCCATGTGCTTCTGCATGGCTCGTTCTCCTTATGCCTCGCAAGCGCAGGCGCACCTAGCATCATACGTACAGCTCACATCAAAATACTAGACCTGGACCTGCTGCAGATCTGCACATGCCGGTCATAGGGCCATGTGCGCTATCGAGCTGGGTTCCGCACGCAAGTTTCAAGACAACTAGAAGTTCCACATCATGCGAATCACAAAATCCATTTTTTACACGCTAGGAGACTTCTATCTTCCCAGTTCCTAGCTAAGGTAAAGCTAAGATAAAAGCTGCTACCAAGTGCTTTGGTAATCAATTTGCGAAATGCAACAAAAGCTTCCTTCCAACTATGACATAATATAGCTTTTTGTGCAGAAAGAGCCAGACTGCGTTTCGAAAGGGTGGTTTGGGAAGCTTCGACCAAAGAATGACGCGAGCAAGTCACGAAATTAAGAAAAAAGTAGGTACAGCGGTTTTCTGATCGCTGCTTCTTCCTACTTGAAATTTTGCGATGTTTAAAGTCTAAGTTAGCAGCTCAAAAAACTAATTTCTACCTTAAAACCGTGAAGCCTAAAACATAGAAAGCATGGATCATTTTTTCTTTCTCAATATTGCCTTAAGCTACTTACTATGCGTAGTCTCTTCTTTAAAAGTTCGTTTTCAAGTTTCTAGCACAAGATTACCAGCTCTTCTCACGCTTTTCATATATTGTTCGCTAGTAGTGATGCGGAATAAAGGTCCTCCTCGAATCACGTTTCTATCGTGAGTCACAATTTTACTCTATAATGAAGATCTAAGTTAGTAAATGCACTTGTGTACATGCTAACTTGCTAGGCTCCAAGTTAGGTACTTGGTTACCTTTGTCCGCGGCCTCAAGTTAGCTGCAAGTTTCCCTTTAAGTCGAAACAAAAGTTCAAGCTACCTAGTCCAGATCAGAATAGTAACCAAAGTTTCTCAGGCAATATCATAATAAGGTCTATACGAAGCAGCCCTCCCCACGGTTCTCACTTTCCTCCTTCCCATTTACATGAATATTTCCTGAAGACTGCCTTCGACATACCGCAAACAACCAACTTTTCAAGAAATCAACTTGCACTAAAACCTCAACACACCGGTTCAAATCTTTACACCAGCTCGTCAAAATGTTTCTCAAAGGGCTTGTTAGTTTACTGGCTGTGCAAAGCAGTCTTGGTATACATCCAGTCGCTGCCCTCAAAATCACCATCAAGCGAACGGCATCGCAAGCAATCCCGCTTACAACGGACGTCAGCACCCATAGTGCTAGTGTTAGTAATGGGTTGCAGCTTACGGGTGGTGACTTTCACTTGAATGCCTCAGCAACAGTGGGACAATTTACCGGTCCTTCTCTGTCTCGCCGAGACGATGTCGGCGATGAGCCTGGTGATCAGGTCTCTGATCTTCCAGGTACAATAGAGGGTCAAGGAGAGACTCCCCGGCCTACAGACGAAAGTGGAACTACGGGTCCAGACATAAGCCCTGATAACCCTCCAACAAACCCGCCACCCTCTGGACCAACTATCATCATGGTAGATAGCACGAGCTCGATAAAAACACTACTAGATTCGATCACCAAGAAGACAGGCTGACCGTGAAGATGGCGAACGACTTTGTATTCTCCGCTGGCATTCAAGCTACCGTACCGCCACTTAGCGAAGCGATGCGAATTTCAAAAGGAATCCCTGACGCCATCAGTCTTACGAGAGGCCTGGTAGCAGGTCTAGCTTCAGCTCCGATGACATTTTCCGGGATCCGCAACGCCTTGCCTGCCGATATCAATGAACTGGCGGGCATTGCAGCATCCGAGAAAATTCTCAAGGCCATAGGTCTTGATATGAAGGCATGGGAGCTTGTGGACATAGGTAACCGAGCTGCGAATGCACTCCATGGAGCTTCGAACACGGCTATAATGACGGTAGACGAAAGGGCTCAAGCATGCATCTTGGGAGCTTCTCTCGCCGGAGCCTTGGGCCGAAAGTCAGCTGCTAAACTTCTTGAAAAGGGCGGAGTTGAAGCTTCGAAATCTTATGCAGACGGACTCAAGGATTGGATCAAAAAAGCGAATGCTGCTGCGAAGGCATCATCCGAGCTTATTGCCGCGACAGGGACGGCTGCTACCGTTCTCGGCCCTTTGCTGTATATAATCTTTGGGATTTTAAACCGCAAAGGTTCCACGACTGTTACCGTCAGCGCCACTGCAGGTGCATCTACGGAGTCGACTGCAACTGAGCAGTTTATCTCCCCGTCGCTCCAAACGACCACTTCTGTCGAGGAAACAGAGACAGTGGATGCTACAAGTAAGTCGTGTTTATTATATTCTATCAACTCTAGTGGAATATTGTTCCCAAATCTCAAGATTGTGCTGACTGTAATTAGCTACATCGACTGAAGCACGAGAAACCACAGCATCATCTACCAGCGTTGTTGCTTCTTCATCGGCATATTCCACGGGCTCCACAACAGCAGAAATAAAAACCACATCGACGATATTCGCATCTTCATCTACCTCGACGGCTCCATCTTCTACGCAGACAGCTGTTCAAACGTCAACCCCAACCCTTCAGCCAACCATGGTCTCGAGCAGCAACACCACTTTCACCATATCCCAGCCAACATGGAACAATACCAACATCTGGACTAGCGCTCTTCTCACACCATCGACACTGCTGACCGTATATTACGACACTGTCTAATTCTTGCTCCCCTCGAGTGGCGGCTCGGTCATCCCAATAATGTAACGAAGTACCTTACGCGTTCTGGCGCTGGCCCGAAGAGGGTGGGTTTGGGAATGTTGAAGGTGTGGATGAATAGAGGGAGGTGGGATGGAAGTCTAATTCCAACAGTGTTTACGACCGTTTTGAGAAAAGAGCAAGCCTTGCCGTGAACAGAAAAAGCGGCACTAATTTATAATGTGCCATGTGGCGTGGGACATTAAAAGGCGATAAGAACAAATGCCACTTTGTGTGTCCGGCAAACCCAAGGGTTTATAGTTGACGGTCTCTTTGCGGAAAATGATGTAGTGGTTAATAAGAGATTGCGAAAGCATCGGTGTTTAGGGGCGTGAATACACATTTTTGCCTCCTGTGTCGAGACTGGGAAATCAAGAAATTGAAATAGTAAACAATAGAAAAGCCCACTTGAGCCTTGACTGTACCAATGAAAAGAATGTGTGAGGTTGAGACTACGTCGTCTATTTGTGAGCTCCTACTTCCATATCATCTCTCTTAACCTCTGTTTATCCTCCTCACTTCCAAAAATAGTGTCAATTGCACCTCTGGCGAGCGTGCATATCTCCTCCCTATCTAACCCGAAATGCTCAGCGATGAGTGCATACTCGTTACTGAGACTGCTGCCAAAAACACCGACATCATCCGTCTACCGATATATGAATTAGCCCAATCCTCAATCCCCAACTCCAAAGCATGAGGTAAATAGAAAACCACCCATGATACATACACTCAGAATAATCGGACACCCCGTCCCCCTCCACCACCCAAAATGATGATCCCCATACGAGCCCGTAATCATCTTCGCATGCACATTACAGCTCAAACACAACTCCAGCCCTAACCCCCTCTTTATAATCTCCGCCTTCACATCACCCGGAACGTTAATCACGTGTCCTATCCTATCCGGTTTGAAACCAAGCAGCGTCCAGAGCTCGGCCGGTGTGGACGATTGCGGGGCTTCGGCGAAATGCAGCGTTATTTTCAAGCCGCTCTCGCGTGCTCTCGCAAAGGCGGGCGCGAATATGGATATGTCGCCGACGGCGGGGTCGCCGCAGAGATCGACTCCTACTGTGCTGTGTGCGAGGGCCAGGTCTACGACTTGCATTGCGGTGTCGGCGTCGTTGCGGCGGTCGATGGAGAGGATGAGGTTTGCTTTCATGCTGTGGGAGGTGGTGTTGAAGGCAGAGATGCAGGTTAGTATTGTGTGGACGTAGATGTCTTTTGATATGTTTGCGGAGGGGATTGCGCGCGGGGTGGTGCGGAGTTCGAGGTAGACGACGCCGTCGGCCTCGAAGTCTTTGAGGACTGCGTTTGTGGTGTAGATGAGGGATGAGAGGTCATTGCAGAGGGCGTAGATGTACTTGGAGAAGAGGGGGAAGAAGCTGGGAGGGGTGAGATTTGGGGAAGAAAGGGGGGTTTGAGGTGGGAAGAGCTGAAAGGATGCGATAATTGACGGGACTTACGTCTCTAAGTTATAATCGAATTTTCCCACGGGCATTTCCTCTAATGGATCTCTCAAGTCTGTCTCTCCTCGCTTCTTCTTCTCAACCCAGACATCGTGCAGGCACTCGCGACTGATGCTTCCGCTGAGATGAGCATGTAGCTGATATCATAAAATTTAGCCTTGTTTCTATTGTGTATTCTACCACTACCAGCGCATATCCCAGCGTTCGCGAAAACTACTGCCAGGTATGAGAATATAATAATCAAAAACAAGTGAGAAGGACACCGAAATTATCCTCGACAACATCTCTAACTGGAATACCAGTGAATGTAGCTCCGGTATAATACTTGCCAAACAAAAAAACAACAACGAGAGATTACATCTATTTGATCGCTGACGACAAAAGTGGACATGGAATACAGTCTCACCTCGATTTTGGGCAAAGCTTTGAAATCCATCATTTAACGATTCATGAGATAAATAAGCTTTGCAATCTAGATTGCTGAGGTTATCGAATTTTTAGCGGGCACTATCGAAAGAACTAAATCTCCCGATCTCGTGCGTGCCGTAGTAATGATAGTGAGTGAGGCTTGAAACGGAAAGGAGAAGTTGAAGGGACTGGACTGGTGAAAGTGCTGAGTTGTGAGGGATGGATGATTCGCGCTAGATCTTGCCAAAAGGATACTGGTACAAAGATATCGGTAGGACTACCGAGAAGCCTTTAGGGCTTGGCTTGGAAAAACAAGGTACGAAGTACTCGAATTATAATGTCCGCGCTTAGGTACGGAGTATATGTGAGCTCGGTATGCCGTGTGTGTGAGGCGTCGTCGGTTGCTGCAGATAATGCGATTCGGCCCACTGTGGACCCGATTCAGTTCAATAATGGGGGGTGTTCATCCCTTCTCAACGCTACTGCCGTATAAATATTGCGGACGGTTCGTAATGTACTGTTTGCAGGTATTTACTGTATTTATTATATAGAGTATTACAGTAGTTGCCGCGTACGAGTACACCCTCACGAGTAAAGCGAGTTAGCCCTGGTGATTTCCGCAAAGGTTGCTTGGTGCTTGTGTTGGATTCCTGGGGTCTGTCTGTCTGTTTTGCTGTTCTAGTAATGCTGTCAGTCTTCGGAGAGTTGAATGTGGCTGCCCGGGTGGGTGTGGGAACAATGCCGGAGAGATCTCCTATTTGAAATTAAATAAATACCTCGGAGGCTGTATTTTATATCCCATTTCAAATCAAATCAAATCCAAGTAAACCGACGGCGTATCCCTATACATACCGTCTGACGGGTACGAAGAAGTAAAGAGGGACAAGAAGGGAAGAAATGGAAATCCGGTAGAAACCTTCTAATCAAGATCTCCAGATTCCCAAACAATACGAAAGTGTACCTGTTGATCTCCCATACTGGCAAAGCGATATTCATACATTTTGCCCAAGCAAATTCGCATCCAAGTTCGGTAATTTAGATGATCCCACCCCCAACATTCCGAGCTTGCCTCTGCATGAGAACCGAAATGCGTGCAGGGGAATTATCCGTGCGTGTTCCCCCAACGCCGAATTCTACTCTTTTTGTAATTCTGCATCTGCATCTGCATATGTATCTGGTGGTGTGACCCATTTCTGGGAGCTGTCAGTAGTGGAGGGAGGGGAGGGGATAGGACAGTTATTAATAAATAAACAATTTCCAGGCGCCCCTCCTGCTGCATTTGCTCTGACGACGGTGGGTGGATGGGGGGGACAACTCCTGACCGGCATCTATCAAGATTGCCCTGTACTGTACGTGCGCAATATTTACGAAGTACTCTTCCCGTAGGTAAATTTAGGTACGGAGTATTGAGATCTTTGCGCGCCTTGGGATCAGTGCAGCATCAGGCCAGTGAGCACTGGGCAGCTTGCTTTGGCTCTACGGATGAAATACAGGAGGTATTCCTGTACTCTGGCTAAGGTGGGCTGGTAGCTATGCTGGCAGTTGAAAAGAGTTACAGCTCCAGCTCCAGCTCCAGCTCAGCTAGTAAGCTATATCAGCTACAATACAGCTACTCCCAGTACAAGCATGCTCGTACATTGATCAATCAATTAATCAACCAGTTTCACCTTGTTTATTCTTGATTTCAGCTTTCGGTCATCAGCACCTGCGCAGTATACGGAGGTACTTATACCTCGTGCCTCTCTATGTCCAATGTCCAACCCTTTCTTGGTATAAAGCGGCGAGTCTAGGCATCCATAAATCGATCATTTCCTCGTCGCTGAGTGGTCGCTTTCTCTGCCACATCCGCCTATGATAAATCCACTCCCACTGCCATTTCTAAGCGAACGAGTCGGCTATTGGGTACTGTACTGTACCTACGGAGTTCCATCCATCCCAGTCTCCCAGACCTCGCTCCCTTCTCCTGTCTATCTCCCTCCCCTCCCCTCCTGTCTAACATGCTACGCTAAACCTTTCTCTGCTCTACCTTGCCTGCTCTCGCTCCTCCTACTCCACAAATCAAAACTTGGACCTTCCGCTCCTGAAGAGTAGAACGCCAGACCGAACCAGTCCTCCTGTCCTGTCCTGTACTGTCCTGTCTACCTAGGCTGTCCTGTCCTGCTCCTGACCCTGACTCCCGTAGAGCTTAGCAAGCCCCGACCCGCCCAATCTTGACCAATCCTTGATCCCGCCGTACTGCGCTACAGTCCCGTACGCTACGCTGCGTCTGTCTGTCCTCCCCCAAACCAAACCACTCTGCAATTTATTGAAGGGGTGAAGCTTCAACATCATCCACACCCGCCGCTCACCGAACGAGAGCTCTTCCACTCGCTCATCGACAACAAGCCTGCCTACTTGCTTGCCTGTCTTTCTGCAAAGCAGCTCCGAGTGAAGTTGGTTTGAGTTGACTGCTGGTCCTTCAACGCTGCAGCGAAGAACAACCCGGTCATCCATCCCCTTTCCGTTTGGCCATAGTGCCCCGTCGACGCTCGCCCCTCTAGCCTCATCTTAATTTCCAACGACCTCTCAACCTCTTCCTTACATCAAACCCCAATTGACGCCGGCATCAACTCGATCACCTTCGCCATGTCTAACGATGTCACTCCGGAGGCCATGCAGCAGCGCATTCAGCAGGCGCGCCGCGAAGCAGAGAGCCTGAAGGATAGAATTAAGCGCAAGAAGGATGATTTGGCCGACGGCACGCGTAAGTGACAGACCAGTCGATAACCTTTGCGCGTTCAATTGTTATGTCGACAGCACAGCATGCGGTGCATTTACAAACTTAGGCTAATTATCATGGTGCAGTATCGAGTATTGCGAAAAGTCAACAAGAAGCTCTACCCAGGAACCAGATGATGAGGACAAAGAAGACCTTGAAGGGCCATCTCGCCAAGATCTACGCCATGCATTGGTCCACAGACCGAAGGCATCTGGTATCGGCATCGCAAGACGGAAAATTGATTATCTGGGATGCATACACTACAAACAAAGTCCACGCCATTCCATTACGATCCTCGTGGGTCATGACTTGTGCTTATGCTCCAAGTGGTAACTACGTTGCATGCGGTGGTTTGGACAATATTTGTTCAATTTATAATCTCAACCAACAGCGCGAAGGACCCCAAAAGGTTGCCCGAGAACTGTCAGGTCACTCTGGATACCTTTCGTGCTGTCGGTTCATCAATGACCGATCCATCCTGACTTCCTCCGGTGATATGACTTGTATGAAGTGGGATATTGAGTCTGGCCAGAAGGTCACAGAGTTCGCGGACCATCTAGGTGATGTTATGAGCATAAGCATCAACCCCACAAACCAAAATACCTTTGTGTCTGGAGCTTGCGATGCGTTTGCGAAATTATGGGATATTCGAGCCGGTAAAGCTGTTCAGACCTTCGCTGGTCATGAGTCAGATATCAACGCCATCCAATTCTTCCCTGATGGCCATTCATTCGTCACTGGTTCTGATGACGCTACCTGCCGCCTATTTGACATTCGCGCCGATAGAGAGCTCAACCAATACGGAGTGAGTAAAAAGAAGGATGCTAAGTGTGCCCGAAGGCTAACAATCTAGCAGAACGAGTCGATCCTTTGCGGCATCACATCCGTCGCTACCTCCGTCTCCGGCCGACTCTTGTTTGCCGGTTATGATGACTTCGAGTGCAAGGTAAGACATTGCCTGCTGTATATCCTCTCCGAGTACGGTTCGCTGACTTTCGGGAATAGGTTTGGGATATCACTAGGGGCGAGAAGGTTGGATCGCTGGTTGGCCACGACAACCGTGTTAGCTGTTTGGGGGTCAGCAATGATGGCATGAGTTTGTGCACTGGATCTTGGGATTCATTGGTAAGCACCATTTCTTGGATTTGGAAGACATTCGTTCCCCTTGCTGACTCAATTCTCCTTTTAGCTCAAGGTCTGGGCCATGTAAAATCATGTACATCATCAGATGCCTCGGAGGAGGGCGTTCTTTCCTCGAGCTGTGCAGAGCAGCTCTTAAACTCAGCAAACCTACCAAACCGACTAAATCCACAGATACCCAACCTAATCACCTTACTACAACCTGATGCGCCCCCTTAATATCTGCGACTCGGCGTAGACTGGACGACGTTACGAAACCCACTCCAAAGCCCCGTGTTGCAATCGTTCGATAGCGGACCGTTGATCTGATCCGGACGAGAGGGAGGGGTCTGACAGCGGGTTGCGATATCTGATTCTTTGCTTCATAATTCTTCTTTCCAATACTTCTTGTTTGTATGGGCGGGACAATTGCATTGCTCTTTCCCGTGTCTCTAGCGCGGGGTTGTTGTTTGCGATGATATCCTCCCTACCGAGACATCTTGAGCCGTTCTTCAGATAACCCCTTGGTTCGTTTTCCTTTGCAACATAACAAATATCTTTTCCTTTTTCTATACACTAGTCTCCAAAAGCTCTCTCAATGGCTTGATGGCTTGTCTCGGTGGGGGTGGTCTGAATCGCGTTATCGACCTATTGTCGAAATATTTGTGTTGGTGGATAAATGCGAAGAAGCTACACAAATGTCATTTGGGGTTCTAGGGGGTTGTCGTTTAGGGATACCTAGATGAAGTCGGTGGGGGCATTGAAGCAGCGGAGAGACTGTTCACTCAAGCTTTGTTTCTGCTTCGTCGCCTTCCATTTGATGCTGGCGTCGGTTCCACAATGCTTGTACGATAGTCTGAATGTTTCCTCTTCAATAGATACATTATACAATGACTGGAATACAGGATTCATGTGACCAGGTGGATTGGGATATGAAGAAGACTTGAGAGGCCGAGGTTGGAGATGATGACGGCAGCTTACGTTCCACTTTGGTATACTTGTACTTGTAAGACTTACATATAGGTACGCATTTACCCGGTTGTTCTTGTCGTAAACGCAGTTCGGAAATCTACAGAGGCCCAGAACAGGGTTGTATCATATCATCAAAGCCACATACTCTATTACTCCAGCCGCAGCGGCCCAACAATCTACTATACGTGATACACCTCCTCACTCGAACTTCCATATCCATCATCTGTCGTGTCACGGTCTTACGCTTACGCTTACGCCTCGAATAATATCAAGCAAGACAAGGCAAGGCCAGATTTGGCCAGATTTGGCCAATTCGTTGTACCGATCGGTCGGTACCTATCTGACGGGATTATTGGGGGTATACTGTACCAGATCTCTCGTCCCCTTGTAGGCATATGTCCGTTTAGCAGGCCTAGATGTCCTTGAAATAATGTAATAGGGATAGGGATAGGGATAGGATCAATAGAAGTACGCATGATAGATTTTCCTTCTAGAAGCAATTTCGAAGCATCGGTGATTCGGTGGATGGATAGGGGAGGGGGTATATGCTGGGATTTAGCACTAGGCTGAACGGGGACTCCGGGAACTAAAAGAGAGATAAGTTGCATTGCAGATGAAACGACGCCGCTATGCCGATCCATTTCTATCTGGGACTGAAATAATTAAATGGTGACTCGGTTTTTCATTTCATCCATTCTTTCCAGTGCCGTGAATCGGAGACAAAGAGGCAATATATTTCTAGATTAGGTGCAGGTGACAACAGGGAAAAGAAGGTTGTCTGTCTGCTGCTTTGGGAAGCTTGTGAGAGGCCGGGTAAGGGGCTGAACAGGAAGAGGATTCCTATGCATCTATCTATCTGCTTCAAGCATTCATCATTACTCACCATTTTGATTTCGCATTGAGTGGGTGACTCTTTATTTTGTTTTCACGTGGAAAGACTTCGGCTTGTAGCTGTCAACATACATTTTACAAAAAAAGTCTAAGTGCGCGAACAGAGCATCCTTCACGTCCAAACACCAGCCGGTCTGTTACAGAAGAGACGATCCGCGAGTGAAACTCCGAAAGAACAGAAGATCACCAGCTAAGGAATTAGGACAACGACACTTCTTCCAAGGGGCTTCTATTCCGGGCCAGCCCTAGTCCTTAGTCAAGGCATAATAAAGTACGAAAACGAAATCTGATATGCCGTAAGATTGGATCTGAAACACCACAACGACGTCCTCCTCGCACTCCCCTCCCTCCGCTACTTACGAGTACTACTGCTGAGTCCGAGTCTGCATTTTTATTTAATTTTTTTACGCAAAATCAAGACAACAAACAGCAACAAAGGGGTGCCAGCACATACATACATTCCTCTATACCTCCCCTCCTTCCTACATTCCCGCATTCGGCTTTCCCACTTCCCACCCCACCCACGCAACAGGAGCAGAAGGAATCTGACACGCCGAAAACGAACGCATTTAGCCACATCTTCCACATTATTACCTTTTCATTGCGAGTGCCCACCACCGCGGGACCCGACCTTCCAGAAAGACCTCAGACACGGCACTGCCCCAGGTCAACCCCTCAACCCAGTCGTGCAGCTGCCTATCCTGCTATTCCCTGCTTGCCACGCACCTTCCCACACCTATTAATACAAGACCTCGTGGCTCCCCTGCCGCCCCTCCTTCCCTCCCGTCATTATGTCCAAGACAGCCGCCCAAGAAGAATTCGACACCATCGTCAACAAGGCCTCTGCCTCGGAAAAGTCTCCCTACCACCCTTCTGACGCCAACGATTACGCCAACGATAGAGACACTTCTGATATAGAAGAGCAGGACGAGTATACCCAAAAGAGAATCAACGACACAATGCGCCTCCCCTTCTCCTCCTCGGCCCCCCTAAATCTCCCCCATAGGGACTTCGACTCAGGCCGTACCACGGGCGTCAAGGGCGTCATTGCCGATGCGCGGTCCTACGAAGAGGCTCGCCGCAATGGGGGCAGGAAGGGCAGCAGACTGTCACCCAACAGAAGCATGACACGAACTGCCGAAAAGCGAGCATCTACCATCAGCTTTCTAAATGACGATGGAGAGGGCAGTGATAGCGAGGATGAGGAGTTCCTAGAGCGGTGGAGAGAGCAGAGGAAGCGGGAAATGGAGCGTGAGGGAAACGATATCAGGAATCGGAGAACGTCGCCCAGTGTACGACGGTACGGACGCTTCGATGAGGTTGATGCTCTGGGCTACCTAGATGCCATTGAGAAGGTCACAAGGGATACCGTTGTTGTTGTCTTTGTCTACGATGCTGAAGTATGTCCCACCAACCCCCCCGAACAACTACACATTATATTATGTTACACAGAAACTAACCTCACTTCCTTGTACAGTGCGACGTCTCTGAAATCGTCTCCGCAGCCCTCACGCCACTCGTCTCCCGACACCCCTCAGTCCATTTCGTCCGTGTCCCGTACCAAGACATCGAGTTCGACGCTGCCGGGACCCCCGCTATCCTCGCATACAAGAATCAAGGGGACCTCTTTGCGAACCTGACGTATGTCGTGGATCAGATTCCTGATGACACGGTCTTTGATACCAAGGCTATGGAAACCATCTTACGGAAGAACAGCATCTTTTAAGTTGATGATGAAATGGTGATGGGTCACATGAAAGGTTTACTTGTACTCAGGAGGTCGGAGTTGGGGGGATGGATAGGCTTGCAAGGTGTTGGAAGGGGATTAAAAATATGCCTCTTATTTTATTTTATTTGTATTTGTATCTCATATGTACTAATACCCAGGATCTGCGTCGAGCTAGGGCGTTTTGCTAGAGTGGCGGTTGCTTGCTTGCACATGGATCTAGCGTTTGCGGGATCTGTATATCTCATGCTCATCATTCATACCCCCTTTTTACTGAAGGCAATCAATCTCATTCTGCTTAAACCACTGCTACATCATGGATGTCATCATGGATGGGCCACTGTAGAAGGTGCAATCGGTCAAGGTATTCTATAATGCAGTTGAAGCATATTCATAGTAGCTGTTAATAAATATCAATCGTATAGTCGAGTATGTCTGTATGGCCGTGGAGGCGAGGCAGGATTTTCCCAACCTGCCTCAATACGAGAGTGCCTGTCCTGTCCTGTCCTGTCCTGTCCTGTTCATCATTTACCAATACCGATACCGATACCGATCCCCACCAGCAACTGATGCTATTCGAAGCGACCTGTGCCATGGCCGTGGTGTGACCGCTCGTGCTCATATTCCTGTGTAGGAACCGAAACGCCGGACACCCGACAACTCCAAATCGCCTACCCATCGCTAACAATAAACCTCGAGTAAGAATGTGTCCTGGTACTGTACGTACAGTACCACCTCGCAGAAAATAGCCAACCTAGAAACTCCGGTCATCTGAATCATAAAATGTCTCAAAACCCAGCACTGTTGTGCGCCGTGCCATCCAGCGGGGCATAATTATCCATCGTCATGAAATCCAGCAGGTCCATACCACCGACATTAACGCCATCCGCTGTCTGCGTGATGGCCTGATCATTAACAGCACGATAGAACTGCGGGCCCGGCGGCAGGTACCACATCTCGTTATTACTACTCCAGTGATTACTGCCACCAAAGACATCCGTGATGCCGTCGTACTGCTGAGACTGGCTATAAGCTGTGCCTGCAGTATTACCAAAGAAGGCACCCTGATTGAGATCGAATGGCGTGGCTGAGACGTGGAGATCTGCTCGTACATTATTGTTAATTAATATTGTTTCGTTGTTGTACACCAAGGAAGACAGATTGAACTCACCCTGCCCATTACTATTAGGCATGTTTGCAACATTCGGCGTGCCGGCATTCCATTCGCGGATCTGCTCGTTGTGGTTGATCTTCATCCTCTTCGCGTCGGGCTCCTGGTGCATGACCGGGCTGCGGGCAGGCGGGCCTTGTGGGGGAGCGCTGATAAACCGACTGCGCAGGCGCGACGTTAAGGTCTCGAGGAGGTCTGCAAAACGGATTCCGAGATGGACGTCGTCGACTACGCAATTCCTAAGAGCATCGACTGCGCGATCCATTAATCCGATACTAATCTCTACATCGTTTTTGGACGCTCCTAGCGCGAAAGTCTTCAATAAGAACATGGCGCCACTGATAATGCGGAAGTATGTTCTGACTGGAGCATGCTTGAGATAATCGCCTGGCAAGAGTCCTTCAACGACAGTTTCGAGTAACTTTCGACTTCCTTCCACAACTTCTCGGACATAGCCTTGGTCAGCTGTGCCAAAACCACCAAGTTTCGCCAATGGCAGTTTGCCGTAGTAATTCTGGGTCTCGGGAGATAATGGAACATTTGCCGACGCTGCACCGCTATGAGGATATCCAGAGCCGTTTGAATTGGGAACCGCATTGCTGGTACATCTTTCAACGACGGCTTGAAGAGATAGTGAGTTAACATAAATTCTGACATACTCATACTCGATCCGAAGTATGTGTCCAATGTATTGAGGTAGTTGAAAACGTTCAAACTCCTTTCTCCAAGCATCAAGCATAGGCTTGAAATCTTTGAGGAGTCCGAGATAGCTTCCGTCCTGGATGATCTTGGTCGTGTACTGTCGAGATTTGAAAAGCCTTTCGTTACCAAGACGCATGGCATTGCTAATTCCAGCCCAACAGTGGATGATTTGGTCGTCGAGCTCGAGGTTTGGAATATAGTTAAATGTATTTGACATGGTCGTGGCAGTCTCGGGAGTCTTGCCTTCGACTGATGCTCTCCTCTTACGCGGTGCAAAAGCCGGGTCGTTAACACGCAAGTTCTCTGGAACCATGTTCGTCCAACCAAGGCGACCAGCTAATTGAGTGACATAGATCAAAAGGAGTCGCTTAATTCTAGCAGCTCTCAATCGATAAGCTTCATCATCATACTCTGGTCTCATCATTTCTCCGCCAGCAGCCAGGAGTTCATCGATGTTGTCGAATACACCGAGCTCGTAGGAAAGACCCATTCCAGTGCTTAGGAGCATCCAGCACATGCGATCGCTTCTCCATGCAGGTTCCAGCCAACTTTCAATCCGTTTTCCGCCTACACCTCCGGGTTGACGATGACCATTCTCATCGTCTGTACTGTAGGTGTCCGCTACATCATACGAGGGAAGCATAAGCTCATCCGTAGCTTCAGCAGGGGGGAAGTGCAATGCACGAGGGTGCCATTCAGTCAAAATCATAAGACTTTCAATAGTACCCAGAGTTCTTAGACTGCCCTTCCTCAGGCCTCGCCAAGGGGCCGTGCTGGAAGTTTGAGCTTCACTCAAGTCCGCTCCGGATCCACAGAAACCACCACCAAAAGCTTCCTGGCCCCAAAGACATCTTTCAATCATTCCTCGGAGGTAGGTCCAGAGCTGCTCATGAATTGCGTGAGACCGACAATGTCCACCCGCCCCTGATATTTGTTTATATCGTGTGGCTATGGTCAAAAGCGTGACTGTGAGGATTGGCTCTTCCGTAAGGAGTGTATGATGGGTTGCGGGATCCTTGAACGTAGGAGGTGAAATAGGTGTTAAGGGAGAGAGGTATTCATAGTAGCTAGATCTATATTAGTAAAATAATTGAGATCAGGCGTATGTAATATACTAAGCAATGTAATCGATAGCTTCAGCAGGAGTGAACCAGCCAGCACGAACGAATCTGAATCTAGACCAGGATTTAATTGCGTCCTTATAGCCTTGTTCTTGAGAAGGATCCTGCTTGTGCGGGCCTTCTGCTGCTAGCGCTGGGTCAATAGCAGCATCTCGGCTTGTTTCTGGGGGAGGCATGTAGTTCGATTGGAAAGGACGGTTGGCATGTTGCAAAGGTGATGATTGCGGAAGATTTCTGGAGTCATCGTTACCAAGTACAGGAGACATTTGACTACTGCTTTTGGTCCTACTATGTCCTGGGCTACGAGAGAGATTAGTATGTAACACTTCGGAGGGATCGCAAAGGACATACCTATCGGTGGCAGCTTTGTACAGAAGATCCAACGCATCATGAGGGCCGTAGACCTCTCGGCGCATAACATTCTGTGCCTCTAGATTTTCCACATGTGTATCCGCCTCCTCTGCATTTCGTTCGTCCCTCTGCGCTTGCTCCCTTTGCGCCTTGGTTGGTCGGCGCAAAGGCTGCGATCGTCCGATGGAGCCTCCGGGGGTCAGAGGAGGACCTTGCATGACAGGAGAATTATCTGACCATGGAGCAGACCGAGAAGGAGGCGCTCCCATGGAACTCTGACGAACGGAGGCAGGATGAGGTGGAGGTGGGGAGGCTTGAGCCATCTTCCGGCCATTACGAGTAATATAATCATCGTTGTACTCGTAACCATCCAAACTATCTTCACCCCCATCCCCGTCCTCATTCTTTCTCTTACGCCTCGTCGCAGAGAAGAAGCACTCCTTGCTCTCTCTGCGGCATCGCACACATGGTGGATCTCCTGGGTTATCAACACTTCCTAGGTCGCACTTGACTTTACGTCGTCGACATGGGATGCAAGCCTGATAGACTCTCTTGTGTGGTGGGGGCTGCGATGGCTGTTCTGAAGCCGAGCCATTCGATCCATTGACGCTGTCTTGTTGGGCTGGATAGTGCAGAGGTGCCGCCGACATGTTTTGCGACTGAAGGACCGTTCGTGGTGGATGGTCGATCGATGCCCTCGCTTTCCCGCGGTTTAGGCTGGAAACGTCTTGTCGCGGAGTTGCGGGGGGGCTCCGGGGAAATTGAGCGCTCACAAAGAAAGGCAACGGACAACTTCTGTCACTGCGTTGGGTTGCGTTGGGTTGGTGAGACTCAGCACAGCAACTCGGGATTTCGTCTGATTTTGTTTCGTTTATTATGGTTATCGAGTTGGGCTACCCCACGCGCCACGGTCCCGATGTCGATACCGGAAGCCCTTATCGAGGGGGGCAGGCAGGGCATGTTGTTGGTGAGGCTGGCACTGGGCCTGGCTCACATGTGTTTGAACATGTGACTTTGTAGAAGGCAATGAATGCAGCCAGCATAAGCAGAACGCAGACGGGTATAGTAGTAAGGTTTGATTGGTGGCACATATTTGTCAATTGATTTATTTTCTTTGCAGAGGCTATGTATGTATGATACCGTTTGTCCCTCTGTTGCACCATCTCGTGCTTCACGGCATTGCTCCGTGTAGCCCTGCTCACATTTCTCGCGGGGTTCGTGGTGGGATATTTCTGCCCCAGTGCGGGGGTTGTCCTCCAGCCTGACAGCGCGCACTGAATACCTAAGTAGAGAAGATACTTCAACACGCCTTCGCAGTAAAGCATGCGAGGAGACTGAATCTCTGCTATTAGACCAGCAGCTGTGTGGGTCTATTTCGATTTTGGCGCGTGCGCGTGTCTGTAAGATTGTAGCTGCATCACTCCAGGCATCGAGCTTTTCAGCATCACCAGCCATCAAAGTTACCAAACCCTCCCACCTTGACCTTCTTCTTTGGGGGCTCTGGCTCAAGATCATCTTTGACAGCACCTCTACCACTGCCAACATCCGTGGCTGCCTTCAAATACTTGCCCACGCCTCCTGACTGCTCAGACTGAACGACTGTGCCATCGCCTCTAATCCGCTTGCCAGTCCAGGTTGTTTTATCATCCTCTGTTCCACCCTGCCTCTTAATTTCTGCTTTCTCTTCTTCGACGGCATCCTTCTCTCGCTTCTGCTTCTGGAATTCCTCGAAAGGGTCAACGAATACAACCACGTTCTCCATGACAATATCATCGAGGGGCCTGTTATCTGACGACGAAACCGGTGCATTCTCCAGCCTCTGCAAAACGTCCAGGCCACCAACAACCCGGGCAAAAATGGTGTGTTTTCGATCAAGATGCTTTGATGGTCGGTAGATGATGAAAAATTGACTTGAATTCGTGTTCTTTCCCTTGTTTGCCATGCTCATAATTCCTCTCGCATCGTGTGTCAGAGGGCCATCAAATTCGTCGCTGAAGTTCTTGCCCCAGATGCTGGAACCTCCCTTCCCTGTTCCGGTCGGATCCCCACCTTGGATCATGAAGTTGCGTATATTTCGGTGAAACTTGACACCGTTGTAGTAGCCTTTTTTCGCCAACTGAACAAAGTTCCAGACGGCTCTTGGTGCAGTCTCTGTTTGTAGTTCGATATTCAAGGACCCGAGATTTGTTTCAATCCTTGCATACCCTTTAATCTTGACTCTCTTTGGTCGAAGCATATACTCCTCATCGGTGAGTAATGCCCTCTCGCCACTCGTCTCGGGAGTAAGCCCAGTACTCGTAAAACTAGCCGCAGCCTTTCCCGTCGTGTATTGTGCCGCATTGTACGCCATCTTCTTCTCCTGTAACATCGAGGGCTTAGGCGCAATATTGCCAATTCCAGTTCTCGCCACTGCCTTTGACCGATTAACATCACTGCCGGCTTCTCTTTCCCTCCTAGCCTTTTCGACGGCTTCTTTTGCCCTTAAGACCTTCTCTCCAACCCTCCCTAAAGCGCCAATATTCACACTACCCTCCTGCCGCTCCTTTTGCTGTTCCTTGGTAAGAACAGCCTCTCCATCTTTCAGAAATTGGAACTTGCTCAAGTCCCTACTTTCAACATTCTGCGGATCCTGCAATGTGATGATATCCGATCTCCCAAATTCGCGCTCATTCATCAAATCATGCCAATTCTTAGCCTTGATATTCAGCCTCTCCACTGTCTCAAACGCAAACACATTCGCCTCACTCCCATGTCGAATCGCCACAATATGCGTATTATCCGTAAACACCTTGAACGTCACCGGATCAACCATATCTCCCTTCGCATCAGTAACACCACCATCATCTGAGTTGCGCGCAAAGTTCAACTTGATTAGCTCCTTGTCTTTTAAAGGTTTTCCTGTAACTGGATTCGTGCCATGGTTTGCGAGCCATTGGCTAATAACCTCGACATCGAAGATCGTGCCTTCGGGTGTGCAGACAGGATTCTGGAAGGGCTGGAGGCTGGCGGCGCAAAAATTGAAGGGGAGACGTTTGAAGGAGGAACCATTCGGGGCTTTCTGGGATACGTTGGATCCGGAGCTTGCGGAGTATGCGTCAGAGGAGTTCCACTCGGAGTGGGTGATCTAGGCAGGAGTCAGCATATTGATGTTGTAAACAATTGTAAGAGAACGTACGTAGAGCTTGTCCGTGCCTATTATGAAGATATTGGATTAGCTTGTTTGCTTGTGATTGTTCTTTATCGTAAGGCGACTCACCTTTCCCCATTTTCAATATTGTAAAGGCTTCGTGGACGGGTTGTTGAATGTGGTGTCCGTCATACTACTTCGTGTTTTGCGAATTCAAGGTCTTAGCTCCATCAAATCTAATCTTATCAATCTTGGCTCGGCTAAGGTTCAACCACCTCCTTTTCACTGCTGCACTTTCCATCTCTTGCCCCTCGTTATTGTTCACTTTGCGAGCCTTCATTCGAGTGTTTGATTCTTACGAAGTATAGTTTGTACTCTTACTGAAAGGTGTCCTTCAAGTTGAGGCCTAGTCACAGATAGCCTAGGACGCTCGCGATGATGTTAATGATCTTTCCTTATAGCTCAAAGAGAACACAGGATGGTATCACTATACCAAAAGATGTATTGGAGACTACAGCCACTTCAATGAGACTCCCAAAATATGGAAGTTGGACGATTCATAAAGGAAGGCATTTATCTCACGCTCTGATTTGGTTGAAAGAGATTATTATTGTAATACTGAGCTTATACTCATCAAACGAGAACAGAATTTTAAACATGTAACTATTAGTAAGTTACTTCACTATACAATGGCCAACCCATTACCCGTGTTCGCTCAACATTCAATTCACCTCCCCTTAGCAGCGGACAAAGCCATGCTATGTCGCACGCATTATAAAAGACAACTTATTCTCAATTTCTCCAAAGAATTGACCTTAGGATCATCAATTGTCAAGACCCAGAATATCAGCCACCATGTCCGACGAAAAGAAGCAATCCTACCACCCCATCGCAAGCCCCCCTCCCCTCTTCCAGAACCACCATCTAACACGGCGTAGGACGAGCTTGAGATGGGAAACCTCGCCTTCTCATCCTCAGACCCTTTCTCTGACCGATTCCGCCTCGCTGACCACCCTCCACTCACCTACCAACCCTACCAACCCTACGCACCCAACCCCCCATTCGATACAACCACTCCAGCAACCGTCACAAATGGTCCACTCCGTCCAGCACGCATTATCACCGACCACAAGCGCTGCGCCTCTTGCCGCCTCTGCAGTAGATTCAGTTGCGTGCTTTGGAGCGTTATGATCCTCGGAGTCATTGGTACTATGATCACGGTAGTGATGATTATGGAATCCCCAGCTTTCAAGAAAGAGTACCCAGACTCACAATAGAATTTACGATTCACTATGAAAGAACATGGTGGCTGCTTTTGAATTTGCTGGTTTGAATACGCAAAACTTTGACTTTGGATGAGAAGTGAGAGGAAGATGATTACGGGTCTTGCTTTGGTCTTGCTTTGCGCTTTAATTTCCTTTTGGAGTTTGGGAGGGAGATGGTGGGAGTTGATATTTAGGCGTTGTATATCAGGAAAAGCATGAGCATCAAGGAGTGTCAATGAGCCTCAATAAATACAGTATTACAAGAAGACTCTCTCTACAAACGATCTACCTAATCAGTTACCGAGCTTGAAATGATTCTTAAGTATAAGACTTTCTGCCTTGCTATCTCCTTCTTATAGCCTTATATCAACAATTAAAGGCTTATCGTTCTTCTTCCTACGACCTAGGCTAGGTTAGCTTGCAATAAGAATTTATTGCGAAAGAACCTAATAGAAATAAATCCGTCTCTAAGAAAGTAACATTGCCTATAGGAATCCAAGTTAAGGGCTATCTATCTGCATATAGTAGTATGCCCCGCTGATAAAACATCTATCATTTGACTAGGCTGGTGCTAATAGTTCTATTCTAAGAGGCGAAATAGACTGTGAGGATTGGTATAAGCATTGAGAAGTAGACGTCTAACACTTGAATCGTAACGTCTGCTCAAATCTTTTGCTGAATTTACGAGCTTTAGAACTACCCTCCATTCACTGATCTGTCCATGAGCAGAACCTCCCTCATCTTTCCCAATTTTCAAACCACTCCAGAGCGCCCATAATTCTGTAAACCTCAAAGCAACCCTGTCCATTTGTTTTGTCAATAGCTATTTCTAGCCAACCCAACACTCTGCTTCTTCAGTCCTACGCGTCAAGCACAAGATATAAGTGAATAGATCACATAGCCTGTCATCAAACAATAACCACTCGGTTTTCGAACACCCACCGAACCAACTCTGACTGTACACCTCAATCACCGACAAGATGGCGGACCAAAAGAGTTCCAGTCACAGCTACCCAATGGCAAGTTTCCCCTTCCTCTTCATCTCTTACCTCCAGTCAAGCTAACAACCCGCAGAGCTCCCTCAGCCGCTCACCACCGGGTAGATCTGAAATCCAACCCCTCATGATGGACCCCCCATTCCCCGACGACGAACCACCCCCATACGCCCCCTACATCTCCGCAGTACCCTCCGGGATCCGCTCTCCTGCGCACCAGCAAGCAGCCTCCACCGACGACGCCTCCTCAAACCTCCTCCTAGACCACGACATCACCGACGCGCGAAATCTCACTAGCGAAGCAGAACAAGAAGCCAGAAGCGAACGATCCCGGCGAGCCAAACAGGCACGCGCTCTCGCCGAAAGCCGCAACGTAGCCCGCGCTGAGTAAGCCGCTGCGATCTCATCAGCGGAGGTACCACGTACTACATACAAGAGGAGGGGTTGCTTCGAGGGAAACCGCAAATGGGCGTGGATGGGATTGGCCCTGTTTACGAGCTTGTTCCTCATCGGCGCATTTGTCGGGGCTCACTTCGCAGGTGAAGAAGTTGATCCTCCCTCGAACTCGACGGGTAATGCTACCGGGACGAGCTCGGGCGGTAGTGGAAGTGCTACGTTTGCAATGTCTGTTCGTTTATCTGCGAATACAGACACATAGATCGGGTGGGCGTGTTGGGTTGATACTCAGCTTTGGAGATGGATTTTAATGGGAATATGAACTTTTGGGAGAAATGAGTGTTTTGAGAAGGGATATACTTGGGGGCAATGAGACTATTGGGCGTTCTTACATGGCATATTGCAATGCCCTTCTGGATAGAATGCTAAAGTACAAATCACAAGTTTTTTGATTTCGAAAGTCCACATTTTGCAAAGTTGTGTGAAGCCAAACCAAAACCAATGCGACAAATTATGGGGTAGCCAACAGGATGGTGAGCGCAAATCTTCGAGAGTCAAGCAAGCAGCAAGCATAATAAAGCGCCACTAAGCTCAAAGATTCACGTCAACGGCACTGGAGCTGGGAAGGAATAAGGGGTAATCTCAGCCATTTCATGCCTCGATCCTATGCTACGATAATGCGCTACGCTATGCAAGTGTCCATCCGTTATCAATAATAATCTACAAATCTCAAGGCTTAATTCCTTGCTCGCCATCCACATATCTGAAATCCTCCACAAGGGGTGGGTAAATGCCAAGGGGTATTGCACAAACTTCCAAATAAAAACTCCTCCGCGGAAGGTAGGCTGTCTCCTCCATTTTATGTCTGTCTCCTGCACGATCATCATCTTGCAACCATTGCGTTTCGATAAAATTCTAAGCTCAGACCAACGGTGTGTTTCAGGTAGTTGTCCTCTGTGAGTGGTAGTTGCAAGATCTTGGACAGATTGATGTGAGATTTCTGTTTCGTTTGTTAGTAAATGAGAGTTTTGCAGCCATCGAGCTAAACTCACCTCCTTCTCCTTGCTCCTAGCCACGACAACCTGGGCAACAGTAGCGCTGATTGTCTCCACCGCAACTCGTTCCATAAAAACAGGACGCCGCGATTCTTCGACCACAGCAGGAAGGCCAGCCAATAGTCTTTCAAGGACCTGGCCATCAACCTTCCTAGACTTCTTTTCACAGTCCGCCAGTTCGAGGAAGTCAAGGTAAATCTGTCCACCGAGATGCCACTCGGATATCATGTTCTCCTTGCCCTTGAAACCTTGAAGAAGTTTTCGGAGTGTGTCATGATCGAGCTCAATGACCGCCTTAGGTGCAACGTTCTTGGTGAAGGTACGATGAGCTTCATTGAAGGACTCAGCTTGGACCAGACACTCGACTTCTGCTCTCGGATTCTTCTCGACACTCCGCATGTACAGGGCCTTTGCTTCCCAGACCCACTCAGGTTGGATTTTGTAAGTTTGTGTCAAAGTCACAAAGCTTTGGCTGTCTTCCGAGCCAACGAGTCCCGCAAATCGACCAAGCTGGTCCTTGATTGCTTTTTCTTTGGATTCGATATCAAGGAGGTGCAAGAGTACGAAGATTGCATCAAGCCAACTCCCTTCATTTGTAAGTTGGGCTGCAAATGACAGTGTGATCTCGTCAGCCTTGGACTCGTCCTGAAAACTGACAGCGCCCATTGAGCTGAGTGCCTGGCTAAGTTGCCACATCAGACGGAAATCGAGTGGAGATAGCTGGGAGTTTTCGGGACAGAGAGCTTCTTCAAGAGGTACATCGTTGAAGGTATGGAGCTTGAGAAGGCCCCAGAGCAGATCTTCGCGACCATTGCGATTCTTGTCTTCCCATATCGCAGGAATTTTCTCCTCAACATACCACGCAAGTGGCCGAGCAGTCTCTTTATCCTGGGCAAGCTCTCCGGCAAAGGTTTCGATGGCGATCGAGAAGTCATCATCAACTGATATGCCGTACCAAAGTCGGAGCCCAAAGGCTTGTCGCCAATCGAGGCCAAAGCGCTTTGAGATTACGAATGACTCGATGCGGTCTTCGGCTGCCACGCCTTTCGTTCCATCGCAGATGCAGACATTGCCAGCGAGGAGTTCATAGAGGGCTCTAATTGGCTCACTGATCTCTGACAAGATTCGAGATTTTTGCCACTCACTAAGCTGCTCCCGAATATCTTTTCTCAAGCTATCCTGGCCGCCAATAAGGGCAACCAGAGTTGCAAGGTGGAAGTTCTTGCCGTTGGTGAGGTGTCCGCACGCATCTGCGACTTTATGACCGGACAAGCATGCAATAGCTTTCTCTTCGTTTGATTTAGCAAGTGCGACATGTTGAGCAGAAGCATTATCGACGAGTTTGTGCCAGAAATCTGACAAGTTGTCTTTACGAAGCCGCTGCTCAACATTTTTGACTCCTGGAAATCTTTTAGGATCGGCATCAAGCGGATCCCATAGAACGCTGGCAAGCATCCAGACAAGTTTCTCATGCTTGCTAGCTGGATCTCGCACTTCACGATCGTCGTAGAAACTGGCAAGTGTGAAGTCCTCAGAGAGTCTGGCATATGGCAAGCCTTCCTCATCAGGCTCGATGATTGTGATAGCCTTTTGCTTCTTGAGAAAGTCTGCAGACGCCTGTGCCCAAATCAGTATTCACGAATACCTCCAACTTTTCTGGAACATACCTCATTAGAAAACTTAGCAAATCGAATATCCCTATTCTCAGAAACGATGGCACCTTTCTGAACAGCAAGAATACCGTTCCTCTCACGAGCCCGGCGAGAGGAGCGGCCAAAAGGTTTAGTACTTGGTGGAGCTGCGTATACTAGAGTGCCATCAGGGCCCCAACCCGGTCTCATAGAATCATGGAAGGATAAGTCTGCATCGCTCATGTCGGACATGTTGGTATCGGCCGTTTTCGGTCTTTTCGCATACGGCCACTGTAGAATAAAATGCTTAGTAAAATTGTTCTATTAATCACTACAGACGTACATGTCCGGGCTCAACAGACGGCCTTGATCTTGCCAATATTGTCAAATTTAATGCGGGAAGGAACACCAACCTCAAAACCCTTTCCCTTCGCTGGAACCTTTGAAATCTTAGCTGGACTCTTGATCTGACCAAATAATGAGTTCATCAAATCAATGCTAGTTGCGAAGCCACGTCCATCCGAAAGAACCCTCTTTGCTACTGGTGTAGGCTGCGAGTCGCCCTGAGGATCGGCGTCACGAATGTTAATTAGACTCTTGAGAAGCGCACGATCTTGCTTTTGTGGGCTGATCGTAGTCCTTAAAGCAGCTGTCCAGTCGTTGCCAGCTGCAAACGTTCCTTTTGACGGCGTTTCCGATTTCTGAACAGCTCTCAGTCTTGCTCTTGCGAGTGCACCCGGTGTTTCTGCCTCCATCCCCATGTCATCATCATCATCACCCTGCGAGTCTTCAACGAGCTCCGCGGTATTGCCAAGTTGTGGATAAGAGCCCGCCATGTCTTGATCCACAATGTTGACAGATTCGCCATCCTGAAAGACGTCGTCTTGGTCCATAGGCTCCTCGACGCCATCTTCAGACTGCGAACCCACGGAGCGTTCACCTAAAAAAGACTCCTGGTACTGATCGCCATTTTCATCTTCCATCTCATCATCCATGAAAGCTTCCTGCTCGTCAAATGCACCAGGTAAGATCTTCTTTCTCCTAAACTCAAAGGTATCCTCCGGATCAGACTCGGTATGGGAGAGTTGTGAAGTCGATGCAAATGATTGGTCTGCCTGAATGGACATGGGTGTTGGGGTGTCTGGTGGTGCACTGAGGGTGCTTTGTCCAAATTCGCTCATTGCGTCGCCATCGGTTTCATCGTCGCCATCTTCGGGAAAGCCGTAGGTTGTGAAATGTGGAACCTTAAATGTCCAGATTCCTTTATGGCCGTCGTATGAGATGAATGTGGTATCGGGCACCCGTTTCAGACGGTCAGTGTGCTTCCTGATTTTAGTACTAGTCTTCTCGAGGGCCCCATTCTTCTCCTTTTTGCGAGGCCAAGAATTTTCCAATGATATCGTGGAGGGAACATTGAGGCCCTTTCCCATTGGCGGCTTCTTGCTCGCAATGGGATAGACAGTAGCAGCCCGGGTTTCTAGTATCACAATCTTGCCGAATAGCGAATCTAAATCAATCGTGTTCAGATCGACGGGATCATTGAACTCAACGACACCAACGCCACTTCGCCCGACCTTGAAATTGGTAAAGCTTTGACGCTGTGCACGACTCATGCTCTCAATCTCAGCCTTCGAAGGTTCCATCCAATAAGCTCCGAGTTTTTGATCCTCATGGCTGACTGGGTCGGTGGCAGGTTTTGATGGTGCCGAAACCGAGGCTTCTTCCTCGTGGACTATAGCAAGTTCATTGCCTCGAACCTGTTCCATCTCAGGGGCCGATGTAGCAGCAGGAGCTTTGACACCATTGGAATTGGAAGGTGGTCGAATGAGACCCAAATCTTCAGAACTTGGACTTGCTCCATTGACGATATCTTTAAGAGGGCTCGAGCCACCATTGCCGTTGGTAGGAGCGTCGAAGGATACCCTCTTCTTAAGAATACTAGGCGTTGCCGGCTGCTGTGGGTTTGGTGGTGAGAAGAGATCATTACGAAGGTTTCTGTTGATGTTCAACTTTTTGATACTGCCAGTGCTGCCGAACTGTCGGTAACTGGGGCTGGCCGAAAAGGCACCCGGAGCAAGAATGCTATCTTCAGGTCCGAAGGTGCGGCGAAGACTGCTGGTCGAAAGGCTCGTCTTGAGAGATCGGCCACCAAGCATGCTTCCACTAAAGGCGCCTGGAGTGCTCGAGGTGCTCGATGCGCTTGAAGGTGTGTTGTAGTTACTGTAAGAAAAGCCGTAGCCACGCTTCTGAGGGGTAGTGAACCGCGAGGTAGAAGCCGAGTTCAGTTTGTACAATGGCAAAGCAGCAGTCTTCTTCTGTCTAACACTGCTAGAAAGAGGCGTTGCAATGGGGCCTGGATTGTTAACTTGAGTCGATGCCAAGCCGGAGAATAAAGAGGCTCCTCCGTATGCTGCATTATCACTGATGCTCGCAGTGAGAGATTGCGGAGTCTGCTGTCCCTGTTGTGGGGTATTGAACAGCGAGCTGGAGCCGAAGAGTGAGTTTTGCGGTGCTGGCTGCTGCTGTTGACTGTTGTTGCCTCCAAAAAGCGAGTTTCCTTGCTGCTGGGTACCACTTCCACCGAAAAGGCTGCTTCCGCCTTGCTGTTGTGGTTGGGAGAACAGACCACCAGGCTTTTGTTGATTGTTGTTGTTAAGTCCCCCGAAAAGGCCAGTGCTTTGCTGCTGCTGGTTCTGATTTTGGTTTTGGCTACCAAATGACCCACCAAAAAGTCCTCCACCGCCAGTATTTGTTTGGGTATTGTTAGCTGCACCAAACAAGCCCGTGCCTGGTGCATTGGGCTTCGCGCCGCCGAAGAGGCCACCGCTATTTTGGGTGTTGGTAGATCCTCCAAATGGATTGGTGTTTGGTGTCGACTGTGCACCACCAAACAATCCACCACCTGTAGATGCAGCTGGAGTGCCAAAAAGTCCACCAGCAGGTTTTGGTTGATTACTAGCGCCACCGAAAAGTGATGTACCTCCAGTCTGTTGCTGAGGAGTTGATCCAAAGCCACCACCAAATGAAGTAGACGCAGCTGGTTGCTGCTGAGCGCCACCAAATGGACTGGCAGTATTTTGCTGCTGCGCTGTGTTTCCGAAAAGACCTCCTCCACCACTGCCGAATGCTCCCCCAGTGGGAGTCGCACCGAAGCCAGTACTTGAAGCAGCCGGTTGCGATGCTCCAAAGCTAAAGGTAGACTTGTTTGCAGTATTATTATTGGCGCCAAAGAGGTTTGAGCCGCCATTATTAGTCGCCCCAAATCCTCCGGTGCTCGGTTGTGGAGCGCCGAATCCACCAGTTGCTCCGGTTGATCCAAACATTCCTCCCGTTTGTGCTGGTTGGGAAGCCCCAAAGAGACCAGCAGCGGGTTTATTAGCGCCGAACAGACCACCTCCAGCTGTTGCAGTGTTGGCTCCAAACCCAGTCGAAGGCTGGCTAGTGCCACCGCCGAATGGAGAGCTTGTTGCACTTTGGCCAAACAACCCTCCGCCCGTGTTCGTGCTGGGAGTACTGCCAAAGCCTCCAGTGGTATTGCCTCCTCCAAATGATCCACCGAAGCCAGTGCTGGCACCGAAAGCTCCAGCTTGACCACTGGCATTGCCGTTCTTTCGGCCTTGGGCATAATCCGCCAATCTCAACTCCTCAGGTGAAAATTTCTGGTAAGGTTGTTGAAAACTGATGCTCTGGAAGGAGTTTTGCTGGTTCGTAGTACTGTTTGGCTCCTTCTCAATGAATGGTTGAAAGGGAACGGCCCCAGTTCCTTGACATTCTCCAACAGGACCTCCTAAAGTTGTAGCTGCCGGCGATCCAAAGCCACCTGTGGTCGCACCACCACCGAAAGTAGAGGTAGTGTTACCGCCGCCACCAAATGGGCTGTTGTTGGTAGTAGCCGCACCGCCAAATGCCGGTTTATTAGCCCCAAACAGTCCACCAGATGTACCACTGCCACCTCCGAATGGTGAAGATGTTGATGCATTATTAGCTGTTGAGCCGAATCCTCCAAAGGCAGACGTAGTACCGGCTGTGGAAGTACCGCCTCCAAAGATGCTACCACTGCTCGACGCTGGAGTTCCAAATCCACCTGGTTTTGCCCCAAAGCCACTGGATCCTGAGCCAAAAGCACCGCCTGTTATCAAAGTTGTTAGTCGTTTTTCCCTTAGGTCGTTCTTGTTCGGTGTAATGACACGATCACGTTCTGCTACCCAGACATTATCTAGCTCCATAGCTGCTGAATGGGAATAATCTCTAGGCAACACGATAGAGCAAGATGCCTGGAAGAGTTGAAAGGAATGGGGAGCGTAGACATATGGATCTCGAGATCGGGGATTGCGAATCGAGTCCAGAAGAAGGTTCCAGCGCCTCAAAGTCTTGTCGACGTACCTCCAGAGCTTCCGAAGCCGCCAGTAGATCCTCCTCCGAAGATTCCACCGCCAGTATTATTGTTTGTACTTCCGAAACCACCAGTGTTGCCTGTGGAACCAAAGCCTGTATCGCGAGAGTATTCGAGTAAGCGATGGGTTCGCGCTGATGTCCATACTCCCCAGTGCTTAAGATACGCCATCCGCCAAGTAGGATGTGGGTGAAGAAGAAAAGATCATGACCTACCACCTGTGTTTGTATTTGTGTTCGCCGCTCCAAATCCAAAGCCAGTCGAGGGTTGCTGTGTGTTGTTGTTTTGGCCGAAGCCACCACCTCCAAATCCTCCTCCAAACGACATCGTATCTGTTCTCTTGTAAGAGGCGAGACAAAGGTGAGATCGCCGCGACGATGGAAAGCCGCGAAGAGTTGGGGTGGTTGTGGGAAAGAGACGCAGAGAACGCGCTTACGAAGAGGTTGGGGTGCGCTCAATGACGGCGAGCGGGCGCAAACATTCAAAGGATTATTAAAGTTAAGGAGTGAAAGAATTCATCAGCATCAATGTGCGATGAGGAAGTTGGATGAAGAAGAGGGAAGGTCGCTGTCAACGACACACGGAGGGGAGGGTTCTTAAGAAATTGTGCTGGAACGCGAAGGTTTGGGGGAAAGATGGGAGCAGCCGCACGAAGAACCAATCATGATTGAATTGGCGAGTGGGTCGTGGTTGCCTTGCAAAATTGTGCCGGCCTCAGGTGAATATGACTCGGGTCGGGTCGAGTCGCTGGACTTCTGTTTGCCATGCATCAAGAACATGCTATTTGCAGCTTCTTTTTGGACTTTGATTTAAAATCCATTGTTGCCTGAGATAATCGATTGGCTACGGAGAGTTTATTGCATGTATATTCAGGAGCTATCTGTACCGGATTGTATTAGGCTCTCTGCTGTATGACTCTTGAATACGCAGATACAGCGTGACTACTGCTGCCTTTTCTACTTGCTTGCCTATGATACGTCGATACTTTAGAAGTTGAGAATGATAGGAAGCAAGATCGAATCCCACTTAGCATATTAATTACTCACTTTATCTGGTTGATCTAGAGGTCCCAGCAAAGCAAAGAGTGACAACCCCCTCTTCCGGCCAAATCAACACTCACTCACCCCTGAAAGTTCCGAAGCGGGAGGATTGTCAAACTCGCGACGGGTTCGCGCTTCAGCGCGTCCCACTTGAAAGCCTTGTTCACTTCGCTCCAATCCCAAAGGAGAACTTGGTAAACATCGCATACCGCACCCCAGACCCTCAATTTCCCTCCCCCTCCACAAAGAGAATTCAGTCACCAACTGCTATCCGTAACAATGGCCTCCACAACCCAACAATCCCACCCCTCCTTCCCCTCCCGCCCCTACTCCAACACCCTCCACGGCAAGCTCCCCGAACGCAATGCTCCAGGCTTCGGCGCATCCGCACACCCCTCCACACGAGAAACAGCACGCATGGAGCGCGAAAGACAGGAGAGGGAGCGCGCGCAAGGAGGAGGGTCGTCGAACCCGAACCCGAATCCTCTAAGCACCATCACAGACGAGCAGCGCGATGAAGTCAATGAAGCTGTACGTCCTTTTTCTTCTTCCCAATGTGCAGAATTCATCATGGGATATGGCTAATGATATGTAGTTTACATTGTTTGATGTAAACCAAGACGGGCGCATCGATTACCACGAATTCAAAGTAGCCCTCAAAGCTCTAGGCTTCGACCTGCCGAAATCCGAGATCCTGTCCCTTCTCACCACCCACGGCACGCCTTCCTCCTCCGCAAAAACATCTCCCACTCCCGGCAAACTTCAGATAACGCTCCAAGCGTTCCAAAACATCGCCGCGGGCTTAATAGCCGCTAGAGATCCTAGAGATGAGATATTGAGGGCGTTTGCGCTGTTTGATGTTGATGACAAGGGCACGATTAGTATTGATGATTTGAGGAGGGTGTCTAGGGAACTTGGGGAAGGATTGGAAGAAGATGAGTTGCAGGCTATGATCGAGGAGTTTGATTTGGAGGGGAAGGGTGGAGTAAGTAGGGAGGAGTTTGTTAATATTTGTATGGGGTGATGAGTACGAAGGAGAGGGGGGTGGCTAACTCTTTTGTTTGGGTATATGTGTATGGATAGCGAAGGAGTTTGGTGGGCATGGGAATGGGAATCGGTTCTTTGTTTATTTAAGATGGGTAATTTGGTTCATCGAGGAATATTGAATTCAAAGCATCTGGTATGAGAGGTGAAGTCCAAACTCGCTGTTCAGGAAGAATACAAAATGAAAGCTTGGAATCATGGCATCGTTGTCTAGTTGCGCTAACAGCGAGTTCTCATGGATGATCAAGGCGCAAATGGGCAAAATACCCTAGCCATCAGTAGAGTGTTCTGTCAACATACCGCATTTTCAATGACTGGAATGTCTAGGTGTTTTATGCCATGCGATCGTGAATTGTTTCACCTCTTATTCTAACGCAACAAATGAAGCTCCAACCCTAAACCCATGCATACAAAGCCCGTTTCCATCGAAAGGTAAATCTCGCACGCCTGCTTTTAAGAACAGACTGCATAACCCATGCCCCCAGTCAAATCACGAAGGATAAAGTTGCGTATGTCATTGTCCTCTCATGATCCTTTAGAATTGGATCAAATCGCCTTGTCCATTCTGCTGTCCTTGTGGTCTTGCGCCAAAAGGATTGCTCGACTGCTGAGCGCCAAATCCACCACCACCAAAGCCATTCGACATGCCAGCTGGTCCTGTTGCCGCAGGCATCTGATGACCTGCACCAAAGGAGTTCGTGTTGTTGGCTCCATAAGAAGTCTGAGGCATCCCAGTATACTGGCTTTGTAGGAATGGGTTGCTTGCGGTCTGCTGCTCCGTCAATCTAGCAGCTCCAGCTCCTGCACTATTGACAAAGGTTCCAGGTGCGGTATGCTGGGATGGAATACGGAGATCTCCAGTATTACCAAATGTATCCATTCCTTCGCCACTTGCAAGTAAAGCGTTGAGCCTGGCTTGGTGAGGATCCATCTCCTTTGGTGGGGGCTTGGTGTTCTGATAAGATGCGATTGGGTTGAATGTTGAAGTCTTTTGCTCCTGGAGAGTCGATAGTGTAGGTTTGGTAGGAGTGTGACTCGTCTGAGGGTGGCCGAAAGATGACGCAAATGGGTTGTTCGACCCTGTTGGTGTTGGCGCAATGGATTGAGCCATTGGTTGGCTGTTGGTAGCCCAAGGATTGTTGGTATTGGCTGGAATCAATGGTTCAGGGGCTGGCTGTGCTTGTGCTTGGAAAAGACCGGAACTTTGCTGCTGCTGCTGCTGCTGCTGATATGGGTTAAAGCCCGTTTGCTGAGACTGAAACTGTTGTTGCTGTTGTAATTGTTGCTGCTGCTGAGCTCCATAAGGATCAAAGGCGCCTGTGGGTTGAGCCCCAAATTGACCATTCTGATATCCATTTTGGAATCCTGTCTGCTGGTTCGGCATTCCTGTATACATGTTCCCCATAAAGCCAGTTGTCTGCTGTTGCATGTTCGGGTCAATAGGATTGCCTGACCAATCCACCTGCCCTTGTTGTTGGTAACCTTGATTGCCAGTGGGTTGAGCTATTTGAATGGGGTCGTCATCGAAAAGAGAGTGGGCATTCTGGTCTTCTAATTCTCTCCTCCGCAACTCTTCCTCTTCCTTGCTCAACTTGATAGCCTTGGCGAGATCATCATCATCCGGTTCGCCATTTCGACTCTGCCGCCTCTTTCGGTCTTCCTCCTCCTGGAATTTACTTGCTTCAATAGCCAGCTTGTATTCGGCATCCTCTTCATCGGCGCGCTGCGCACGGTGTGGACGACCCCGGCGTTGAGGCTGATCATGGGGTTGAGCATACTCTTCGATACCACTAACTCTCGACTTCCAGGTTTTGCGGTCACTTCGCTCACTTCGTAGCCGTTCTTCATCCAATATCAACGACGTCAGCTCCTTGGCAGAAACTCGGACTGCGATTTGTTAGTCACTGTCAACACAGTCAACCTGGCAATGATCGTACCATTCTGTCCAACATCTCGCCCATCTTCATCTATGTACTGAAATTCCCTCAGAGTCTTGATTATGTAGATGTTCTTGTGGGCCCAAGTGACAACTAATTCCGAACCTTCGTGAAGGGCGTAGTCTAACACCTTCAGCGCCTTCAACACGTGTCGCCAGTTCTTCCCTTTATCGTTCAGGCGTTTATCTAGCATATCCATAATCTCGTAGAACTCGTTCGACCTATATATGGTTCGTCAAACCATGTTGTTCAAGATAGACAGTGTACATACGAATTGAAGGTCATTTGAGCTATTTCGCCCATCTCGGTTCCGGTTGGACCCCATGGATCGTTGCTGGTTGCTTGCGAGGTCAGTAAGAGTTCCTATTAGATAAAGCAAAAGCCTACCATTGCGAACCTTGACCTGGACGGCCGAGTACCCTTTCGTGACGTTCTTCACGCTTCTAATGACCTTTGACATGTTTGCGACAAGGCTATTCCAAGGGTGATATCAAGATATGGAGAAAAGAGGGTTGATCAAAGATATCGGTGAATGGCAAGCCTTCATGCGACGGTGAGTTTCTCCTACCAGTAACTTGGCAACAAAAAACCGTGAATGCTATCGCGACGGAGCGGGCGGATGGCGACTTTGGTGGCAGGCGGGAACGTGTTGTTGTCCGTCAGATTGCGCTGAGACGATCGCTGTCCCCGCAGCTGGTGGGTTTGAGAATAGGCAAATTCAAGGTCAACTTCGTGTGCGTGAATGAGTTTTGTATGTTTCAATCGTTGTCAGATTAGGCATAATATCTCGATTATGCGACTCGTGGCTGAGGCTTGGGAGATGGCAAAGTGAAGCGTCATCGCCGATATGAGTTTTGATACTGATCACGTGATTTATCCCCGGTTAATGGGATCGTTAAATTATAAATTTTTATATTGAAACCTCCATAGAGATAGAGAAGGCAACTCACAGCATCTTCTGCTGGACTCAATTACATTCTTGCGTGGTGGTTGCAGGGACTTCTCGTATGTAATGTCAATTAGCCTAGAATCACTTGCCTGACCCGAGTTTGGCTCCTTTCTAAAAGACTCACTGCCCATTTATTGGTATCTATGAAAGGCATTCATCAGCTACGGGGTATCACTTCATACTACTATGCTTTCTAAGCTTGATTCCACATCCTCCATTTTGCCCTTCATTGAGGCTGCTGATCAAAACCTTATATCGCCATTTTTCGGAGTTGCTTCCGTAAACGACCTCAATATTGAGTCGCAGGACTTGGGGGTTCATTCTGCTGTCTGCCATGGCTCCATATGACGATTCGACCTTTTGTTTTGGGTACGATGCAGAAACACCACAGCTATCTTGGCTTAACCAAAAATCTGGTCATGTGGTATGATCTCTACTGGCTTTGCTAAACGCGTTCTCTGCCGGAGCTCCAGCCCAGCAGCTTGTAGCATAGCAAATCTGACAGCATCAATACCCATTCTATGCCCTTCGATCCACTTCTCGGAGCTACATGCAATAGCCTCCCCAAATGCGTGTTCATCATCATTCTCTGGATCTGGTTGGACTGCATCCCTGACTTTTTCCATGGTCCTCCTTAACTCTGATATCCTGCTAGTCAAAGCATCATGACCCGGAGTTCTACTTCCGTGGAATAGCACTTTGTCCGCTTTTGATAAAACGATCTGATATGGTACTTCGTGCTCTTTGAATAGGGCGAGGATCTGTCGGTCGCTAACCTTGACCCCATGCTCAGCGTCGACGAGCAGGAATGCTCTTTTGAGCTGCCTCCTTTTCGACAGATATTTGAGAATTTCTTTGCCCCATTCCGCTCTTCCACCTTTGCCATATCCAGGCATATCCAACACCACTAATCGGTTCTTTCCGTCCTCTTCTGGGCCCCCAACAGCAAAGGCGTTCATAAGCTTTGTCCGGCCCGGTTTTGAACTCGTATGTGCAATCTTCTTGCATAAGAGTGCGTTTAACAGAGAAGACTTTCCAACATTAGACCGCCCAAGGAAACAGACTTCTGGGCTATCACCAAAGTCCATGGTTTTGAACTTTGGAGCAGACCAGAGGAAGGTCGGGGGCTGCATTTTGAAGAATTTGGACGCATGACTGAGTTGAGTTGGCGTTGGAGGAGTTGTGTCCCAATGATATGACAATGATTCGGTAGGGAATTTGGGATACGTTCGAGGTGAAGGCGTCGGCGAAGGTTGTCGATCAGGGGAACTGGGTATCGCGAGACATCTGTGTTGCTTGATCGAGATGCCGATCTTTGGAGATCGAATAGAAAGACATTGCCGCAGCTTGGTTGATGCTTGCATCGGATTTAGCATGAATTCGTTGCAATCATAGAAGAGATGTCCTGATGTAGTGAAGGTTTTGCAGGAAACAAGACAAAGCTCGAGGAGACAAGGCTGAGTCGGAACTTTCAAATGCCGACATTTTGAAATCGCGCTTTCCAAATTTCCTCAAGTGAAGTAAGTAATAAACATCAACACCACTCCCATCTCAATTCATCTAACATCTACGGCAATTATACAATGGCCACCCCTACAAAACTCCGTTCTATTTACCGCTCCTTTTTACGCGAAATGCCATCTCGGTCCCTCTCCGAAAGATCACGCTCACCTCTACAAAAACGTATCCGCAACACAATCGCCTCCGAATCAGCCACGCCGGTTGAGCAAGCCGAGCAATTTCTGCATTATGTCAAGGCGCAGAGGATGTACGCAACTTTGTTAGAGAGATACAATCCGGGGATGAACATGGAGGAAGAGGAGAGGGTTCGTCTCACCGCGAGGCGGGTCGGCATGGAATTGCCTGAGGAATATACGATCAGTGGCACAGATGATGGATCTAGGGGTGGATCAAAAAAGCAGTGAGGTCTGGAATTCAACCGCATTGAGCTTGGGCAAAGAGATGGCTGAGGAACAGTGAGGTTTGCTGGAGATGTGCTGTTAGCCTGGTGCAAACACGACGAGCTCACCAGCCTCCGGAAAGGCAGTCAGCAGCCCCATACAGCCTCTCTGGACTGATTCGGTGAAAAAGAGGGCATACTTGAAAAGCGTTGGCGGCACCCACCACATCTTTTCAAAGGCAAATCGTGTATCATATCTTCGTGGAGCAAGCTGGATGGTTAAGAGCTGAGAGCTGCAATGTTCCACTGCTGTTGCAGCACTTGCCTGGGATCTCAGTAATGCTTCAATTCAGACGTCAAAGATCAAGCTAAACCAAGTCAACTAAGTGCAACAGCTCTAGTACTCACTCTATTCTGCTGGTAAGATATTACTACCAGGCCCAATGAAAGTTTCCGTGGAATTCAGGAAATAGTCGTCCCAAACGCCTTTTCCAGAAACAGCTATCAGCACAGACCGCCTAACCGATGCGCTGGGAGTCTGTGGCTTCCTGATGCATATCGTGCCGTGCCATACAAATCATTTACAGGTTTATTTGGAACTTTCCAATGTTCGTTTCATAACTCTCCACCACTCTACATCTATGGCATTTTCTTAGTTATCTTGGAACATTGTGAGGCTACTTTCCAGTTATACTTAGCACACCCTACTGTACCTGGATGGGTTGATACAAAACACGCAGCTCCACAACAACTTTAAATTCGAAGTCATGCGTGGCGATATTGTCGCAGCAAAGCCCGGTAAAGAAAGCATCGTCGCGTTTTGATAGAGTCGTAATGAAACCTAGAGATGTGGAATGTTCCACAGCTTAAACATCTTGCAGCCTTGCATCTTTGCCGTGGCACAGAAGCGCCACCGTCTCGTTCATTTGGCTATGTTTTCTACTCTTCAGTCGTGACAGACAAAGCTTAAAATTTGGTGTTCTCAATAGCAACATGAGCACACCACACTTCCACTCACTCGCCTCCCCTGTGCCTGCCTGCATCTGCATGAAGAGTACGGAGTGGAGTGTAAGCGCCGACGTCGTTGAACCGTTGCAAGACCCGGGACTGTGGCTGCTCCTATTGGCTGCTCGACTCAATCGTCAAGTCTGCTAGCCAGGAGGGCTTGCACATCACGCCAATCGTGCGAGGTGCCATTTTTGGACCCTGCCATGGGGATCTGGAAGTGCAGCACAAGTGTGCAAACATACATGTACTTGAGCTTGGACTCGAACGAGACCATAAGGGGGGGCGGACCCCTCTAACCTTTCTGCAACGACGAGCCTCCAATCTTTTTTTCCTCTTCTAACTCTAGATGAGTCCTAGGCATCGCCGTCGCCAGAAGTCGAAGCTAGGCCACACGCTTCGTTCTGTAGGGCGTAGAGAGAGTCTGTAGGCCTTTTGTTGCTATTTTTAGACGCGACAATGGCCAATTTGAGGGACCAAGCAGCTCGTCGTCGATTAGACCTGAGTCCCATCACAACCTCTCTTAACCCCCCTCCACAGCCTCATATCTCTCAGACTCCCTCCTCGACTCTGTCTTCGGTTTCGTTGAGTGCGCCATTCGGATACAATCCTGCAACATACACGCCAATCAGCGCTGTCAGGCAGTACAATCCCCAACAATGGACCCCTTCACCGGTTGTACTATCAGCCACAGACGGTAGCAGCCATTTCCCAAGTCGCCCGGAATCAGAAGGTAATTCGAGTCTCTCATAATATCATACAGACTATCATCAAGTTTGAGGCGCGTCTAATGCCAGTCTTTTAGTAATAGCCCCTGCCCCACCTCCTTATTCCCCACCACGGAGCCAACGTACATCAACCATATCTAATGACGAACCGGCTTCTGGAATTTCTCCTGCAACTAGAGTCTCTCCAGCAAATGTGTATAGATCGTCTCCTGAACCAGCTTCATCTCATGCCTTCCCTCCACCCCCTCCAGCTTCTCGAAGCAGGGCTGGATCGAATGATAGACCACGAACATTATTTGGCATATCTGCTTTTACTAGACAATCTGCGCCAGAAGCGCCACGGGTTCCAGCTGAAGTCATTAGAGATCAGGCTCCAAATTCGCGAATCACGGAACATCGACCTATCCCAATTGTCGCGGAGTCACCAAGCCCGCCTCAATCAGTAGAGGAACTGATCTCACCTGACGAGTCGAGACCACCAGCTTCTAGGAGGGCTGCATCCACGGGTGCTATTAATACGCCACCTTCATCACGCTCACGGGGCTCATCATCATCAAGATGGGAACCAGGAATGCCACTTCCCCCACCCCCTCCAGGACCTCCACCGCCACAATCCAGGTCCCAAAGCGCAACTCGGACTGCAGACCGAGTGCTGTCTCCTCCCACTCGAAGGCCTGGTCCTATGTCAACTCTGGGACCAGTGCCTCCGACACCTGCTGGCTGGGTTGAAGATGACATTTCGGGAAGGGGAAGGTCGCCTAATAGAGGGCTCACAATCGATACATCTAGTATTAGTTCAAGTACGGCTGCGGACTCCAATTCAGGCTCAAGTTCGTCAGGCCTCATAAGGTCTGGTCATGTGAGGGGTGAGCCAAAGAGTATCCGTGAAAGGAGAAATGAGAGCAAGGCCAGGAAGAGTGCCAATATCCCTGCGCCAACAAGTGCTGAAGAGAGATCAAATAATCCTTGGGTTGACGCCATTACCCCAGCCGACATAACAGTGCCTTCGACGGTACTTGGTCGAAAATCTACTGTAAGAAGATCAACTCCAAGAAGTGCAAGGTTTCCACCCGGAAGCGCTGAGGCTCCCAGGTCGGGTGACCGGTCCATGCATAGCACACCCGGCCCGAGTACGGGAGGAACAGGATCAAGAGGCTCTACCCCTCGTCCACTGGCCTCCTCGAGTCGTCCTGAAGCTCCAACGCCACCATTCTCGCCAGGCCGAATCACTTATAAACCCAACTCTGATAGCTCCCCAGCAGTGCCCCCGAAAGCGCTACCGACTCCTCCCCCACAATCGAAACTCTCTATAGGATCCCCTGCTCGTCCGCTATCACACATCCTTCATATGCCCAATAATGAGGCGACCACGGTTCCCCCTCTAATTCCGTCGAGGCCAAATTCACGGCCTAGCTCTCGTCAATCCACCCAAAGTGAGGCACCTCAATTATTGCCATCAGAGCACTTTGCTCGAGCTGCGATAGAACGACATAAGGCTTTTGCGAGTAAAGAAGCAGCAGCAGTAACTGATGAGGAACGGGTGCGTATGTTCGCTGACTTCATTGTCACTGAATCACGCCTTCGAAGAGAGAGATACGCAGGGGCAATAGATGCGATGGGTTCAGAAATTCTTGAATTAACTCGTGACCTATTTCGACCTTACAACAGCCCGCGCAGAGAATCAACCGTATCACGGTCAAGTGGATGGACACCTGAATCATCTAGTGCTCCTATGTCTCCCCCATTGTTCACACATAGAGGGTCCTTGTCGGCGGCTCTACATGATACTCCTCAGTTGCAAACTAAGCCTCCGCCTGAGCCAGCGACAGGGTCCTCTTCGTCTTCTCCAGCACAAGGAAGACCCGAGTCGACTTGGTGGACTGGGTACATGCCATCCTTGTCGCCGATTCCCAGTATGAGCGTCAGTGAAGCACTAGATGGCTCAGATTCAAGAGGGAGGCCTTCAAGTAGATGGTGGGAAGTGAGTCAGGAAGGCTCAAATGGTACTCCATCAATGAGACTAGAACGGTCAAAGCGGGAATCCAAATATATGGGGATGCCAAAAGAGCTTAGAGAAGCGCTTCAAAACGGAGACCCGTCAGCTCTCGACAGTGGCAGTGGGGTGGCAGCAGCCGGTCCAAGTAATCAAACGGCATATGGACCGGATGAATATCCGCCAGAAAAAATGGGCTGGCACGAAGAAGTTGCAGCATCTCCACAGCCTCAACAAGCAACTCTCACATCTCCAGCAGCTTTCTCGCCGGCACCCATCACCCCTAACCCAAACCACCTCGACGTCTCCCGTCTCGTAACTTTGCCACCACCTTACCCCCGCCATCACCCAGCAGTCAACAACAACCACCCGGACCTCACCTCAATCCGCACCCAAGTCCGGGTCCTCAGCGACTTCACCGAAGTCGAAGCAACCAAAGAGCGCTTCCTCAAAACTTCGGCCCAGATGCACGACGAAAATATGACCGCAGCCTCCAAGCGCCGTAACTCACTGCGCGCCAATATCCAGCGCGAAATTGCTGCCGGCAGCATGTCCTACTCGGACGCCGCAAAAGTCGAAGAAACAGCCCTGCAATCAGAGCAAGAAACAACAAAAGAAGCGTCGAAACTCGACTTCGAGCTCTTCCAATCCCAAGTCGTGATCCCGCTCAATGATCTACTAATGGATCGCGTCTCGCGAGCTACCGAGCTCTTCGAGCAACTGCGCTCGAAGCTGTTTGTGGATGCGCAGCAAGCGAGTCCGAATCTGACGCAGGAGGAAGGGGATGAACAGCCTGAGCTACTCGAGAAACTCACGTTGTTGAAATGGATTTTCGAGGCGCGCGAACAGCTGCATAGGGAACTCTTCGACCTACTGTCTGATCGCAATAATCGCTACCGCGATATGGTGATCACGCCGTACCGCTTGGCAGGCAATGAAGAGAAAGTAAAACATGCGGTGAACTTCTTTGCTGAGGATGCGGGGAAGAGAAAGCTGGCATTTGAGCAGGAGATCCTGAAGCGCACGGAAGAATTCATGGATATCATCGAGGAAAACGTTGTGCGCGGTGTAGAAGTACAGCTGTCTGCCTTTTGGGATATTGCGCCTCCGCTTTCCAGGATCACGGAGAAAGTGCCCAGGGATATTTCAAGGGGCTTCCATATCCAGATTCCTGCAGCCGAGTACGATGAGAATCCGGCGTACTATGCGTTCCCGATGCAGTATCTGTATAGTCTGGTCGGGCACTGCGAGAAGAGCACGTACCAGTTCATCGAGAGCCAGACGAACCTGCTGTGTCTCCTGCACGAAGTCAAGAACGGAGTAACACTGGCGAATTGCCGGCTGATGAAGACGCAAAGGATCGCGCAGGGCGAGAATGAAGGACATGTGGAGAGGGAGTTGAAGGATGTTGAGAAAGATGAAGAGATGCGGTTAACGGACGACTTGAAGGAGAAAGTGAGGTGTGTGGAGGAGCTATGGAGTAGTGCGTTAGGGACGGAGTTGACGGGGGTCAAGGAGAGAATTATGAGATTCCTGGTAGAAACAGGTGGATGGGATGATGAGGCGAATGAATAAGGATAATTTTTGGTGTATTTAGTTTATTCAAAGGTTTGGTTCCCTTGACGGGATCTAAGGAGTGGCGGAGTACGATATGTTTGGATACCCATTGAATTCCGAAAATGAAGCAAATAATATTGGAAATAAGCGGATACGAATGAACGGTGAATATTTGAGCAGATATGTAAATAATTGAGAAGACGAGACCTTACATACCTCCTCGGAAAATCTGCCTCCTGGAGTGTGCTGGTGGTGCACAGGGAGGATTGAATTCAATAAATAGAGAAAATGCAAATACAATACTTACCCCTCCCCTCGAAAGTAAGGTAGGTCTTATAAAAGGTCCACCAGGGATAGATATGCACAATGCACAATGCACAAGCCTATTTACAGTACGGGAGGCGCCAGACAATGCTGACACCACACCCGCCCTCCTTCGCCTATTGCATCGTATCCCAAGCTGTCGGTTCGGTTCAGCTGTCTGTCCAGAGGACACACGTACACACCTCCTTGCATATCTAGGCACAGAAGCTTATTTATTCATAGGTTTTGTAGGATTTGCTTACTCCACATAGACATGAGTGTACGTGTGCGATGCGGCTGGAAATAGTGGCGTCGGATAAGAAGCTGGGGAGAGATATAGTAGGAGGGTGTGGGCGAGAGTGTGGTGTGATTGGTGAAGGAAGGGAAGCCGTAGGGAGGAATCGCAAATGATATGTTTGTGAGATCGCGAGATAGTCTGTGAAACGAGTTGTCGTAAACGGGAATGTTTGTAGGATGATATTGCAGTGGTGGTTGGTATATGACTAGGTACTTCAATGCCCTCCGCGGGGAGAGGCAGAGGGGGTGTTGAAAAGTAGCCAGGGCGAGAGCGTGTCGCTTTAGTACCCTTTCGAGATGTTTCAAATAAAGCGAGCCATCCAGTGAGAGTCGACTTGATGTTGGTCCGCTTGACGATGTCCATTTAAAATACGTACAAACAATTACGTGGCGATGAGGCGTAAAATCTGGGCTCAGAGCCAACACAACTACGGTTGGGAAGAAATGACCCAAGCAGCTACAAATCTTTGTGCTTCGTTGAGGTCAAAATAAGCAACCTCTGTTTGGCGAGTTCTTTGCGACAGAACATGACGTTATTGATCGACCAAAAAGGATTCAATTGACAGAAGGAACATACCGCTTCATGATCGCCATATTCCCTACACTGGATGGGCTGCAACTGCTTATCATATAGGAGGATGAGGATAGTGAAAAGCTGATGAAACACAGAAAGGCCAAGTATAAACAAATGCGGGGAGGAAGGATCCAAAATCCTGTGGAGGTTCCTCAAGATCTAACAAGAGGAAGAAGGCACCTACTTCGTGCTGAATGGAACGGTGTAACTTGAAATAAGGTGAAACAACTTATTTACCACCGCAGGATGCCAACAGCGGGCTCAGCAGATCTTTAAATGCAAGAACAATAAGACAGCGGGTATTATTAGGACTTGAGATTGGCGCGCAGCACGAGATGGAAATAGAGCGAGGCAGCGCTTCGGCGCAACACTGCAGCCGCGCTTGGATGCCCATAGCCGCCGTCTGTCTAACCGCCATCCTCTGGATGGGCGTCTCGCTCTCATTTTTAGATGAAGCACTGACTTGTTTAGTATGAAGGAATCGCGAGTACGAGAAGCCACGGCTGTGAGTGGACGACAAGGCTGATACAGTACGGTGATGCAAACAGCCAAGATGACAGCAGTTTTGGAAGAAATGAAAATCAGGTGCGGTAGGCCATGAGCATCGCACAGCCACAGCGTTGCAGCGCAGTACAGTACAGGAGGGGTACCTCCGTACCCCTCCCCCTCCCTCTGGTGACCCCACCAAATTCAAGGGATAGAACTACTGCTAGCCATCGGATGGGAGTTTGAAAGTAAACTTACATTACGAGCTGACGACTACTGCATGCATCGTGACTGCGAAGGTGACAAGGCACGGCACGTACGAATTACCTAGCCAAGGTCTTGTCAATAGGCGGAATGGGAGAAGTGAGAAAGACTGAGAAAGACTGGTCGTGACTTTGTTGAGGGGCAGTGAAGATGGTGCAGGTGGACACTCTAGCCATTCTAGAAAGGGGCTGGTGTTGCTGGGTGTTTCACTTGCTCTCACCCAATCAGCGGCTTCAAACTCTCTTTGCTTTAAACTTCGCCTTGTGCCCAGCCAAGAGCCAAGCCTGTCTCGTCAAAGCCTTCCCCCACAATACATACAATTGCCTCCTTTTTCCGACACTACCGGTACTGTAATGCTGCTGTACTACTTGATCGTTCAGATACTCGCGCACGCCGAGTTCAGTAGTCGTGAAGCCAGTCAAAATGAAGATACCCTACCGTAGAGGTTCTTCAGCTCGGCCCCAGCAGGGCATAAGTCGAGATGAGCCTCGACTTAGGGCCCAGCTTGCATGAAAACGAAGCACTCACAGATGCTCAACACCAACCAGCAGCGTGCAAGAGTTTAATTGTCTATCTCTGTCTCTCCTCGGCAGTCGTTGGTGGGTGCAAAGCCTCACAACGCGTGGTACAATCAGGTGGCGGCCTCACCGTTTTTGGCGATGCATGAATAAACAAAGACGGGATTTGACCATCAGCATCAGCATCAGCATCATCATCATCACCTGCCAAGTCATCTCTTAACCTTGTTGCATACTCCATACAGGGAGGGCCATCACGGTGTCTCTGCGGCATGATCGCTGGCATGAGGAATGATAAGATAGATATAGATGACCGTGGAAGATGATCCAGCCATCTCTTCGTATGGAGAAATACATACTTGAGGAAAATTAATTGGCCGTGATATGATATGTATCCAACCTCCCCCTTCCTTCCGTGCATATAGATAAAACATAAAACATCCGGAAGGAAGAATTTGTCTCTCTATCCTCAACAAACTGTACGGTTCGGCCATACGGTTTGGTGTTCGATATTGCTTGTTAAGACAAATCCTTCGCAACGTACGGCCTTGCAGCATATATCTATTGCAATTCCTGGGGCTATTGGCAGGAAGAGGAGCGAAACGAAACCTCCTGAGGTGACTGGTATCCACTGTTCCTGTTCCCGCTGATCCTTTCTGTGTCCTGTTCTACTGCCTTGCGCTCTCCCATTTCCACTCATAGGAAACAAGAGAGGAGTACGAATCGAGTACTGTACCTACCCAAGGTACTGAGCATTGACAATCCCCAGTGCCACAGAGTGCCACACGGTCCACACCCTTACTTTCGACAGCGCCGGCAAATCAGTGACCACTCTTGCGGATCTTACCCCTGCCCATCTTGATCGCCTTGCGTCCGCTGAAACAAGGGGCATCAGCCAGCGTCGGCGCCTCTACAACGGGCCACCCTCCTAGAAGCCAGGCTGGCCAACCATCGCGCATTGAAGGGTACATTTCTTGACTGGAGACCAAAATAATCAGATCGGGCAAGGAATGGATGGGTAGGAGGGTTAGGGAACAATAGGGACCAAGACAACTCGTCCGAACCAGATCGTTCAAACCCTAGGGACCACACAGAGGCCGTAAAGGGACCGACCCCCAAAGCGCCATCTCATCCCATACTTCATATATATCCTCGAATATCCTCTCGACTCTGAAAAAAGACTCTCACCATCCACTTTGGCCCCTCTCTCCACCCTTCACCGCAAGTAACTCCTTTTCTCCATCGACCTGGTTGTCGAAGATCCGGATAGAGTCAGTTGCAGTAGTTCGTCACATTTCCCCTCAGGAGTACATCATCTTCGACTACTACGAAACAACGAGAAACGAAACACCGACGGAAGAATTGCCAATCGATTCGAGCCTATCATCTGCGCATAAGTCGGCCATAACTCTATTCGAAATTTGGGCTGTAGGAGAATAATAATACACAAAACCTCGCATTCATCATATTCTTCATTTCATCCACCTGAATTGCACATCTGAAGTCGCGTCTTCACATCAGCAGTACAGTAACAGCATCAGCCCGGGGCAGATCCTTCAGGCTGCAAGCGAGGCTTTTCAGGGACAAGGAATAATCCTCCAAGTCGAATCCGGCCTTGTTGTCACGATCACCGTCACGGTCTCACCTCACGGACGTCGGTCAACTTACTTCGCCAGAATCTACCGTACTTACTGCTGCTGCGCCAGCATCGAGGACGTATTGTTTGCCTTCTCAACATTACCACTAGTATTTCTTGACTTTTTCCGCTGGCTCGGAATATCTGCAGAAACTTCACTCGACTCAACTCAAATCGAATCATATTCGCATCATCTATTCCTCTGGGATTATTTACTCGTCGGCACTCACTTACTTACCTCGCTCCTGATCCTACTAAGGGCTAAAATTCGCATCCTTCGCCAATCCCGTCGCAAATCCGCTAATTCATCCCTCATCCTCATCCTCGCGGCCGCTCCACCAATTACGACACCGCTTTCGTTTGCACCCAATCGCCTTGAGCCACAGCCTCGCTTCACGTCAGCCTTCTGCTCCGCCAGCAATAATACCTACCTACCTCCAGTGCTCCACCCCTTTGTCAATTCAATTGTGCCTCCTCCTACTGGGGCCTTTGCTATTGTCGACCTGTTCTAATATCATACAACAATAGAACAATAGCACAATAGCCTCCAACTTTTACCCATACCTATCCTCATATTTTATTCTTTTGTATTATCCATTTGTCTTTACCATCACGCATCTTCTTCCTCCATTCGAGCCTTGGTCGTTACAACTAGATCTTACAACACCACATTGTCGATACCTACAGACAACATCCTCAGCAAGCATGCCTTGCATACCCCAATCTTTAAATGAGGCTGCTCTCGAGCACTTCATCTATACACCTGTCAGCACCCAGATGGTCAGTTACCTCGCAGCCAAGGCTACAGAAGTCATTCAGTGCGAACTTCCACCTATGCAATCGAGTCACCTTCTACCCTCACCTCCGCAAACACCACCGACCGACTCCTCTGACCCTGACCTTCCCTCCCTCGAACGATTCATCAGTTCTCTAGTCCGAAAGTCAAATGTTCAGGTACCAACACTCATGACTACCTTGGTCTACCTCGAGCGTCTCAAGAAACGGCTACCACCAGTCGCAAAGGGCTTGAAGTGTACTGTCCACCGAATCTTCCTCGCAGCACTCATTCTCTCCGCCAAGTTCCTCAACGACTCATCGCCAAAGAACAAGCACTGGGCTGAATATTCCAGTGTGCGGGGTTACGAACCATTTGGTTTCTCACGGACTGAAGTGAATCTGATGGAGAAGCAACTCCTCTACCTTCTGGACTGGGACCTCAACGTTTCAGAACACGACCTCTACCTTCACTTCGATCCATTCCTGGCACCTATTCGGTCCGACATCCTGAGACAAGAGGAGCATGCGCGCGCGAAGGAGAGCAGGAAGAGAGCCAGAGAGCAGCAGAAGACGGAAGAGGAGGCAAGTCGCATTCAGTACGAAGTTGCAAGTCAGTACTGGGTGCCTGGTATCGAAGAGAAGGACCAATCTTTCTACCAAGGTCAATATCTCGATCCAGCTTCGATGGCTATAGCACGCCCGTCCTCTAGAATGACCTACGACTCACCACCTCCCACTAACGAAGTTCCTGATTTGGCACGAAGTGGTACCGCCGACACCTACTCCACCGTCTCCTCCTCGTCTTCATCATACATGTCCAACTACTCAAGACAAGGCACCCCGGTTTCGAGTATCGGCAGCAGCTACCTGGAAGAGATCGAACAGGCATATGGTGAATTACCCCAGCAATACACCCAAAGTCCTACCCATGTTGTGCGGGACATTGTTCACGTGCACATTGCAAATCAACACATCGGTACCGGCAAGCACAGCATGTTACCTTATGAGATTGAGCGGGAGGTAGTGGAGGAGAAGGCGGCGAAGAAGCCACGACTTGGAGGAAATATATTTTCGAGATTCTTGAACAAGGATAGGCAATACGCGTAGTAGTGGAGGATGTACTAGACGACTTTCTTTTGTTACATACGATCACAGATGAGGCGCATATGGGCGGGGTTTGATGTTCATAGAGGAGCATCCGGGAAAACATGTCTGCATTTGCATCATTGCGATGGCGTTGGGGAAGCGAAATATACCATATGGGCTTAATGTTACTCATTGACTTGGCAAGTCCAATCTGAGGACCGCCGAGTCACTACACAGTCATAGATTGTACTATGAACACAGAGGATTATACTCTAGAAATGAAACGTTATCAAACCTACTTCATTCTTATGTTGCAATGTCTCGATTGATACTTTTTGATTTTGCGACACAGCCCCTAACTCCTTTTTAACAGATCGAGGCGAGTCCACGTGATCGCGCCACTACTTGTAACAGCCCCTCATCTCCATCTTCATTAATTTGATGGAGAACTCATGGCTTTACTTGTACAACCCCCACCAAAACCCTACCTACAATTACAACCTCAACCTCAGCACTCCACAATCATAACTTCGCTCATGCACACTTTTCAGCCCCAAGTTCGTATTATCAATTATCAATACCGCATTAATCTCCTCCTCCAATATCATTACGGGAAGGATTACTGTACCCTACAATCCTCCCCACAACAATACGGCCCATTCCATCCACACACAAGAAAAAGGCTCAATCTAACCTCAGTAAACGAACGCGTCCGCATCCAATAATTTTAATGGTTTCGAAACGAAACCTTACTTGAGATATGCGCGGCACAGGTCAAGTCAACTTCTTGGCTTTTACAGTACCCGTACTGGTAAAAGTTTGAACCGTGTCCCCTCCCCCTCACCTCATGCAACTTGCAAGTACAAATTTCCACGGCTCAAAGGGCCAAGGGTGAAAAGAAGAACGTTTGAACTACGGAGTATACTGTACGATTACTGTCCGTATTTACTGTACATCATTAATTAATTAATTACGCCGTGGTTTCACACGTACCTATACGGAGTATAATAACGTCATCCGTAACGAGCGCAATCCTTCGTATCACTATCGCATTCCTGCGATCCTACGCCAGCCAGCCTCGTCTTGATCGGGTACTCTACTCGTAACACGGACTGAAATGGGACGGTTTATGCATACAAGTATTATACGAGTAATTAAGTAATGCGTGATGTGTCTTTTGCTTTGCTGCTGTACTGTTTCCGGGGTATGGATTTGTGAATGGGAGATGCAATGGGATGCTGAAGGTTTTTTCGAAGGGGAAGGGATAAGATGAGTGAGGGATGTTTTTGGTTTTGTTTTTACTTTTTCTTTTACTATTACTTTTACTTTGTTCCTCAGGGAGCAAGCAGGAGCAGTGAGTGAGGCTCACGATGAATGTCGGTAATTACGTACGGAGAAACCCAAGAATAGGGGAGTGGAGAGATGGAGTTCCTTCTAGCGTCCTTCTAGAAGGTTTTGCTTGGCGCTCGTTCTTTGGTTCAATCACTGAGTTGAGTGAGCGAGGTTTAGGAATAGTCATGGAACAGTACCTATGGTTGTGGCGTGTTACTATTCAAGGATGGATGATTTGCCAGCCTAAAATACGTTGTTTAGTGGAGGGGTTTTCTGTTTCTATTTTTCTTTCGAGGAAAGAGAGTACCGTAGTTGGTTTGTTTACGGGGCAACGCTTCCTTTGAGGAAGAGGCAAAGCAAAGCTTGATGTCAGATTATTGTTACGAAGTACATATTCGAGAATAGTACATTTGTCACGGATGGAAGCGACGATGTGGAATGAATGGATGGAATGATAGGAGGAAGCGGCGTTTTTGAGTTCACGAGGCAACCTTCGACCTCCTTCCTTCTTGCTTCTTGCAATGGAAGTGGATGGAGGCCGAGGCAATGTCATTCTTCCACTCCATTGAGCCTTTGATTGTTCCTTCGGACAACGCGTGGGAATGCAGGTAGCAGTGCCGTTGCAGTTGGGGAACGACCGAGGTATGGCGAATCTTTTCATGTCCAAGCTTGATGCATTTTGAGTCAAGCCTCTTGACCAGGGAAGTACTTTTATGCAATGGGTGTGTTTTGCAAGTCTGTATTGCTTCGTTGCAGGGCTCTGGACGTCATTGTATAGCATGTGGCAACGGTCCGAATCTTTGGCAACTTCTTTGTTTGTCTTTGACTTTGACGATTGATTTGATTTGACTTGGGTTGAGAATCGTGATGCTTTTTTCTCATAGTTATTAGTCAGAACAGCCATTAGTCCTAACATGTCTATCTTGTTTTTATTTTTGGTACTCGATATTGCTAGAACAATATTCCTTTGCTGATCTTGAGCTTGAGAGTTCTCATGAAAGCTCTCACGGTCATACAAGTACAAGCTGTTTCTTCAAGTAAAGGGCAGTGAATAATGACTCGATTTAATTACTTTCTTATTGTTTGGCAGAATTTTAGATCGGTGGGCCGGAGATCTACTTGGAATGAATCATTGGAGGGAAGGTGTGATTCCATGATCGAACAGGCAGGAGTGTGCATCAGGACATTATTCATCGCTGAAAGAGGGTTGTCATACGCCCAGAAATTACAATACTGTGTGAGTATCTCACCCTCAAAATTAAGAATCATAAATCCCCATCTCCACATTTTTCGTTGGTGGAACACCAATCAGTCTCCCAGTTACTTGTGCAAAACTCTTGGGCTCGTCGAACTCTTGGCAGGGGTAGATGAGTTGGGCGAGCTCAGATGTCTTGAATCTACTGCAGTCGATTGTATATGCTTTTCATCTAAATAAAATCTCGCAGATTTCCAAAAGCCAAATGCTAAATCTATAAACAAATCACAGCTTCAACACTGCTACCACCCTCTAAATCAATAAACCCCAGCAGCAAAATCAGCCTCTTCGAACAATCCCGCCTTTTCAAGCTCCCACTCCATCTTACTTTCCAGGAAGTCTGGCAGGAATTCAAAGACATCACGAGCAACCGCCTCAGTCTCCACGCGGACGTGCTCATCTTCATCCTTGCACTCGCAGAAAACCGACCCCCTGAAGGGTAGGAACTGTGTCTTCCACAGTTGAAACGATGTTTTCACAGCCGAGAGAATCGCAGGACTGTTTGCGGCTATGAAATCCCCTGTCCCGTAATCCTTCGTCAGGCCGTCGAAGAAAGCTGTTGCGAGGATTTTGAGTTCTCTCCTGTTATTGGTGTCTTGCTGGACCATGTTGAAGGCCATCCGGCGTTGCACTTCAGGTGAAGCCTGACAAAACCCTTCTGGGAGAATCGCCTCTACCTCTTTTGTGTAGTAGTCGTACATGATGGCTTTGGTCTGTAGGACACGTTGGTAGGCCTGTTCGTCCTCACTTTGGAGATCCTGCTCCGTTGGCATCCAGTCTTTATATCGAATCCAATCCACTATTGGCTGAATAACTTCCTCAACCCAAGCACGAGCTCGCCTTTTGCGTGCTTCGAAGCTGGAGAATTGACGATATCCTGGAGGAAGGAACCTGTCGAGACTGAAGTTGCCCTTTTCGAGTTCAGCTTCGTACCTCACAATTGCCTTTTGCACCGAATTTTCACGCTCGTAATCCCAACCAGAATTTGTGGATTGCTTCAGCCTACTTTCGATAACTTGGTCAATGTAAAGCTCGATTGCTTGGCTTGCACATGCTTCACTGATTGAGCCGCGGCCATGCTCTTTGAGTTTTTCATAGCTGGGAAACAATGATGTAGGTTTTTTCTTGTCCTGTTGCGAGGATATTCCCAATAGCATCCAATAAATGCGATTTAGAAGCAGCGGCGGTGCATTCCCTGAGCGACCAAGGAGAAGTGCTCTGTAAAGTACGACTCTATCCTTTATGTTCTCGGCTGCCATCATTCGTTGAGCGTCTGTTAAGCCCCATAGGTCCTCAAATGCAGAAGGTGGAGCAAACTTCATCTTATTGTACTCCCCGACTTGGGGTGCGGCGGCTTGGACAATGTAGAGATTGAAGATGAACTCCTCCGTACCATAAACTTTGGTAATGTACACTTCTTCCTTTGTGGGACTGTCGTCTGTGGGGTCGATGTGGTGGAACTCTCCTTTGTCTTGGGCATCTTGCATTGTCCGCATTGTTCTTTTCATATCCCGCCTGGAATCTCTTTCCTTGACGATACCTTTTTCCAGACCCTCTATTCCCTTCGCGCAGTGCTGTGTCGCTTTCGCAAGTGCAGCCAAGGCTTTCTCTGTTGCCGGCCGACTCCCCTTCAGCGCATCCTCGATCGCCTTGTGATTTCTCTGAAGATATTCGAAATTGGTCAAAGAGTGAATGAGAGTCTCGTCGAAAGGAGCAGTACCTGCACACGTTTCGCGGCTGCAGTAGTGGTCTTGACGCTGGGAACACGCGCTGAGAATGTCGTTGCAGAGCCCTTTGTGTCCGAAGAAAGACTCATTAACCACCTGCCACCAGAACTCGCACAACTTGTCGCAATCAAAATTTACCCAGTGCCTCCACTTGTTTTTAAAGCCGTTCTTTAACATCTGTGAGAAACTCTTCAAGCTCATGATCTCCTGGGCTTGTTTACTAGCTTTCTGAAAACCGATCATGAGACAACGGGGGCAAGTGCAATTCTTCTCGTAGTCCTCGTCATGACAGAAGTCGTAGATTTCTGACGATACTCGGTTGTAATAGAGGTATAGATTTGGAACGTCTTTCTCGCCCAGATCAAGGTTCTTTCCAATAATAATAGGCTTACTCCCAGAGGCACGGGCTATCTCGTTCTTGTCGATTATCAGCTGAGCTAGAGCCATGAATAGGATTTATTTGTGGTCCCAAAGCCAATTTTCATTCGATTGCGGCTGCTCATCATGATGATGTTCCTTGGCTACGTCTGTGTCCGCGACGTCCTTGCTTCGGGTTATCGTGGGTGTTTGTATGGCTTTGGGACTGGAGGGAGGAGATGAGGTTTCTCTACTCTCGACTTTTGATGCCTGTGGCTCGGCGCAGCTAGAGATCGAGATCTTTACCTTGTACTTGCTAGCTTTAGCCATGTTCTTGTGGATCCATTTATGAGATAACGGAAATGTTTTGTTCCGATGAAACACTTTTTGCAAGGAGGTCAGTCATTCCTTCAGGGAGCATGCGGAGTTCTTACTGACTTGGACATAACGGACACTCGGGCTCGGACGGGTGGTTTGAGCCCGCACTTGAGTACTTCTCTAGTTCCGTGGCTACTCATATAGTATCAGCGCTGTTACGAAAGCAAGGAGATTTCTCGACTCACTGGTGTCTACAGTGACTGATGGAGGAGACTCGTGACTGGTTTCGGCAGGTAGGTCCGTGGCAGGCATATTGACTCCGGAAGGGATCGAGCTCTAGGTTCGTATATGCAGGGCAGTTCTTTATGACGAATGTAATGTTAGTCCGCTAATAATATTCGGAAGATTGGTGTAGGAAGGGCCGTATAAATATTGGTCGTGTGAGTGAAAGAAAGGTGGGTGTGTATGTCTGACTCTTAACAAGGTGAATATTAAATGCATTGAACGTGGCCCTACTCTAACGAACGAGTGGAGATGGCAGATAGAATAACCAGAGACTTTCTGTAAGTCGCTCCCTTCGTGACAAGTTGACATCCTTGAGAGGTTGAAATGGCCAGTGCTAGTCTACTACCTAGAAGTAGGACTTGACTCGCATACCAAGAGCGTTGTCTAAGCTTCGGATCTTGTAGACGCATACGTAAATAAGTCTTTCGAACATCAAAACCCTTAGGTGGAGGAAAATGATAATCAAGAAACCTATGTTATTACAAAGTAAAAAAAACAATTCAATCTGTAATGCTGTGTTATCTAAAATCCCCACCATCCCCGGTCCTCGGCCTTCTGAAATATAAGCCTCGCTGGTTATCCCCTACCAAGCCCTCAGACACGAACTCAAAAGCCTACCCAAGTAAGATTCATAGTAACAAACCCAGAAGCTTATTATACCTCTCCACAGCCACAGAACGTCACGTTGTAGTGACCTAAAGCTCCCGGGGAGTAGTTGACTGTCTCGCTGGTAGTGTAGTCCGTTGAGTAGGTGTGGCGGCGGGTGAAGTTGCTTTCGATTCGCTGAAGTCGAAGTCTGGAATGCGGTTAATCAATCAACACGTAGTCATCTAGAGGGGTAGCAAGGGAAACGGGGATAGCAAAAGATGCAAGAAGGACGGCAGTCCAGAAAGAATGCCAACTACGACAGAGGAATCTGTGGTCTCGGCACGAAGAAGAGGATACTTCTAATAAAGACTTGAAACGCAAAGGTATTATTACGTGATAGTATCAACATCCACCTCGCGCCTACTCTTTGCTGGCTGAAAAAAATTATTCTTAATCTATTATCTATCCGTAGAATACGCTACAATGAATCGAGAGATAGCCTGAAGGTAGTCAAAGCCCTCGTAGAGAATTCCCTTGCACCTAATTTGCATTCCAAACATCCGAGCAAGAGTAAAGCCTCATGGAATGTCTTATCAAGGAAGCCCATGCTCGTCAAGACTATCAGAACCACGGCTAAGGCTTCTGTGTTCCTTCATCTCGGTCACTGAAGACGCCATTATATCGCTACTTTTGGGTATGGCTGCCCATATTACCAAGGTTTTAGGGTAATGTAGGTGCTGGAGTTGCTGGCACGTTGTTCGGCAAAAGGGAATATTCTGCTCCTGTCGTGTTGGAGTGCTGATGTGGGCCGGTGGTGTTGCCGGGATAGAAAGTGTGGAGGGTAGGTAAGGTATGGTCGGTTGAGCGGCTGATGTTGGGTTGCGAAAACTGTGGCGTATCAAATGGTCGGTATTGGGTGGGCAATGCTAATGGACCTGAGTTAGTAGAATCTTTGTGTTGATGGTAGCTTCCCATCGCTACAGTAAAGGGATCTTGCGAAGTATTGAATGAGGAAGCAGAAGCAGAAGCAGTTGGATTGACCTCAACTCTGGTCCCATCTCTCTTCAAGGCCCCTGACGAGCTGGATGCACCAACAGAATGCGACATCGGCGTGTACATGTAACCAGGCTTGAGCTTTAGGGGAGTTGTAAGCCATTTGACGTATGCTGAGCGATCGACTTCCGCACGAATATCATAATCCGTGATCTGCAACCACAACAAGCGTCCAGCTTCGTCCAGCAACGAGACATCATGAAGTCGTTCTGACTCCTCAAGGAGATCCCATATCTTCCTTCCAGTCGCAGAGGTATCCCAGAGGTCGGCTTTTCCTCCAAGGGGAAGATTCTTGATCGCTCGAAGCTCGTCGGCTGTTCAGGTCAGCTTCGAGGCTATTTTGAACCTCCTCCGTTGAATTGGGTGAATCTTACCAGTTGGGTTGCGGCCATAACGCTCAATAATCTCGTTGATACGAGTGGTGCGAGTTCTCGGGGCGACAGACATTGCGTTGAACACTCAGCAAATGTGATGGAGAGGTTGGCAACAAACAAGAAGGTAGCCAAGCATGATGCTGGGCGGTGGGAAGCGGGGAAGGCAGGAGCTCTTAGCTAAGTCCGGATGTTATGGATGATATTGAATCCGAAGTTGATCTAGACATAGATTGAATTAAACATTTTTCAATCAAAATCATTAAAGCAAACAGTTTGACAGGCGACTCTAGGTGCTGCATATGTTCCGCTGTCCGGAGCGTGGCGCGTATTCATGAGACCTGAAAAGCAAAAACCTACTTGGGCACTTGTAGGTTTTAATTCAAAATACTCCCGACTCTCCTGCCTTAGAAATTTGATAGGAGCCGAGTAATTTGAAGTTTGCCATATTTTTTTTCAACTCCTCTATAGTACTCGCAGCTGAGCGGTATCATAACTTGATGGGGTTATGTAACGTTTTTGTTCCTTTTTACTTTTGGGAAAAGGGGGATAAACAAAGGGCTGGCTAAGCGAGCTGGGGCCGGCTGCACCTGTTCAACAACTACATAGGTACCTAGGTAGGTATGTTAGGTGATGAATCATATTGATAGCAAAACTGGAAGAGATGTTATATTGGGTAAGAGCTAAATGTACTACCGCAGGTTTAGCTCCATCTGAAATCAACACTGACAGACAGTACTTGACCCGGGGTAAAAGATGAAACAGCAGTCAAAACAATCAACACAAACAGGCAATGTTCAGCCAGCGTACTTGCCAGAGCCAGCAGATCTCAAGAGACGTAATGTAATTGCAGACGCATTCAAAAAGTATGTCATCAAATTAAGCGGCAAAGAATACAATTGACACAGGAATCTTCAAAATCTTCAAAATCTTCAACCCCCCCCCCCCTAATATCGATGGAGAAAATACGATCAACTCAAACAGCATAAAGCAGACTTGGTTTTCCAACTTGCGGTGAGAATCTCACATGTACCGCTTCCAAGACTGGCACCAGCATCGACAGACATTATCTAGTCCTTTATGTGTCGTCCAAAACCTAGCGCGCTAGTGACAGCCTTGACTCTCGATGAGAAGTAATCGATTATGAAGGAATCTTAGATGGCTGACAAGGGAGAGGAGAGACCTTTATGAATACTAGTACGAAGGTATAACAGAGTCCCGTTTCTCGTGTTCCTAGCCTGGTCCTACATCCACGGGTGTTTCATGGTTGCAGAAAAGGTGAAGCGTGATTGGTAGTGAGTTGGCCGCATGAAGGGAGACCTCAGGCTGCTCAAGCACGTCAATTGATTGGATAACGCGCCCCCCAACCTCCGCATTATTCACGGTAAAGTCTCCCACATGCATCCCATCCCATCTATTCGACAGTCAATCGTCAGTCGTAGAATGGCCAGCGCAGCACCAATACAGAGCTGAGTAGTGAATTATTGGGCTTGTCCGCCCCACCACGAATTCGGTGGCTGGTATGGTATGGTAGACTTTGAACCCCTCCACTCCTAAACGGTATCGTATCTGTCGCATCTTGCACTCCTCTTCCTATCAATCTTCTACTTTCTCTATATCCAGTTCCGTCATTGCCTGCTCTTGCATTCTCACGGACTCATATTCTAGTCTGTGCCGCGCAAGTGATAACCAAGTAGGCAGACGTGACAGAGGTCATGGGCATATTCACAATACAGAACAATATCCACTTCTCCTTGATATCACTTACAATCGCCCCCGGTACAGTTCTCGCACTCGCACTCCTCCTCTTCGTTTACCTCTACATCATCCACGTACGGAACAACCCGTTATCGCGCCCGACCGCCGCGGACCGAGACCAGCATAATGGCGACAATCGAGGAGCTGGAAGGCCTGTTCGACGACCACCCTTCCTTGGACGCGTCTCTGCAAGACTTCGAACCAGAACAAAGCGAGATAGGCCAGTCGCCCCGCTTTGGCTATCCTTCTCATCATTCTGGCTTCCGCTCCGACAGCAGCTCGGAGATCGAGGAATCAATCTCGGGAGGCAGATTCAGCCCGCCCGCTTGGAGACGAGACGGAAACGGCAATCGAAGCAGCGGCTTTTGGAATAGGGGCAACAGCAGGTTGGGGAAACGAAGTAGGGATTCCAGGGAGAGTAGCCCCGAGTTCGAAAGTGCGGATGAGGGTGCGGATGGGGGCGCGGATGAGACACTTTTTGCTGCTACAAGAACGAGGCTACCTACAGGCTCTTTGTCACCAGAGAAGCAGAGAAGTCCGAGTCCTGATCCTTTCCCGAGTGGTGGTGGGGATTTTAGAAGCACATTTGGAGGCAAGAAGATCAAGCAGGAAGATGGCCATGAAGTTATTGCACCGTCGATTGAGAATCCGAACAATTGTACGGAAACCCCCCCTGCTTATCCAACTTGCATGACTGACTATATAAGATATTCGTTTTGCTGTCAGGGCAGAAGTACAACATCGTACAGAACCATTCGAGGCCGCTTTTGAGTTTGTAAAGAGCAAATTCAATATTATGAAAAGGTCGTGGTCATCTTTTATCACTTCCGTCGCTGTCGCATTACTTTCAATATTAGCCTTGCGGTCGTTATTCCAACCAGGCGTTCTTCCTCCAGTCCCGGACTTAGTTAAGGTGGCAGGACTTGCGAAGGCTTTCGAGCCACTCATATTCTATTCGGAAAATGGTATACAACAAATTGGGGATCTGCAAGCTACAGGTGCTGCTGTTTGGGATTTGGGGGAGAGTGTGCGCTCTACAAATATGACGTCTGCTCCTATTATTGTCAAAGAGCTCGATGACTTGAGTGAAAGTCTGAAGACATTAGCCATAGAGCTAACTCGGTTCTTCGCAAACGTCGACGGAGATGTTGACGGGTATGTGGCCTTCACCTGACCTGGTATAATTTTAACATGTTATAGAATATTAATAGTTATGGACTGGGCAAAGCGCGAGTTGTCACAATTACAAATGCTGCAACCATCAGCCCTTACATCTGCATTCGACAACATGCACAACTTGTTCAGCCGCTGCGGTCTCCTTGAGACCTCATCGGGAGCATCAACTGCTATAGGCCAGATTGCAACGTCCATTTTCGGGCAGACATCTCCCCAAAGAACCCGCGCAACCCTACAGCGCACTTTTATAGAATTTCTCTCGGTCTTAGAAGATTCCATCAACTCGGAACTGCAACACTCCCTTGCGCTATTTGCATTGTTTGAGTCTATCGACAAACAATTCCAAAACCTAGCTCGCACCGTCATCCGTGAGACTACTGCACAAGACAATGCTCAAGATGATATGCTTTCGTCATTATGGACAAAGCTCCTTGGCCCTAACTCCAGCACTCTACACAAGTTTGAGAAGAACAAGAAGCTGCTCGGCAATATTCGCGCCAAAACTTTCCAGAACAAGTCGATCCTCCTTGAGCATAACGGCAAGCTCTTGACGCTCAAAGCCAATTTGGAGAGTCTCAGGAGGAAGCTTGTTAGTCCTCTGGTGCGTGTTAATGGCAGCACACTCGGTCTCGACGAGCAAGTTCGGGGTCTCGAGGAAGTGAGTGGATATCTTGGTGGTGTGCGGGAGAGGCAAAAGGGCAAATTAATGGAGATGCTGTACGGATCTGGTAGAAGTAGTGGGCATAGAATTACGGGTGCTGATGGTAGAGGAGAGATCGAGGGAGGCTGGCATTAACGACAATGCGAGCTGTATTATGGGACACATGGGTTTGATTTATTTGGATGGTGTTATCGGTTGGGTAAATATGGTTGGGGTCACATGGATGGAGTGCGTTTGGCGTTCTGTTTCGTTTTAGCCCTTTGCTGTATAGGCAGTCTGCGTGGTAATTAGAACAGTATCGTCGTGTTCACCTAGGTACTTGCTTCAATGAATAAATCATGAAACCCCCTTCCCTCGTGTATCACAATATGAAGAGAACCTTCAAATCGCACATATTAACTGCCCGCGCCCTGTCTTGTAATTTTATGTGCAACATAATAATCTGTCCCGAGACAATTTTCGCATGTAAAATTCCTTTCAAAGGCCACCACAACGCAAGTTAGAATTCACTTCTCTCAGATTCTTCATTTTTCACCTAAGATAAGCTGGGGAATTACAGGTCAAGTGCCATCGTTTATGCAAAATGTATTCAGTAACCAAGTCTTAAACACTCTGCCCTGCGCTCCCCTCAAGCTTCTTCTCCTTCTCCTGCGCCAGCATCTTCGCGTTCATCTTAGCCTCCATCTCATCCAAGTACGGGGTCATCTTGACGCTTTTGTTCGGCTTCGGCTTTCTGGATTCGCAGAACACGCAGCACCCCTTCTCCTCCTCCTTCTCCTCGTAGTACATCGGGCACTTGGTGGGGGGGATGTGTGCGGCGTAGTCCTCGTCGTCGGACTCGTGGATCCAGGGGTGGCGGCGGCGGTAGTGTTTCTCGGCGTCGGCGACCATTTGTTTGTAGATGGTGCATTGCTTCATATTTCGGAGGGTGTCGGTGCATTCCGTGTAGGTTGTGGTGGTGTTGAGGCACATTTTGGGGGGTGTGAGGGTGCTTGTTTGTTTGTTGGGTGGTTTGGAAGGGAGGCTTGATGGTTGTGGGGGAAGAGGATGGGGAGGGAGGTTTGTGTTTAAAGTACTGAAGGTGTGATTGAACGATTCAACTGGACAGCATTCAATATTGTTCACAGGTATTGATTTTTCATTCCCTCTAGGTTGTGATGAATGTTCAAGGTCATAATATGTTCGATTCCCAATAGTATGTTTGAGTAAGACAACCTTGCTGTACTATACTTGTTTGCGTCCAAGAAACAAGAGCATCATTGCCAATATGAGAATTAAAAGGAGTTCGGGAAAGCGTCAGACATTTTCAATACTTTACTAACACAAACAAGTTCACAATCCACTATTTATCCAATCATACCAAGCATCACGAAGACCGTTTATAATACAAACAATAGTTAAACAGACCCTGGATCGTCATTTTAGAGCTGGTGTATAATGGCGTGGTTGTTATTATAGGTTGTTTTTTGAATTGTATACGCAAGTCAGCGACTTCCAAAGTCGTTTTATATAAAATATTCCTTATTCCGTTCGGGACTCAAGTCTCTCAGCTCTTTTCTCTTTTTCGAGATTATTAGAACTTATTCATTACAACATAGTGGGAGTTGTGAAAATCTTTGTACAGGGAGGGGTAAAGACTTTCAATAAGAAAATCCGTCTATGAATTGGAATAAAAGGATTTGATAAATCTGCCTGCCTCCTCCTCCTTTGGACTTGACGGAATACTTTAAAGTCCTAAATTTCTTACTTGTCACGAGGTCTTATAAAAAAAAGCGGGTTGTTGAAGACCTTGACGGCTGCCGTTGGTGGACAAAGTAGCGCATTACTACTACCAACAGCAGGCCAACTTAAATCTGCAACAAGCCTACCTAACATACACGATACAATTCTACTCTAGCTTGACAGTGTACACCCACTCAATCTCCCACTCGATCTTAGGCACTATAAAATTTATTCGCTCAGCACCAGATGTCTTCGGTAAAGATCCAGCTCATGTCTGATCTCCATCTCGAGACTCCACAAGCAAGACCGACGTACCAGGACTTCGAAATCCCGCCAAAATGTCAATATCTAGCCCTCCTAGGAGATATCGAAAATATAGGGGACAGTCGACTCTTCGATTTCCTTGAAAAGCAACTAAGATCTTTCGAAGTTGTCTTTTACCTACTGGGAAATCACGAGCTGTTCGGAATGACCCGGCTGGAAGTCCAAACAAGCGTCCGCGCTTTCGAACATGAAATGGAAGAGCTCCGCTCCTCATTAGGATCAAGTCTAGGAAGATTTTTTTTTTTTAGACCAAACCAGATATGACCTTACGGAAAAGGTGACCGTGCTAGGATGCACGCTTTTCTCTCATATCTCCAACGACCAGCAAGAATCCGTATCGCTCTTTTGCTCCGATTTTTCAGAGATACAAGACTGGACGGTGGATACCCATAATGCAGCCCACCGCTCTGATCTCCATTGGCTAGATACGCAAGTCGAGCATATAACACAACACGAGCCGCATCGTAAGATCCTGGTCTTCACTCATCATAGCCCGACATTGCTTGAGGACGCCAATAATCCTAGACACCTGGATGATGCTGCACAAGTCCGTTCTGCATTTGTTACAGACCTGTCTGAGCAAGAGTGTTGGAAAAATGCAAGTGTTAAACTCTGGGCTTTTGGACATACTCATTTCAATTGCGATTTTGTGGATTCGGGGACGAAGAGGAGAGTTGTGGCGAATCAGAAGGGGTATCGCAGGTCAGAATTGGATACATTTGATGTAACAAAAGTGGTCGAGGTTATATATTAGAGGTCAATGGATGAATGAGCAGAAGCAAGCAGATACTTGAGCCACCATCAATCGTATCTCTTCAATGGTCATTGGACGGAACGGATGGGAGGATAACATTCAGGGTCTACCTGACAGCTTATCGTAAATGAAAGGGTGACGAGGTATAGATTTGAACATATAGACTTGTTCTCATAGGTGTGATGCTCGAGGTCATTCTTCCCATCAGCTGCATTGGCATGCAGACCGAGCATTACCTGTTGGGGTGAGGCCGCCCCCCAGTGCTACCATGCAGAGCAAGGAGATCCTCGAGCCAAATCGTGCAGGGGATTCCTTTGTCGGCGAGGAGCTGGCAGACCTCATAGCGATCATTGCTGACAGCCGAATTGGCTCGCTTTAACTTTTGGGACTGGGAGATACGCTGTATGAGGCCATTGCATTGGAGCAACGCCGTTTTGATAGTTTCCATAGAGACAGCTACGGGTACGTATGATCACGCGTGTCGGTCTACACCAGGATTAGTTTGTCGGATTCTGTGAATGGGGAGTTCAAGTAGCTCTACATAACACTTAAGCCCGATCTCGTACGCCGTCATCCCATCCTCAGCAAATTTTCTCCACAATACAGTCGTTTGAGCTGGTGCCTGTCAGCTGAGTTTTGCTTCACAATGTTGTGAAGTCTTGAATTTGAAGGGGGAAGAGGGAGGGGAAGACGAAGACAAAGGTGCATCAAAGGTCAGATAACTAAGCAGCCACCTAAACACTACTCGTAAGCCCCAGACGCGTTGACGCCGGAATCTCCTTTGGAGCTTTGTGATGCGCCACGCTCACTCCTTCAGCCAGTTGAGTGTCCACAGTTAAGCGCTTTGGACCATATTCGTCACATTATCCCGAGGCTCAGGCCAACATGTCATTGCCTACTTTATTTCGAACTCCCTACCAGCACCACACCCTTCTACAGCCGTGAAGCATTTCCCTTATTTTTGTAGCACCAAAAACGTACGGGAATAGTGCCCTGGCGCCTAAGGCCGTTGCGTGCCAGATCTTCTCGTCTACAGCCTGATCTGAACAATAGGTATCTATATTCTGCGCATGGAGGTCTTCCTTCTGGGCCGGCCGGCGGCCACGAGCAGCGGCTACAGACACTTTCCAGGTTTCAATGGAATTGGCAAGTCCAGTCAGAGCACTGTTGGTTCTACCCACGTAGCGGTCGATATATGCCCCAAAGCTTGTTTCTACGATATGTGTCTGCCCTCCAAAGTTGTTTGCGGACATATTATACGCAGCTTGTCTCCTTCAATATAGTTATTTCAATCAACTTATTTCCCGCGTTGCGTCTTGCAATCATTGTATTCCATCTATATACTTCCCTATAATTACTTTTCCTGCGTTCAATATGGGTTGTGGCGGTTCAAAAGAAAGCTCTCGTGGGCAATCTGCACCGAGGCCCACTTTAATTCCATTACACAATGTTAGGACACCTGCAAGAGGTTCACATCACCAGCAGCCCCCTCACCGAACGAAGGGGCCAATGACTCCAAAAATCAGGGCCGAGTTCTTGAATGCCGCACAAAGGGCGTTCGGACGCCTAGATTATGGTGTGATTGGCGGCACTGCACTTGCTCAATATGGAAATCGGCGGACAACATCGGATCTGCATGTGATGGTTCCGCATAACATCGTCGACGTTATAGAGGATCATTTAGTCCAAAATGGAATGGTACGAACGGTGGGCCGAGGTTTAGGGTAAGTGCATCATTAAAGAATTGGGTTAAAAACTTTCTTTGGGTGGTAGGCTTTGGCTCCATTTTGCTTTGCTTATCCCCCATGTTATTAAAACTGGCTGATAATATATAGCTATGTTGCATCAGATGGAAACTGCTATGGTCTCGACATTAAATCGGACACGTCCCTTGGCCAGACCTTTGCTAAACCACGAGCTCAGGATCGGATCATGTCCGTCGATGTTCTCTTGAACTCGAAAGCCTACTCATTCATGTCCCGAACAGGCCCTGACATGCAGCAGAAAAAGGCAAACGATGCACAAGATATTGTTTTCCTCGTAAACTTAATGAGGAAAGACAACAAGATTCCAGATAGACGGCAATGCCGATGGGTTGTTGATTATGACTTTTGGACATCGTTTTGCGCAAGTTACCAGGGTGCAGAAGAGCTTTTTCAGGCCCTTGGTTTACAAAGAGATCCAATGCCAAGTTCAAGCAACAGTGGGACGAGAAACTCGAACTTGGAGACTCGTCGAAGTATGAGTAGCGGTCACGGTCACCATTAAGAATGTATATTGATAATCACTCAGAATTGCTCCTCGTGATCTGAAAGTTTGGATGACTTGGAAGGCACAGAAACCTCTCAGCACATATATCTTCTCTTGAAGAAATGTCAGTGCTTGAATAACAACTTAACTTCACTGACTGAACCCCTTTCATCCCAGAATTGACTTGATCTCGAGCATCCGTTGAACTGCAAAATCCCACGGTACCACATCCCTCCCCACAGCTCAAGAAATCAACGCCAACACCCCAGCCACAACCCAAGTCGCAGCCAAATACGCCACATTCAACCTAACCTCCTGAGTCGTCGAAATCGCCTCATTATACTCGCCCAACTTCGTACTTAGGTAGGTACACACTGCCCCTGACCCACCCACCCTTTCATAAGCGAGGAGATTAAGCGAACCGTTCGGGGTATTCGGTGGGGTCGGGGGTGTCAGAACGTGAATGCATCAGCATACCTTAAAAATCGTTGATGGGTGAGAGCCATTCCCCTGTTACAAAGCATTCATCCGTAGAAAAAAATGAAATAACTAAAAAGACATAGATGAAGAATCAAAAGCTATCAAAGTTGTCAACCTCTCGATGACAATACCTTGGAGACCTCAGTTCCCTTTCAATTACAAATATTATCGCACCTCCGCTCCGCTCCTATCTTCTCCACCACCCTATGAACCTTCTTCACCTAGGTTTATCAAAATTGGCCTGCGAGTTTGTGTTGAAGCGGTGCTTTAAGTTCATACAACACTTCGTTGAACAGGAATCCACCCGAATCAGTTCATTTAGCTCGAACTAGGGAGGCAAACAATGCTCGATGTTGTTAGAGACGCTGCTCTCGGGCAATGGCTTCGCCTCTTGGGAGCTAGCCATCTTGCACCGTACCCCGAAGAACTTCCCGATTTCAAGTTACCCCCTGCATATTCTCCCTGCGAACAACCACCATCACTCACGAACAAGAAACCCAACACACCTACAACAGTCAACGAAATGGAGGAAGGGCGACCTCAAACCACTAATGAAACAAAGAATGAGTATATTAAGCAGAATCTAGTGGCGGTGACGACGATAGCATGATAGACATCACCCTAGTCACTTGGTACTCGGAAGATGATCCAGAAAATCCTCACAACTGGTCACTCGGAAAGAAAATTTGGCTTAGCATGCTCCTTCTAGTATATACGGTCTCGGTCTACATTGGATCATCTCTGTATACCGCAAGCGAAACCGACATCATGTCTATCTTTGGAGTGAGCAACACCCTTGCCGCTCTTGGACTTTCTCTCTACATTCTCGGCTATGGAATAGGGCCATTAGTATTCGCTCCACTCTCTGAAATTCCAGAAATTGGACGGAATCCTCTTTACATCTATACTTATATTATTTTCGTTGCTCTCGCCGTCGCAGCGGCATTAGTAAATAATTTCGCGGGTCTACTGGTGCTTCGATTCCTGCTAGGCTTTTTTGGCTCGCCATGTTTGGCCAATGCTGGAGCTAGCTTTGGTGACTTCTTTGGAAGGGGGGGGGGGGGAATGCCATATGTTGATCGCATTATGGGGTGGGGGCGCAACCTTGAGTCCGGTATGACATTCCTTCCCTTTGAGACTGCCCAAACCCAGAATGGTTGACTGACAGAAAGACTAGGCATTCGGCCCGCTTGTAGGTGGCTTTGCAGTTCAGGCAAAGGGATGGAGATGGAGCTCTTGGGAACTGCTTTGGTTCGCAGGCCCCATGTTGCTTGTAGTGCTAATAGGTCTACCGGAAACATCGGCTGACCATCTTTTGCTTTGTCGAGCAAAGCGCCTTCGAGGATTGACGGGCCGCTCGAACCTCAAGTCAGAATCTGAGATTAAACAAGCCCAGCTATCCCCTCGACAAGTCGCTTTCGATGCCTTGACCAAACCGTTTGAGATTAACATCCTCGATCCAGCTATGCTCTTTACGACTTTATACGCGGCTCTGACATACAGCTTGTATTATTCATTTTTTGAGTCCTTTCCCCTTGTATATATCGATATATATGGCTTTGACCTTGGAGAACTCGGCTTGTCATTTGTATCAGTCTTGACTGGACTTTTTGTGAGCATAGCCTTGTACTGCGGCTATTTCTATTACATAGGGCATCCGAGAATGTCGAAAATGGAATCGGTGCCCCCTGAGGCTCGCTCATGGCCCGGGTTGATTGCGAGTTTCCTCATTCCGATTGGTCTATTTATTTTTGGTAGGTCAACGCCAATGTCCTCCCCTCCCTCTTTACCACACCGGGCCAGAATTAACATACTGAACCTAGCCTGGACATCCCGAAAATCAATCCATTGGATTGTCAGCCTCGTGGGCATCGCGATCAGCATGTGTGGAGTATTCATAATTATCCAGTGCATGTTTATATACATTCCGTTCACTTACCCAAAATACGCTGGTTCCCTCTTTGCAGCGAACGGCTTTGCGCGAAGCGCTTTCGCCGCTGCGGCCGTCCTCTTTGCAGGACCGATGTTTTCACGGCTCGGGGTTGATGGTGGTGTTAGTTTGTTTGGAGGGCTAACAGTTCTATGCATTTTTGGTATCTTTGGCATCTACTATAGAGGGGCTACACTGAGGAAGAGAAGCAGATTTGCCGTTTCTTGACGCATCAGTCGCTTTGGAAGTTCCGTGCTGGGTAACAGGGTACTGTATGATAATGTTTTAATATGTATATAAATTCAACAGTCGAAAGCGCTTAAACGCGAACATCTCCAATTGTAGATAGCGCCATGATGAAAAGCTCGAAAACCCTCTCAACAACGAAGACCAAGTGGCCATTCTTCTGGCATGTACCGCATTCAATGCGTACGTATAAGGTGAATGCACCTCACTAAACTTACATGTCCTCGAAATCTAATTAGGAGATCAAACTAACGGTGCATACCGATCAACCTCCAAGAGGGTGTGCTTAAAATACTGCGTTGGTTGGGTTGGTTGCACTGGATCCAATCACTCAGTTTGGTCAAATTAACGTGACCGCTCTTCGTTGTCGGAAGAATCGTTGCTGCTGCTGAGTTCGGAGGCATGGAGATGTGTTTGCAGAATGAGGTAAGGCTACATGGAGAAGTTGATTGGTGTCGGATTTGGGAGTTCTGGCTGTGGAGAAGGCGTCGCAGAATGATGAAGATTTCTAATTCGATTGTGGTTCCTCGCCCTCAGAATAACTGATCGTGGCTTGCGAGTACGAGTTTGAAACTCTTGTTGGGAGGCGAGCACGACTGACATTGATGGCAATAACCTTCGGAGAGAATTAATAACAAACGTGAAGCTTCAGATATATATTTTACTTGTGTGCCTGACCCGGACGACTCGGGAAGGATGACGCATTGAAACCGAACAAGCCAACCTAGACCCGGCAACATTTGCTAAAGCATGTCTATTTGTGAGGGCGGCGCTTCACAGCCAATCATTCCCCCCTCAAGCGACGGAATTGTGGAGAAGCGCCAGTTTTGCTAAGCTTTTGCCAAGAAGTTGAGACAGCTCACATCCTTGTCGACCTACCTTGACGCTTAGACCCCGGCAATAATCCGACGCTTCCCCTCCATCCACGCAATGCAACCTCCTTAGCTACCTCCCAACCTGTTTGACTTGACTACAAGCACCCACGTTGCTTGCTCGTCAACCTCACCGCCCCTCATACCAACTTCCCTCCTCTTCCCTCCTCTTCCCCCTCTTCATTTTCTATACAAACTTTCTACTTTTCTTCAATTCCTCCAATTCCTCTTCCCTCAACATCAACACCAAAGAAATCTACCCCGCAACCGCACTCTAGCAGCGCACTCTAGCCGTCACGATGGTTCATCTATCTCAGATCAAAAAGGACAAGAATATTGACAAGCCTCTCGTCGAGGGCCTGGAGAAGCTTGACATTGACTCCAGCAGCCAATCCGACTTGTTCACGACCAGCGTCTACGGCTCAAAATTCGCTGCAGAGGATCTTCCCAAGCATGAGATGCCAGACACCGAGATGCCCAAGGAGGTGGCCTACCGAATGATCAAGGATGATCTATCTCTCGATGGAAACCCAATGCTCAAGTAGACCTCCCTATCTATACCTCTGCGGACACTACCTAACCTACAATCGTGTAGCTTAGCTTCCTTTGTTACCACCTACATGGAGAAAGAAGTCGAAGACCTCATGACCGAAGCCTTTTCCAAGAACTTCATCGACTACGAAGAATACCCTCAATCGGCCGACATCCAGAACCGCTGCGTCAGCATGATTGGCCGTCTCTTCCATGCCCCCGTCGATGATGAGGGCGCGGCCTCGGTCGGTACATCTACAGTAGGATCCTCGGAAGCTATTATGCTTGGGGTCCTTGCAATGAAGAAGCGCTGGAAGAATGCACGCATCGCAGCTGGCAAGCCTTTTGACAAGCCAAATATAGTTATGTCCTCTGCTGTGCAAGTTTGCTGGGAGAAGGCTGCTCGATACTTTGAAGTTGAGGAGAAATACGTCTACTGTACGCCAGACCGATATGTGATTGATCCCGAGGAGACGGTCAATCTTGTAGATGAGAACACCATTGGTATTTGCGTGATTCTGGGCACAACTTATACGGGAGAATATGAGGATGCGAAGGCTGTCAATGATTTGCTGATCGAGAGAAATATTGATACGGTTATTCACATCGATGCTGCTTCTGGTGGATTTGTCGCTCCATTCGTCGTTCCTGATCTCGAGTGGGATTTCAGACTTGAGAAGGTCGTTTCGATTAACACTTCTGGTCACAAGTACGACATACTCTGTAATCCCCGATGTTGTGTTACTAACAATTACACAGGTATGGTCTCGTATACCCAGGTGTAGGATGGATCATCTGGAGGCAACCAGAGTACCTCCCCAAAGAACTTGTGTTCAACATCAACTACCTCGGTGCAGACCAAGCGTCTTTCACCCTGAACTTCTCCAAGGGCGCTTCGCAAGTCATTGGCCAGTACTACCAACTCATCCGCCTTGGCAAGCACGGCTACCGCGCTATCATGGGCAACCTCACCCGTACCGCCGATTACCTTTCTGGTTCTCTGGAGCAATTGGGTTTTATCATCATGTCCCAAACGAACGGCAAGGGTCTGCCTCTTGTGGCTTTCCGTCTTGACGAGAAAGCCAATAAACACTACGACGAATTCGCACTTGCTCATCAATTACGCCAGCGCTCTTGGGTCGTCCCAGCTTACACCATGGCTCCTAATACCAAAGACCTGAAGATGTTGAGAGTAGTCGTCCGAGAAGACTTCTCCAAGTCACGATGTGATCAATTGCTCGATGATATCAAGTTGTGCATGCAAGTCCTAGATGCTATGGACCCGAAGGATATTGAGAAGCACAACAAGCTTATCAAGAGTGTCACTCACTCGGGCAAGAATAAGCATGGCTCGTCTCATTATAAGAATGAGAAGCATAGCTTACAGGGGAAGACTGGCAAGACACATGCCATTTGCTAAAGTGGATTGCTAATGAATTGAATGCTGGTGGGAATCTTGGAGGCAATTTATGGTACAGAAAAAATAGGTGCTAGGATGGATACATAAAACATGTTGGATAGGATATGATGGGTAGGATATTGCCTGACTGTTCTCTAAATCAAGACCGATGAATCTTGAACATCTCTCGCGACATTTATTTCCTACTCTAAATTCCGCTCTCAATTTCATGTAAAAGCGAACCTTTTCTATTTCAACCCTTCATAACTCTCTCCACGTCACAGAATTCTACTTGCCACAGACACGCCGCGCAACATATGACTAAACTCTCGATTACCAAATTGAGCAACTTGGAGAATCAAACAAGTCTATGGCGACAGGCTTATCTATCTCACCCAGCTCACGAACCCCATCCGCCCTTTGTTTTGACGATAGGTATATATGGTAGAAGTTGGTATAATCGAACACTTTTAGAAATTCCACTGTGCTGTTAAGGTTGTATTCACTGTTAATCTCATAGCTGGTTAGGTGCGTGGAAGGAGTTCCGCTGATTCGATGATTCGTTTACTTGCAGAGTTGCGGCCATCGAATTAGGCTGGGGAATTAATTGGCTTAGGACATACATGCATTGATTATGCAAGACGAAGAGTTTCGAGTTTGTTGTAAGGTCGACATATATGCTTTGCGAGGCTTAGAGGGGGGTTTTGGGGGTAGGAAGTGGGATGGAGTGGAGTTTTATACTTGTTTGCGAGGGTTGGGTGTAGATAAGGTGGTAGAGGGGATGGAAGTGGATATGGTGGTAGAGGGGGTGGAAGTGGAAGGGGAAGTGGATATACAAAGGGTTATTTGAGCTTGAGCTTGTTGCATTGCAATTTCTAATGATAATGAGGACGGATTCACTCTCGTCACAATCGTACGGATGCCTCCAATCTCAGTAACGTACGGAAGAAGAAGGAAGCAGGAAGCATTGTCGATTCAATCGTCCATTCAAAGAGTAAGGAAACTCGTTCTTTAGGTATCCAGGATGTATTTTGATTTGCTGTCAGGTTGCTTGGAAGTTTGCTGTCAATTTGAACGGACGTTCGAGAGAAGTTGCGACGAGATACCTCGGTGTAGAGCTAGGCGTAGACCGAACTGTTGTTAAACTTTTTGATGATTGTGAATGTAGGCAAGAAGGCCTAAATTTGATGCCAGACATCGACGTTTGATGAATGAACAGTGCAGCTGACTGTTTTCCTTTTGACATGGCATTGTACATGTCGTTTGCGACTTTCTGTACTTTGGATTTTCGCTGGGCTTTAGAGCAGGTTGGTCTCGTGGTTAGAGATTTATACTTGCTTTTGGTCTCGACGTCATGACCAAGGCTTGTGGACCCAGCTCTTCGACCGTCATAAGGCACCTCGTCCTCCTCGCATCTATCCGCCTCCAAGCTATCAGCTGAACAACATGGATGATTTGAATTGCTGCCATACTGATATATTGACCGCTCTTAAGAGATGTTAGATGAGTGGCATGTAAGACTACGTGAATCCTAAATCTTGACCCGCCCCACAACAATTACAAACTTGGACAATCCTCTTTCAGGACTACGAACATGGATGTTCAGAGTGTGCAATCTGTATGTCTATAGACCAAACGGATTGTTGCAGAACTTGAGTCGTTTGAGGGTCTGGGCTCATTGCAGGTGGAAGAAAAGCTCGCTTAATTCAGGGGGCGAGGTGGAGCCACCATGAGCAGTCTGTTGCACCCTTAAAACTGGCAAGCCTTTATTATACTCACATAACAAATAAATCTCCAACTTGCCTAGATTGAATGATAATGTACTCTTTGATTCACAGTGGGGTAGAGAAGTCACAATTACAGCGGTACATTTACTGCCTAAATCCATTCACAAGATTGTTTTCAAAAAACAGTGACTTAATTCCTTGGTCATCAAGCATATAAAAACCAAACCATGAACAGTCCTCCAGAATCTGCTCTACAAGTTACGATGGCAGAAGACACCAGTACCATATTTTGCTGTGCCTCCCCCAGCATTCCGAAATCATCCCCTTCAAACGCCTTAACAATCTTCCTAGAAGCAATCGAAAAGTTCAGCACGTCCAAGCAACTCCAGCGCGAATTTCTCTTCCATCCCTACGCCTTTCCCGATACTCGTTCACCGCCACCGATTTCCAAAAAGACCATTGAAATAGAAGCTATCCGCAACCGAAAATACCCCCGCCGAATAAAGCACTATGTCTATCTAGAGGGCGAAGGAAATGATAACACCAAGGGACTGAACCTTAGAGGCAAAACGTTGCGTGAGTTGCAGATGTATCCGGAAGGCACATTCAGGGAAGTGAAGGAGCAGGTTGTCCATCAGTGGTTTGCGGCTAGGAGGGAGTGGTGGGACAAAGATGTCAAGAAGGACGATGAGCATGTGGGATGGATTTGTAAAAATTGTAAGGTGGAATACCATGCGAGGGTCTTGACAGTTGCAGATTAAGATCACGATTGAGAAGGTGAGATGAAGGTGGCTATTGAGGCTTCTAGATAATCCTTCTTGGATAACTCAGGGCGAATGCCATTTTCTGGAAGAATGAAAAGCACATTTGGTATCGGCATGATGTCCCTAGACTAAACTCACAAGACAACCGTCAATTGTGAATCCTTATGCCCCGTCCAATTCATATAATGTTAGACGTGACTTTACCTGCCAACACCCGTAAATCTGCCTCTAATTTCCGGCCTATGGAGCGGTTTCAAGCTTCTCGCTATATCCTAGCCGGGGTAATTCTGCAATCGGCTTAACTTTAACTTTCCATGTTGTAGAGAGAACAACACAACCGCGAGCTCTTAGGCTAGATCTGACTAAGTAATCATCATTATTCAATCAAGGATATAAACCGTAGTGTATTAAGTGAGTGTGTAGAAAAGGATGTGGTTCTGAGATGCAGGAATCCAATTTCACGTGATTTTCGGACAATGTCAGCCCCATCACAATATATACTCAAATAATCAACGACTTGGTCATATCATCCCTCTTACGTTTCTTGGGCTGAGCTGTGGCGCAAAGATGTGTAAAAGTGGCTGTCTTACCCACACGTGATCAAAGTCGGTCACCTAATCGGGACATTGCAAGGCAACCGTCCCAGCTAGGACTCCGACACTGCCCCACTACAATCGCTTACATCTTCTCATCCATATCCCATAGCATGTATTCCTAACATCAAACATCAATTATGCCATGTAATTTTTAATCGTTATAGAAGATTCTACTGTTGTCAATCGTTTCTTAGGAATCGCCGAATCGGCCCACCATGGAAGGTCCCCCACCAACATACAGGGTCTTCCGTGACCAGCACGGCATTCCACAATTCGAGCCCAAGAGAGGCACCCAGGCGCTGAAAGATGCATTGATATATTCATTTCCAGCCTTAGAGACAGAATTGCAACTCATGCAAGCAGCATTGAAGAAGTTTTTTGATTCGGAGCGGACAACATCATTCGTTTGTGAACTGCCCGAGAACAACTTGCAAGCCAGTCTTGCAAAGAAGAGGGAGGTCCCTGTGTCTCCAGTAAATGCCGCAAGGGCGTCTTTGAGAAGTTGGAAACTGCCAGGGGCACAACGAACATCCTCGCGACCAACATCACGACCCTCATCCCGAGGATCGTCGCGGGCTGGTTCAAGAGGGTCCTCCCGAGCACCCTCTCGAGCGGACACCCCAGCTCAATGCGCCGCTCTCGAGCCTTTGGTCGAAGTCAGAACAGGTGGAATGATGACCACGTGGGATTTGTCAAGTGGGCAAGAATTGGAAAAGAGAAGAAGGCAGCCATATGATCCAGTCAAGCGTCGTAAAGTTGCTGAGAATAGGGGCAACGCTTGTGACAAGCATCGGGCTGCCAAGACCACCGTGAGTTGCAAACTATGGATACAAACTACTAGTTCACTTTTCTTAATACTCGCAGTGCGATCCGGATGAATGTCCTCAAAACAAAATACACTCGAAACCGGGAGACGATAGTTCGAAAGGCAGTTGCACATTGAGGGGTAGAGTATCTCAAGTCGGTCTATCTCGGGCCAATAATACCACGAATACTGGTACATTAGACGCAGATAGACGAAACACAAGGTACCAAGTTACTTCTTCTCATTTCGAGCAGCTTTTTGCTAATCTTGTACACAGAACCAATACAGATTTTGTTCCTCGCCCGATACCCCAGGCTGAGCGCGTCCCTTCCTTAGCCAAATCAGATGTGTTTTGGGACACTTCCGACCCATTCCCTTTGGAGTTTCAGGCCGAAAGCTCCCTGTTAAGCTTTGCCGATATGGCTAGTAACAGTGACTCTGGTTACTGGACAGATAGCGACTGTGTTGGTTCTATTACGATGAATTCCTGCAGCAGCTACCCCCAATTTCCAGAATCACCATTTGAGTCCAATCACTTCGGAGTCGGGAGTAGTGACAACACCAACACGCCCTCTGAAGAACAAAAACTTCCTCCTGTCTTCAAAACAACCAATTCAAGTCTCAGCCACCAGTGCATAACTGAAGTACAAAGCCCCAGACTCCCGCCCCAAGGCTCGCCAACGCTTTTGAACGAGTGTCCGCATCAAGCATATACCCCATCACCAACAGAGAGCCCTGGCCCGATTTTGTTAGAGCCTTCTGCTGGATGGTCGGAGGAAGCCTTGTTGTGCAACGAAGACCCATTCATGGGGAGTTGGGCAAGCCAGAAAGCAAATCATCTCTTCCACGACTACGATTGGGTATTATCTCACGTAGAGAATCTTTGAGCCTTTTGGGACCTAATGGCTAAAAGTATGCATCATTTCAAAGACAGTCATTGTATAATCCATTGACAGCCTTGGAAAACTCATTGGAGATTCTTAGGAGGGGTGATCACTCTTCGTTGGGCCAAACTTACGCTTCATTGAGTGTGATCTTCTTTCCCTCCCACCTGAGCGATACTGCTTCCACGCTACGCACCAACGTTCGAGTCATCAAAGGTCATCTTGAAGTCCTTGCTTCTGACCTCGACTTCATCCGGCTTTCAGTCTGACCTTCCACCCGGTTTTGGTGTTCGTCCTTGGGATTCCGTATTACTAGATCCTATGAAGGGATTCTGCATTGGGACTAGCAAGCTGGTAGCCAAAAATTCAGGCTTAGAGGAGTTCAAGTTGATAGTCGTAAGTAAGGCGCACCAGGCAACCGAGAGCACAGTGCCACTGCCAGTGATGAATAGTTGGGTTGGGTTGTAATACAAGCCACTGGCATCCCCACCAACCACATGGAAGCGAAGATCTCAAGCAGTCAATGGCGTCAGCATTACGCCTTATGAGAGGGACGAGCGGCCGCGCAAAACTACACATGAACTCGTCCTTGGATACACGTGGAATAGCTGCCAGCCAGCCGAACATCGCGATTGTGTGCCAATCAATATCAATATATGCCAGGGCTTATCGCAGACTTTCAACTACATTTGCTCGGCTCTTTACTCCATGTCTGCTATTATGCTAGGCAGTTCCAACAGGCTTCATCGGCGATGCCATCATAAACCTGCTAAGCGAGCCTAATAGGGGCAAACTTCTGGACAGCAGGATATTGTGCATGTTTTCTCGTACTACTCGCAAAGCTTGATAGCAGTATGCAAAGATAAATATACGCCTAGGGCTAGGGAAAGTCGGTCATGTTTCAGACAAAACACATCTCAATGTCGACCACTTCCCTGAATATCAAAGTCAATCGTTTTCTACTCCAGATGTTCGAAAAAAAAAAACGACATAGGCTGAGCTCAGGGGTATCTTATTTAGCGCTCCTAATGAATGTAGCGATTACACAAACAAAGGTCTCAAAAGGGTCTCCTCAAAATAACCACGATCTTTCTCCCAGCCCTTGACAACAAAGTCTCGGCCCACCTCTACCACTTTCTCAATCTGCTCCTGTGTTCCCCATCCCTGAACCCTGGAGCCCCAACAAATCAGGTGCGCACCAACATGAATGGCAGTCCTGAACGCTACCTGCTCCTCCAATTTCCCATACCCCTTCATAAATGCCTCGATGAGCCAGACACCAGCATCGAGACCCTTGAAATGTTTCAATTCAAAGAGCTCAGCGAACATTTGACCAAGATCAAAAGCGTGATCACTGAGATGAGAAAGCTCCCAGTCGATGATGAACAGCTTCAAAGGTTCTTCTGGGTCAGGAAACGGTGCATTCTTCAGCAGCACGCTATTGGAAAAGGATCAGCGAGAATTTACACGAAGTCAAGTTCAGTTCACTAAAAAAAACTTACTTTCCGCTCCAGAAGTCTCCGTGGATTAAGCTCCCCTCTTCCCGATCCAAACGGATCCTAACATCCTTTGCGATGGCTTCAAACACTTCTTTGCTGGCCTGCAAGATATGAGGAAAGGCTTCAATCGTAGTTACCAACCGCGGATAGTTAATTGCGTATTTCAGCTCTTTCATCGCCACGTTACCCTTTATAGCTTCTCTCAAGCCGAGTTGTCCTTCAGCTGCGCCCCATAGATGAAAGGTCTTGGCCCAGAGCCCGAGAGCGGGGCCTAGGCGTGAACACTGTGCTTTGGTAAGATTGTGCGTTAAGGCGTAGGTCTTGAGCTCGGTGGAAGCGGGCAGGTCTGTGTGTATTTGGGTGTGGGTTTCTTGGAAGAAGGTATATAGCCTAGGGGTCTGTACTGTTATACCGGAATAGGAGATGGGGCTGAGTGTTTCCAACCCCGAGAGGATAGTCTGCTCGAAATCCTAGAGATCCTCATTGGTTGGTATGTTTAACGTGAGGGCAATGAACGGGGCTTACGCAGCGGGTGGAAGCTAGTTTGAAATTAGGATGCGAAGCCACATAGGGTTCTGTATGCTTGATTACTATGCTCTTGGTGCCGTCTTGGAGAGGCTTGATCAGTGTACCGCGGTATACAAAGTTGGCTGTTCCGCCGGAGAGCTTGGTAAGGGATGCACAGGCGTATGGGCCATGGTTGAGACTTGTTTGAACTTGATCGAGCATCTCATCTTTGCTTAAAGTAGTAGCCATTGGGATCTATATAGCTGCTTCTGGGTGGGGGTTTTGGATAGCCGCGGCTTCCGAGTAGCGAGGTTTGATGGGAAAGGTCGAAGTTGCTGAATCAGTTTTGGACTGAACTACCGGCTTGATTGATTGATTGATGTTTGGACAAGATACAAGAGTGAAATGAAAACTTATAAGCTTCGAATTGAAGTTTGGGTGCTGAGAACGATGCATGCATGAGTCACGCCGAATCTGTGGAATGCCTTCCAAAAGTGAACTTAACCGCATGGTGGCTTCTTCTTACCGCTTGTTCTGACACAGAAGCATAATACCTCTTGCTGAGAGCGGACGATATGATAACCGCGAATAGTAAGACGAAAGTAGTGTTGGAGTCAGGAAAGGAAGTAGTCTTTAGCGGATCCCGATTGAACTTAGCCTGTCTGACTAGCGGCAAACCTTTCAACGTCACCTCGTTCTTTCCTATCTCAAAGCTCCCCTTTAAAAATCGACATCGGGCTGTCGATTGTGTAAAGCTAATCCAAATATCAGATGATTTCATTTCCTTAAAAATGCCATATCACCACCTATTGTGTAACACTAAACAGCTGATGCTACACAGAATGCAGTCTCTTCTCGGTACCCCCCTTGATGATGGTACTGAGATCAAATACCGGGACTTTAAATGGCATATCTACCACAACCATCATGACAGATAACAAGAAATACCAAGCCGCTATGCTGGCAACAAACCAGCATCCTCCGGCCCCTTCGAGTAGTTGTTGACCTCGCGCTGGCTTGCCGTCTGCGATGTTCCACAAGCCCGCAGTGGCAAGTGCGAACCCAAGGGCTGCTCCAGTAAAGACCACAACAAAAACAGCGTTTGTCCGGAACGAGCAGATGAAGAATATCATAGAGAGAAGACCCATGAAGAGGAAATAAAAGCCTGCAAAAGTCAGCAGTCGATTCTCCTACTCAAACCAAGATTGAATTGACGATACCAAAGGATGCCAAGAATTCTGGCGTCTGCTTTTGGCTGCCATCAGTCGTGTAAGATGAGATGACTGCAAATGATGGCGTAAAGGTGGTGGCAAATGTGAGGAAGTGCGCGCCGTAGGCGAAGAAGACGACGCTTGGAAAGGTGTTTCCCAGGATGAACTCTCCAACTCCTGACAAGATCATCAGCAAGCCACCAAAGAAATAATTCGCCCCACTGATATATTGTTAGGATTGGCAGTCCATGCTAGAGGAAGAAAGGAATGTTACTTTGTCGCTGGAAAGCCAGATGCTCCACGCCAACCCAAAAGCTCAATCGAAAGTGGCGTCAGGGCAATGCATAGCCCTAGTATCGCAACCGGTGTTGGATTACCAAACTTTGGATTAAGCCTGTCACGACTTTCGTTTCCGGATGAGATGTTCAACTTCTCTGGCATTTCGCGGGAGGTTTTGATGGAGCTAAGGGTCTTTTTGAGGCTGGTCTCCGTTGGGAACTCATTATTTGTACATTGGGTTTTGGTGGCATTCGAAGCCGTGCTTGGATTTTGCGACATCTCAAAGATCTTAAGAACGATGTTGAAAAGATGGGAGGATGTCGAAAGATTCAGCAAAGATGAGAGTGCTGGTCACTTCTTCATATACACCTGAACTACTAAAAGGCTGGTAACCGTTCAATTGGGAGAGATGCGTCTGTTCCTTATAAATTTTGAATCCCTGCATGTACTTGGTCGCTTCCAACGGGCCACAACAGGCCTGGATATGGCATGCTGCTGTGCTCTTATCTCAAGAGATACCAACCTTTTCTTCAGATCTAAGTGTAACGCAAGCATATTTTTCTTCATTAGTTCTCATGATGGCGAGCATAAGTGTTTTTCTCTTGGTGATAAACGTGTGGTTTTGAACCCGTCAAGATCATCTAAAGACGTTAAAAGTTTTGAGAACAATATATTGAAAGCAATCCAGATCTGATTTGAAATCTATAACAATCATGGCCTAATATTTTAAACTCCCCGAGACTCGTAGCTCAAGATCAAGTGCAGAGTAACACAAGCGTACCAGATAGCTGTTGCGCCGTCGAGTATAGATACACATGTACAAGGCAGATCGAAGCACTAGACGAATACGATTACTCGGATCCCACAACGCTCATCTCATATTTCATCCTTGCCTTTCACTTGTGCTTTCTGTATCAGCGCTACAGCAAAACCGCTTGAATGTGTGACGGCTCAGAGATCAGATGGGTAGGTCAAGTGGCGGATCTCATGTGCTACGGTGCGACGTTTACTTGCCTCCACGTGGAAGACAGTCCGACAGACGCACACGCATCATGTGATACGCTTTCTTTGCTCTTGTGTTTTGTCGAACCCGCCAGTTGATTCCTGCTGCACCAAGTCCGATTTGGCCAGACTGGCTTTTGATCTTATAATATACGCGCAGTGACAAGGACCACTGCTTCCATCATGACCACTATGTAAGATACCAAGATCTGGATATCCATTATTGGAGTCATTCACCTACCTTAGGTACCTAGGTAGGTAGGACTGCACAAATTTTGGCGAGGTACTTCGCTTAGACCGGGCAAAAGTCCGACCGCCCCCCTTTTACCGACATTCTTAGCTTGCCAACGACACTTGCCGCCAACATTCTCAAATTCCAACTGAATAAGGGGAAAAGAAGGACAATTACAAAAATAATTAGCAAAAAATAATCTGTGCTCTGAGCCAGCTGTAAAGAGGGATTCGAACCCCTATCCTAGATGCATTTTAAAAGAGGGAGGCAAGACTCTTGGAGCACGTTATAAATTATACCTACCAACACTTATCCATCTGCACCTCTCCAAGCTTCGCTTAGAACCCGCTTAACCTCATAAAAACCATAGAATGAATAAAGATTCCCCTAAAATTAGTAAAAAAGTGCAAAAAATGATCTGTGCTCTGAATGAGCTGTAAAGAGGGAATCAAACCCCCAACCTAGATGCATTTTCTAAGAAGGTAAGCCCCCAAATCCCACTCAAAATCCGCAAGCAGTCGGTAACATCCCTACTCAGTTGCCTGAGCAGAGGCCTTTTAAATCACGAAGCAAAGACGAGCGTGAGCTCAAATCTCGACAACCCGACACTGACAAGGAATTGACAGGAAGTAAACTTCCCCCGCTGAGCTATCGAAGCTTGCAGTGTACAAACGGTTTATTTTAAGTTATATACCTCTCCATGGGCAGCCGATGATTAGCCTTTATATATTCACGTTTGTAAGCAATTACCTCATTTGAGATGTCTCACCAGTCTCACGCGCACCTTTCTTTTTGCTGGACTTGATGCGTGTCTCATAGAAGTGGCTATTTTATTCTGGTACCAGCATATTACTTTAGAGATAGAGGGCAGTGAAGGATCCTAGATTCCTAGGAGCAGGTTTTGAATTCATATATGATTAGAGCAATTGCACAGTTGATATTAAGGTGAGTTGTATTCTGGACTATCAACGTTGGCTCTTAAGTTTTCAAAGTCAGAATCAAAGCTGAGATGCTTAAAGCCGCTATCACAAGATCTTTATATCCGATTGCTTCAGTATGATACTCTGTACGCTTTTCTCCCCCCACGCATATGCCAGCTCACAAAGCCTCGTCGAACAACTTCAGGAAATCTGGAGACTCAGCGACATTCTTATCAATACCAGCTTTGGTCGCATTTGCAGCCTGAGCTAGCCACGCCTTGAACGAAGTTATAAAGTACGGCGAATTCAGGTAATCCTCCCCCATCCCAGCTTCGCGCGCCTCATTTCGCTTCTCGGAAAACAGACGCAGAGCGGTCATCTGTCCAAACTTGAACTCGTCCTCGGCGATCTTGGCCTCCGTCTGGGCACTGACATTGGTATCATTCGACAGGTATGGAGACTTGTCGGACAAGGCCATGAGCTCCTCGAGTGGGACGCCGAAGAGTGGGCTCTATGACCAGGCAGCCAGTCAGCAAGTGAATCGGGGGAAGAGACAAAAAGAGAAAAACCCAGGAATCATACCGGTGCGACCAGATCTGCCATGGTGCTATCATCACCCCGCGCTTGCCAGTATTGTGCCATTCTTGAGGAGAGTGCGTGCGGCTGCATATCCATATGTTAGCTATATGGCTGGCGGGTCAGGGATGAGAGTATGAATGGGAGTGGGAGAGGAAACCTGTAGGATGGCATGTTTCAGCATTTTCTGTTTGGCTGCCTGTCTTCGGGATTTCTCTTTCATGAACACGAAGTGCAACTGTCTGACGCAGTCGACCCAGAGAGTCTCCATCTCGAGCCGGTCAATCTGCAATTGCGGGTTCTTTTGGTGCACGTCGGTGGCAAAGCCACTGTACTGCACCTTGTAGGCAAGTTGATGAAACCCGCCAGTGTAGGTGGGCAGGCGAAGAAGGGGTGGAAGGTCCGACATGATTGTGTCGAAATGTTGGATGGTGTTGTTGACGAAGGAGGAGTCGCGGTTGAGGATGGTGGGAATTATAGCAAGGTGGCAACTCAGGCGAGTTGATTGACAAGCTTGGATTCACTGTGAGTCTGTGACGTAGAGACGTCTTCGGAAATGAGGCTGGAGCTGACCGTGTCAGAGTCTTTTTTCCCTTTTTAAAGGGCGCATACCTTCCTTAATGTAATATATCGTCATAAACACACGCATCTCCCTGTATCCCTAAAGCCTTTCAACCAACGAGAACGCTGATTAGCGAATATTAGACTTCTTCAGAAAGAAAAGTGCAACATACCAAACAGCAAGTTGAAAGTTACTTCCAACGCTGTTGATAAGACATATGACTTTAGAGCTGGCGCTTGACTTGCCAAACGAGACAGTTAAGATGGCGAAGATTCAGGACAATCAAACCAGAAGGTAAAAGCATGACAGACCATCGAATGCAAAGCCCTTAATGTCCGACGTCTCCTGCCCCCCCGACCTCCAAACACAGGGGGAAGCGATCGAGCGTTTCGATAGGGACGTGGAATCTTGTAGTCGGGCTTGGGATTTCTTGTTTCTGTTTCTACCGCGGGCCGATGGAGAGGACTAGAAATGAGATGGGATGGGATGGGTAAGATAAGGTAGGGAAGGTAAACATACAATCTCAAAGGAATAGAAACAAGACCCGCATCTAGCGGCAAGATAAGCGCGTTTGACGCGATGAACGAGGGAAAAGAGGCGATGAATGGCGCGGGTGCTAGGGGTGGGAAGGCGGGTCGTGTGATGGGCTGTGTTGTTGGGGAGGAGAGAGAGGATGCGCGGGAGCAGGAGAAGGGGTAGACTGAGGTTGACATGTCTTTTTAGGCGTGCAGGTAAAAGGGGAGTTTGGTTTTGGATAGAATTTGAAGAACGGAATAGGATATGAAAGGACACGCAGTACGGCTTGAGTTATGAATTTCAAAAGATTTCGTATTCTTATAATATAAGATAAGTCCCTTCTTACCACTAGCAGGAACTTATGAAAGCCATTATTCAGGCGTGGAAAAGAACACCGCTAGTGATCAGGCACGTGATATATAAATGCACGTGACAAGCAAAGTGAACTATAGCAGGAAAGATAGCAGAAAGTAGCGTATATAGGATGCGACAGCTTGTCTGTTTCAGCGGGAACAAAAATGAATGGCCTGCATACCTCTTTCACCAGATATATTGTAAGTGTATGGACCGCACCGCACATGCTGACGTCCTTGCTTGAACAGATAATTCAACGAACGTAATTTCATGGCTAGATCTCCCC